AAATCGTAGTGCTAAAAGGGTTGGCGTGAAATGCTTGTCAAGTCTGGTTTCGGCGTTCTAGAACTGGCGTGAATCCAAAGCACGACTTTAAAAAAAGAGTCCGGGGCCGGGCTGGATCGGGCTGGACTGCACTGGGCTGAGGCTGAGACGAGTTGAAGACGACCGATGGCAGGTGTCGTCCGATATGAATGCCGTAGAGGTGTACTGAATGGATGATTGACAACCAAGGGGGAAGAGATGCTGGTTGCTGTTGGGTTGCCTCGGGGGGAAGACGTAGATCTTATGCCGGCCAGAGTTATATCATTTGCAACATCCGCAACCGAGACAAGACGGATAGAGCCACTTATAACAACAACGGGCGATGGACGCAATGCGGCTGAGACCTGCAAGATGAGAAATGAGAAAGTTTGAAGCACCAGTTGTGAAAAAACCGGGAGCAAGAGGAAAAGCAAAACCAGCCGGGGTGTCTCTTATAGATGGGATGGGCGTGAGAGAACAGAACCCGAAAGTAGGGAAAAGGAACAAGAGGCAATGGAGGGATATGCACTACCCAACATATGTATGGGGGCGGCAGGGGGTGAAGGGAGCTTGTGATTCACGACACCGGCAGATGAGAGTGAGTGGATGACATCGAAAAAGAAAACTGAGGAGGATCCGAGGCCGAGTCCAGATAGACGGAGAAGAGGATGCTGGATGGGGCTACTAGAGGCGAAACAGCCGGGGGGTCACTTCAGCGCCGCAAGGGAAGATTCCCAAGACCAGAGTCAGCAACCAGTCACCAGCCAGAATCCCTCCTTGTCAGGAATTGGCAATCAGTAACACGGACAGGAGAGACAAGAGAGCAAAAAAGCACGGTCATAGCAAAGGGCAAAAAAAGAGGATCCTGCACCAGGATACGGAGGGGCTTCTCGGGACAAGCTGGCTACCGGATATGGTTGGCTGGCCGCTTGGCTCTGCCACGCCGGGTCAAGTTGACTCTCACGAGCTTTTGGTCCCTGAAAGATGCATTTAGCATCCCTTTAGCATCGCCGACTGGCCACGACACATGATCAAGAGAACAGAACGACGAACTCGGTGCCAGGGTGTCCCAAGGCATTCAAGTAAGATGCGAGCCAGGCTGTGCTAGCATGGATACGCGGATGGAGACCCAAGTTCTGGGCCAGTACTCGTGCAAGGGTACCTGATGAGACCGGAGACCCAGCAGGCAGAGGGCCCAGCGAGCGGCGCGAGCTCCAGTGCCCCCCTCCCGCCGCTGTGCAACGTTCCTGGATGGATGTCTGTCTTGGACGTCAGCGTTGATGTCAGTGGGTGTGCTCAATCCGGCAACGCCAATGCCAATGCCAACGCCCTTCTTGCAGTCGATGTATCGCGCCCTTGAATATCCAGAGGCGTGTGCTTCCGAAGTGAAGACATGCAGCAGCACAGCAATGCCTAGAACGACCCATTTCCTGTCGAATAGAACCATTCCATGCAAAAGTGACGCCGCGATTTGCTGTCCTCTCGCGTGCCTCTTTCACCGGCCTGGAGCTCCTGTCCCCAGTATCCGTAGCTTGGGAGGGCTCCCAGTACCATGGTTGAACATGGCACACCATTGGCCCTGGAGGCTGGGCTAGGGGGGAGCTAGGGGCAGCGGGCAACGACACAGCGGATGACGGGCGACAGCCCTGGAGCTACAGCGGACGACAGCGGGGCAGCAGAAGAGGGCCACCTGGTGGGGACTGGAGAACCGAGACTGGGCGGAAACGCTGACAGGGCCTTCCTGTGGTCTGGATTGGGGCGTTGGAGAGGCGTGGGAGGAGTCGGTAAGGCTCCGGGGAGGCTACTCGGAGCTTCGGGGAGGGCAGGGGACGGGGCTCGGAGGGTTGCTGCCGCGGGAGGAGCGTGACAAGTGATTCGTGAGTAGCAGCTGGGGGCTCATGATTCTACTCCAAATTCGCGAGTCCCTATCCCCACTGCTGGGAGGGGACCTGAACCTTGGGACTGGGACGGAGGCGGCGGCTTTTTCGATCGATCATGAGCCGCCTCTAGACTGGCCTCTTGACCAAGAAGCTGAGCAGACGTACGTCAGGATAGGTTGCATCCCCAAGGTCCCGAGGAATAACTCACACACACCCAAGGAATGCGGGAGAGGCTGGTTTGCCTCCGCTGGACCCGGGCTGACCCATTCGTTGGGTTGGACTGGTCACCGCCATGGCCGTTGCTGCTGCTGCTGCTGCAGGTAGGTGCAATCAGCATCATTGAAGTTGGCGGTGATGATGAAGCTGTTTCTGGCTGATGATGACATACTTGCTTCTTTGGCATTGACGCTGGACGCTGAATTGAGGCCTGACGGATGGATGGAGAAGAGAGATGGATGATTCAAGGCAGGAGCTGCCACGTGCTGAGCTCGGGACGACCGAGTTTATTCTGCCATCCCATCTGCAATGGTCCTTCCGCTCATTACCATCGGTTGGTCTTTGCTTCGAGGCTGCTCACGTAAAAACTGCCCGACTGGAGGGAGGTGCCCCTCGGTAGGTGCCTTCCCGTAGGTAGTCTATCTGGCTCGGAATATTTCACGGACCCAGATTGAACGTCATGGGTGATTGTATCTGAATCTGATCTCTCTCATGTCATTTTTCTTGATGTCTCATCTCCATCATGACGGCGTCAACTTTTTGCCTTACTTGTGCCCGATCCCGCGCTACTGTATGACCAACTGCACGAGAATCTCTCAGAATGAGATGGAAGAGATTATGGAGGAGCTCTGCAAAAGAAAAGAAAGTAGAGCGTGTGAGAGAAGAGAGCACATGAAGCAACGCTGGGTATTCATGCTGGCAGGTGCTTTTTCATCCCAAGACGCAATCTCTGGTTCGTGCGCGTTGGCAAAAATTTTCATCATCTTGCGCCGCCCTCTGATCGGTGAAGGGATGCATAATGATTTATCTGCTTCTCCGGAGATGCGAAACGAGCTCCCCTCCCCGTTGCAGCTGACGTACAGCCCTTGGTGGCATAAACGTACAGCATCTCGTCTCGGCAGTCGAAAACTAGGAAGATCCTTGAGGGGGGCTACACTTCGTACCTGCACCGGCTAAAGTAGCTGGTGCATCCATGATGAGCTGTGCCTGCGAGAGAGCTGCAAGCTTGACTGGACCTTGGATGGTACCAAGACGCAGAGGTTACAGTAGTTGATGAGCCGGCGTCAATGCGCCTAGATTCGATTCTGTTGGAGCTTCCATTCTTTCTCCAATTGCCGACTTTGGTAGACGTGGAGCTGTGTTGGACGTTACTCCCCCTGCCTACTGCAGTGCATCGGAGCTTCAATGCCATGGCTGCGAGGCTCAATTGCGAGTTTGTCCTCGTCAATCTCTTGTCTAGAGGGTTGGTTCCAGCTAAAGGAGCCAGGACTGGAATCTCATCAACAACGACCAGAAATAGCATCAACGCCCCTCAAACCTCTAGACCTTCGCTTGGGGGGCTCGTGCAGGGCGCGCCTCCCGATTGGATACCCAGAAAATCGGATCCGGAGGCCTTTTCACACCCTCTCTAGGAGCTAGCCATGACGTTGATTTCGCTATTACGGCTTTCTCAGCCCTGTTTTTGCAAAGGGAGCGCTCAGACTTTGACAACCTCAGACGCAGCGACGCGTCAACTCGTTCAGGGCGCGACGTAGAGTCAAAGAGCCTGAGACGCGAGGTTGCGACTGGCATCTTCCTTGTCGCTGTGGGAATATTGGATGAACTACTGATTTGTCCTTCCCGCGCTGAGCGAAGAGATTTTTCCATGGTTTCTTTTTTTGCTTGATATTGCAGAGAGGCTTGGAGGCGGTGGGAGAACAAAAACACCCAGCCTCGGCCAACCTCGGCAAGGTCAATGGATGGATGTTTGCTTGTTTGCGCCCAGTCTATTGTGGTTGTTCCGGCTGGCTATTCAGACTTGCCCAGACTCGACAGAACAAGTCATTTCTGACTTGGAGGTTTTTGTTGGTCATCATGTACCGAATACGGGTTGCTTGTGGCATCTCGCGTTTCGGCTCGCGCTCAATTTTACTTTTGCGGCTGAGACCCCGGATGCCGTGAATTACCCCTAACGCCCGCGAAGGACACAGTCGAGACTCAACGGCATCTCACTGCCCGGTTGGGGAGGGTGTTCACCTCAGCCTTGTGCACAGATCTAACCGAGTTTATGGCTTGGAGAAGGGGGGAGGGATAGGGCTGGTCTGCAGGGCGGCTCAACTCCTTGCCGTGGTCATGGGAACCCCGAGTTACAGTTGTTTCTTCCCCCGGGCTTTCCAACTACCGGAACTTTGATGCTGACTATCCAATGTCGAGGCAAGCTGAGATGGGTCAATCGGGTTGAATTCCTCGCCTCAGATCTCGTTCCCGCTCACACTCGCCGATCTAGGGCTTATTCGACGGATTTGTTCCCAGCCAGTCCTTCACCCACACTACTCACCACAGTACAGTACCCCGTGTGTGTGTGTGTGTCTCATTCTGCATCATGTGCCATGATCCAGCTCTCCACGTCCCGCTCTCGGGCCAAGTAATCCAACAAGCGAGGCACCGTAAAAGGCTATGTTGACGATATCCCGCCCCTTGGACATTGACCCTTCCCGACATCTTGGGTAATCATGTTGCCACACCGCTCAAGGGCTTGCAAGCCAAGCGTGGAGAGAGGGGGTGTTTGTCGGCCGAGAATGGGCAATACAGAGAAGAGGCTTGGGAGGCGTCTTTGCTTGAGGGGAAGTTTGTCGGGTATGGATGTTGATGGAGAGGGTAGACTCGTGAGTGTGAGTGGTCCACTCGGACATTACAAGACGCCATTGTTGGAGTGCGTGGGATGAAGTCTGCGCTATCGAATTGCGGCTGTTGGTGGGGATCGTAAGGCTGGATTGGATTTTATTCCTCAATATCACATCACAATGAGCCCCCAATGCCGCCCTCTTGCTAGCCCGTCTCGACAGATGCAGTCAAGAGCATCACCTCATCAATACATCCATCACGCCACAGCATCCCGTTCCAGGTGATTCAAGAGTATCGTTATTCAAGTAAATAGTAGTACTGTTGTCAGGCTGTACAGCCAAAATGCATCTATACGCTTAAAACCAAGTCAACCCAGCCAAGGAGGGAATAAACAAAGAAAAGCTTCCTCCTTCCGTAACGCCACGCCGCTGCCTAGTTCTGAATTTCATCTGAATAAAAAGCCATAAGGAGAAAATGTTGACAAAAGAAATGAACATGTTGGGTAGGTGTCTTCCTTTAGACCTCAGTCATCGTCTTCCCGGTTCTTCTTCCACTGCACCTTGACAACTCCCAGCAGTATGCCAATGATTAGGGCAAGCATGAACAGAACCATCAAGCAGAGCGCCACGGCGCACATCTGCAGCTTGCGCCGGCGCCGGGCTCTCGCCGCCGCGACGGGACCTAGCTTATAAGCGCCGCCGACGCCGCCGTTCACGCTGGACCCGGGAGTGCTACTGTAAGGGTTCGGAGACAGCGGCGCCTGCTGCTGTTGTTGCTGGTACGCGGCTGGCGCGGGGGCTGCGGGCCAGGGAGTTGGCGCCGACCCGTAGTGCGAGGAGCCCGGCGGCGTGGGATTTAGGTGATGGGAGCGGACCGGTTCGAGGGGGGAGTAGATTGCTGGCGGTTGGGTTGGGTCGTACGGCGGCGGCGGACTTGAGGGGATGTCGTGGGGGTGGAGAGACGTCGGTGTTGTTGATTGTTGTTGCTGCCATGGTGAAGGGACAGAGTTTGGTGATGATGGGTTGGAGTAGAAGGGTGAGCCGGCGTGGGGTGGTGAGTAGGCCTGTTGAGGGAGAGACGAGGAGGATGTTGACGGGCCTTGAGGTTGAGGGATGATGATTTGAGGCGGATTCAGAGTCGGGGTGTTCTGGTTGCTATCGCCAGGTCGGTATGGGGAGTCGTCGGGATATGCGGCATCTGGTATCGACTGAGATGGGTGACTGCCGTGCCGAGGATCCGAGGGGTCCATGGTGTGAGATTGAGGGTTTTGAAGATGACAAGACGTTAGGAATCGACGTGAGGAAGTGGTGTTTGAGACGCTGCTAATTCTTTCGCTGGCGTGATGGAGGTGAAAAGGATGTTTCTGGAATTCGGCCTCTGATCATCTGATTTGTATCGATATCGTCAGGTTATCGCCCATCCATCCTTCTCCAAGTTTTTCGGTCGTTCCTCTCGTGGTTTTGGGAAAAGAAGCCTGAACAGGCTAATGTCTCGTATAGAAGAAAACTGTTTTCTCTTTTTTTTTTTCCCTTGTCCTTCCAAAATAACCCCGTTGTCTCTCTCTTCTCGGCCTAAACTTGTTCCCTCCTGGTCGTACTCGGCAATAACAACAGGATTTTGAGGCTGAGCAAACACACACTGGAATCCCCGCTGTGTGCGTCCCGGCGATCCGATCTTTTCTTTTCCTTTGGGGTATCACTTGTGCGTCACGGAGCAAGAGAAAAGAAAAACAAAGGGTTGAAAAAGAAAAAAGAGGAGAAGGACCGTAAGATTATGAGCGAAAAATAAACGAGGGCGGGATAAGAGAGAGAGAAGATGCAAGGTAAGACACACCAAGTTTAGCACTGCCACCTTTGAATCTCTTTAACGAGGCCTTTTCTTGTCGGGGCATATGATTCCGCCGCCAGCCCGCTAACCGGGGGTGGAGGAGAGATAGGGGATGGGATGGGATTGACCGGGGGGGAGGAAGTGCACTGCCCCCCAGGCTACTGACCATGGCGCGCCAAGCCCCTGGTCAAGGGGTGGCTGGGAAGGGTTTCTGTTTATGATATCCGTAGATTGGATAATGAACGGGTGTTTGATCGTCAGACGGGGATAAAGTCAATGAGATGCTTGTTTAGGTGCTGACTATGCAGGTTCTTGAATATAAACACCAAGAGCAGCATCTCGGCTTGGACTCTGCTTGGCGGCATACATCTCACACGTAGACTCACAAACAAGCATCATCTGAAACGTGCTCGACCCTTGCAAGGCTGCAGGATTTCCAGAGACGATCCTCTGCAGGGATTCACTTGGCAAAAGCTACTCTGCTCCAGATTAGAATCATCCATCTACCGCTTCATTCGCTACGCTGCTGCCTTCACCGCGAATCATGATCCGCTTAATAGAATCGCGGATCCGTACAACGACCAGGATACAATGCATCACCGCCAGAGTGGATAGGGAACCTTTTCCATTTTGTCTTTCATAACTCTCAAAAACAAATCATACGCGCCTGTCGCTACTCTACATGTTAAAACAACTATCGCTATTACGTATTGTCCTCGGACACCTCCTCTTCCAACATCCCCAAATAATACATATGCGCCTCCCCTAATACGGTGGTTTCGTCACGTTACCCAAGCTTCCCTCGCTCGGCCGGCTATCGATCCCTCGAAGGAGATCCTGTAGATCCATCGTCTTTGTGTTCTGCGAACGAACCGATTTGGGCCGTGTACCGTCACCTCCCCGGCTGTAGAGGCTGCGTCTACCCGACTTGGCCGGGTCCTGGAACGATGCTTCGATTGACTGGATAGGGCTCCTCTTTCCTCCCAGCAAACTCACGTTGGGCAGAGGCGGTACAGGAGGAACCGACTCGTCATCCTCGCTCTTCTCATCGTGGAGGTTGGGTGGCCCTCCGAGGGGAGGGTGCGCACCCAGGGGTCCTCCTCGACGGGTCGTAGCCGTCGCCGGCCTCTTCGTTGGACTGATTGCCTCATCGGTCTGTGTAGCCGGGTTAAAGCTGATCTCTGAAGGACTGTAGTCGTAGCTGACCATGCTGTCTCCGCTGTCGTCGTCGCCGGCGAGTCCAGCTGTCTTTGGAGGAGGGTTTCCAGACAGAACAAGCTTGAGCTGCTCCACCGAGGCTACGGTGCCACCCCGGTTTGATACGGAGAGGGCTGGCGAGACAGCACTCCGCATGCTTCCCTTGCGATGCTTGGTGGGCGTTCCGTCCCGATCCCGCTCACGGAACGCATGTGACGAATGAGGCCTCATTAGGTTATACTGGCTACCGTATGGTGACACGGGCCCATTGTTACCGTTACCATTGATGCCGTTAGTGTTTACCGTGAGGTGGCCTCTCTGTGTTACTGAAGTCCCGGTCTTGGATCCTGAAAGGGACTCTGATTTTCCAACCGATGCCATCATGGCTACGGCCGCGTCTCTGGACCAGTCTGTCAGCATCTGCTCGCGGAATACGGCCGGCAACTCGGTCTCGGTCTCGGGCGCCGTGGAGGTGATTGTCGAGCCGAGAATCGGACCGGAGAGTCCTCGGGCTGGGGAGATGGCAGGGCTGCCAGGGGGTGTTTGGATGGTTTCATGGTAGTTGGCGGCGACACACTCCACGAGAGAGCTCCGGTCGTCGAATGGCAAAAGCTCCTCTCTCTCCAGTGCGACTGCATCCCATTCTGGGTGCGGCCGTGTCTCTCCAGGGAATCCGACAATGTCAGTCGAAGGAGGTGGGATATGAATACCCTCGATCCAGAACCCCTTGCTTCTGCGTCGCACCACCTCGTTTTGGATAGCTCGTCCGACAACTGACGCCTCAAAGTCAAACTTTTCTGTGAGGCCCCAGAAGTATCCGTGGCAAAGGGCCGCTATCCGCACCTTGTGCAGAGGTGTATCAATCTCTTGAATGTCTTCTTGCAACCGATAGATCATGGGAAGGCCATGTCGGACCGCGTTCACTCCCAACTTGAAGGCAAGCTTGGTCAGAAGAATGTGAAGCATCACCAGATCGTTCTCGTACTCGTAAAACTGCAGAGCATTATCGTAGATAACAAGATGTAGCAACGGTAGGAATTGTGAGTGTCGAGTCTTTGAGGCTCGTTCTTTGTTGTGGGAAGCATTCGAAACTGCACGGCGGTTGCCAGCAGCGGACAGCTCTCGGTTGATCTTGATGGATGATCGAGAACGTGGAAGAGTCTCATCGACTGCGATCTCATCTGCGACTGTCGCCTCTCGATCAAGCCAGGTGATAAGAGCATCCATGTAAGCCTTACGGACATGGCCATCTGGATCGCGCAGGAGCCAGTGTGTGCCCTCCCAGACATGGATCGGCACAGGGTTTCGAGACAGGGCCATGTTGCCGGTGAGTTTCTTCTGAGGATTGGCAACCAGCAGGATAGCCTTGATGACGTGGAGAGCGGATGCTCTGCCTGCGCTGAGGGAGAAATAATGATCGAGCTGTTGGCTTTCAGACAATTCGATATTCGACGCGCCTGGCCCTGCCTCTCCAGCCTTTTCACCTCCGGGCGAGGAACTGGTGCTGGATGATCGAGATGGCTTCAGGCGCAGGATGACGGCGGTGATCATGTCGGAAATTTGGTCGGCGTAGTAAACATGAGTCGCAAGGTCGCCAATGCAGAGCTCAAGCCTGCCCAGAAGATGCTTGGTCTTCTGGCGCACAGCGTGCTCGGGCTCTGTGACAGCGTCACCATCGTCGCTCTGGCTGGCGGGGCTCCTTAACCGAAATAGTTTTCTCATCTGCTTGATTAGACCAAGGAGAACATCCATAACACTCAATCCAATGAGGTTCACGTCAGACCGGAGAAGAGAGCTCATCATGGTGGTCAACGCAAGTTGCTGATCGAGAGTCGCGTCCTGAACGGGAATTCGGAGAAGAGTATCCAGCGCGGCCACGAGAATAATGTATCGGTCTTGTACAGGAGTCCATCGAGAGATGATGCTGTAGATGCTGATGGCCCAGCCACCATCTCGTTCTCGGTCGTCATGGAGATCGACAACGGATTCGCCTTGGCTTACACGATTCTGAATAAACCGCAGCAGGGAGACGGTTGCGCCGTGGATCTGCGATCGGTTCGGAACAATGAAGATGCTCTTGAGGCACTGCATGGCCAAAACTCCAACCTCTTCCTCGGCAAGCTTGTCGACATCGCCGGCGGTTCCAGCGAGGGCAACGGGATTCGGGTCTCCAGCGGTATCGACGGTCGCAACAGTAGCAATGCTTGTCCTACGCCTCAACTGCTTTTCCGTGTCAACCTTTTCCTCCGCTTCGACTCGCTGCTGCAAAACTTCGAGGAAATCGGGTGTATCGGACCACAGATTGTCGAGAATTCGAGGCATTATGACGTCCATCTGGCGTCCGGTGATGGAGGAAAGGGCGTCGGCGGTGGAAATACTGCGAATGGCCTCGAGGCCTGCGCTTCGCCAGCGCACCTTGACGGGACTGCTAAGGGACTCCTTGCCAGGCGCAAGGTGGGTGGATGCGAGCTGAGCGTAAAGGCGAACAATGTCTTCATACTGGTGAAGGAAGGCTTGGTCGGCGGATAGGAGAGCGGCATCGTGAAAATCGCAAAAGGCCTCGAAAGTGGGCAGAGAAGATTCGATCATGGTAATGTCTTCGGATCGTAGAACGGTATCGAGAACCTTGAGAACGAAGGGAGCAATGAGGACGGCATCTTTGTGGAGCTTTTCGATCAGAGCTGCGAGGATCTGGAGGGTGACTTGAACATTTCTGCGAAAAGGGGCAGGTTAGCATTGGAATATGGCGGATGCGAATGGAGGGTTCCAATCATGACAACGAGATGGACGGCCTGTATAGTAGTCCATTATGTGCATGAAAGCGGATGCGTCGGTACCCGACTCGAGGGTGATGCGACATACCCGATGCGCAAACGCCAGACATCACTGGCTGTCTTCTTCTCAAGGAAGGCACCAATCTTTTGGATTTTGGAGCGTCGGCTGGTTGCATAGTAGAGGAGGTAGCTGAGCTCGCTGCTGTTGGGCTTTACGTCGACGGCACCCTTGGTGGTCCTGGGATAGCACTTAAGAACCAGGACCTGGTGTTTTGGTCGACACTTTTGCTGGATGGCGTTCATCGCGCTCGCGCTCCTGCTGAGCTCGGCCCCGTGATGCTGTAAGAGTCGAACTGGGAGCGATCGAGGAGAAGCTGGGAGGCACGAGGACGCGGACGCTGGCGTGGATGAGCTAGAGCGGTGGACAAGATTAAAGATGGGAGAGAAGGCGACGACGCGGCGAAGGAGGCTGGCGGTGATTTACTCGGCAGGACAGTAAGCATGGGGGGTCAACTGGGGATGGACCTGGAAGGTATAGACTTTTTGGGGACGGGAGGGACGGAGGCTGGAAGTACCCGGAAGGTACCCACTGTTTTTTTTTCTTTTCAGCCCAGCGCAGCGGAATGGGAAAAAGGGAGCGAGAATCAGCGACAAGGATCTTTGTTGTTGTTGGTGATGATTGCGCCTGTTAATTTCCCATGTCTTTTACAAGTAATCGCTAGCCTTTTAACCTGATTCTCTTTGGTATTTTCCCAGACTATCAGAACCCATTCCCTGTTGATGTCGGAGCCTGGGTACGTGGCCGCCCCTTAAAGATCATGTACACTGTCCTTGTCCGTGCCTCTTACTTCAGGGGTTCTCTTTTCGGGTTCAGCGGGTGGCCTCACCTCGAGGACGGCGGGAGGTACCGCTGAAGTACCAAGAGCATGGACGGACCTGGACCTTTCCCCCTGTTCTTGGGCCAAGGCGACGGGAACTCTCTATTCTTTATTTACGCGTGTTTTCAATCTAATTCATCTCAGCCATCTTTAATCCATCTCGTATCTTCAGTATCGCGACATTGTGGTTTATGCTTGTCTCTCAATTGCATATTAGCTGTGACCGGATCGCCGGGCGAGTGACGCAATTGTTGCCATCGTCCCCCAAAGACCCTCCACGATCAGCATCATCGTCATCATCGTCACTGGCAGCCAACTGTGTCCCCCAAACCGCCTCTAGCTCACAGTCTCCCCCCTCCATGACCTTTACCGCTAGAGCCCTTTACCCACACACCACACTGTCTGACTGAGGCTGCCATCGTGTCGTGTCGCTGGCTGGTGGCGTGGCTTTCTTTCCCCGACTTTGCTTGGCGCCCGGCTTTGACAGTGTCTCTGTCTCACTCTGCATCAAGGTACCCGCGTTCAACTTGTCTTTGCCGACAGAGGAGAGACATGAGGGTGGAGAAGAGGTGATGTGGTGATGCAGGTGAATTATCGGAGCCCATTCGCGCGGCCCAGGCATGACAGAGCGACTCGAGCTGGAATCAATGCGTGTCATGATCCTTCACCGTTATTCATGAGCCAGCAACGGCTCCAAGTGGCTGGTCTGGTCCCCAACAGCCGTTTGCGACCGTGCTTTGGACCCTGTCATCATCACCGCTTCCACCAAGACAGTCGATATTTATGTCTTAGCTTGCGAGTTGTGCAGAGCAAGCCTCCCCGAAAGGTCATGATTTTCCGCTCCTTGGTCTTGGGGCGTGTCAAATGCAGGACAGAATGAGGATCTCCAGTGCATCGGTATTGTAACGTTGAATACTCTTGGCCCTCAGCTCGCGTGCAGTATTTGTCCCATTATCGAATCCGGAGTATCAAGTCCGTGCCTTGGTTCGAGGCTCAAGACCACAGGGTAGACTATCTCAATTCTCCTCATGCAAGTCACCTCACCTCATCTTCACCGCATTCCGCTCTTGGACCACGTTTTTACCCCAACAACTCCACGTCACCTTTGTGTGCGCTTCTGTGCAGTCTGTGTGCTCTACTGCCTATTCGTTCTCGACCAGCCAGAGCCGTCGGTCCCTCTCGGCCGCTTCCGCTCCCATTTTGTGGCTCCACTCGGCCATGATGCCTTTGACATTACCCGTCACGATCCGTCCAGAGCCCGAGGTTTTCGTGGCCGGCTGCTCCGCCCTATTTTGCCGGGTTCAATCCGGACGAGGAACCTGTGCCTCTTTGGCGCGCATGCATACACTTTGTGCACTTGTTGATGACTGGCTTTCAGCCTTTTTTTTTTTTTGTCTGCGCAGAGACATTCCGACTTTGACCGGTCTTTTTACGGCCGAGGCACCCGTGATTGATCCTGGTTACTTGGATGTCTCTTCTGACACTTCGGGTGCCGAGTTGTCGCATCTCGGGATGTTTGAGACGGTTCCCATCGTTCAACTTAGCTTCCAAGATAGAGACGCGGCAATAGTTTCGCTAACGCATGGGAAGCTTGTCGCTCATGCTAAACTGCTGCATATGCAAACTTACAGATAACACTGCCATTTTACCCTTTCTCCATCCACTACCTGTTGAGTCTAACCTTCTAATCCCAGCAAAGCTTCATCGACAACCTTCTGAATGTCATAGTGATACATCCAATTTGACTTTTTGCCCTTGGTTCTCTTGACCCTCTCCTCAATCTCCCTGTCCACCGACAACCCCTCGGCCGCAATCTCCTTGTTTATGCCACCGTACCAGTCTAGGACGTCGTATAGTTCCCCGTAGTGCGGCGAGCGGATCTTGTCGTATAGCTCCAGGGCAACCTTGATACCCCTGCCTCGCTTCCACGCCCATTCAAGTGTCTTGGAAAGCGCGTATACGTCCTCGAGTGCGAATCCAGCGCCCGCACCGAAGGCTCCTGATAGAGGATGGGATGCATCTCCGATGAGGGCCACAGAGTCCAGAGCAACCACACGCTCCAGTCGCGGTCCTGAGAAGAGCGCAAACTCCTGAGTCTCTCCCTGCTTAGCTGCCAATTGAACAACTTGTCGTACCGGCTCACAGAACTCGTCATACTCGTGGACGAGTGTGTTAAAGTCGAATGGGCGACCCCAGCTGACGTGCTCTTGGCCCTCGGAGGGTCGGCTGATGCGTGCCGTGACCTCAAAGTCGTCATCACCAAGTGGACTCGTGAAGACGTATCTTCCGCCGAGGTTCTGCCAAAACACTGAGGACTCGGGGATGGTACCAAGAGCTTTGACATCCGACTTGCTGATGATGGTGCGATAGGCGGATTGTCCGTTGTATTTGATTTTGTGAGAGGGGAATGTGAAGGAACGGACGACCTGTGTTGTTAGCAGGTGACCTATTGTTGAGCACACCAAGTGAGTTACTTACAGATCGGATGCCGTCCGCAGCAACAAGAAGGTCAACTTCGTCGGTATGTCCATCTTCGAAACGGATGAGAACTCTTCCACTGGGAAGCTTCTCAATGTCTACCAACTTCTTGGAAAGTTGGATCCGGGACTGGTCAACCTCCTTGAGAAGGGCAGCCTGCAACTTTGCTCGCCTTTGTCGACAGCTGAGTTGGCTCTTGGGGGTGTCTGCGGGATGAAGGCTCTGGTCCAATAGCTCACCCGTCCTCCCGTTTCTGCTCTGGTTAGCACTTGGCATACTCTTTCATTGGAGGCTGGAACTAACCGGTACTGCCCACTAATTCCTGACGGGGCTCTGAAGAAGTCGTTGGGCTGGATGTTCTTGGCCGCTCCATTCCACTCAAGCATCTTCCAAGTATGTAGTTGCAGGCTGATACCACCCCCGGTCTCACTGATCTCGGGCTTCTTCTCATACAAAGTCCAGTCCACAAAGGGCAGCTTGGCGAGCGCAATGGCTGCACCTAATCCTCCTGGGCCACCGCCGATGATGGCGACCCGGAGACGGCCGGCGCCGTTGGCATGGTTCTTAACAGCCATTGTATGGGGCGTAGTTGCGGTTGCTGGAGCTTGTATACAATTGGACGCCCGAGCAAAGCGTTTGCATATATCTTGCCGATCAGGGACCAGAGCTAAGAAAGCTTGCAAAGGGCGTTGAGACACTTTTATAAAGCTTATCTGACGACAATCGGCGTCCTCCATCGTCGGATATCGATGAGGCCATTTCAGCCGTATTGCGCCATCAATCCGGCGAATTGGCAATCCTCAGATAGCGGGCTGCAGAGGATTCACTCCCGACGCAGAGTGGGTAAGAAATTCACAATCAGTGGGTCGTGCTGAATAATTAAAGAGGTTTCGGGAAGTGGGATAGTCGAATAGTGGCCAAGAAGAGTATCTGTTTCGACGTGGGATGCGAGGTTGAGCGGTTATGCGGCTCTTTGCTTTTGGACTACCTCAGGCCACTTTCTCTTCGCGAATAAGAGGGTTAAAAGACGCCATTCCGATCATGTCCGAAGGGTTGCTCACGTAGGGCTTTTGGCCTTTCCTCGCTGATGCTCACATTGTTTTCTTGCACTTGTTCTGAAACGAACTTTCGACAAGTTAAAGCGCAGGCAGAAATGCACCTGGCTTTGGGCATACAGCCATGAATCGACGGAAAGACAGTTTCAATTGACTGAAGAAGGATTGAGGAGGTCAGCGGAGCCTCACGGACAATACCTACCGAGAGGTCTACTTGGTTCTCAGCACCAACGAAGGCACCGGCCAACCGACTAATTCCTGGACGACTTTGGGCCATCTTTATATTTCTATGGTGGAGGGATTGCTATTGACTAGCCGGGAGTTGGACTTGGCGTTTCAGGGCTTGATAACTAGTCTAACTGGATCTTTGCTATATCCAACCTGCTCACCGCTCTACACTAGGCTGGATCCCAGGCAAATGCATTCCTTGACAACTCATGACGGGGGAATTTATACCAACCTAGGAATAAGGACGCAAATAATGCGTATATGATGAATTCTTCAAGCTGTTATTCGGCAGATACTGGGTCAGATCCGCGAAATTGCGACGCTATGCATCACTGGTAGCTTGGCTAATGGGACGAGCGTTGATAACATTTCAAGTTTCACGAAAGAAGCCTCTACTTTAGAAAAGAGCTGTCAAGTTGAAAATGTAAAATTCTATAAAGACTCAACAAAACAGGTGTGATTTTCGTAACTCCCTAGGTTCTTTTCAAAGAGGGCAGGTTTGGGCGGAATAGCAACAAAAAGCGGCCTTGCCTTTATGGATCTAGACTCAACTCGATTTGATTTGAGTGCAAATCGAATTTGAATCGAATGTGAATCGAATTAAAAACGAATTTCAAACGAATCTAAGATCACATGCTGCGTTGCCTTGGTCTAGGTGGACCACCAGAGACGCTTGACACTTAATCACAGAGCCTGATTCTAACCAACCTCCAAGTGATTAAGGAGTGGTTGCACTCAAACGCATGATCTGGATATTGACACACCATTACGATTTACAGGAATCAAACTATGAAGCAAACACAATTTAAAACGACAAGGCCCCTGGGTAGTGATACGGAATGATCATTGTGCGATATCCTGTAGAGGAGGCACTGTGTCCTAGCGGAGAAGCCTAGAAAGTTACAGGGTCCCAGGGACCTTGAACCAGATACAAGGAGCTTTGTTTGTCAAACCGCTTCCTCTTCTCAAAAAGCCAACGCCATGTCCAACCGAAGCTCGAGGTTGAGGTTAATAGAGTTCTGACCAGTATAGTCAACTCTATGTCTTCCTACCCTTTAGACCTGACTTGAAAACAATTTGAGGGTCAAAGAACTCGGCGTAGAGTCTGCCAAAAACTGATACTGCGATGATGGGCCAATGCCCATGAGTGTTTCTTGGGGTGGCTATGCGTGGCTAGCGTTGTGCTAACATCGACACATACCTGCCTTGACTGCAGCTTGGCATTTCACCGAGCCTATCCCATGATCAATCTTTGCGCGAGAAATTCTGAGGCTCTGCTGCATCTGCAATTGCCCTTTTATGAGTAACTTGATGGGAAAACACGCCGACGAAATGACACGCGCTGTGGGTTTCAGGTAGCCCCTTAAAGGCAAAGCAGCACTTGTAGAGCCCAAGACCGAACAACAACTAAAAGGCATGCGACTGGCGTGAATCCGCCCTACGCCGCACCTGTGAGGCAATCTCTGTCAGCTGAGTCTGACCGGAAACTTGCAGATTGGCATGGGTACAGGGTTGTCCCTTTGCAAGTACCGCGCACTGTCTATCAACCAACTCGACCTTGGTAAGCAGTAAAGCAAGGCGATGAGGAGGCCAGATACAACGCGCCAGAAAGTGCAAACAAGGCAGACATGGCTTGCAAACTCGACCGAACCTGCAGCTGGTCGAGAACAAGGGCTAGGACACCCAATACGAGATATAAATACCTGAAGGAGTGTTACACCTCGCGGCAAGCTGCAGGAATTAAGAGTAGTTGACCAGAACAGGCAGTGTCTTTGATTGCTCGTGACGGCGGCTTGCATATCTCTAGTTGCAGGAGGCCGTCCAACAAGTGACAAAGAGGGAAATATACTGTATACTTTTTTTTTTTCGTGTTACCTCACCTCAGTTTACACCGCCTCAATGCACATTTTTTTTGTTGCCTCACGGTCGCCTCGTCTACCTAGGCAGAATCAGGCTCTCGCACTGATCATGCTACGCACCACCTGACGATTATATCAAGGCGAGCAAACCCCTCTTCTCGATTGCTCTCTTTGTCTCTAGTTCTTTTTTTCTACTCAGTATTTCTTTGTTCCGTCTTCCTCTCACCCCTCAGCTAAAGTCACGTATCAAGATCCTTGCGTCATCATCACGCTTTCGACCAACCCCCCCTGACGGAAACCTTTCAAACCCCTGCACGCACACACACTCACTCACGGAAGAACGCCCGCAACCAGAAAAAAATGTGTAACCAGACGGAAACGAGAGAAGAGTGCTGCTGCTGCGGAACCACGACGTCCAAGCTGGAGATTGAGAGCTGTGCCCTGAGACTGCAGGAGCAGCAGGCGTTCCAGAGCAGATCCAACAACCCCGGCGGCCGCTGCTACGGCGTGGCCACGACGTCCAACACGATTGTCGTCACCTGTCCCAACTGCGCCGAGATGCAGCGTGGGGGGAAGCACGAGGCTCATCATGGCCGCGATGACTTTGGGGGGTTTGCGAGAAGAGCGTGAGAGGGCTTTTGGTCGGGTTTCCTTGGGGGGGTTTTCACATCAGCGGGAGGCGAAATTGTTCAATTTATGGGCTTGGTTTGACGTGTACAACTACTGGGAGGAGAATATGGGTTTAATTTGCAATGTTTGACTTTGTTACTGATAATGCTCGACGAGTTCGTTCTGCTGACGCCATCACTGGCGGAGCCGTCGAAGCGATCTTGAGCAGTCACTGGGGAACAGAACCATGGGCGCATATTTCCAAGAAGCTTGTTTAACTTTTTTTTTACGACTTGCCAAGATGAACATGGATCTTATTTGTCCACTTCTACCGAACATGCCGATGTGAAAATCTGCAACGGTGCAATGAGGTTGGCTTTCAACTATAGCTTCATGTTTATAATTGACCGGATATACGTAACCTTAAATAGGCAGCTAAAATAAGAAAGTTGCAGGCTATACTGCGTAGGAATGTTCATCACCAACCTCTGCGCCTTTGTCACACCGCAAGGTTGCCCGGCACCTGAGGCATCTCTCGACAATCCCTGACACAGTTTTGCCAAGAATGATCCGCCTCACACCGACAACCAACGTCGCATCCACAGACGAAATCTTCTGTGCGAAGCGACTACCCATAATAGGCAGATTGAGGTTTAAGGAAATGCAGTCTATATCGCGTGCTCCGGCGGAATGCCGGTCAACTTACGGAAGACTTGTTGGGTGACGCGGGGTTCGTGATCAACCTGGTTTTTTGTCAGCCGCGTGATGAGGAGGTTGGTCAGAATCACACGACCTGTCAAATTCACATGGTCGGCTTGCTGCCTACGAAAGACGGCGGTGTCGTTGATGGATAATGGCTGACGTGAGTAGTTGTTGACTTGGCTGGGCTGAGGAAAGTTATGTACTCTCGATACCTACTGACAGGCGAAGAAGCCTCAATCGAGAGTACATAAGTTAGTGATGAGAGGGAGGTTCCGCTAATAAGCTTCATGGAGATAATCTCATGCTAAGCTAACCCTTGAGGCATATGTAAGTTGCATCATGAAGACTATTCACCCTTGCGTTCGGGTCGTATGCTCCAGATTTCAGAATTATGGTCCTTTATTTTGAAGATTCAAAGCATGGATTCGTCCCCGGAACTAGACTAATTCCCTTTTCACGACCCCTCAAAGACGAATGGCCCTAATTATCATGCAAAGATGTTTCCAGATTCTGCAAATACTCGCCGCTTTATACGCAAGGCGGATAAGTTCACATCACGTACAATTTAGCTCGTTGTTTCGCCCTCCCATATCGAACTGACCTATCGCAAACAGGATCGAAAGCACATGTTAAAGATCGTCCCGCTAACCGTGACCATCCTTCTTGCTGTCTCTTTGAAGAGCTATCAATTCCATACCGTAAAGTGAATGTGAGTGTGATGCTCGATGATATTTGAAGAATACTCTTTTTCCAACAGTAGTTAGCCTCAATCTTTCGCCTATCTGTCAAGTGTGTAGGCCTTATCCCAAGAATGGTGAGAAGTTACGGAGTAATCTCTCCTTGAGTCAATAGGATTCTCAGGGTACGTCTGGGCACTGTTTAAGATCATGAGCATATCTCCGAGGTTGCTGGGAAGAATTGACCGGGTGGAGTGTTACCTGTGATCCTGTGCTGGTATTTCTGACATGTCGTTGGTTCCGTATAACACCAACTCGTTTGACGGGCCAGGGGTTGTGCTAGGCTGCTCTACCTCGATGGGCTGCCCTGTTGGTTGTGCTTGGTACTCAAGGCTGGGCAGTTCCACCCCGACGGGAGGCTCATGGTGGGAAGCCTGTTGCGCTTCCATATAGGCAACCTGCTTGTGATACAGGTCAAGCAGACCCTTCATGCTTATGCCAAGCATGCAACGCCTTTCCTCCGATCGCTTGATCTCGCTCCTGCACCTGCGAAGCTCTTCTTCAAGAACTCTTAGACTTTCGTAATCACTCTGCTTTTTGGCCTCCCGCATTCCCGTTCTGGTTTCACGGACCGCCCTCTCCCATCGCCTCTTGTCCTTGGCCACTTCGGTCTGTAGTTCCTGGCCCGCTGACGTCTCGTCGAGCCTCCGTCGCTCATCTACCAGTTGGGTCTGCAAGTCGATAGCCACTGGATTATTGTGACTGGCAAGATGTTGCACGATCTGTCGTTCCGACCCTGGGCTGTCGGCTCGAAAACACGAACTGCCTTGTTCCATCATGTATCCCCAAAACTCTGATGTCGTCGTTAGTTCCTTCTCGCGCGAGCGATAAAGGTCATTCGAGATCCCGTTCCACATGGTGGTGACAAGCACAACATTCTTGAGGGCGTTCTGTCCACAAAGCTTCTTGAAGAGGACAAGGTTCTTCTTTGTAGAGCCTTGCATACGAGGATCAATGATGCGGTGCAGGTATATGATGCCGTGAAGGAGGATCTTTCCAACGCGGAGCCCCACAAACCAAGCGGCTAGCTTATTGAGTACCTCAGTGTCGCTTTTATCGGAGTCATCGAACCCAGGTGTATCAATGAGATAGATGGTGCAACTAGCTGACTGCACGTAGGGGGAGGGGGTGACTTTTGATGTGCCTGATTATGTTAATGTTGATAGACACAGGAAGCATGTGAATGCAATGCTTGAGAATGACCTACATGATCTCAATGAATCGCTGGTTGAGGCCGTGGCATCTGGGCCGCAACACCTGGAGATGAAGGTGCTCTTGCCTGACTCTGTGACACCCATCACGGCGATAAAGAGGTCTGTTGGTCTTGGTACTTGGTCAGGGACTTTGATCGACATGGCGATGGGAATACTTTTAGTGCTGCGTACCTGGGCTCTTGGCTAAAGGGCCAGCTCCACAACCTGGGAACAGGGCTGGAGTCATGTCTTTTCCGTGAAGAGCGCTTTCTGCCTAAGGGAGATTAGTACTGAGTCTCCAAGAGTAGAAAAGAAAGAAGAAAGAATTGATGTCTCACCTCTACCCATCTTGTCTTGGTGATGAAGCTATCGAGTCTTGAGATACAATGTGAGCATGGAGGGTTGCTGAAAGCCTATTTATCTACCCCAACTGGAGCAATCGTCGAAAGAAGGAGCAGAAGCATTGGGCCTTGCCATAGGGTCCTAAACTAGGAGCCGATAGCTCTACAAGTTGAAAATGCCAATGTATGCGTTGTTCTCAACTGTGGTGGTTGCGGCTGCCAGCACAGCCCACCTTACTGTGAGTGATGAATGATGATTCATTTGTGCCCAAATGACTTCTCATCTGAATCAAGCCAATACACACGGGGGTTGGGCTGCTGGCTTAGGTAACGTGAGCAAGGCAGTCTGCGTGAATGGCGACACTAGGAGTTGCAGCCTCGGCGGTTTCACCGCTTGAATGTCTGACCACCCTCAAGTGTACGAACTTGAAACTGGAATTTACACAACAGTTAAAAAATGTGGGTGAGCCTCTGAGCTAGTTCTATGTGGTATGGAATCAGCGAGGGACTGCTTGAGGCAGCTGTATGATAAACTCAAAAGGGTTAGTACTTAGTCTAGAAGCATGTTGGGTCTTACATTTTAACACTGTAAGCCCTAGGACTCTGGAGCACCGCTGGATCTGCAGCTGAAGCATGAGGCTAACAACATGGGTTCGTCGATTGGATCCCATCAGCTAGTGGCTTGAAGCCGGCTATAGTTGCTCCCTCTTTTAAGATTGACTCATCCCCTCTGAGGCTCTTTGCTTCTGCCGTAAAATCTCGATCATTGTGGACCATCTAACGCCCGCAGCTGAATCTCTTGTTGGCTTGGCGTGACGTTTCTCGGCCTTCGTCAATCTATGCTAGGACGCTGACAAAGCGATGTTACTTTCTCGTAATGAGTAGAACTGTCTTGTGCAGGCGGGGTGCTGTAACTTACTATATCGAGACAATTCCATCCATAGATGTATGAGTAAGGATGGGGTAAGTACGGGGCCTAGAACCATGGGATGTAGATGGGTTTCTACTGAAGAGCATGCCCGAGTTGTTGGCTTGTTAATACGTTGCTTGCTGACTAACTGTGTCTCTAACTGCCGAGTTGGTGATTGAAGTTTTGACTGCATTACTATACGGTAATGTACTTGCTAAAGTGTACCATATTGCTTGTAGTTTCTCATTACATAGAGGCGAGATGCTCGATCTGGGATCGGTGTCATAAGGCTCATGAAGTGATAAGTTGCTTTGAATCTAGGTACATCCTGGTTATAGTTTGAAACTGCATATTGCCTATCCGTAACTTCGCCAAAGCAAGAACAGTTGGCTAACTCAGACGATCTTGAATGAGATTGTGACACGCAAACGGGTCCCTAGCGCGGCGTACTACGAACCGGATTCCGAGCCATCCCTTTCTAATTTGTACGATGGCCGCCGAGTACAAGCCAGTAAAATCATCTGGCGACGAAAGCTTACTGCTGTATGAGTCTAGAATGGACCACTAGAGCGTTAACTGGCCAGAGGCCAATGATTCGAGATTGTCTGCTAAAGATGCGGGTTACAATACATCATGTTAAAATATCTACGCAGTGTATGGTGTCAACACTTACGATAGACTAATATGTCTGTCGCGCATAACAACTTCACGCGGAGGGACTTGGGTTCTTCTAAATGGTCACTTGCACTGGCTAGCTGTTCTCCTGAGAAGGCAAGGTCATTTCTCCCAATGCTAGTCAATGCTGCCTCATAATATGGAGCGTGCGCACCGACTAATAAGAGTCTTTGCCCCTTCACGCTTAGTGATAAAACCTTAGACACAATTCTCGTTAAAAGCCAGGTTGGGACGCTCCCTGCCTGACACATTATTATAAGCCTCAAAAAACTACCTTCGTGGTCAGGACGTGCCCTGGATTCTGGTGACAGAACTTGTAGGAGGTGGTAGGATATACGTATGAATGGACAAGACTAGTTAGGGACGGGGTCGTGGTTATTGATCCGTTCGAGTCTGCATTGCCTATCCAACAAGAGCTGAACACCGTACTGTACTCATCCTCTTCCCAATCTTGGGCGTGTTGGCTGTGTCTAGATCACTTGCCAACAGAGGCCATGAAGATGGCGCTCTGCATCAGTCAGACCATCACTCCACACGTACCAGAGTCTGAGGTATGATGACGAAAGCTGATGGTTGGCTACTTATTATGCACGGAACAGGCGGATCGCGGATGTAATCTGTTGATCCCTTATCTATCGCTCAGAGTCAAGTGTTAAAGACGTCCACAAAAAGTATCTTTGAATAACTGATCTAGACTGAAGGTAAGTGGAGTGCTCTGTATAACTGGTCCATAGTTCACATGGCCTATGGTTTGATTCGAATCATATCACTCCGGTTGGGTTTAGCAACGAGAATACCGTCTTCTCCTGTCGGAGTAGAGGCGGCATGGAGGTTATCCAAGGACTCATCTCCGTAGCACCGGCACTTGGCCTTTTGGGGAAAAGAAATTTGGGCTGAGAAGGCTAAGAAGGGTGAGTGTCCTCCTTGTTTAAAGCAAACCATAGCACAATGGCGCCTAGGGGGCCCCGTTTGGATAGAGAGCATGGCCCAGATGTGAAACGTTCATGATTGCGTAACAGCACCCCGAACAATAGAAAATCACTGTAGGAATCGGCGCTCCCGCGCCCTGACAAGCTAGAGTGTGGTGGAGAGAGGTGCTGTGCCAGCGATGTCTTGTTTCTCATTTTTGGCCCCCGACTTCGGGTCTTGCTCTCCTGTTCTTGCCGAACAGCCTGGTAATGGGAGAGTGGTGGTCATGATACAATGGTTTCCACGCCTTGATCCATGAGGACTGTCGAGATACTGAGAACTCACCAGAGACTACGGATATAAGATTTTAAGCAGATCATGAAGAGAAGAAACCGAGGAACCTCATTCTCTTTGAAAGGCGGAAGGGATGAATGCTCTGAGACCCCTGAGACCTCTGTGTCCGCCACATTCCAGGCCATGTTTGCTTCTCCCCCTCATCCCGCCAATTAGATCTCGGGACAACCTCTAGCCAATGCATCCCCTGTGATGCTGTCTCAGCTGGCTCCACCGACGCTTTCTCTCCCACACACCGGTCTTGCAACGACGCTGAGCGAGCTATCGGATTGGCAATTAACACAGCCTGACTCTCCGCCCGTGTGACCACACTTCCGAGGGCACAGCCAACAAACTTCATTTCGGCCGAGGTATTTGAGGGGGAGAGAGAAAAGAGGCAAGTCAGGTTCCGAGACCTTTCGATTAGGTATCCGCTTGCGTCGTGCGGACGCATGGGCGAGTTCGGTTTATTCAAAACTGGGTACGAGGAGTTCAGTGCTACGGTTTATTGCGACAATAGTGATTCGAGATTACTGAGTAGCAACTTGAAAACGCTGGATGACCTGGGCGAACATCTAGGCCCTTCACTGGCCTTTGAGCTGTCAGAATAACAAGCATTTCATCAAGAAAGAAGGCTTCCGGTTGTACCCGGACTTTTCTACGACAGGGGCCGCTCAACCAGTCGTTTATAACGCCACCAGAATGCATGGTTTGCACTTTCCGGTTCATAGACAAGGCGCACTCCGTCCTGAGTGAATTCTTCCAAGCGCCTCAGACAGATAGCATCTCGGATTCATAAGTAGCGGGAGCAAATGTTGTTCATTAATGAGCTATGTAATTTCCCATTTCCTAGTGTAGAAAAACATAGGTATGCCAAAGTTTATAGTGAATAGTAAAAAACAAGTTCCTCGTTATGCTAGATAGCCAAGTTGGTGAGCCTGCTTACCCCGGGCGAAGTGCATTGGCTGCAACTGCCATTGGCAGTTCCAAATTGCTGCCTTGAGAGCCGTAAAACAAATTCAGGGTGCGGGGTTTATAATTTCGTGCCATTTCTCTCCGCTCCAAGATAACTCAGGTCTCACGTAGTAAGTACGTTCGTGCTATGGCCGACCCTCTGTCATTGGCAGCCAGCATCGCTGGACTGCTATCCCTAGCCGATATTACTTTCAAGTATGTCTACAAGTTCGCCAAAGCCGCTAAGGACGCCAAGGACGATGTACAGACTCTTTCTGATCAGATTAATGACCTTGCTCGCGTGCTGCGTGTGCTTGAGGCACTCGCCGAGAGCCTAGAGGCCAACGGGGAGGGTTTCGACCCAGCCGTAAGAAATCATTACCTGGGACATTGTCAGAAAACACTTGAAAAGGTCCAGAAAAGGGTCAGCAAGGCCCTCGACAGCTTCAACAGTGGATCAAGACCTAAGAGCCTCGGCCGGCAAATCAAATGGCCGTTTTCCGCCTCGGAAACAACAGCCCTTCTCAATGAGATCTCCAGTCACAAGACCACCATCAACCTCGCGTTATCTGCAGACTCGATGCGGAAACTGCAGCTTTCGTTGTCCAAAACCGGCGAGTTGAGCAAGCAGGTTACAACAATTGAGAAGACGGTAAAGAGGATCGAGATCAACACCTTGGTTGAGGTGGACCGAAAGAAGCGGCGCATCCTCGACTTCTTCATGGCCATTAATCCACAGCCAAATCTGCAAACCAGTGTCAAACTTCGACATGCCTTGACAGGGCTGTGGCTGACTGAGTCTCCTGCCTTTGAGCATTGGCTACATACGCCTGGCTCCAAGCTCTGGCTGACTGGTATACCGGGAGCTGGCAAGACGGTTCTTGCGGGCTCGGTCATCCAGGAAGCACTAACACGCAGCCATGATGCTCCTGGGACGGGCGCCGCTTTCTTCTTCTGTGACTACAAGAATCCGTCGACTTGGAAAACGACTAAAATCCTCGGCGCTATCGCTTCTCAGCTAGCCTGCCAGAAAGAAGAGGCCTTTGTCATCCTTTGCGAGTACTATGACGAACTTCATCCACCCCAGGGTCTCCCAAGAACGCCTGACAGTGACGAGCTTCGGGCTAGGATTAGCCAAATGGCGAAACACTTTGGCCAGACACTTATCGTCATTGATGGACTTGATGAGTGCGGTGATGAAACGGAAGACGTGGTTGATATGTTGCGCGAGGTGGCAGACTACTCTGAAAGGGTGTCAATGGCCCTCTTCAGCCGTGACCACTTCAACATCCGCTTTCGCCTGGACCAAGACTTTGAAGTCGTTCATATCGCCGCGCATACCGAAGACGTACGGATGTTTGTCGGAGCCGAGCTGGATAATAGGATCAAAACCAGAAGACTACAGCTCAACGATATGAGTATGAAGTCTGAGATCGCTGACATCCTCGTCAACCGAGCCAAGGGCATGTATGTGGTCATGACTCCACAATTTTCAATTTGACTAACACCGAGTAGGTTTCGATGGGTGGTCTGTCAGCTGGACTATCTTTGCGACTGTGCCCATGATGAAGAGCGACGAGAAGCCCTGGAGAAGCTCCCTCCGGATCTGCCCGAGAGCTACCGTCGACTACTCGAGAGGATCAACAGAGCCTCTGATACAGTCCAATCCATGGTTCACATGTGTCTCAGCTTCATTGCTTTTGCTGAGCCAGATTTGACCATCCTCCAGCTGCGCCAGGCGGTTTCGACACCTTCCACTCTGGGTGCAACTCTGACCGAGAGAAACATGGTAACAGAGGAGGAGATCTTGAGGAGATGCAGCAGTCTCATCCGAAAATCCCAGGACGGCAACCGCCTGGAATTCGCTCACTTCACCGTCCAGGAATTTCTCGAAGACAGGGCGGCATTGGGTGATGGTCCTGGCATTGACCGATACTTGATCTCGAAGCAGAGCTCCGACTTGTTTCTGGCTACCCAATGCTTGAGATTTTTACAGATGAAAAACTTCGAAACGGAGATCACAGAGGGCGATATGAAACATTATTTGAATGATGACGACCTGGTCCGAATGAGGAACAAGCATTATCCCTTCTACCCGTACTCTGCCATCTTCTGGGTGTCTCTCACACAAGATGGACTCGACGACCCGACTTTGTTCAATCTTGCGACTTCGCTTTTTCATCCGTCCAAGACGCCTCATTTCACAAGCTGGTCACACGAGCTTGTAAGCACGTTAATGGGCTACGACGGGCGTAGCCCCAGGCTCGGCAGACGGTTCTTGAGAGTTACATCCGAGAGTAAACCTTCAAGCCCGAGCCAAAATGTGGCATGGAATCAGCGGGTTCTCGGCGCTGGCTTTAGACCGCTTCACATGGCGGCAGTGCTCAACATTCCGGAGATATGCAGTTGCCTCGTCAGCCAAGGAGTCGCGGTTAACTCTCGATGGGACAACATCAGACCTATCGACCTGGCGTTCTCTTCGGTATTCGTTTTCGATGAGGATTTTGCCGGTTCTCTTGAGTTATACAATCTCCGTTCACTCACCGATTTCCTTCCAGTGAGCAGACGGAGAAACCTAACTATCGAGAGTCTCATTCAACAAGGGGCCAGGCCATCTAACGACCTTCTCGGTCCGAAGAGGTATTCCATCTCTGCGATTACCGCTAAACTTGCAGTTTTCCTCGACGATGTCACTCCAATCTCCTACCTACTGTCTCTAGGGGTTGTCCCTGATGAGAGGGAGCTTTCCTTCTTCAGCGAATCCTTCAGCCAAATGGATAGCATTGATGCTGAGGCAAAGTCGTCAATGCTCTCACTCCTGAGGTACCTTGCTTCAGAATCAGTCTGTGCCGAGAAGTGGGCGAAGGAGCTTGGCTCTGAAGTGTCTCGCTGGTGTGTGGACGCAAAGCTCTCATTCTCTGAGCATGACCACATTTTTGACACTCGGCTGTTGACGGCCAGAGATGCTTTACCGGTACGAATGATGCAGGCTGTTATTGATGACGACGTCGAATTGGTCAAGCGTTACCTTGCTACCGGCGAAATCGACGTAGTGGCATGTCGCCACGATGGTGGATCACTACTACACCTAGCAGCCAGGAATGACGCTTGCGACGTCTTCGAACTCCTTACCGCCGCTGGTTGTGATCCTTACTGTGAGGATGTAAATGGTAGCTTGCCTATTCATGTACATCACTCCAAGTCTGGCATCCAGTTCTATGAGACTTTGAAGAGTCTCGGCATCTCTCTCTCAAACCCAGACTCAAAGGGAATGACAGCCTGGCACCATCTAGCCCAGGCCCGCGACATTGACGAGTGGCTCTTTTGTAAACTAATTCAACTCGATCCTGAAGGTACAGCCCGTGCCCTTCGGACAAGGACGCTTGCTGGCGAGACGCTGCTCTCAATCGTGTTGCGACCAAAGCCTCTCGACATATTCGATCTCAAGGCATGGGACTCTGTAGAAATGGACGAGTCTGATTATGATGAAGAAGAAGAGCCTGATGATGATGATGATGAAGACTATCAATCAGATGAATCCGACACCACGAGATCCAGTTCCGTCGTTTTGGGGTACAGTTCGTCTGGCTCATCCACCACCAGTTCGTCCCCTATTTTATCCAGATATAGGCACGGCATGAAGCGAGAGAAGGACAGGAGGGAACGTGTATTCTTCTCCCTCCTGGAAATATGCTCAGAACTTCCCGATTTCTGGTCAAACCACGGCCCAGTCATGGGCGCAGCGGCCAGCTTTGGCTCTGGAGAGGTCTTGCGTCGCCTGGTTGAGGTGGGCGCCGAGTTTGAGCCTGCCGTTGAAGGAACACGAACGCCACTGCATGAGCTATCGAGCTCGATGCCACTGCAGGGGGCACAGATTCTACGGGACGCATATCGCTACTCAATTGAGTACAGATTTCAAGGCCAGTTACCAGTCGAGATGTACATGATCAGAGTGCTGTGGGAGGAGCTGGCCCCAAACGTTGAGATCATCAAGATCCTGACACCCCCAGGCGCGACCCGCAACCAAGATGCTGAGGGCAAAACGCTCTGGGAATCCTTCGGTCGTCTGCCAAGCCAGATCAGCCCGAAAGGGCGTCAAAGGCTATTGACAAAGCTGGTAGACAAAGTTGTGATGACCATGGTTGGACTCGGGTCGATGCAAGTCTACGAGGAACGGAACCAAGTTTGTGGTATCAATTTGGTCCTTGATATGATTTCCCGACATGCACGGAAGAACAGGACTCAGTCATATTTTATTGCCGTCAACACGGTTCGCGAGATGTTGCGACAAACCCAGTACTGGGTATCGGCCAGAGACTCATCCTCGGTCCATCGTTTCCTCAAGATGGCCATCCATAATGGCGACTTGGAGATGACGCGACTCCTTCTCAAGCACGAAGTCAACGTCCATCGGTGGACCGATGGTACATCGCCCATCGAGGAAGCCTGCTGTCTCTCTTACCGTGACAAGACCAGAGACGAAAAACCCATGTTGCAGCTTCTTGTCGACTACTGCAAAAGCGACAAACTCAATCATGTGTCCCCTAAAGATAGTCTTGGACTCCTGCACAGACTCGTCCTGCGATCAGGCATCACCAATACTGTCTGGCTGATGGAATCTCTCATTCAACGAGGCGCTGACGTCAACGCTTTGACTGGCAATGGACGAGGAATGTCCGTCCTTGCTTTTCACTTGAAGAAGAAGTCTTTTCAGTGCGTCGAGTTACTCCTAAAGCAAGGAGCCGATCCGTGCCTTGGAGGTCAACCCAAGTCTCCGACTGCCCTCTCCATAGCGCTTGAATCAGATAATGTGGAATTTCTGAGGCAGGCACAGAAGTTGTCTATTACTGACTGGGGGAAGTCGATGGATGTTGTTGTGCGAAAGTTCTGCCTCAAAGACGCGAACGCACTACACCTTGCCTCAGCCAAAGGTAGCCTAGCATGTTTGAGGTTCCTTCTCAGTAACAATCTCATCAAGATCGAAGATTCCAGGTCAAGGGAGGGTTGGACTCCATTGCATGTCAGCGCTTATATGAGACTTGCCGAGATAACAGAGCTTCTCATCTCCAAAGGGTCCCATGTCATGGCGGAGAACGAACATGGCCAGACACCCTTGCACCTGGCTGCCTATGGAGCTTGCGTTTCTGTTGCGAAACTTTTGTGCAAAAATGGAGCATTCGAGTCATTGAATAACATGGGAGAGCGTCCCAGAGATTGTGCCCGTGGGATGAATTCGTCCGAATTCGTCCAGTTCCTCGAGAATTGGCAGGACGAGGTAGGGGGGGACAGGAGGCCATCATCTCGAAAACAAGATATGCGTCTTGCAGCAGCAATCGGCCAGGCTATTTCAGCCGGCGATAAGAAATACTGCCAGACCACGGTCACCAACGGCTGTCCGATTGATGTGACCGTGCCACGTAGTGGAGGGGCCACCCCCTTGATGCTGGCGTTGAGGCTCAACAGGTGGGAGATTGCAGAATGGTTCCTGCAGAAGAAGAAAGCAAGTCCCTTGAAGTCGGCTCAAAACCCGGACTGGAGTACGACGAGCATCATCGAGACTGCGGCTGCAAAGCCAAACTTCAACCCGCTTCTGAGCGCTGTTGTTCATCGTTACTACACCTGCGGTGGAGATTTAGTCAGTGGCTCCGACTTTCCTCTTCATCATGCCGCGTGGCATGGCAATGCCAGAGGGATTGAGATTATACTACAGGCATGGGAGAAGCTTGAAAGTGCTTCTCAGCGGTAAGATTCATGTTGTCGGAGTACAGCGGGTTTTGTGCTAATTTGCCGGGCATCTAGGAGGCCGTACCCTGACTCGACTTATCGGCAAGTCCTCCAAACCATCGTGAATCGCCAAAAACCAACAATGTTTCTTTTTACACACGCTAGCGGTCACGGAAATCAGCCTCGCATGGTAACACCGCTGCATGCCGCCTCGTGGCAAGGCAACAAAGTGGCTGCTTTAATACTCGTTAAATATGGCGCGGATGTCAACTGCGTTGACTGCAACGGCTGGACCCCCCTAATTTATGCGAGGACCGTCGACATGGTAAAGCATCTCATTACTCTAGGTGCTTCGCTGGCCATGGTCTGCAGAACCAATCCCCTCCCTTGGTTGATGTCTTTGTCTGGAACGGAGGAATCGTGTCTCGGTCTCATCCTCAAGCTGCCAAAGCAGTTGACGCTTAACCCACATCATCCAGTGATTTATGAGAATATATTCGTTACTCCCCGCCGCCTCACCGCGCTGAAACAGTTGGGATGCGACTTGACTCGGGAGGACGAGTGCGGCCGGAGTTTGATGCACTGCATCATCTGCGAGCACGAGACATCACAACTCGTGTTGGAAGGTAAATATGGACTGCTCCAAACAAGCCCGTTTCCCTGGCATTTGGATTGGCGATCCCTTGGCAAGATTGCCTTTCTCACCACGAGATTCCGCGACTTTCAACAAAAGGTGCCCAAGGAGATCTTCCAAGCACTATTGAACCTTGAGCCACAGCGTGGATGGAGCCCCCTTTGTCGTGCAGCGGCACTCAATTTGGTCAACATCATGGAAAACTGCCTGGAAATGGGCGCCAAAGTTGACTATGAAGGATGTCCCGTGGGCTCTGCCGTCATGTTTGCCAGCGTTTGCGGGAGCCTCGAAGCTGTCAAGTTGCTCGTCCGGCGAGGCGCCTCAATCTGCTACTTTGGGAAGAACGGCGCCACGAGTTGCCTCACGCTGGCAGGGACCGAAGCCGTCCGAGCTTGGCTTCTATCTGGTCGGTTCATGGATCAGCAGCGGATCACGGCTGAAGGAGGGCGCGGAGAAGATGCAATCAGGCTGTGGAGTGGTTTCGCTTTAGCTCGTGTGAAGATCTATGGGAAGGTGGAGAGATACCGACCAGAGTCCATGTTGGACTATGCAAAGAGGCTGGCGCAGATGAAAAAGGAGTTCAGGGGTCAACTTGTTCGCGCTGATGAGGTTTCATTGTCTGAAGATACTGGGGTAGATCTTTAGTCCTCGATGTGGATTTCTGTCATCTCTCCTATATATACCTACTAAAGATGTCTCAATTGAATACGAACCGAAATGTTCTTTCAGTCAACTACTTCCATGCCCCCCCCCTTCATCTATCTCATGGCTTTATCGAGCTCAGGTCAACAGTACAAGTATTCCACTTCCCTCCCCCAGCAGGAAAGCAAATCAGATTACGACCGAGAGCGTCAGACGCTTCGGCTCTCGCAATTATTGGAGCCTGCCCGCTTGGCATATAGAGTTCAAACTCCTTCCATCCCCACGGTGACCACTCATTCCGACCAAAAGCTCCAGGTACGGATTTAGCCCAGGCAAGCTGCAATTTACCCTTGTAGTCCGCCCATACCACTCCCGCCGCTGTGTTTGACGAGTGACCCAGGAAACACAGATCAGAGAGGGGATTCGCGCAACCTGGTGAAGCAATTCGGGTGATGGGGTCCCAACTACTTCCATAAAAGATCCAGTTGACATCTCCCGTGGAGCCAAGACAGAGGGACCCATCAGTCGATACCCAGAGCACGTAGGCCTTTGCATCCATTGGACCATTGCTGCCGGTTCCATTCCCAATAAACGCAGTTACCGAGGTACTGGGTGCCGCCCCAACATTACGATATGCGATGGCGGTCCCTGTTAAGGAAGGATTGGTTTCGCGGGATGGCGTGTACGAGCATGTCCCCATAAGGTCCCCGTTTGAGCGAATCCAGAAGAGATACGCTGCCTCGTCCTCCTTGCGAGAGTCATACATCCATGTAGTCGCCATTTGCGCCGGCCTCGAAAGTGAGGAGCTGACGTCGACACTGCCGGCTGGAAGAGAAGCCCCTGGCTCGAGATCGACCCATTGCTCCGAGTTGTCACCGTCAGGTACAGCTCGGCGCCCGAATATCTCTCCCCGTGGACCGATCCACCAGATGACGGGATTGCGTCGTGGTCGAGCCTCCCTGACTGGCACTTCACCGCAGGCAGCCAAGCACCCTCCGCCAAGCGTCGATGCACTGCCAGGAGGCGCAAGGACGCTGTAACTCCAATTTTCAGGTCCCATTCCCTCATTCTCTCGTGACCAGAGATTGACGCTACCGTCGTTGCCGATCCAAACAATCTTGAACCGTCGATCTTGGTGCATCTGGATCACGGCAAGGGCACCCGCTCCCGTGAGGTCAGGCTTGGACGCTGGGACATTGGGGCCAGCTTCTTCGTGTGCTGTTTCCTCTGAAGCGTTCCATCGGATTCCAGCGAGGCGTTTGCCATCTCTCCAGTACCACATGTCAGTCTTGAAACCCGCTGTCCCTGACTCGCTCCAGAAACGCATGCTCGCGAACCGGCTGGCGGAAAACGGGATAGCTGGATTGGGATCCTTCAGATCTGTCGTCACAGCCATGCCGTTTTCTGTTACCTCTGGCTTTGAAGTGAGAGTTGCCACCCACTCGGCCGCAGTTCCACTGATCGAGGTGTTCTCCACCGTGATGGTCACCTTGACTTTAAGCCCCAAGCTTCCATTCCCGTATTCTTCGAGTTCCTTGTCCCAGAAGCGGACAATCTCTTTTTCATCGTCTTTTGGCTCGCGAACGAGTGGCGCTTTTGATTCTTCCAGTCGGCTAATTATGGCAATCTCGTGTTTAAGGGGCACATGTTCGGTGCTGGGCGGCGGTGGCCATATTATCGACACGTGGCCCTTGGCCCAATAATAGGAGAATGAGCCTTGGAGGTATTCTCTGCTTGGGACCTGTCGGAACACAAATGGCACCGAGTCTGGGCCTAGCATGTGCCCATTGTCAGGGGAAACGATTGTTACTCTCGTCTCGCGAGGTATAAAATATCCGAGCTTAGAGATGACCTTGTCGAAGGAATACGGGTAGCTTTGGTATTCCTCATTATACTCTGGTTTGCTCGGAAGCTCAAAGGTCTCCTTGAACGGCTTGCCGGCACCTTGTCGTGTGACGATAAGGCGGGCTTTGGATCCCGAGGGAGGGACACGAGACAAGAAGAAGAGGAGGTGGAGAGTCTGTGTGTTCAGGTTGAACGTGATCTTCTCGTCCCCAAGGGTGGGAATGCTGGCGGTTCGGATTGTCAGCTGGGTTGTCCGTACACTGGTCTGTCCGCCAGGGCTGCTTGGCTGCCACAGCACGTCGAATCGTGCATTCCTCGATGGCCCAACAGGCCAATCAGTAGTAGAGTCCGACTTGGGTAGAAGGAAAGTGACGCCTCGTAGAATGAACGATGTCTTTAACGACGTCGACTGAGAAGCAACCAGGCCTTCAAACCGTGGCTTGATTTTGATGATGAGCATGACGAGTTTCCCAGCCTCCATAGGGACAGGCTCGCCCTCATCAGGGAGCGCTTCCGGGATGAAAGAGTAGAGGCTCGACGTTGCGAGCTTGGGAGTATGAGACCACCACTGACTGGGGCTTAGATCCTCTAGGGCAGGCAATATCGGCTGATCTCCAGTGCCTTGGATCACAAGCACACCGCGACCTCCATTTTTGACGCCGGGAGGGTATAACCCTGAGCTCAGGGCGACGGGTATGCGAAGTTCCACCTCGGCTGGAAGGCCACTGGACTCTTCGGTGCTGATGTTGAAGATGAGATCAGTCGGCGTCTCTGGGGCATAAATCACGTTGCTGGTGTCTCCTGGCTCATAGCAAAGGCAACAGTTGACATGTAGAGGAGTCGCTGAGTATGGGAGTGGGCTTCTGGACTCAAGCTCGTGAAGTGTTTGAGACGTTTCCTCCATGACCCTCCTCACCTCAAAGTCATACGGAGAGATGGGAGGGCGAACTTGACGTCTTGGGCCAGTTGGAAAAGCGGAATTGCCACTGGGAAGGGCTCGAACGACAGGCTTAGGAGTTCCCGACTCTTTTTCAGACGTCTCGTTGCCTGGTTCCGGCCTCGATCCTGTGGAAAGGTTGAATGCTGCTTTTGTCCACCGATCTGAATTTGAAACAGCATGGCTTTGATCATCCTTCACCTTCAGGTCCAGTCGCAAATTGTAGGTCCTAAGCTGTGTGGCAAGCAGCGACGATGACTCAGACGCTTCCGTGTAAGCGCCCTCAATACCCTTGATAGCCTCATGGTAAAGGCTCATGTACGCTTTTGGCCGTAGCATGTGAGCTGTGAAGTCGAAACCAAGAACTGGTTCAGTATCTTCGAAAGTCTTGCCAACCGCGGTGCCAACATTTGGGCCTGCCTTTTTCGGCAGTGGGCGATGGAACACCTGCAGTTTGTGTTCCGACAGGGTTGAGCCAAGACAGAAGCCCTGCTGATGATGTGGCTGACTGATACGGATGTAGCTGAACTCTGCTTCGCCTGGGAGGCGATCGAACAGGCACACTAGGATGTCCTCAGCCAAGACTTGCATGTATTGAACTTGACGGGCATTTTCAGGTGCCCCTTTCGGAAGTGGTGCCTCTACTTTGAGGTCTGGAAACGCACTGACAGCAGTGCTGCGCATGAGGAACCCCCAACGTGGCAGCTGAGGAATAGTTCCACCATCCATGGGAGTGTTGAGATACGTGTTGATGCATCCCTTGAAGGATCTTCGGATAGCGTCGTCATCACGTGCAAAGTGGTTCGCGAGACTCAGTCCGCCGTCGACGAGCCAGTCAATCCAGATATTGTCGACGCAAAAGGTCCGGATGGACTCTTCAGGAAGCATTGCTGGGTCAAGAATGAGGCTGTGCATTGGAACACCGGCAAGGAGGAAACGATCGACAGCCCAGGCGCGGATGGTAGCTGCGTCAGGGTCGATCTGGCGTACTGGGACAGGGTTTCCCTCTGCGTCTTTGGACTCGTAGCCAAACATGTGCAGGGTGACCTGGTTGACTTCTTTCTCATAGTCGGCGATGGAGTAGGAAGTGTCGTTTGATAACCGCATGATGGGAAGATTGGAATTGTCGGGGCGAGCCCATCGATCTACAGCGATTTTCCCATTGTTAAGACCACTTATGTTTTGGGCGTCCTTCAGATGGTTGACTGCGTCTTCCAAGCCAATAAGATAAGTCTCCCTGCTGCTGAGGATGTCGTAGCCCTTTTGGGAGAGGGCCTTTGCCTTTGCTCGGCGAACGGCCTCGGCGTGGATGTTGCCCCTTAGACGAAGTAGACTTGCGCTCACAGCTCGGTCAGCCATCATCATGGATCGACCAAGTGTCCACGCTGACTTGTAAGAGACGTCTGGAATCTCCGTCTCCTTGTCGAACCGCGCAAGGCCCTCACCATAGAGTGAAAAGGCATTAGGCGGGTCCTCGCTTGGTGCAACGGGGATCAGCGGACCTCGTATCAGAACATTGGTCTGCGCTCCTGTAAGGTCTGTATGCGCCTTCAGGACATAGCCCTCGTCAGCTCTGGCTTTTGACCAAACTAATGCTTCAGAAGATCCTGCTTTGACTTGGTCGCTAACGGGACCGACGAGAGAATGAATAGTCTTGCCCAAGTGTATCATAATCTCACCAAAGTCGTCTGCACCATCTGGAACGGCATTCCACTCCCATGAGTGCAGAGATACCAAGCCAACATACTGGCCGGTGACATCGTCGGCTGAGACTGCGATCTTGTCGACGTCCTCAAGTGAGATGAGATGAGAGACGACACGCGTTGGTGCCGATATCCCTGGGGGTCCCGTCCGAGGACTGACAACGATGGAGAAGTGCGGTTTATTCGCCTCGCCGCCGTCGTCGTCTGCGAAAGAGCTCGCCGTGAAACCACTACCGCTATCTTGCGTCGATGCCATGAATGCGAATTTTGACAAGTCGGCTTTCCCGTTCCAGACTGGCTGGTTGTCGCCGTTGTACGCCGTGAAGACTTTCTTGAATATCTTCAAGTCGAGAACCAGCAGGGATAGGTGATCATCGAGATTAAAGTCATTGCTTGCCCCTGGTGCATTTAGGACTGACTTGATTGGAAAATCAGATTTGGTGGGTCTAGACGCTGAGGTGACGACAGAGCCATACTCTGTTGACAACTCATAGTCTTCGATGAACCCAAAGCCCTTGTATGCCTCCGGCTCCAAGATCAACTCTTCGTCCGAAAAGGTCAAGACAGCCATGTATGGCAGCTTGTTGGAGCCAAGATCTTTCTTAAGGTTTTCCTCAAGGGGGATTTCCCGCTCCCAGGGAGTCGTGGGTTGGCTGAAAACCACATTGGCCAGCGTCCGCGCATGAGCGCTGTGCCCAGGAGCTGGATGGACGCTGTATAAGTCGGCAGGGTCCGGCAGCCGGAATTTGGGCAGCGGGACATGAAGGGTCTTTTTCGTCTGGTCAAGATTGACAGTCTCTCCGCTGGGGAGAGTGACTTCTTGAGAGACGGATACTTCATAGTTTCCGGCACTCAAGGCGGGTAGCTGGTATGACCACAGCTGGAGTTCATTGGCAGATGGTGGATTATCAGACTCGAGCGAGGCGGCCAACTTGGCCTCCTTCGCGAGGTGGTTGAAAGCCGGGCGAAGATGGTTACGTGAATAAGACTTCATGTTCTGACTGTTGCGTTTGACTGTTGAGAAAGAACACCAAGGAAGGTTCACCAGGACTGAGAGATCAGGACTTGTTCAAAAAGCTGCACAAGGCCAGGGGGCGGGGGCCTCGGAGCAACACAACAGAAATAATACAGCCATAAAAGGCGAGGGGTTGGTCCTTGTGTTCTAGACGGACGCACTCAGGGATCGGGCCGCCCGGCAGGGTCCACGCGTCTATACTAGTCTCCGTTGCGGGAACGCCAGCCGCACCGAGCTATCGATGCAAGTTGTCACTAGTTTCTTGATACGACACTGTGCAGAAGTGAAAGCGACACTGTCTATCTTGGCCGCATTATCTAGACCATCAGATGGCATAGTTGAGTTCTCCTGCCATCTACTGGAGAGCTGACAGACTTGCCGTATTCTCCAAATTATTTGACTTATTCACTGACCATGGCGTCTCAAGCTGCAGTTCCCCCAGCGCAAAAGAACTTTACAGTCGTCGTGCCCATGGCCGTTCAGGCCTTAGTCGTTGCACAAGACTTTGCCTCAACAGCTGCTCAGTTTGCCCCCCTCATCGAGCCCGACTATGCAACTATTCTACAGCATGCCCAGGCTGGGGCTCCAACCCATGATCTCATGGATGACCTTGACCTCTCGTACTGGCGTATGCAGGCACGATACAGCACTCGCTTCATCGACCCCAGTACAGGACAGCTTCGTTCGGATCGTTGCGGTGTCTATCTGTCTTGGTGTCTACCACGACTCTATCGTGCCGCCATCACGGCGACTGACAGCGCAACGGATGCAACGGCAGGCTTGCGAGGCGATGGCAAGCAGCAATGGGACTCTCGTAAGGCTCGCGCAGGCTTCAAATGCAGCGACGTCTCTGGAACCCAGGCTGCAAACGACAAGAGTGTGCAGTTTCGCCCTGCGCCAGATCGCTGGATCGTCATCCGTCAGGTCCGTGGCAAGCCCAGCCTGACCAAGTATGTCCTGGTCGAGAGCAACTGTATCCGCAGGCTCCACCACCTGGATATAGCTGAGGACTTTGAGTCTGCGACTTGCCCAGCCATGGACCCCTCGAGGCCCATGGAAGACCAGCCTCTTTTGCGAATGGGACGGGCTAGGCCACTGGCGCAGATGAATACCATGACGGAAGGACGTGAATACCGCGCCCCCTTTAATTCTTTTGAGCTGGGGCATGAGTACTTTGCCGACTACGCACCGCACAACATGGGTGTCTTTTCGTATTTCGATAACCTCGAAGGCATCGACGCCGAGGTGGTTGACTACTCTGTCATTGGCTTTCACTCCTCAGCCAAGGACTCGGATCCTCTCACCTTTGTCGACTCCCACAGACTTATCCCGGATGGCCCGCGAGCGTGCGAAAGTGGTGAGGTTGAGTCAGAGCTGCTGAGCAACAAGGAGCTTCTCGACGCTCTCCACCTCAAGCTCAGCCAGGATACACCCGCTGCTACCAACTTTGAACGTGCATCTGCCAGTATAGCAGGGCGCACCCTCACCCAGGGAATCTTGCGCAACGTCAGATGGAGCCGGATGGACTCTAGAGGCATGCGCTGGCCAGCTGCCTTGTTGCAAGGGGATGTATATGCAGAGCAACCTATTTCCGTAGGCGTGCACATGCTGGACGCTCTGGAAACCTACCTACACTTTGCCATGAGTGGTAACCAGGCGGCCCAGGCTACGGCACAATCGGCATTATCCCAACTGGTCATGCGCATCATGGCGGAGAAGGACGACCCTGACTCGCTGAGAAAGGCTGCCGAGGAAGCCGCGTTGCAGTCGTTCCTAGCAAGACCTCAAGGCATTGCCTGGGTGCTACCCAAGGACGACAAGAACAAGACAGAAACTATCTCCAAAGATGCCGCGAAAGATCTTGTCCCCAAGTTGAAGATTCTCAACCAAGGACAGGCAACCTTGGACACTTGCGCGCGAGAAGCCGAACAGCTCATGCAGAATCTATATGCCTGTTGGTGGAACGCAGCCAGTCTTCGAAAGGTGCCGTTGGAGGAGCAGCAGCCCGCAAGAGACAAGATCCGAACAGAGGCTCGCAAGGTTGTAGCCCGTCTAAGAGAGCTAGCCGGGTATATTGAAATCAACCAGACGGTAGTAGACTCCGCAAGGGAAGGTCTCGAGAAACTCATCGGCAACAAGAAACTCGAGGCGATTCCCACAAATCCATTTGGTCAGCATCAAGATCCCACCGTTTTGATGGCCGGTGCCAAGTCTGGATGGCCTGACAAATTCAACGAGACCTTGCCAGTGCGGTTGGCCTCTCAGATATCCCCGGATGCTTCTAGTGTGGTTGCGCCAGATGAAGGGTGGCTTGAGACCGAGTTCAAGGACATCTCAAGGCCTGTCGTCTCTTTATTGCGGGAGCTCGAGGCCCCTTCGCCAAAGGGTGTGCTGAATCCCTACGAATCTGTCGAGGACATGAACAACACGCAAGGATGGTTTCCACTGTTCCTGGAATGGGAGCTGGAGTACTACCACGTACCCTTTAACAAGTGGGAATTTGAGAATGACAAAGACACGGGCCGATGGCGTTATGTTATCCCCACCGATGGCCAGCTCTTGCTACACATGGATGACGCTGTGGGCGAAGACATGCGCATCATATCCGGCCGTTCATCGTTTCTTCCTGAGACAGGCAAGTCCCTGGGAACAAGGATCGAACAGCTGCTCTCCCAATCAGCACAGTCGGAGCAGGACAAGAAAAGCCTTAAAGAGACGCTCCAAGAGGCTACTAGACTCGAATACTTCGCTGCCGATCTCTCCGGACTTGCTGAGCATCTCACCACGAGGCGAAGGGGTCATCATCCCCGGCCAAAGGCAGGAGATGGTAGCGGTATCGAAAAGGTCCTCGGCATTGACCCTCAAGACTTGCAGCAGTTGGAAATAAACGGGCCATCAAACTTGGCTCCGTACGGAATCTCGACACCTCTTGATCCGTCATATACAGACAAATTCAGCCCCTTCAAGCCTGTGACGCATGGTCAGGCACGCTTCACCAAGTTTGCCATCGTCGATAAGTTTGGGCAGGTTGTATCTGGTATCCGTCTAGGTCCCAATGGTGATGGAGCCATGTACCCATGCATCTCGCCCAGTCTCGCGTGTGGCACGATCCCTGCGGTTCAGAAGAAGGAGTCCGAGTATTGGCCAAACACAGTTGTTGAGGCTGAGAGAGAACACGGGCGATGCCAATTCTTCCAGATTCCGCCACGCATCAACCAACCGGCGGGATTGAACGCACACTTCCTGGAACCTCTCTCTGATGCCCAATTCAGGAGCTCAGGAACACCTGTCAGGAACATTGCCAGCGAGTGGGACAACCCGATCTGGGCATGGGTATTGCCAAACTTCCACAATCATAGCGTCCAAGTCTATGGCCCATCGGGAGACTTTGTCATCGAGATGATTATTATTACCGAGAAGGAGACAGTGACCGCATCAGATGGGCCCAGCGATGAAATCAAGCATCCCGCTGCCTCTGGCCGACTGCGTGTCCTTGTTGATGCCATCCGGGATTACAAGCTATGCTCATCTCTCTTTGACATGCTCACTGGCGCAAGCGACAGTGTGTTGGCCACAGGTACCAGCTTTGATAGCGCCCTACCAGCTGCCCTCGGTCGTCCTTTCTGCATCGCTGACGTGGGCGTCTCGATTGAGCTCAGTTCGCCACCACTGGAGGATGCTTCTCTATTGTCCTCGGCATCACCAGAGCTCATGTTGGGCAACTATGAGTTCCCCGTCGCGTTAGGGAATCACACGGCAGCTTTTGACGGCCTAGTTGGCACCTTTCCCACATCTGGGGATATTGACAAGATTGCTTCGGCGTATACCCATGATAGTGGGCAGCTAACAGGGTCCAGTCCCAGCATCGTAAAGAAGCGACGCCCTATGAGTGAGCACCCACAGCCCTTGCGTCTCAAGCCTTATTTCCTCCCTGGAACTCTGGGGGGTGACCTCGACGCGGAACACCGCAAGCGGTTGAGTGTCGTCAGCACCATCATCGACCCCAAGACGCCAATGCACATCTACTCGGGGTCGCTATTTCCGGTGGCCTCGCTACCACTACCGCGCTGGCCCGTCGACGAGGCTCTGAGGAAGCTACGCGCCTTCTTCGCAGTTGGACCGATCTTGGTGCCAGCGAAGCCGGAGCACAACGAAGCACGCATCATGGTTCTGGACCCTAATGGAGAGAACCTCGGGCCGACGATCCAGATGCCTCTGGGTGGTGGGGAGGGTGCAAATGCCTGGCAATGGTTGCAGCCTTCAAAGGAAAGCATTGGGAATAGGGAGACGAAGTGGTCTAAGGTGGCCATCATGCCGTTGGACGAGAAGCTAAAGACAGATGCTGCTGATCAGAGCCAGTTGGTCGAGGGTTATATTGTAGTGAAGAGTGGTTAAGGATGTTAGACGTGGAGGGGGCACGTGATCTGGGTTATGTATCTCCACCAACCTACCTCGAACTTCGCGACTGCAGCTAGCTTCTTCATCATCACCGCAATACATCACACTCTTCGCTCTTCCTGCCGCACCAGGACCAGACTTCCTGTATCACAAGACGGTTACAAGGAGCCCACAGTCCAGGGTGGCCAGCAACCCATGTCCAATAGTGCCAAACGCCGGGAACAACTGCGCGCGCACAGTGCGGGTCATCGGCTCGTAGACCTCTTTCTATCAGCTGAACTTATATCACAGAATAGTCTCATGCACAAGCCAATAGTCCCGGTGACAAGATGCACGGTCTTCCCGTTCAGGAGCTGATGGAGTTCCGTCATTTGCCTGCCGTTACGAATGCCTATGAAGGACAAAGGACCTAAACTTACTAAGGGCCCTCTAACCGTTCAAGCACTGTCAAACCTCCCACCATCACCAATCTCCACCACGAATTGCTTTCGGACGTATACTCATTTCCTCCACCCTGGCCCTTCAACATGCCGTACGAGGACTACGACGTCCTGTCCTATTTCATCAATGTGGGCGCAGGCGACTCGGCCATCCATATCCTCCGGCAACGGAAGACGAAGGAAGTTGAAGCGGCTGTCTTGATTGACGGCGGCAGATCAACATCCGCGAGCTTTGTCGCAGGAGCCATTGCCAGCATACGCGCCGAGTTGAACAGTAAATTTTCATTCACGTCTATTGTTGTCACTCACTGGGACTTGGATCATTTCGAGGGCCTCATGAAACTGCTGTACAATCAATGGAAGACGCCTCAGCAGCCCGATTCGATCACGCCATACATCAAGTTTAATTCCACCACCTTTTACTGTCCATGGAAGGATGTTATTACCCTCGGGAGCATTAATGACAATATGAAGGTCCAAGAAGACGAAGCAGGGGAATGCTACTGGCTATTCTTCCGGCTTTCCTCAACTTCTGAGTGGCACCCCGTCTGTCGCGCTGTTGTGAGCACGTACGCCATGGGCTACGATCTATTTACCCGCTACGATCACACAAAGAAGACCTTGACGCCGCCATCCATTTGGCCATCATCCCTGAGCCAAATCTACTCCTACGCTCCAAACCTCGTGGCTTTTCAAAGGCCAATATTTCTCGTCTATGGGGTTGACGGTCTTTCTTTTAGAGATGACAACAACCTGTGGACTGCTCCGAGCGCGCCAACAAAACTTTCAAAGAACGACTCATCCATCATGGCGTTGGTCATCTGGCCCGAGAGAGATGCAGCTAAACCAATGCGTGTGTCGTTGTATACCGGCGGGGACGTTGAACAAGATCCTATGGAAGATGGCTTGGTAAAATGGCTGGAGGCAGATTCAGGAAAATTGAAGCTTGATGTGGTAAAGGCCAGCCACCACGGCTCTCACTATTCAACAAGCGAGAAGCTTCTCATGCAGGACCTGCAGTATCTCGTCATCTCGGCTGGAAGCCAGCATGGACACCCAAGTGAGTAATTATGAAGCATATACGACACACCCGAACAAGCAAGGAAACTAACGGCTCCAGGTTTCGCTGTGGTGTACTGCTTTCTTGCACTGGCCTATTTAGCCGAACAACGAAACGTCAAGCGGGGGAACTATTCACACCCTGTCATGGTCTGTACCAGGCATCCTTACTGGTTGGTCTGGCACCCAAGTTACCTCAATGCAAAAGACTGCAACCCGGCAACTGTAATGGGCTGGGGGTTATCAGCTCTGGCCATTCACAGGAACTTCCGCGAGCTCAACAAAACAACCAATGACAACTTTCTTCCAACTTTCATGGAAAAAAACTACAAAGATGCCTTTCCTAGCGCCACGGCTTATGCTTACCTCAGTTTCTTTTCGGATGAGAAAAAAACTCGAGAAGATTTCAAGAAGGTAGTCAATGAGGACAAGGACCATCCCTTACGAGAAGAACTTGAGGCTGTTCTGGCTCAGCCGCCACAGGAAAAAGACGTGGTTTATCTAGCAAAGGCGATTGAAAAGATCCAAAGGTCAACGCAGACCAAGGTGCAAGGCTTCCTCGAACCAGGCGCAGATGATTTCAGGGAGGTGTCATGGATCACACTCATAGCGAGTGGCAACAGGAGTGCTATTTTCAGACCCGTGCGACAGCACATCGGAGACTCTGTTATTAAACAGGTTGCAGACACTACCAAGACCTTCGCTGGTGAGGGTGGTATGGTGATAGAGAGTACTGCTTCGCCCAAGACGAACGCGACGCTCTGGCACTACTCTACAGTCGCCGTCAACACAAACAAACTAACACGGGGTTTTGATAATCCACTCAAACAGCAAAAGCCCAATTCCGCTGTTTTGTCGATGAAGTCTACGGCGGCGCCACCTGGGTTTTCCTCCGTCGAGGAGTGGATTGGCTCTATCCTTCTGAGAGGCCTGCTGGATGAGAGAGCTGCTTTCGACCAGGTGCTGGGAGACAACGAGTCCGTCTGCGCCAGGTGGTTCGGTGAGTGCTTCAACAAAAGCGTCTCCCTTGGACTGGCTGGAACGCGGGACCAGGAAAGGGTCTTGCTCGAGCGGGCGTATATTCGACTCGCGCCTAGCAAGGACGGCGACGCCTTGACCTTTTCAACAAGCGAGCCAGCTCGGATCTCGCAATTTGGGACCGAGGCCGGGACTCACCAGACACTACTCGGATTTGATGCCAACGTTGAGGGCGTGCTTTTCGCGCTTGATAGCTTTCGCCCGCTCACCTTGACGCAGTTGGCCGAAATTATCAACTTTCCCCTCTCTGGCAACACCCTAGTGTCCAAGTTTCTTGACAAAATCGAACTGTCCTGCTATGAAGGATCTCGTTCAGGTATCTGGTTTATTCCTCAGTTCTACTCTCGCACCATCATGCGCCTGGCTTTGAAACCCAAGGATCGTGGTGGGATAGAGGATCTGCAAAAGGTCTTGGGGGAGAGAATTGGTTCAGTTCAGCTTTCAGATCCCGTTGTCGTTGGGACTTGCGCCATCGAGAGGTTAGACTCCAAAAAACGTGAGTCGTTGACCAAGCTGGGCTTGCAAGTCGGGATGAAGTGGGTGAAGTCCAGCTGCTCTCCACCAGCATTCGAGGGCAACGCATCTCTCGAGTTTTCTAGTACCGGTGTTGAGCTTGTCTTCAAGCCTGTCAAAAGCGATAATCTTCTGGAGAGCCTGCTGAGCTGGGCTGAGGAAGTCATGGGTGGGAAAAGTGACCAGAACCTGCAGGAAGGCGAGCCATCTCAGCCTCCCCTAAAGGACCACTTGACCACAGCGCTGGGTGCTGCTAGCTTTTCCATTCACCGAGTCTCGGTTGCTTTCGACAAGGACATGAAGCCCCGTTCTCTCGAAATCTCCGTTGAGGTTGACGCACACTTCTTGCGCAACTCGACAACTCCGTTTCTTGTCACTATTCGTTGGAACAATGGAGCCTTTCAGGTGTCGGGCGAGACTTGGCCAGTACCACTTTTTGGAGACCCTTCTTCATTGAGGCTACATCCATTCTACGAAGAGAATGCCCTGACGATGCCTACTGCACTCGATCCTGTCTACGAAATCCCAATCGAAAGCCTGCTCCATCTGCCCGAAGGCGCGCACATGCCACCCGGCTTGCCAAACAAGGTCACTGAGTTTCGAGCGAGGATGAGCTTCGGCCATGGTCAAACAAAAGCCTCATTTTCTGCCGTCCTCAAGTGTGACATGTCCCAGGCGAAAGCTCCAGATGAGACTGCTGCTCCGCTTCTAAATCTTGAAACAGTATATCTAGACCTAGAGGTCGGGTTTCCACCCAAAAGTGGTAGCAAGCTTGACCTTGACATTCGTCTCGATGGTCAATTGACACTCTCTCTCCCACCAAGATTCGACCCCTCGAGCGTGCCGGAGCCATCTGAGTCACCCATAGACTTTGGCATCTCGCGACAGAGGAAAAGTGAAAGATATGAGTGGCTGGCGTCAGCAAGCATCAAGCAACTCAGAGTGGCGCACCTCTACCAACTGTTTGCCCCTGACGGGTCCAATAATGCACTTTTGGATGTCATGGGTGGGATTTACGTGGACTTTGCCAGTATTCAGCATCGATATGACAAAAGCACCTCGTTAGACATTCATGGAAAACTGCGCCTGGGCCAGCCGGAGTCTGGCCATGCAGTAGAGCTTAAATTCGACTACGAGCACCATGCCGAGGGCAAAAGCTGGACCTTCGAAGCTCATCTACACCCCGAGCCCAGCAAGGTTACGCTCGGAATTGCTAGTCTTCTTGGCGATCTAGTAGATGTGGACGAGTTGCCGGGCTTCCTACGCAATCTCCAAGTTCCTCTCAACGAGCTGAAGGTCGACCTCGAATGCAGCAAGAAAACGGACGGCGACAACAATTCCCATGTCGTCTTCTCGCTCATCATCACAGTCGGTAAATTTGTCCTCACGCTCGCCCAGGTCCGATCAGTGGCAGCGGCCAAGCAGAGTGCTGCAGTTGCACGAGAGAGTGACGGTCGTGTATCAGGTACGACTGACGATGCTGGGCCAGCTCGGTTGATACGGTTCACGCTTCCCAGCGTCCGCAAGGTTCCACATATGCCGATCGTTGGCGCGATTGAGCAGCCCTTTGATCACCTTGGCATCGTGTGGACGAATCGTGATTTGACCATCGCCGAGGTCAAGCTTTTCAATCAAGAGGTCTTCAAGACTGAATCATTGTTGAGCAAGAACAAGTCAGGGGATGCGGAGCCTATGCTACGTGGCATACACTTCCAGATTGCCATGAACCAGGGTGGAAAGCATAGACTAGTTCTGGACCACGTTGTTGCCAAGAAACGCAAGAAGAAGGGTCCCAAGAGATCAGACAACGGTGGACTCCAAGACGGAGAGGATCTCTCCCTCGCCGAGTCGGACCAAGCCTCTGGTGGAAAGACAGTCGCACCCATGTCAAAGACTCTTGGTCCCCTGAGCGTTAGCAGCATTGGAGTTTCCGTCTCCGGACAGTCATTCAGCAACATCGTTGTCTCCTTCGATGCGGGCCTCACCCTCGGACCAGTCAATATCAAGCTTCTGGGCCTCACCCTCGCGGTCGAATTGGAAAAGGTTACTAGCCTGGATAAACTCGGAGATTTGTCCTTTTTGGTCGGCTTAGGGGGCATGGCCATCGATTTTGAAAAGTCACCTACTCGACTAGCTGGCATGTTTGTCCCCTTCGGCTCCCGCAAAGACAGAGAGGCTGGTTTCATGGGTGCCATCGCCGTTTCGGTTGCCAAGTGGTCTGCCATCGCAGCCGGTATGTACCTCGAGACCAACCCAGAGCACGAGACCAAACCAGACCCCATGAAGTCGCTCTTTGTCTTTGGCACGTTGCGCGGAACCCTCTTCACGGTGGGCAGTTTCGATATCAATAGCCTCACGGGCGGGTTCGGCTACAACTCGACACTGAGGTTGCCGTCTGTGTCTCAGGTTGCTGATTTCCCATTTATTGCCATGAACAGCAAGGATTCAGTACCCCCAGACTCTTTGATGACACATCTCACAACTCTAAGTAGTGCTGAAGAGGGCAAGACCAAATGGCTAACGATGCCTTCCACCGATATGTGGATGGTCGCTGGTGTTGGATTCAAGGCCTTCCAGACAGTGGATGCCCAGGCCCTCGTTGCTCTCACACTGGCTGATGAGCCCAAGTTTGCCGTCATGGCTCAGGCCACTGCGATATTCCCCAAGGGCAAGTCTCTAGACCGCGCCTTTCTCGTCCTAGACATTGTCATCAGTGCCGAGATCGACCCGCATCACGGCAATCTCTTGATCGCAGGCGAGCTGACGCCCAAGTCGTTTATCCTCAACAAGTCATGTCGCTTGACTGGTGGTTTCGCTTGTCAGATCTTTCTCGCAGGTTCTCCATACGAGGGAGACTTTGTCTTTACTGTCGGTGGCTACCACAACCAATACTCGGTGCCGTCTCACTATCCAGCAGCTCCATCGCGAGTTGCCATCGACTGGAGATACGACAACGATATCTACATCTCGGGCGCAGCATACTTTGCAATCACCCCTCAAGTCGCCATGGGCGGTGGAAGGACGGATTTGGTTGTCAACAAGGGCTGGGTTCGAGCAACCTTTAGCGCCTGGGCCGACTTCTTCATGCACTACCACCCCTTCAGCTTTATCGCTGAAGTCGGCATCTGTCTTTGGGCCGAGGTCAACATACCGGCCTTACTCTGCACTATTCATCTCGGACCGAAGGAGTTTTCTGCTCGTCTTGGCATCCAAGGGCCTCCGATGGCTGGATACGTTCACTTGCATTTCTGGAAGTATGATACCATCGTCGCGTTCGGTCCTATGTCGTCGAGACCACCTCCTCTGTCGTGGGAACCGTTCTTGAACCTAGTCAAGAACCTGCCTGCTGAGCCCCGCGAATCTGAGGCTAAAAATGTACCAAACCACATCATCACCATCACAAAGGGCGCCTTGCCCGTCCACGAGAGCGCCCGCCCAGGTTTCCAGGACAAAGAATCGGCCAAAGTCGAGATTCGTGCCACACATCTTGAGTTCCAAGTTCAAGCACGTGTTCCAATGCTTAGTGCTACGATTGGGAAAAATGACAGATTCGAAACCAGCAGCTCATCCTCGCTATTTGTGCGTCCGATGCAGCACAGTGAAGCCATCGGAAACTCACACCTAAAAGTCACATTGAAACACGAAGGCTCAGATGACGCATCTCAACCCAAACTGCAATTGCAGAATACGGTCACGAAGAAGGTCGCGCCGGCTTTGTGGGGTCGATACAGGAATGGTGAATCTCCCTCTGCCGTTGTCTCGGAGGAGATGCCAGAACACACAATGGCCTTGGATATCTCTGTGGAGCCACAATCCCCGTCCGATGAGGGGCTGCCGGCTGTCGATGTGTTCCACTTCGCCACGACTGATTTGGAACCGGGTACGATCCCTGTTGTTCCAAAGCCTGGGAAGATGAGTGTCAAGGTTCAAGCCGTAGAGATGGAACCAAGAGGACACGCACATATGCTGAACATTGAAGCCGTGGAAGAGAAAGAGGACAAGCGAGCACAGTGGATTAAGGATTTGATCAGAGTATAAGAATTGCCAGGCGCCCACGAGACAGACAAGCCGGTTTGGTTCGGTCGTTTGCGTGGTTGTGTAAGGATAGAATAGCTAGATAGATAAGATCCGATCTGTCCTTTGTTTTAGACCAGAAATGCGCTCAACCCAACAATCGTTCCTGCAAACGCAAGCAGCGAACAGTAGTAATCAAGAATTCCCCATTCAATGACAAGTTTCTTCAAATCTTTTGCCCCTTCAGACGGCTTGGTGGCGGTACCATTAATTTCTCCCAGCCGATCGTTTATGGCTTCATTGAATGGATAGGAAGAGATAATGGTGAAGATCTCCAAGATTGAGTTCTTTCAAGCATCCATCACACACTGAAGGGAGACTGTGAAGAGAAGTGGATATCTGACCCTCCGGTTCTGCTTCCGCCCAATGCTATCCCTATCGGACGCGTAAACACATCGTTACAACTCCAGCTGTTGGTATATGATACTCACCAGTCCGAATTGCCATGTCGAGAGTAGGTCCAGGGCCTGCTGAAGGGGAAAGTCCTCATGACGTCTAAAAGAAAATGACCCGGCACAAATAGCTATCGTTCTGAGAAGTCCAGGGAAAGGCAAATTATTTGGGTATCAAAGGTGGTGACGCGTCGACCCGGCCGGAGCTCAAGGTCTCTACACTGCTTTTGCTTTTCATGTTCCTCTTCTGGTTTACCATGCTGGACCAAGCCAAGGCCAGCAGTGCCAATTATTCTTCCGGTTTTTGACCAAACACGACGCACCTGTATCGTAGTTAGCTAAGGCATGCCAAGGTTTCTTCGGCGTTGTGATGAGAGGTCTAGGAAAAGTGCCGGTACGTACAGCTCAAGATATGAGTGAACGCGACTATCCAAAAGTTCCCTCTGCATCTCATCCAAGAACTCTTGTACTCTTTCAACACTCCACTGTTTGTGGTTAGATTCAGCTTGCAAACCGAGTCAGAAAGGTGAACAACATACCCCCAGCAATTCCGTCAACCCCCGGATGGAAAAGCCCTCCAGCCCTTGGAGAAGGTATTGGCGATTCCACGCACCCCATTGCTTTAGTTGTTTATCTTTAGGCCACATGCCTATCGGTAGCTTGATCCGTCGCTCGGTGACGTTGACGTAGCCGGCTTCTCTGATGGCATCGCCGACGGTTTCACACGCCATAAAGGTCTTGCCTGTCAATTTCCCTACCTCCTCGAATATTTCCTTCCAGGTAACCAACGGAGAGTCTGGTCTGATGGTGTTATCCTCTGACTGAGCGATGGCTGATAATTCCACCTGCTCTACCCAACCGCCGGGCCTGAGAGACCTAGAGGACAAACTCTTAACAATGGTAGGATTAATAGCGTCTGGAGCTGTCGTGCCATTACCTTAGGCTTTTTCTGTGAAGCTCTACCCAGTCTGGGACACAGCCGATCAGGGCTCGGATATGGATAAAGTCAAAGTGGTTCTCGCCGAATGTCCAGTCGTCGTTGACGTCGTCGACCTTGAACCGGCAGTTGGGTGGGACAAAGTTAGGTTGAATCGGGGATAGGTCAATGCCGAGGACGGCGGCAGATGGATGCTCGTCTGCGAATTCACTGAAGAGGTCAATATGCGGATGCGTTGGACGCTTTGTGGCCAAACTTACATGGCCCATACGCCAGTCCCGCAGCCAACATCGAGGACGTTATGCAAAGCCGTTTAGTACAACGGCGGGTGGCCCAGAGGGAGAGGGAAACTTACTTGGGGATAATCGCCAATTGGAGCGTCGCATAGTTTTCCGTCGAGGACGACTCGGTATAGCTCGTGCCTTGATTGATCAGAAGGTGGGTGGATGTTTGACGCTGGCAGCTTACATCAAGTCTTCGGCGTCCTGTTGTTGTTCATCATTAGGGGCCCTGTTTCAGACCTAGTCAGCAAGCATGTTTACAACAAAAGCAAGATACCCAGCAGCTCACCAGTAAGAGCCATCTTTGTAGGCATGGTAGCGTCGCGAATTTTCCCACTTGTAGTTTAGAATGGAGGACCTCAGCGACATGCCATCAGTTGCAGCCTCTCTTTAGCGGTAACGGTTAGCCTGCATTAGCTACGGGGGAGATTGAAAGCGGTCTCACGATTCGGGATAAGCAGAGTCTGTGTCATTGAGATCCGAGTCCTGTATGCGAGTGTGAACACTTGACGGCGTTGAACTGCAGGCGGCAGAGACTCACAACTTCAATGGTATTGGTCGGCGGCTGCCCAGGCGGTGACTGATCCATCGACGACGAGCGGCGACTTCTTGGCGACAGGCCAGTGGTGGGAGACCCAACAGAGGACATTGGAGGTGGTCCGCTCACCTCAGGCTCAGCTCAGAGGCGCGGGCGTGCCAGACTGCCGGTACCGAGTCTGTAAGGACAGCAGCGGCAGCAGCAGGCGGCGTATGTATTACAAAGAAAGAGGCAGTGAAAGGATGGATCGGAGGTGACGGGATGGGATGGGCATGAGAGCGGGGAAGCGGTAAATCAGGTGGTGGTGTCGAGGGAGGGTGAAAATATGTCCCGGCCTGCATGAGAGGAGCAGGGGTCCATTGGTGGGCAACCACTGAAACGCCCGTGCGAGCACCTGTAGAGACGGCTGACAAAGTCCACCAACCAACCAGCGGTGAGCGAAGAAGCCACCGCGCCCGGCAATTGGGACCAGAAGCAACAGATGGTTAAATAGAATATTGATGCATGTTGTATTCAAAGGCTTCAAAGGCGGTGTAAATATTCTAGTCACATCAGCTCAAATGGCGCCCGCAGATGGTCCAAGCGGTCAAGAGCAGGCATTTCAGCTGCACAGCCAGACAGCTCAGGGCGGGCAATGATGCCTCCGTGGCATCCGGAGAATCATGAATGAAGTTGAACTGAGTGACCAATGGTTTAATATTAAACAAAAACAACAAATTGAATGGCCTCATATCAGATCATGGATGCAAAACAAAGTGCCACGTCTAATTCCTCGACACCTATGAATGGGGAAATTGAGCAACGTGTCGCTTGACTCTCATGCCCAAATCTGAGTACATCAGTAGTGCTGAAAGTTAATGAGACAGTTCTTTAAAATAAGTCCATACCAGACGCAATGTAACACACCCTGCAACATAATCAAAAGATCTTCAGAGCTGCAGCAAGAGGAATCAATCTATTGATGTAAACACCTCGCTTACCTCCATACCTACCCTGAGGCTGCCCTGTGTAAAGGCCGTGAATTCTTAGGAATACGGTTCGATTTTACACACTGTGTCCGGCGGCGGAGGCCTTTCCGGTTGGCTTAGGGGCTAACATTTCGTCTTCCGATTGGCCAAGTGCCTGACCGCCTGCGGGCTTCTCGCCATATTCGCACAGTAAGAGTACTTGTCCTCGCTTTCGCTTTCATGGGGTCAGGGCCAGGTAGACAAAAAAGGCTTTTGGCATTCATTCCGAGGTTAGTCAAGCTCGCATCTCTTCATAATTACTTGCACATCTTGTTTACATAAGATAAGGATCTGCGAGGAAATGTTTAAAAAGAGTCTTCGTCTTGACTCGTTGCTCAGCTTGCCTTCATATTGGATGTTCGATTGTGAAAGCCCAGTTGATGCAACGAGTAAATGCGAAAAACGAAGGAAGCCTCGCATCTTTGGTAACTAGGTAGGGTTAGTTAGCCCTCGTATCTTTGGTGATTAGGGTAGGGTTAGCCAGCTCCCTTTACCTGGATGTAAAATGCCGTTGATGCCGTGTCTGTGACGCGTTGCCTTGACCCAACATGTCGTGACAGTCCAAGAAATGACACCTGGCTGTAGACCATATATTTGTCTCGTCGGATGTTCCTCTGAGGTTAAATAAGCTTGTCAGTCACAATTTCGAGGCCATATGCAAATCTCTCGGGATTCACGATCCAGCCCCCTAGATTAGCTCCTTTATCATCAGCTCGAGTGCACTTATCTTTGAACAAACCATCATTCAGTACAAACAGTGCCACTCTCAACTCTGTTGACAACTGTATAACCCATTCAGTCCATAGAGACTTGCTCACTATGCAACCTGGCAGAGAACGAAGAGTTGGTGGTTGGCAAGTATAAAACCCTCACATAGCGTTCATGCGGACCTAAAGATACGAGGAACATGCTCCTCTCCTCCCCAGTACTATTTTGAAGATTTGACCTGGATTTGGGCTGTCATTTGGATTTCGCGTTGGTATTAAACAAAGCAATTTGTCTCTCCCAGAATTTAATGTGTCAACCAATGTCAATGGACCAGATAGCCTTACCTGTTGCATCAGACGGCCTAGCCAGGCACTCATAAATCACCTTTGCGAGGTCGCTCAACCAACTCGACTACAGGATATCAACCGACGTTGGAAATTCAAGTGCCAAGATCTCAATTGAGGCTATGCTTCCCTAGATATTTGGTAATGGAGCCCACACCTTTCTGCCACCCTGACCCGATCGATGACAAACTGGCAAGGGTGGAAGACCACCCTTAGATCCCCCATCGAGATGATGGTGCACAGCACGTGGTCGAGTCCATCTTGGCTCCGATCTGGATGCTTCTTGTAAATCCTCCTCTTGGCGGTCTTGGGCTGACCTGTGAAGTGTTGCTTGGTCGAATGTGAGGCTCTAACACGCCCTGATGCGCCGTTGAAAGCTTTCATACGCTCTCCGGTGGACCAAATTTAACTTGTCATGAAACCCAAAACTATATTGGTTCTTGGGCCACGACACGAGAAGATGAGGGAGAGCGTGAGGACATGTCGAGATGCAGACACCACACCTCGGACCCCTGCTGTGTTTGGTCTTGGCCGATTGACACGGGAGGATTGCATTGTCGATGCAGGCTTATCAAGTTATCAGGCCAAGCATGAACCCCCCCCCCTGGCGACCAAGACTTTTTCCAGCCAAGACGGGATCGATCCATGGCGAGTTTAAAGAGGGCAGTTTTCTGGAAGAAAAAAAAAAAACATCAAAGAACCAATCAGCCGGGCTGCTTGGCGCGCTTCTCAGCTCAGCCTGCCGATAAAGGGTTTTCTTCCCCGGAGTTCTGGAAATAATGCACCGCCTCAAACTCGTGCGGCAAAGGGGTCCAACAACCTTGAGTGTTTTAGCGTCTGTGATACGCAGCGGCTCTTTTTATCTTGACGTCCATGTACCGATATTGTGCATATTAAGCGCCGTGAAGCCTGTTCGCTGTCGGTAGTCGTTGTTTGCTGCGTTGGCGGCTGTTTCTCAGTGAGACTCTGTCCTGTCGCCATGACGCGTAAGTGGCGCCAGTCGCAGGGTGTGTCACCTCTTTGTGCAATGTTGATCATGACGGCTTGGTTGGGTTATGAGAATTTTATTTGTGTTCCCCGTCTTTGGTATCGCAACATGTGGTCGCGCAAGAGTTCTCACAATGGGACCTTGATTTACAGCTTCATGACGATGGTGAGCAAGTCGGACGCTTTCCCCTATTCCGGGTATCGGCAAAAAACCTGTTTTCTCATCGAGCTGAAAATGCCCAACACTGCCAAGAGAAGAAAAAGTCTTGGCCCTCTTGGCCCCAAAGTAACCTCGTGTACATCCAGATACCGGATGCGCTCAAGGTTGCACCCGACTTCCGGGGGTCCTCTCCCCTCCCGCGAATCAAAACCCAAGAAATGAAGCTTCAAGGGTGCTTTCCCGGGTTGGTCACCTAGAGGCACATGCACATAAGCATATCTTTTTGTAATTCCCAGTACGAATAACCTCCCCCCTAGCGGCTCCTCTCCTATCAAAACAAACGTCTCGTTGTCCTCCCCCCCATGTCCTCTTCCGCTTCTTGCCTCACCTTCTAGAAAGGGGGTTTTCGGCTTAGGCTGGATGAGGAAGGTGTCGCGCTATGTTTCTAAAGACGAGAAAACAGGTGAAGCCATCCCGTCTCGCTTCAGAGAGGCCGGATCGCATCGGCCTTGGCACGAGGCAGGCTTACTCGGACGAAAGACGAGATTTCGCTCTCTTGAACCCCGGAGGTCGACTGATGGTCTGATACTGCTTGCTAGCAGGTGGTGTGTCTTCTCTTCCGACTCTCAGCTCCAGACTCGCAGACAGGGGCTCTGACTTCAAATCCCGCATTCTCGGGACGGAGGGGAGGGGAGGGTAGAGGCTAAGCCTTGTGATGCGGCGCTTCAGCCTTCAACGCCAAAAACCTCGAGAACCTCAACCTTTGAGATGATGCATCGTCAACATCGATACCCATGCGACGATCCGCCATCCAGAGGCTGAGAACGCCGTCATATTTACTCGACCCCGTATCCTTCTTGCTTGGCGACCCCGCAACACGGTGGCTCGACGTCTTGGCTGACAATGCGAGACGAATGATGGTCAGTTGAGCTGCCCACCTCCGGATTCTCCTGTCTTGGCGCCAAGATCGCTCCCCACAGTCCCTCCCTCCTCCGCTGTTTGGGGCAAGGATGCACTTGGGGGCGGATGGAGGTTGGAGGAGGGTAAGATTGATTGTCCCGGGCCAACACCATATGACGCGACGCGAGCTTTTGAGGGATTCCGCCTGAGTCGCGGGTTGCATAAATAACGATCGCCCGCCCTCGTTTTGGTGCCGCTGATCATCGCATCGTTTGCGTCTTCTTGGGGAGTTTTCAAGTTGATTCTCGGCACTATTTTGTCGTCCTCTCTGGGTTCATTTGTCGTGGAGTAACAAGAGAATAGAACCCCCTACGTGGGTGTATAGGTACACAACCATGGCCGCCACGCTCAAGAAGATTTACTACTTCATCGCGCCAGACGCGGAGAAGGAGTCAGATGGCCGCGACAAGTGGCCTTCACGGACTGCCTTTGTCCTGGCAGCAATGGTAAGCAGCCAGGGAACTGCTGTGCTTGTCAATTGTTAACTTGACCTCCAGGGTGGTGCTGTCGGTCTTGGCAACCTCCTGCGATACCCTTCTGTCGTCTTTGCCAACAATGGCCTCCAGTGGTTCATCCCCTACTTCATCGCCCTCATCTTCCTCGGCATTCCCACCCTGGTCCTCGAAATCTCCATCGGACAGGCCTACCGTGGTAGTGTGGTCGTTGCCTTTCACGGCATCAACAAGCGCACCAAGGGTCTCGGACTGGCTGTCATCATGACGGGTTTCGTCGTGGCTACATACTACGTTCCCATCTTGGCTTGGGTCATGCACTACTTCCGAGCTTCGTTCCACAGCCCTCTGCCGTGGAAGGACCGTGGCCTGGAGTTTTATATGCAAGATGTTATCGCCAACAAGGACCCCATCACCCCTGAAAACGGGGGCTATGTCGAGTACCCGGGAACCGCACTGATTGGAGAGACTGTTGGCTGGTGCGCCTTTATCTGGTTCACCGTCTGGCTTTGCATGTTCAAGGGCGTTGGAACCACTGGTCGAGCCGTCTACTTCACCATGGGTCTTCCCGTCATCATGCTGATCATCATCCTTGGACGTGCCGTGTCTCTCCCCAACGCTCGCGACGGCATCAAGTACTACTTTGGTGAGTGGAACGGCTGGCGGCTTGGAAACGGCGACATCTGGCAGGCGGCTTGCGGTCAAATCTTCTTCTCCATTGGAGTCGGCTTTGGATATTTCACGTCTTACGCCTCTTACAACACCAAGTACGCCAACGCTGTGCAGGATGCGCTCATTATTGGCTGCTGCAACTCCCTCTACGAGATCACAGCCGGTTTCGCCGTCTTTGGTGTCATTGGTTTCTTGGGATACTCCCCTGATGATCCCTCCATCTCTCTCAGCACCTTCACCGTCGGTTTCCTCACGTACCCGCTCGGTCTTGCCGAGATGCCCGGATCAAACGTCTGGTCTGTCCTCTTCTTCCTGACTCTGGCTGTCCTGGGTCTGAGCTCTGCGTTCGCTCTGCTCGAGTCGTTAGTCACGCTCATCTGCGACTCGAACGTGGGCCGCAAGTACTCTCGTATCCCTATCTGCACTACCGTTGTCGTTGTCTCGTTCCTCCTCTCACTTATTTACTGCACCGAGTTTGGCTTCTACTTGTTGGATGCCGTCGATACCTGGACCAACAACCTCTGCCTCATCTTTGTCGTGTGGTGTGAGGCTGTGTGCGCCACGACGCTCTACCGCTACACGGACGTGATCGGACAAGTTGGCGTGGTGGGATACGCATTGTACAGTGCTGGTTACATCATGTCCATGGTCCTTGGAGTTGCTGTCGGCCAGGCTGTAGGACCTGAAGCTGGTGCAGGTGTGGGCTTTGGTATCTTTATTGTAACCAACATCGTCGCGGTCTTCATGTCCAAGACTCCTGACGCTGGAGCGCCGAGATTCTGGGGACACCACCCCATGCTGACCAGGTTCTGGTGGCTGACATTCTACTCGGTAAGTTTATGAGGCCCTTTGAAGCTCTTCCTCTCTAACATCAGACAGGGCAACCAACTCCGCCGTGACCTCAACGTTGTCATCGCCACCGGCAAGAACTGGAGCATTCCATGGTTCTGGCCTGTCATCCTTCGCTACATCTCGGCCCCGATTCTCTCCATCATTGTGTCGTTTGCCTACCCAGCCTTTGCCAAGAAGAGCAACGACCCCCTGCACATCTTTGCCTTTACCGCGGTCCACTGCGTCATGCTCCTCATCGCCTGCGGCTTCATCGTGCCCCGCTGGTTCGACGTCTTTGTGCCTCCGGAGAAGATGCACCTTAGCAAGACCTTTTACGCACCTCTCGTGTCTGTGGCTCCCCTGGAAATGAGGGAGGGCGAGGTCATGGAGGAGAATCGCGAAGTGGAGGAAAACCGGGACTCGGGTGAGAAGGGAAAGGGTATGCGCCAGGATGCTGATTTTCCGGAGCGTTAGATCGGGTTTGGGTGACTGTTGGTTCAGTTCTAGGTTGAGCATGTAGCATTGCAATTCATTATTATTCTTAACTCAGTTGAAACATACAAAACTTGACAATACCACGTAAACAGAAAATACTGCATCTAACTCATCCAGACTTTGATTCTTTCTCACCGGGCTCCTTCTCTGGGACCACTTCTTGCGCCACTTCCTTGCCTCCTGTTTCGCCTCCCTCATTTTCTTTCTTCTCAACCTCCTGAGACTCCTTCTCAGTTTGCTGAGCCTCTTCGCCTTTCTTGGCAAAAATGTTGACACTTGGCATTGAGACGTTGCCAAGCGAGGAGACAGCATTGGGAACCTTGGGCATAGCGGGCATATTGGGCATGGCTGGCATATTTGGCATGTGAGGCATCTTGCTCGGAAGCCAGCCCTTGACATCGCTGATACCCGTTCCAGCCTGTTGCGCAACTCCAAAGAGGTAGTTGAGATAGTTTCTCTTTTCTGGAGTGTCGGCATTCTCAGGACTTGCATCCCCAATCAAGTCGCCTTTGTCGTCGGGAAGCGGGACCAGAGAGGCGGCGGCCGCAATATCAATAGGAGACTCGTCGGGTAATTCGTTTTCTTTTGCCTTGTCCTCTCCCTCAGTGGCCTTTTCGCCTTCCTCATCTTGAGCGGGACCCTTCTCTAGGATCTCTTGGGCCGTCTTTTCTTCAGCAACTTCCTCGGGAGGTGTCTCGCGGAACTGAGGGTCGTCGACGACGTTTTCTTCGCTGAGGAACCATTCCTTGACTAGCTCGGCCGACTTGTCCGTCATTTCCTCGTACCCACGATGCTTCTCTGGTTTGAACATGTTGAGATGCGCTTCAATCTCATCACCCGCTCTGGGCATGACGCATCTGTCGAAGAGAGGATACGCCGAATGGCTTTCCTCAGGCACAGCGCAAAAGGTTCTCTCAGGAATAAAGTAGCCTCCGCTCCAGTAACCGTTTTCGCCAAGAGAGCAGTAAAAGTCGTGGATCCCGATGCCTTTGAGTGCTCCCATGCGCTCCAGTCGACGGTTGAGCTCCTTTTGTCTCAGTAGGGCACCGACAAAGGTGAAGTGGTCAGAGAGCCAAGCGAATGACTTGCCCACGTTTCCGCGGTTGATGTAAGCTAGACCTTGTCCGAGGGCATCCATACTCGAACGGTATCCTTCGACGACGGATTCTTTGTTGATGTTTTTGACACTCCGCATACCCTTCATGATGGCCTCCCGGTTCTTGTAAGCGGCAACCCCCCCGGCGGCAATAGCGCCCACTGTACCCGTCTTGACAGCGACTAATTGCCATGTTTTCCACTGAGGACTTGCCGTAGCGGCTACACTTGAAGTTGCCGCACGCCGGGCACTGAGACGTGCGAGGCCTGCAGGTGCAGCAGCTCCTAAAGCCGTCATGACGTTGAAGACGCTGTTGACCTTTTGGTAGTTGGAGAAGGCACCGTAGACAAACATGGATCGTGCAAGGCCATTGTATGGCGTGTCAAAGGTTAGGATGCCTTGGATGAGGGGGAAGATGAGGCCGTCTTCGCTTGAATTGGCGGCTCTTTCGTTGAGAGTCAGAAACAACGAATCCGCGGCCACGAAGCCTCTTGAGTTGAAGTTAGCGATGGAACGGGACGGAGAGGAATGAGAGCACTTACCCCATGGAATGAGCCACGAGAATGACACCGACGTCTCGATCGTTTGCCGGCCATGGCTTTTCCGACTTTTTCTTGCGCACATCCATGACGCGTTCCTTAAGCCTGAGTATGTTAGCGAGCCCAGACCTTTACGAGCGAAAAACTTACCATTCAAGGAAGGCCTCGGTGGCCTGGACCAACTCGCCTGTCGTCTCATATTTGGGATAAACGACGGATTCGACCTTGTCATCGGGGAGTTCTTTCGCGACGGCTTTCTTCAGATCCTTTCAGAGGTTAGCGGTCCGCTTTGGCTGTCTTGAGTGCTGGGGACACACAAAGGGAAAGTCGTGAAAAGTATCGTCGGTTCCCTAGTTAGATAGTCAGTATGGGTTTTCATGGCCCTGCGTATAGAAACAGACTTTGAACCCGTGGATAAAACACAGCAATAATGTTCGAGGCATGATATGTCGTGGGTATAAGGTTGAAGTAGCAACTGACGCAATGCAATATTCTCTGGGAAGGGCAATCATTTATAAAGGTCCCCCAACCGAGAACAAACTTCATAATCTATCCTTGCATGACGTTGTCAGTCTGTCAACTTTCAGGTTTTCCAGCCACACGGTTGTGCGAGGTGGTGCGTGGCGAGAGCCAATCGTGGCGTCTGGGCATGTTGGGGATAACGTCATCTCGATCATCTTGCAGCGCTAGCACCGGAGCTCTCCCACGTTTTGTCCCTAGCACGGGTTGTTTGGTCTGTGAGTGGCTGTTTCAAGTTACAGGGCATCATGGGGCTTAGATTTGAGATCGGTTATCGAAGTTGATGCGAGATTAGTGGTGGACATTTTTATTTATCACCCTGTTCTTTGCTATTGTCGTCGATAGTACCTTGTGGAGACACTACGTAGTCTTAATCTACCCTTCTCAGCGTCGACACTGGTTGTCGTTGATAGACTCGTCCTTCAACTGAAACCATTTCTTACCCTCCTCCGCAAATACCACCATCTTGTCTTGCCCTGGCTTATAAAGCGGCCAAGTAATTCCCTTTCCATCCCGAGGGGCTTTATGGGGGTTGTGAGCAAACGACAACCAGAGAGCTATTTAAAGCTTGTCAGTTTCCAGGTTTTCTGTTCATGAGCTGCTGACTTACCTTGCATGCCGTTGGCGACCTCCCATTCGTACTCGGTGGAGTTTCCACGATATTCATAGTGTGTACCGAAGAGGAGGGGGAGCTCGGCTGGACCGCCTGTTAGCTAGGTATGGAGAGTTATGAAATCGCATTTACTTACCGCTGTGAGTTGCTCCAATCCAGGGCAAAGGGGAGATATTGGAAAAGTTTCCAGTGTAGTAGTATCGATATGTCGGGTATCCAAACTGTGCCCGGACTCTGCAAGAAATGTGAGCAGCTGATTTCCACTAAAGGCTTGTGTACTCACCTTATCTCGTTCGCTACTGGACAGGTGATGGCCTGTAGACCAATGGCGACCTGGGATGGGGATACTCCGCTTGCATTGTAGGCTCCAAAACCGGCACCTTCATTCGCATTGTTTCCCATGATCCATGGCTAAAATGGCCAGTGTTAGCAAGTCCTCAGGGAACAATGTGCGCTCAGAGACACTTACCACTCTTGTAACCAATCCTCTCGCCAGTCTATCGGTGGTGTTTGAGAAAGCAGTCACGTTGTCTGCAACAGGCGTGAAAGAAACGCTCGAAGTGTTGGAATACACTTCCTGGAGAACAGAAGCATCAACACGCTGCATGCACTTGAGCTCTTCCCTCTCTGCCAGACCGCCGCAGCCAGTCAGTTTCGCAATGGTGCTAAAGTCTGAGAAGTTCCCGAAGGCCTTGGCCAATGTGCTTGTCGAGCCAGAATCTGAGATCAATCCCTGGACAATCAAGTCGTCTGGGTACGAGTATCCGTACATTCCAACAGAAGCACCGCCGGCAGATTGTCCCCATAGAATCATCTTGTTGACGTCGCCACCGAAAGCCGCAATGTTGTCTCGTGTCCATTCAACCACCATTCGCTGATCAAGCAGGCCCACGTTCTGATGCGCTGCTTTGGCGTTGGGAAAACCAAACAAGTTGACACGGTAGTTCATGGTGACAACGATATGACCCTGTGTTCGTTGGATCCATTTGTCAGGGATCTTGTATAGAGAGTCTGCGCCACCACCCGTGAAGCCACCTCCGGGGATGTAAATGAAGACAGGCAATCGCTTAGAGACTGGCTCGAGAGGTGCATATACGTTCAAGTACAAGCAATCCTCAGAGTCTCCGCCATTGGTGAGGAACTCGGGCATATTCTCCGTGTACACGGTCGGATTCTTGCTGATAGGCTGCATACAAGACGGGGCATATTTCTTTGCTGAGACATGGCCATTGCTCTTGATCCGTCGAGGTGGTTGGAAGCGTCGAGAGTTCAGAGGAGGTTCGGCATAGGGAATTCCTAGAAACTGACGGACAGCAGGAGCTGTTTGATTGATGAACCCTGTGAGTTTTCCACTGGTTGTCTTGACCGTCAGGGATTGCTCCGTTGGGTGGTGCGCAGCATCGGCGGAACCGAGATTGAACGCAGCCAAGACGGCGGTGAGAAGAGATGAGGAAGGCTTCATCTTAGCAAAGGAAAACCCGTTGAAAGCTCTTGGACACTATTTGCTTGGCATACATTGTTGCATAACTATATAGTAATGTATCCATGTTAATTGAATGCCGTGACAAGATGCCGACCTCGGTCTGGATAAACAATCATCATTGTGCTCCTGACGTTGCTAGCATTGTCCGGGGAAATGATATCAGTCCGGGGTTGGCTACTAGATAGCTATTAGCATTGGTCAGAAAGTCAAAATTTCAATGATTTTGCGGGGCCCCTTGCATTAATTAATAATTATGTTTTGCGACACGATCGGCAACAATCGTAGCATCGTCTGCTCACGGTGGTCTGTTCACCGTGTTCTAGCATCTGGCTCTACACGCGTTGTAGAGTCTCACTATCAGAGATGGGATGAGTCAGGTTAATGACACGCAGCACCCTTGTTTGGCACAGCATTCGCATGCATGAACGTACAGGTTTGGGACAGATTGTGCTGCAACGCGCAAAGCAACGCGACTCTATCTGCACCACAACATAGCTTACTCATCTCCAAGGGGATGTTTCGAAATCGACTCTCAAGTTGGGTTTTGCATGCCATAGCTTGAACTTTGGAAAACGGCACGCACAGATTTGTCTGGATAGTGATAGTCTCTGTTCGGGGGCATTGGGGACACAACACCAATTCTATTACCAGGGAGGTTTATTTATTACTGGCTAAGGATTTATCCAGTTTTGGCAATGACTCGTCCCATTTGCTTCCCCCATGTCATGTTTGTCGATCCGGGCCCGAGGTAAGAGTAGTCACCCCGCATTTTGATGAATAGAATGCGGAGAAATCGCCTTCAAGGAGGGGAATGACCACCTGTGGAAATTTACCGCCAATCCCGTCGGTACCATCCAGTACTTGCTGGTCGAGCATTGGGCTCATCTTGGGTTCCGTGGTCCTTTTCCTGGTCGATGAGACACGTCCAACCCACTTCTCGCGGGTTCACCCATTGACCTGTTTCCCGACGTTTCTGGCACTAAAAGAAAAGTTGGCTTGCCTTTATTACTAACAGGTATAAAAATTTGGAATTCCTTTCTAAGGAATAATGTCACTAGGAGGAACTCAGAATGTTGCTCAGTAATGGAAACCGCAGACTCTTTTGTATGTCAAGATAAAGGAAAGTCGTCGAGTACGAGAATACTCTCGATTCGTTTCTGCCCGCTCTAGTTGAGCCAACTATATACCATGAAACTATTCTAGGCTAAAAAAGAAAAAAAAAAAGACGTGCCCTCCACGACAGAACGCTGCCTATATTAGATGGTATCTTAGTCTCTCTGGCTCCCTCATCTCATTGCACGAGGGGCCCTGGGTCTGATGGCAACAAATAGAGATTCTCCTACCTTCCGGGTCATTGATGGAGGCTGCGGTAATTGCAAGTAGCCGGATCATGCTGCTAGGTGCTCCAAGGACGAGACCGAGAATATGTGGACGACGGCTCCCCAGCGCATCACGTACGCAGCCGAGCAGCCTTTGGCCCTCTTTGCTGTCTGGTCTCGAGAGATGTCTCCATCGTATTAGGGAAGCGCATCCTTGCGCCGACTTCTGCTCTTCAGAACATGTGCGGTGAAATTTCTGCTGTTCGAGAATAACGCGTCGAGTTGCAACCTAGGGTGCTACTTTACCAGCAAGTACCTGGAGGGGTATGGTCTGACTACCTCTTTTCGAAACCTCAACCATTTGCCAGGTATTATATATCTGCGAAGCAGACTTGCAGGTAGGTTCCTACTTATTACTCAGCATGAGTAGACAGCACTGGATATAACAATGGCAGGATCTACGTACTGGTGAATCTCCGAGTGGCTGTCAAGGAGAGGTTAGCTATAGTCTTCCAAGCGTCATAAAAGGCGCCCCATAGATTTCCAGCAAATTCCTACTTATTTTGAAAGATGGAACGGAGTCACGGATTTCAGAGCTACTCTGGCACTCATGTGCGGACATAGCAAACCGCCAGGCCATACCACTATCGTCCCTGCGATTTACATGGGTTGTGCGATGAATCGGTCAGGTCCGTTATCGCCGATAACTGCAACATCTTTGCAAATGGCGAGTCTATCAATGATTAGCGTAGAACGGCTGATGAGGAGTTGGGGCTGGCATGATCTGCCAGAGTGGATGGGATCTAGCAAACATTCCACGGATGGTATTCTGGGCGTCGAGTTCGTCGATTCCAGTCGCCTTCAAATTCTGGTAGTTGACATATTGGTGGCCCAGTAGACTAGGTGGGCTTTCATCATACATTCACCTATCCCTTCGCCTCGATGGAGGACGGGGGGTCTGTTTCCCTCGCTCTTGCATCTGGCCCTGGGCTTACTGCGATACCACTGGTTCCTAGGAGATTTTGGCTTTGTATTTGCGCGTTTTAGAAAGAGAATGATTTTATGGGACGGCCAAATACCGCCAACCTCATCGAGCATGTTTACTTTCTACTAATTTATTGATGCGAACTTGGCGATAAAGGACCGATTTATGTAGAAGACATTGAGATTTGTAGAAGACTCACATGATACAGTCTAAAAGATCGAGTGAGCAGTGTGGTTATGTCGTGACGGAGAGGTAATAGGGGTAGACCAAGCACTGTAGTCTCGCGGCTAATAGTCTAGCTCGGTAGCCAGCTCCTGCTCTGCTCCTAGCGTGTGTAAGCTGGTCCCATGGGTAGGGCTGGCTTTTCGGCGCGTGGCCCGGAGGTTGTCTCGATTTAGGTAGTATGCTTAACTATTAACATGCCGTCTATTTTAACTTGGCATCCTTGGCAAACAACTCAACGTGAGGAGTCTGGTGCAACTAATCAAGGGAAAGGACCGTTGGCGGTAATGGAAGTTTAGCGCCCTTAATTTCGACGAGATGCCCAGCCACTTGATGGCGTGATCATCTTGATTCTTCCAGCCATGGCCGAGGAGCGTCGGGGCAGGTATAGCAGACACAGCAAGATGGTCTTGTGGAATACCTCGCTTGGATTATTTGTTCTTCAATTTCAGTCTTGGAGCTCATAGCGTCTTGTTGTGCTTTCAGAAATTGCTGTCAAGAGTGTACAAGTCTTGACCTGGCAGTGACACTGTTCAAGACTTCCCATCTCCGATTCTGATCAAGTCCGCAAAGCGGTCAAGATATGCCCTTGTTAGCTGAGTTGTTGCTTTTTGTAGGGCTTTTACTCTCCTGACTGGTCTGGAGCTTGTCGGGTCGCCGAAGCTATTGGCAGCCACTGAATGCGCTGGCGCAGGACACGGCCAACGGACCCCAACGAGAGTATCAATCTCCGCTTGCGAGAGCTGGAGGCGAGTCTAGAACCTTGGTTGGGTCCTGCGGGTGATCGACGGGCTAGCGGTTCCATTTCTGCCCGGAGTAATGGGCCCAGAGCGAGAAACGGTGCAGCATGACATAAGGCTTTTAATGGAACCCATGTCTTTGACTGAACAATGGTAGAATGGGCAGCTATTCTAGCCACAGGTCTGTGTAAAATAAGGAGGTTGATCGTGACGATGATCATAGGTCATTATCGTGGCTCTAGGGCTTTGCTGTGGCGCTAGATCAAGTTCCAGACCCTTAGGCCGTCGACCGATATCAGGGGTCTCGGACAAGACCCCAAGATTTTGCCTTAGCCTTGCAGAATCAACGGCTATTGACGCTACAGTGCCAATAGTCGGAGGGCAGGCTTCAATTAATGCGCGCCGTGCATCAGGTTTCAGCTCCAATATTGTCAGCCTTATGGGCTCCTCAACAACTGTCGGTGCCGTCGATCCCGGGTCTGGATCTCTGGACGATTTCCGGGATCTGTGTATAAAGACTTGGCGCCAAGTCTTAGAGATGTCTCTCCCAGCTCGTAGGAAGACAATCTATCGGCTCACAATAAGCCACCTCGGGCATTGTCAAGTTTTCCCCAGTCTCAATCATGCACTTCAACGCTGTGGCTGGGCTTGCTCTGAGCCTCGTGGGCTCCGCATCGGCCTTAGCAGCCCCCAAGCTTCCTGCTTCTGGTCTTTGCCCCAACGGCCAGTACTGGGATACTGGTAAGGGCTGCACTGCATCACCGCCGCCTCAGAGGTGTTCCTCCGACCAGTACTATGATAGTCTCAAGGGTTGCGTGAAAGGGCAGCCTCCTAGCGGACCTCCAGGCTTGCTGTGCACCATTGTCAAGACTCTGGTCAGGGTGGCACGTCAGGATTTACAGGCTACGTCCTTTTGCTCTTCGTACCTTAGCATTCCTGTGTCGACCAAGTCGGTTACAGTGACAGCCTACACTACGTATGATAGCCTATGCCCTTCTTCCCATTGGAAAGTCTCTAACATTCAACAGTGTTTCAACGACCACTTCTACCATCACGTCGGGAGTCACCACAACGACTGATTCAACCAAGACTATCACGGACTCTACAACCACTACCACATCCACCGAAACCAAGACGACAACGACCAAGAGTACGACTACATCCACCATCACAGAAGTCATCAAGACTGAAACCATTACTGCATGCGCATCTCCCGTCGCCCCGCTCAAGAAGCGCTATAGTGACATCGAGGCTCATGAGGAAAGGGTCAAGCGTGAGAAGTTGCACCGCATTGAAGCACGCGGTATTGCAAAGCCTGGTGCCTTTGCCAACTACGGCGACCCTGCGGCCGTGTCCTACGCTTGCAACTGCTTCGACATTACTACCTATACCACTACATCAGTCACAACTTTGCGGACCAAGACCGTCACTGCCTCTGTCACCGTAAGCATCATGTCCCCCCCCCTCCTGACTCAGCTCTTATTAACAACTCTTGCTTCTAGGTTCCCTCGACAGAAAAGGTTACAGCCACTTCCACGGCTACTGCCACTTCCACGACGACTATCACAGAGCCAGCTACCGTCTACACTGAGACGGTGACTGAAAAGACAACTACCTCTATAACCCAAACCGTGCTCAAGCCAACTGTTAGCATCCTTGCCATGGGAGGATGGAACAATGGCCATGCGCTCTCCGATGAGGGTGACGGCACGGTCGGCGACGACGGCTATGGAACTACACTCTTGTTCAACCTGGGACTTGACGGAACTCTGAAAGTGACCAATGGTGTGAGGAGCGGCTCCAACGGCCAGACTGATCCCAACAATTATGGCTCCAACTCGTTAGTGCTGTTCGGTTTCAGCGGTGGCGCCCTAAAGGACATGACATGCACTGTCACGCAGAGGACCGACGGCTCTTGTCCCTTGAAGTGCCAGGGCACCCGAGGAAGCACCAACTTTGACTGCGGTGTCTACTGGCGATTGGGCAGTGATGCTGATGTGCAGGGTTGCTCGGTGTTTACTCCCTATGCGGTTGGTTCTGTTGGTGGCTAAGCTCAGAAATGTGCAGACGCGTTGATGAATCAATGACTTTTGAATACCATGCTGGTGGTAGATGTGAATAAAACTGCTGTGCACGTACACGAAGGGACAGCAACACTGAGTACAAACGGTGCTCTTCATAGACATGACTAACTGACTGGGCACCTTCAAAGTTTCTGGTTATATGAATTATATGATATTCTTTTACTCTAAAACACCTGCTGTCCTTGAATACCCGAGTTGATATCTATCAAAGCCAATCGTTCTCCTGTGATTGCCCTCTTACATGATCGGAACAACCAGTCCATACGACTCCTCCTCAAGCAAGTTGCTACTGTCAATGGATAACGAGTACAGTAAGGAAACAAGGACTGCTCGGTATATGAGCAAGTCATCAAGCGGGTGTTGGCTTGTGTTGGGCAGTTTCCAAACCGGGCGCAGTCGTGGTTCGTCCTCTTCTTCATCATCATCTACATTCTCTTGCACTTCTTCAGTTTCCCAGAGATCCCTTATCTTGTCAAGAAGCTTGCAAACTCCTTCCTTAGCACGATCAAACCCCGCTGTATCCCCTGGAAACACCCCATGGAAGAGGCATGCTTTCAGGTCTGGGTCCCTAACGGCGTGGAGGAACCGTTCTAGTTTCTCGTGTAATTCAAGAAACATGAATTGGTCCCTGCCTATAGTGCTTTCTGCAGTGCCCGGGTTGGCGTTGAGCATGACTTCTTGTATGGCGTGACCCAGGATACCTAGAGTCATCTGCCGGCAGAGAACAAGGGGCCCTGCCTGTTTGAGCCAAGCGTCGATCGCAACAATTTCAAACTCGAGTGCGGTCTTTGCTGCCACCTCCTCCAAACGATCACCATCGACCGCGGATAATGGTCTTGCAAGGTAGTCAGACGTCAGTGCCCAAGCCGTTGGGCTTAACTCGAGCTCCGTCACCGGGTCATTGGTTACTGTCGTCGCCCAAGAAGTTGCCTGTGCCAATAAATACCTCTGATCTCTGGAAAAGTCTCCAGGTTGGTCAGGAGAGAGTTCCAGGTAGGCTGAAGTCTTCATGGCCCAAAATCGGCTATGTAGGAACAGAGTATCTAGCTTGTCGCGGAACCGAGCCTTTGTGCGGGGGAATAAGAGCGGTAGAAAACACGGTCGATCCGCTATTAGAGGATACAATGGACCCCATCTAGCGATGTTGAAGTTAATCAAGTTTTGATCGAGCAGTTGCCGCAGGAGCTCGCAGGATGAAGGCCACGATGATGGCAATAACCCGCAACAGCGCTGACTGGGAGGTGCTTTCTGGACATTGCAAACACATTCTGCTTCAGCTCTCTTGAGAAACATCATGCTCAGTTCGAAGTGAACATAGTTCCAGTCCAGTTCCCTTGCATAAGTCACCATGATCGACTCTCGTTGATTTATCGCTTCTTCCGTTTCGAACATTGGGACTTCCATATATCCATTGCCGTATAATATCAACCATTTCACCTCATCCAAGCCCTGAGAAGTTGGCGAGAGTTCGGCCTCGTATCTCTCAAAGACACCCACGGCACCCAAGAGCGGGTGTTGGCGAAAGGTGAGGTTGAATCCGGTGCCTTGCACTCGTGGAAGTTTGGATTCTGGATCGATGATGAGGCGCGCATATCCTCTTGCAAAAATGATGGCGAGAGTAACAATGAATCGTATGGAACTGTATGCTGGGACTATTGACAAGTCGGATGGTATATAATCAGCTCCTGTGGACTTGCTTCCCCATAGTTTTGTTTCGTCCAAATTCATTGCTGTTAGAAGGGCAAGCCAAGTCGCTGGGAAATAATCGTCATGCCTCTTTTTGAGGTACTTGGGATCTTCGAGGGCTACTAGCTCTTTCGGGAGGGGGACATGGTGAATGCGTTGATGCCGGAGAGAATTTAATTGATCCCAAGATGGTTCCAATATCGCTTTGGCAAGAAGTACCGGAGTTCGTGAGACGGTTCGATATCTCATCTCAATCCAGTCAAACTTGCCGTCATTGAGACGTGACCATGGGCCGATGGCATAGGCACCGGACTTGGTTCGCCCCGGTCCAGCTGCCAAGAAGCTCTGGCCAATAGTCAATGCTGCAAAGAAGAGAGCAATCACGCCAACGACGGCCGTGGCAGCGAAACTGAGAGGGTCCCAGTTGTACTGGTTGTTCTCATCTTGAATCTCGCTGAGGATGCTGACTACTGTCTTGAGGATGCATTCTGTCGTGTTGAGAGAGCACTCGACGCTCTTGGAAGGCATTATGGTAAAGGACACGGAGCGGGGACCTTGGACAGGGAGAGAGGCAGACGATTGGTGTTTTATGAGTCGCGATTGTAGCGCGTGGCTGTGTCCACAAGCAAGACAATGAGGCGCGCTATTGAAAACACTAGTCTCAGAGCGAACGGGAGGGAGCCCGTGAGATTGACAGAAGGTAATATTTAACTAAATTGAATTGTGACTGGAGATGTGAGAGGTATAATCTAGTAGATATCTGCAGTCACGATCTTGTCCTGACGCCAGTGTCCTTCCCTGGCTGACCCCTGGTATCTCAGACGCAGGTGATAACGACATCGTCGCTAGTTCAGCTGCACCCTCGATACCTTGACTTTAAAGTGAGGCCCCAAGCAAATTCTTCGGTCATTGAAACGCTCGACTTGGAAATAAACCCGGAACTTCTTCCCACCATTCGAAACCAGGATCGACTTTTGGCCCAGCTTGACTCCATGGCGTTTAAGCACAGCTTCGACAACTTCAGCTGGATAGTCAAGGGCCTCGGCGAAAACAAATAGATCTTGCATAAGCACATCCATACCCTTTTCGGCCGAGTTGAAGATGGTTCCTTGGAATTCCCACTCGTTGTTTGATTTGCCCCAGAAACACACCAACATCTCGCCGTTCATCGCCGCCGGCCTGAGGCAGCCCCAACGTCGCACCCCGTCATCAGGACTGAAAAGAACAGAGTCTTCTACATCCCAAATCTTCTGGGGTATTCCTTGCACGCTCAATCTCGGGACGTCGGACGGAAACTCGACGGCGACGGCGACGTGACGAAAGATGGAGACCAGGCTTCCAGATGTTAGCTGCTCCCGCGGTAACCTCGTGAGCAGAGTAAAAGACTTGGAGTTGATTGGATAAGAACTCGTGATGCCGAGGCTCAAGTCCATTCTTCCCGACTTGGCCGCTCTCATAAAAATGTTTGGCCCGGCCTTGCGCATAGGGATGAGAATAGGTCGGTTTTGCTCATCGGTGCATTGGAGTGAAAGGGAATAGCGGATAGCGCCATCCTTGTACTCCGAGACCCAGTGAGGTCCTTGCATATGAATGCCTTTGTTTGTGATGGCCATTTGGTATTCATTGACCAATGGATCTGTCCTCAGCGTAATATTTGAACACCAAGCAAAGTCCCCTGGTCCCTCAGCGAGGAAGCTGAGATAGGGGCGCCCGTCCCAGCTGCGGCGCCAGGTCCAAGCAAATATGCTCAAATCGTTGGTAGTCCTGATGATCTCTTCTTGTAACCGTGTAAACGCCTTGCGTCCCTCCCCGTAGAGCATAGGCATGTTGATGTTGAAGATTCCTAGGAGGCAATAGGCCAGGTCTTCATCTCGGGTTGTCTCCCTCTCGGCAGCCCAAGAGAACCGCTTCGCAACGCAAGCTGAAGACAGCGGAATTTTATGGCTCAGTATACCGGCGTCGATCTTGGTTTTTGCTGAGAGCTGCTCGAGGAGGCTCATCTTGTCGCCAACATTCTTCCAAGATCGATCAAAGAACTGGATAGTCTTGGGAGCAATGAGCTCTTGCAAGGTCCAACCACGATTGAACCATCGGCACTTTTCCAATTTTCCGCCTTGCAAATCTGACAGATAAGCGTAGCACACCTTTGCTTGCTGGTACCACTTGTACATTGAGTTTATCGCCTCTGTCAGCTCGGCGCTGCTAGATTTGTCGATGCAACATGTATCGATCCATACGTATTCGATGCCATCGCCTGTCGCAAGTCTACATGTGTTTTGGATCTTCTTGTACCCCTTCTTATCTTTGGCGAGAGGCGACTTGCAGTCCTCAAAGGTGACCTCCTCGCCATCTTCCCAGGTGTGCGAGAGGATTGCGTAGGAGGGGATGTTGTTTTGGTAAAACTCTTTGAAGCGGATTTTACCATCCTTAGTGAACCTCTTGGCAGAAATTAACCTCATCGTGAAGGTACGATTGGTTTCGATAGGGTGAAAGATATGAGGGACGAAAGATGAGGGGTTTTCTGCATCTGGGCATGTAAGATTACCTACACACAGAACCAACTACCCACTTGGGTCTAGAGTGATATTAAGATGCGTTCGTTTACAAAGATATCCTTTATCGTATTGAGACTGATGAATTTCAATCATGATACCAATGTGAATAACATCCAATGTGTATCAAATGGCAAGTGGCTGCAATGAATAGCAATCGTGGCGGTGAGAAGAGCCAATAGGGTTTAATTGATGCCAAGAACGATTGGTCCAATCCTTAGATTTGTGGAATGGGATGGGTAATCCCTGGACTGGAGTGGGTGCATTTGTAGGACTTATTGAGAGATGGCGCCTGTAGATTCTGCAACCCTCTGTATTGTATACTTGATCTCACTAGCCATTGGTCTTATCCCTCAATACCAAAAGGGTCAATAGTGGGATCCTCATGTCTCTGATACTCCATCCAAACAGCAATTTCCTGCGCAATCCTCTCTCCATAGACCTCTTTAACAAACCCAAACATGAGATCAATTCCCGAGCACACACCAGAAGACGTCCAGATATTTCCATCAACCACCCATCGAGCACTTGGAACCCATTCAACTTGAGGACGCCAAGCAGGAATCACCTTCCAAGCTCCTTTGAACGTCGTAGCTTTCTTGCCATCGAGAAGCCCAGACAACGAGGTGATACCGGACCCGGTGCACACTGTGACAAGGTACTTGAGGCCAGGGTACTGTTTTTGGATGAACTTGATGATTGGGTTCACGACTGCAGGGTTGGGCTGCCCGGCATTGTTGGGGTCCGGATCAAAGCAGCCCATGCCACCGGGGATGATGAGAACGTCTAGCTGAGGAGCTGTCTCAAAAGTGTGTGTAGGTGTGATCAGCTGGGAAGTGGTGAATGGGGGCATTCCCATCTTGTCTGGCCAGGTCTTGGGGAAAGTTGATGTGGGCTGCAGACTCTCCGAGATGACTGACAGGGAAATGCCCTCGACGTGGGTGGTGAGGACATTGAGAACGTCGACTGGGCCACAGACATCGATAAGCTGGAAGCCTTCATAAAGGACCACTCCGTATTTCTTGGGTGTCTGAGCCATGGCTGTAGAGAGAATTAATGTTTTGTATTGTTTGAAGAAGGAGAAGTGGCCTGTCTCTGGTTACACAAGCGTTTGGGATGGGGAGTCCTCTGCCTATTTATACAAGTCTCAGTCCGACATGACGGAATGCCGGTTATGCTCAAACATCTTCAGGCCCCTTATTTTAGTAGATAAGGACGGCAAATGAGCGTGAATTTCTCATCATGATCTCGATTCGATACTCGGATCCGCATCTCCAGCCAAGAACCGCTCAAGACTGCATGAGAGGCCAGCTTTTTTCAACACTAAACTTCTAAAAGGAAGGATCCTCAAGAGTCAATCATCACGCAGATTCCCTACCTTGCACGTATTCTACTTAGGCCACCCAGACACTACGGTCTAGACCTTGATAGATGGAGCAAGACTTGGCTAATGAGAGTCCAAGTACACACCCATAGCATATTTAGCTGCACCGATGATCCTCTTCGAGGAGGGAGGAGCATGCTGTTTGTAATCTCGGGTTGGTGTGTGCGAGACCTGCTAGGTTGGCTGAGCCAGTACGAAGACGGGCCAAGGAAACCAGTTACTTGGACCAGACGCATTTCTTGAGGTTCCGGATACTCAATGGTAAAGCTTTTGGACAAACCATCTCAGCCCTACCCCGCGCTCAGGGGCTTGATAATCTGGGGTAACCTCTACCAATCCCTTCCCCAGATGCTCCCCAAAGTGGCATCCGTAGCGTTAATGCTGGGCTGAAATTGCGGTTCCGCACCACACCCACCCAGTTGGCATCCCTGAAAGGGTTGCAATATGGTCACACGAAGCTTGGAACATTTCTTGAAGATTGTGCTCACTAGAGACCGGCACAGGGTCAACTTCAGGTCACAGCGGAGAATGTAAGAAAAGAGAGTACGATGTATCTTTGTCAATATGTACTAAATAGCACAATTCTTCCAACAATATTTCTGATCTCGTTGTCGATATAAGATGCGGCACCAGATCGCTTGCGTGCCGTCATCTTTTAGCTCCGGTTCCGGAAGCACATGAGCGGGAGCGGCTCCGATGCCCCAGGTACGGAGCCGTGTGATGAACCCGGCATAACGGAGCCGTGATACCCCACCTGACCGGACCTGCAGCACCACCACACATTGTCCAATGTTCTTGGCAGCAAGCACCATGACAGTAGCTCGGCACGTGAGCGTCAAGCGGAATGCCGGAAAGTGTAGGGTTGTTGACGCTCCCGCATTCTCCTTGTCAAGGATGGTACAAACTTCAATGAGAAGCGATACTGAAATTATTGAGCCCGACGACTCCTATTTCAAGCGTCGTTGATACCAAAAACAGAAAATTCATTAAAAATCAACAAGAAGATGCTTGGAATATACTGGAACATACGCACCATACACATCATACAGAATGTATCTACTTCCCATCCCAAAGTGTTCAACAGTTTGTCACGATCGCAAGTCCAGCTTTCACCACGCAACAGATAAAATTCTCCTGGCATAGTGCGTTATTTCACTGTAGATCACTTCCGGGCTTCAAAATTAAAGGAGTCATGCGTTAAAAAGCCAGGCTGTTAGCAGAAAATCATAGCAAATCAAGGTTCAATCTCACTTGATGCCAAATATTAGCTTCAACCCCTGAAATGACGAACTATATCTCCATTGGCACCTCAGACGAGTTTCCAAACACAAACAGCAAGATGAACGCATCATTTCTCTTACTCCTGGTGCAATCGCCGTCTTGCGTTGCATTATCTTGATGTCGTCAGTGTAGAAATGGGCACAATGTTACGTGGCGACGTGTTATGAGGCCGGCATTATGCATAACTATATAAAAACACGGGTCTCATAGGTGGGAAATACTTGGAATTACGGAATAATCCATTTGGTTGAATTCTCCCGTGATGTATGGGGGAGAGTAACTGTCACTGAAATCAGGTATAAGATCAACTTGATTCACTCATGAGACAACATTACGATCATCCTTATTTCCTCCTTCTGAGTACAGACCAACAAATCTCTTTCAAAATACCAACATTATGCGTCCCGCTACTCTCCTCAGCGCTCTTACCTTTGCCACATTCTCGGCAGCGGCGGTCATCGACAGCCAGGGCAGTGCTGCCATTGTTGCCCGCGGTCATGAGATTGAGGCTCGTGGCGACTCCTCCTTGCCCCTTAATCAACACTTTGAAAAGAGACACCTCACTCCTCGCTGGGAGGATGGCAGTGAGACCTTTGGGTGGCCTGCAGACTCGGTCGGCCGTGGCACCGTCGACTACCAATTTGTGGTGACCAACCTCGGCAACAACAAGTTCCGCGTTCAACTCTACCACAGCGGCCCTGCCAACGGCCGAGATGTCAGATACACCTTTACCGCACCTGGCATCTCAATTGTCAAGACTCTGAAGCCGCGCAGCTCTACCTCTTTCGAAGTGGCCAAGTCTGGTGATGGCTTCCAGGTCAAAATTGAGCGTCCTTGAAAGGCTCAAGAATGGCGAAGCTACTACCAAAGGGTCAAATTCTGGGATACTCGCGAGGTGTTGGGGCTATGGATCAGGAGACGTGGGGGATGAGGGGACCTTGCAATCTGCAAATAGCCATAGCAGCAAGTAAACGAGCAAATTGCCGACTTGATTGAAGTAGCCGAATGTTGAATGTGATTTTTGAGACAGGGGTTCTCGTGTTAGCCTTGGCGTAGATCTTGCTTTGGGCAACAGTTCAATGATCCCTGAGTGCACCTGAGGACCATTCGCATAGTTATCAGTACCCTTATGATAAGCTCGGAAAGTTGCAGGAAGTTTCCGAGAATTTAGCTGTAATTGATAAAAGGAGATCCAATAAATGAAGGACGCCTCGGTATGGACGAAAGTAACTGACGATACCCCCGCCAGGTCCTCACCTCGGTCAACTAGCCCGAAGTTGATAGATCGGCGGCAACAACTGCCTAAATAGGTACTTGTATGCGCCGCCGACTTGTTCACCATGATCAACTATAGCATCAAAATCCATGTTCCGCCTATAGTTGGAACTCTAGAATCATCGGCAAGTCTCCACGGCATGTCCTTATTAAACTTTATTTTGACAGTTATTCCTCAAGGGAAGAGAATCATTGGGTGGTCAGCCCACGCCATGTGCCTCCGCGGACTGCACCACTCTATACAGACCCTGATAGAACTGACAAGGAATAACCACTTCCCCTAATCGTACTGCTTGAAACCCCTCGTTTCGGTTCTTTCGGAATGGTAAATAAAGGGTCATGCGATTGCGGGACTGATGTTTACGAAAACATGTCTATATAAAGGTACGCTCCGTATCGTGAGTAGTACACCAAGCCAACCATCTCGGTGCACTCTCAACTCTGTCTTGACAGATTCACTTTCTCAAAATGCGATTCCTCCTCTCTTTGGTTGGTCTCCTTGGAGCCGCTTGTGCTCAGAAAAATATCTGCGACACCACCTGTCAGGAGGGCTGCGATGCTGCTTGTCAAGCCGCGATCCAGGGAACCTACGAGTCCGAGTCCAAGCTTTGGGTGAGCGACATTGTCAGCGATCCCTTCTATGACACCCCAGCGAATATCTCCTCGGCTAAGCCAGGTGACATCCTCCGCTGGGAGGCTGTGCCCGCTGCGCTGCTCAGTCGCAACTGGACTATCCCCGCCAGTCTGAGTCTTTACCGCTTCATGTACGCCACCGAGGATCTTGATAACAGCACTATCCCCGCAACTGCATGGGCTTTACTCCCGTTTCACCGGTCTCTCTCGACTCCTGGAGAGCCTCGAAAGCTTCGGACTGTCGTCTGGACACATGGTACGGCCGGGCGTAGCCGCCTCTGCTCGACAACCAACAACAGAGGCCTCTACTATGACTGGAAGGCGCCGTTTATCCTGGCCGAGTCTGGCTATGCCGTCATTGCGCCTGACTACTCCGGCCAGGGATCCGATATTCCACAGGGATTTATGTATGAGGCTGGTTTTCTGCACGCGGCTGATGTTGCGTACTCTGTTGTTGCCGCCAGAAAAGTCATCGGAAACTACTTGAGCCGCAAATGGGCTGTTTTTGGTCATAGCGAGGGAGGTATGACAGCTTGGCGTACCGCTGAGCGTCTTGCGCGAAAGGGAGAAGAGCGTCTTCACAAAGCTGGCGAATTCATTGGCGCTGTAGCTGCTGCTCCTGCTCTACGACCTCAAAAGCTTATCCCGCTCTCGTGGAAGCAGACGGGAACCGGTGGCGGCCCATTCTCTGTTTACTTTCTTCAATCCCTTGCCAAGCTTTTCCCCAAGCAGATCAAGGTTGAGGACTATCTCGCGGATGTTACTCAGCAACGACTCCAAGTCCTCGACAACTCGTGTTTCCAGACTGGCTTTGCTGCTGTTGGTACTCTCAGCCCTGAGCAACTCTTCAAGAACACCAGCTGGCTCCAGCATCCCGCCACCAACGAATGGGCCGTCCGGTACAATGGCCAAGGTCCTTATCCTCTTGCTGCACCGCTGCTGGTCATCCAGGGCGTCAACGACACCATCACGCCTGCGGTCCTGACTATGGAGGATTTCAACCTTACTTGCTCCTCCTACCCCAAGAGCCCGATTCATGCCAAGCTGTATCCTGAGATGGGCCACGGCCAAGTTCTCGAGTCTGCTCGTGCCGATATTGAAGCTTGGCTCGACGCCAGATTCAATGGCAAACCTGCTGGAAAGGCATGCTCTATTGAAAACATTGAGCCTTTGACTGAGCACTATTCTCGAGGCGAGCTGTTCTGGGCAGCCAACATTGTCCCCTTCTAAGTGACTCTGGTCACATTTTAACACGTTAGTGCTAGTTATATTTAAGGATGTATTTTCCCAGTGCAGTACAAAATTCTAAGTAGTGCCCCTCGCTCATTTGCTTTTAAGCACTTTGAAGGAGTTTCAAGACGCCGTGGTTGATGAATAGAATAAACAGTAGAGAGTGTTGAAGCTGCCTAGCATGACAAAGGCGTCATGGGAACTATAGCGAATCACTTCGTGAAATGTTAAGCTTTAATCCAGTAATACTACTATATTCTGTTGAATGATGCCCCGCACTGATTAGGCATATATTTTGCAGGTTTTCTGTCACTCTGCTGTAGACAACCCAGGCGGTTTGCCTAACTCTGAATAACCCAATCGAAGATCATTTATCTGTCTTAACTTACAACATGATGACCGATTAATTGGGCCTTTCGAGAAAGGCTATTTTATATCATCCCTGCCTATCATGTCACATGCCACCTCCCCTCTCCCACATTATCAGTGTGATATCAAGCCCGAAATGGGCCACCAAGTGATTGATTTAGATGCCAACAAAGGATTTGCATTCGCTACGGCATCGAGCAAGGTTTATAAAGATTGTCCCCAGGGGAAATAAACAGACCTATAAAACTCTCCCGAGAATAAATTGCGTTATTGAGGAGACAACTGAAAATGGTCATGACCTTGCCATACCCTAGAGCTCAGCTTAAGTGATGAATTCCCAGAGGTTTCTCTCTAATAAAACCTATCGCTCCAGCACAAGCAAATAATTATGCTTTTAGGTATGTATTTTCTTCATGATACAGCCCTTTGCTCCAATCATTTAATGCCGAGATGCGTCTACATCTCCTGGATAGCTGAGGAGTTCGCAAACAAGCATGCCACACGAACTTGGGCGAATAGTGACCAAGTTAGCTTGCGTTAGTGGATACCTGCATTTCAGCAGCGACTACTCGTGGGAACAAGTAGCTTTTATCTCGCGTGACAAGGGTCTCCCCAGAACCCCGTCAACTACCAAGGACATGGGTGTAAGTCAGAGGGCAAATGAGATTGAAAATGGAACAGATGATCTAATTATAACCTGCCTTGAAACAACACCCCGTATCCTACATGTCTAATATCCTCTAAGAAAGCCCCCAAGTCCAAAAATCCAGAAATGCAAAGGGAGCAATGTAAACCCGCCAAAAGACTGTCACGCCAATCAATGTGCCTCCCAAATTCTGCTCATTAGACACTCATCAATTCCATTTCGCGGTTCCTCTGTTCCCGCTCTTTTGTGGCCTTTGAAATGGCGCATTTACAAAGCCGTATCAGCTCAGTCACAAAATCGTTGACCAGCTTCATGTGTGAAAGCTCGTGAGGAGTCAGTCGCCTCACGGGTAACTGCCTGACTAAATCTGCAGCGGAGCTGAGGAGTTCCAGATCTGTCTGTGCCTGTTCCTCAAGCGGGTTTAGTAGAAGGTTGAAAAACAGACTCATCATCGCGGCTGTGGGATAAAAGACGACGACCCTGTAAGTACATGTTAGCGGCTGTAATAACAGAGGAAATGTAGAACTCGGCTATTGGAGAGAAACTCTTACCAGAATGCTTCACCCGCAAGCCCGTCGATGGCCGCCCTCAGGTACACGAGTGTAGACCGGCTCGCCTCCAACGACAGGGCAATACTAGACTGTATGCCTCCCTTCCATTCCCCATCTTCAGAGTTGTTCTCAGACATGCCAAGGCATCGCCCACTAGCTCGGTGGATGGCAGTCATGAGATGATGATATTCCAGATGCAACGTGATGTGTCGCATGCTTCGAGGAAGCTGCATTCCCGCAAGCGTTACTTTGGATTTTTCAGTTATCGACAGTGCGGGTCGAAAGTCCGGTGGGATCGATAGTCGCCAAGCTTCGAGTTCTTCATCGAGCTCACGGATATCGCGAAGCAGTTCTGCATCCGACTTCTTGGCAGCTTGTGCTGAGTAGAGGAGGCGACTTGTCTTGTCCTTGAGGTGGCTCAGGCGGGGATCTCCTGGAAGATGAGGCATAAGATGTTCATTGTTATAGGATGGTGATGTAAGGTTCTCATCGAGATCTGGTAGGTAGAAATAGCAACTCATATAGTCCTCAGGGAGGGTGAGATCGCAGTAGTCATCAGACATCAAAGGGGGCTGGCCGGTTCGTAAGGCAATATCTTTGTCAAAGATATAGCACAGCCAAAACAGCATTCGGAGTTGTCGTACCTCGCGCTCTTCACGAGTGGCCTCGGTGCCATAGGCTTTGGTGGGAGTATATGTATGCCCACCAAGCATGAAAATAATGCGGCAAGCTATGGCATGCAACATGGCGGCCGACTGCAAGTGCCCAGAGAAGGTTTGGTGCATATGCTAAGGAAGGTTAATATGATTTGATGGATTCTCAAGATATCCGTGTGAAACATACCAGCATAAAGACAGCCTGCAGACTTGTAATGCTGGTGTCCTCAAGAGCATCTGTCAAAAGGTAGTGTGCCTTCTGGGCACAGGCATCGCTGTCGAGATAAGGAATCTCCGACACCCTGCCTTGAAACAGACAGATGATGGAGATGAAGGCATAAACGCAAGATTTGGCACTGATTTGGTCAAGAGATAGAGGCTCGGTTGAGGACTCATATGCCAAGGTAAGGGTATCTTCAAACAGGACGCGGTCGATGACGGGAAAAACAAGTCGAAAGGCGGAGTGGAGGTATACGTGGAGGATTTGGTCGACAAGCTTCCTATCGGGAAGCTCGTAGAGGTCGGCAGGGTTGTTGTAGTAGTTAGAGATGGAGGATGTGGATGAGAATAGTCGCTGTCGTGGAGAGAGGGGTTGGAACTTTTGAAACGAAACATCCTCACCAGTCCTCGACGATAGCCATTTCATTCCTTCGGCAGAAAGTATCGGCATGCCATTATGTTGGCTGATCCGCCCAAAGTGGCAGCCACCGTAATGAATCTGACCGAATGAAACGGTGCTAGTGAAGCCGCTCGGCGTCGCTGGGATAGGCGGGCATTGTGCTACATGTGGTGACTCGAATGCTTCAAACTGTTCACCAAGACTTATCGAGGACCTGGTGGTCTCATCCAAGCTGGTTTGAGGCGCTGGTGTTGTTGTTACACTTGTGGAAGTAGGAGTTGAGGGCTTGGAGGGGACTGAGGTTACTGAGGTGTCGGTACCACGCTGACGAGCAAGAGTCTGAGCCAATGCATCTTCGATGCGCTCCAGTCTCTTTGCGAGACTTTGTTCGGAGGTTTGAGTGGTTCTGGGGGCGAGTTAGCTGCCGAATGGGGGTTTGCCCACCGCTCTATCGAGCTTAGGTGCATGCAGATGGGCCGAGCCAACACCACTCACCTGGGCTTTGCCTTCTTCTTCCGGCCTCTAATCCGGTTAAATGTACAAGCCAAGCCGTGATGTTCACACCAGTTGCAGGGTGTCTTGGAACTGGTGGAATCGCATTGGATCTGTATATCATCCATCCAGTGTCAGTTGACATGGAAAAGCATCCCCACAAGGAAGAATGTTCTTCTGATCGACCACCAAGGGTGCCAAGAGATGGTCCGATCATGGGGAACAGAGAGGGTCCGGATATCCAGGATTATGGATAAAAGAGCTGGCGTGAACCGAGGGTTGGCTCCGGGTACGTACCTTTCTCTTATGACAGGCATCACAAGCCCTTTTCTGGACCATGGCGGAGACGACACTGAATCAGAGACAGCACGCAAGCATGGCTCGGATTCAGACAAAAGCTTGGTTCCTATCTCGTGGCTGCCAGACTGGGTTGTTCCACAGGCAACGAAGAGATGCAGGAGACAAGCCCAAGAGCCCTAAAGCTGGCTTTTGCCGAACTCGAGTCCAGGGAGGGCGGCGGAAGTGATAGCTATGTGTCAGTCCCCAACGGCGTCGGCAAGTCGGGACACGTCTTCTGAAACTCCGAACGCGAAAGCCCGAGACCAACAAAAACGAGTTTCAAGATGCAGAGCTGGGGGTGGTGACGCCGTGACGCGGAGGAGGGAAATGGATCGATTGTCCAACTTCCGCTGACTCAGCGGCTGATTAGACGGAAGAGGACTAGCTTGGAATCCCGTCAGCGCTAACCTTCCCGCATTGATCCACAATCTCGGCAGATGGCCCGCTTTCCATGTGGGATTGTGGGAGGTGCGATCCACTTCACTCAAATAAAGTCAAACCACCGCTGACTCAGCGGCGTCGAGCTTTGCGCATCTTTCCGCCCAACACGGTTCGCATCACAAAAACCTCTCGTCAACCCGGTCAATCGGAGCCGATGGGGCTCAGATACGAAGCAATCGGCGGCCTTTGACAGATCTTGGCACATACGTCATCCCGGACTTCGCTGCTTACCAAGGCCGACATTGTAAATGTTCCGCCGTGCCCGGCCTTTTCACGCGTCTGAGGACTTTTCCAGGCACCGACCTTCGCTTTTATCTTGATACTCGTGTCCGTTCTCCGCGCTCCCCACACGCACATGCTTATCGAGCAGAGTGGAATATCCCACTGCATAAGACCCATCTTTTCTATCTCAATCGGATGCCACGGACCGCGTCTGCTCCCTGATTGCGCCTTGAGAGTGCTCCTTCACGCGTATCCCAACACCATCTCCATCTCGGCTAATGACTAAGCGGCGACAGCTTTGCGAGCATGTGTCCCAGGAAGTCAAGAAATGTGTCAGAGACATGTGGATCCATTGGATCCGCTCGAGTTGAGGCTCATTCAAAATCGGCAAATGGAAAGCTTCTATTCGTCAATCTCGAGTTGCCGTCGGACTCCCGAGAAAGCCCGCTATCCTCCATGTTGTTGTCACCATTCAGCTAACACCTCCGAGTGATGGGTCCTGATTAGTATTTACGCAGCGCCTCCTTTCTTTTAAAACCTGGTCTTGGCCTCTCTCTGCTGAAAATAGCAGTCTCAACCTTGTCAAACTAGTAGCTTTTTGTTTTTCAAACCTTAAGGCATTCACCCATTGTGCGAAGGGGGTTTGCGACTAGCATCCTTAGCTAGGACGGGCCATTGCCCAGACACTCACCATGGACTCCAACGATAGCGACTCCCAGACGGTCTATGACAAGACCCCTATGAACGAACTCGAAAACAAGGATTCTTCCGACTGGGCTTTGAAGCCCAAGGTGGCCGCTTTCAAGGAACGCGACAGATCATCTGGATTCCCCGACCGAGAACTTGGAGTCACTTGGCAAAAACTCAACGTCGAAGTCGTCACGGCCGATGCCGCCATTCACGAGAACGTCGTCTCCCAGTTCAACATCCCGAAGCTTGTCAAAGAGTCCCGACACAAGCCGCCTTTGAAGACCATCCTCGACAACAGCCATGGATGTGTCAAGCCTGGAGAGATGCTCCTCGTTCTTGGTCGACCTGGCTCTGGATGTACAACCCTTCTTAACATGATTGCCAACCACCGACGAGGTTATGCCTCTGTTTCTGGTGATGTTCATTACGGATCCATGACAGCTGAGGAGGCCAAGACCTACAGAGGCCAGATCGTGATGAACACAGAGGAGGAGCTGTTCTTCCCGTCCCTTACTGTTGGACAAACAATGGATTTCGCGACCCGGCTCAAGGTACCCTTCCAGCTCCCCGACGGAGTGACATCCGCCGAGGAGATGAGGGTTGAGACACGCGACTTCCTTCTTCAATCCATGGGCATTGAGCACACCCACGACACCAAGGTCGGTAACGCCTTCATCCGAGGTGTTTCTGGTGGTGAACGTAAGCGAGTTTCCATCATCGAGACCTTGACCACTCGGGGTTCGGTGTTTTGCTGGGATAACTCTACCCGCGGTCTGGATGCTAGCACGTGAGTCTCTCCAATAACCTCTTATCCATTGACATACTAACCTTATCCAGAGCTCTTGAGTACACCAAGGCTATCCGAGCGATGACTGACGTCCTCGGTCTGGCTTCCATCGTCACCCTCTACCAAGCTGGTAACGGTATCTATGACTTGTTTGACAAGGTCTTGGTCTTGGATGAAGGAAAGGAGGTCTACTATGGCCCTCTGAAGGAGGCTCGACCTTTCATGGAGAGCATGGGTTTCATCTGCCAGCATGGTGCCAACGTCGCTGACTACCTCACTGGTGTCACTGTCCCAACCGAGCGAGATGTTCGCCCCGAGTTTGAGAACCGGTTCCCACGAAACGCAGACATGCTTCGGGTCGAGTACGAAAAGTCACCCATCTATGAGCGCATGATTGCCGAGTATGACTACCCAACAACAGATGCCGCCAAAGAGAGGACAAGACTATTCAAGGAGGGTGTTCGCCAAGAGAAGGATAAGAAGCTGGGCGACAAGGATCCCATGACCGTTGGCTTCGTCCAGCAGGTCAAGGCTTGTGTCCAGCGCCAGTATCAGATCCTTCTTGGAGACAAGGCCACCTTCATCATCAAGCAGGTGTCTACCATCATCCAAGCCCTCATCGCCGGTTCTCTGTTCTACAACGCCCCCAACACTTCTGGTGGTCTGTTCATCAAGTCTGGTGCCTGTTTCTTCGCCATCCTGTTCAACTCTCTCCTGTCCATGTCTGAAGTTACCGACTCCTTTACTGGTCGTCCGGTACTTCTCAAGCACAAGTCGTTTGCCTTTTTCCATCCCGCTGCCTTCTGTATCGCCCAGATCACGGCTGATATCCCGGTTATTCTGTTCCAAGTCTCGACGTTTTCCATCATCCTGTACTTTATGGTTGGCCTGACGTCGACTGCTGGAGCCTTCTTTACATTCTGGGTTATCTTGGTTGCCATCACCATGGTAAGTGCAACGTTGACACTCCCAATTTCCAATACTGACTTGATTCTTCAGTGTGTGACTGCTCTTTTCAGAGCTGTTGGTGCCGGATTCAGCACCTTTGATGGTGCCTCTAAGGTTTCCGGTCTCCTCATCTCGGCAACCATCATCTACTCCGGTTATATGATTCAGAAACCCCAGATGCACCCTTGGTTTGTCTGGATCTTCTGGATCAACCCCATGGCCTATGGCTTTGATGCACTCCTTTCCAATGAGTTCCACGACAAGATCATTCCTTGTGTCGGACCCAACCTTGTTCCCAGCGGACCTAGCTTCAACAACGCCGACCACCAGGCCTGTGCTGGCGTGGGCGGAGCACGACCCGGCCAGAACTTTGTTACCGGCGATGACTACTTGGCATCTCTATCATATGGTCACTCTCACCTGTGGAGGAACTTTGGCATTGTCTGGGCTTGGTGGGCTCTCTTTGTTGCCCTCACAGTCATCGCGACCTCGAAGTGGCATAACGCTTCCGAGGATGGCCCCAGTCTGCTCATTCCCCGAGAGAATGCCCATGTCACCGCTGCGCTCCGCCAGACCGATGAGGAGGGTCAAGTCAGTGAGAAGAAGGCTGTGAGCAACCGAGAGGGTGGTGTCACCGAGGATGCAGACAGCAACTCGGATCGAGAGGGTCTTGTTCGCAACACCTCTGTCTTTACATGGAAGAACCTCACATACGTCGTCAAAACACCCTCTGGAGACCGCACTTTGCTGGATAATGTTCAAGGTTGGGTCAAGCCCGGCATGCTGGGCGCCCTGATGGGAGCCTCTGGAGCTGGAAAGACTACCCTTCTGGACGTTCTGGCTCAACGCAAGACTGAGGGAACCATTCACGGCTCCATCATGGTTGACGGCCGACCCCTGCCTGTTTCCTTCCAACGATCTGCCGGCTATTGTGAACAACTGGATGTCCACGAACCCTTTGCTACTGTTCGCGAGGCTCTCGAGTTCTCTGCCCTCCTGCGACAAAGCCGTGACACGCCCCGCGAGGAGAAGCTCAAGTACGTGGATACCATCATTGACCTTCTGGAACTCCACGATCTTGCGGATACCCTTATCGGCGAGGTTGGTGCTGGCCTGAGTGTCGAGCAGCGCAAGCGTGTCACCATTGGTGTCGAACTGGTTTCCAAGCCTAGCATTCTTATCTTCCTCGATGAGCCTACTTCTGGTCTTGATGGCCAGTCTGCTTACAACACTGTCCGTTTCTTGCGCAAGCTGGCTGGCGTTGGCCAAGCTGTTCTCGTCACCATCCACCAGCCTTCCGCCCAGCTCTTTGCCCAGTTTGATACCCTCCTTCTGCTTGCCAAGGGTGGTAAGACTGTCTACTTTGGCGATATTGGTGACCATGCCAAGACGGTTCGAGAGTACTTTGGCCGCTACGGAGCTCCTTGCCCCCAGGATGTCAACCCTGCTGAGCATATGATTGATGTCGTCTCTGGACACTTGTCCCAAGGCAAAGACTGGAACCAGGTCTGGCTGTCTTCTCCTGAGCACGAGGCTGTCGAAAAGGAACTTGACCACATCATCTCGGACGCCGCTTCCAAACCCCCTGGAACTGTTGACGACGGAAACGAGTTCGCTACCAGTCTATTGGAGCAGATCAGGCTTGTTTCCCAGCGCATGAACCTGTCTCTGTACCGCAACACCGACTACATCAACAACAAGATTCTTCTGCACATCACTTCGGCTCTGTTCAACGGTTTCACTTTCTGGAACATTGGATCTTCCGTTGGTGAGCTTCAGCTCAAGCTATTTACCGTTTTCAACTTTATCTTCGTCGCTCCTGGTGTCATGGCCCAACTTCAGCCTCTGTTCATCCATCGACGCGACATCTTTGAGACGCGAGAGAAGAAGTCCAAGATGTACTCGTGGATTGCCTTTGTTACGGGCTTGATCGTTTCTGAAGTCCCCTACCTCGTGCTTTGCGCCGTTTTCTACTATGTCTGCTGGTACTACACTGTTGGCTTCCCGAATGATTCTTCCCGCGCTGGATCAACCTTTTTCGTCATGCTCATGTATGAGTTTGTCTACACTGGTATCGGCCAGTTTGTCGCCGCCTACGCGCCTAACGAGGTTTTCGCTTCTTTGGTCAACCCCCTCATCCTGGGTATCCTTGTCTCTTTCTGTGGTGTGCTGGTGCCTTATCAGCAGATTCAGGTATTCTGGCGATACTGGATTTACTGGCTCAACCCCTTCAACTACCTTATGGGCAGCATGCTTGTCTTTGACATCTGGGGCAGCGACATCAAGTGCTCTGACAAGGAGTTTGCTCGCTTCGACCCTCCCAACGGCACAACCTGCGGCGAGTATCTGGAGGATTACCTCGGCCAGGGCCTGGGTATGATCAGCAACCTCGTCAACCCGGACGCGACGTCCGAGTGCAAGGTGTGCTCTTACACCAAGGGCGAGGACTACCTCCGAACCCTTAACCTGAAGGAGTACTACTATGGCTGGCGGGATGCGGCCATTGTTGTCATCTTTGCTCTCAGCTCGTACGCTTTGGTGTACGTTCTGATGAAGCTCCGTACAAAGACCTCTAAGAAGGCTGAGTAAAGGGAACCTACTAGGCCCTAAATAACATAATTTTCGTTCATAGAAGGATAGACTAGACATTAGACTGGGTTCCGTCATAGACTTTGCACTTATTCACATATTTTAATCAACTCACCTCTCTTGTGATCGACGGTGTCGAAGTTGGATGAGAGTGACCAGTGACGCAAGTTAATGAGCGCAAAGCCCAGAAACCTGGCTACCCCTGCACCCTGTGTTCACTGTACATATGAAGCGAAGTACCTGGACGAATAGAGAAAAAGACTAGTACATTTTCTGTGTGTTCTGCTAGGGTTCTCCAGGCGCTAAATAAGATGGATATTTGCTCGGAATAGCTCCCTACAATTCCTTGAATGGTTCATTAACCCTTTCCCAACCTTTAACGCCGAAACCCAATGCCAAACTCCAAGCCAAGCTTCAAAAAAGACCTTTCATTCCTAAGTCAGACGTGTGTCCTCGAGATACCCAAACCCACAAGGCCTATTACGGCCGATCGACTTGAGCCAGGGGTCGTCAAGCAACTCCTTAGCCGTAGCACGCTGCTCAGGCAGCCATGTCAACATGCGACGGGCAAAGTTGATAAACAGGGCTCGCTCCTGGCCTTCGAGCATGGGTGTCGAGTTTTCGAGCGTGAACATTTCGTTGGGGGTGAGCTCGGGGTATCGGAATTTGCCTTGCTCGTTGTAGTACTTGGAAAGAGTTCCGCGGTCGGCGCGGGCGAGAAGCTCGGAGGGTGGAGGGCCGAGGAGGCGGATCATTTGGGCGAAACGGGTTTTGTTGGAAAAGCTGCAGTGGCCGGGAATACGACCGCTGAGTAGGTTGACGTCTCCAAGGAGTTCCCATAGCTGAGACTGGATTAGACGCACTGAATTGCTGAGAGAGGAGGATACATACCACAAGACCGAGGTTCCAGATATCGGCAGAATAAGTCCAGCCAGCTCGGAGCATCACCTCGGGAGCTGTGTACTCTCGAGGCTGGATGTCGTGGTTGTGTTTCATGTTACCATGGACGGCGAGGCCAAAGTCAGTGAGCTTGACGTAGGTGACGTCTCCCCTTAGATGGCCGAAGCTATTGCGTGACTCGTAGATGGGGCGACCGTGGCGTTGGATGCAGGGCGCTGGGTTGGCTGTCTGGCGGATGGCATATTCTTCGAGGATGCGAGTATCCTCGAAAGGAACCATGAAGTGGTCGCCCTTGAGATCTATGACGGGGTTGAGTAAGACGCTTGGACGAGTTGGTTCACATAAGACTCACCAGTGTGAATGATGTTGGCCTCGGAGTGCAGATAGTCAAGCGACTTGAGGATACTTGGTAGCACAGCCTTGATGGTGCGTGGCTGGACCCAGCTAGTAAGGCCACTCTGCTGTCCCAGCATCCAGAGGGGTTGCCGCAGAGGCTCCATGGCCATGCATAGGTGAGTGCCATGAGGCCCTTCGACCTCGAAAGAGTCGAGGACGCCGCGGATGTATTCACGACCAGGATGAGAGGTTGGGGCAGAGAATATGTGGTCTGTCAGGTCAAGCTCCTTGCGGGCCGCAGCTCGGACGGCTGGGGTGTTGTTGGTGATCTTGAGAGAGACATAACGCTCATTTTGCCAAGGCAGCCTGAGACTGTTAGAGTCAACGATGACGTATGTGAGAGGATGCTCACCAAGATGTGGCCCTCGCAAGCCAAACCGTAGAACCGGTTCCCCATCCTAGCTTGGAGATGAGCTCATATTTTCCACCGAGTGTCTCTCCAATACGCGCAGGGTAAAAGTTCCTTGGGTTGTAGTTGCCGCAATTCTCCTCTTCGAATGGCTTGCCGCTACGCATGGATGAGAGCTTTCTCAGACTGCGCTCGCAGAGGGTGACGCCGATGCGGGGATTTCGGGCGAGGGTCCGGCAAAGTGCCGGGGCGACGAGACCGTATCGCATGTTAAACTTATGTATCAGTTGTTAATGTGAAGAGAAAGAATCGTTGAATGTGTTGATTCTCGGCTATGTCGTTAAGCCGAGGTGATGGTATAAGTGAGACAGAGAAGCTAACTCGAGCTTCTCCACGATCGACAAACTTTAGAAAAGCCTTTTTAATTCCGGGGTAAATGAGGGGTCAACTAGGAGCTTATAAGAAATTGCCCATACACGTTAATTTTCCGGAACTGACCGTGGCCTGTTTACTGAGGCATTGTTTTGGCATTCGGGGCATGTCGGCTAACTGAGGCCCCCGGGCAGGCGGAGGGGTTGGCTGCCTTGGCGTCATGAACTTGTTGCTTTTTTTTTACCAATGGAAACTCTCAAGTTTTTGGGCTTTCTCCGCAGGTGAGGTGGAGTGAGAGATCAGGCCATGGCGCGAAAACAGGTCATGACGGCATGGGAGAGTCTGGGGGAGGTTAAAGTACCGAAACCTGGGGATGAATCTCCTGGATGATGTTGGTGTTGGGTGCGTGGATAGAAAAAGAGTTGTAGTATTTCTTCACGCTCCTTGATATCTCAATATAGATCCTCTTGTGGCTTCTCGAAGTGTTGGCATTTGATCATCAACAGCAAATTCCACAGATCGAGCTACCGTTCCTAAACCCCAGAATGCCGGGGCCCCGCATCCATCATCCCCGTTGTCCAAGACGCTTAGTCTGGAGCTGCGGGGAACCTGGTGGTTTATCCTTCAATACACCCTCAACCAGAGTCGTTGGCCATCATCACCCCACGTCGGAACGTCGCTGGGCAACTACTGGTGGCTTTTGGCGTGTCCCTGACTCTTGAGCAAGCCATCGTGAGACTTGGGCAGGAAGAGGTGTGGCTAGTCGCCCTATACCTCTCCTTGAATTGGAAGCCGAAATGGCTTGACCATGCTCATCACTTCGATGCTCGTTTCGTGTGGCATCACTTCTTACTCGTCAGCAGGTGCAGTGCATGCAACATCAAATGATTCTACGCGTCTTGCTTGTCCGGGGAAGCACGAAGGATCGCCCGTCTCCAACCTGTCTCATTTCCCCGCATAAGATCTGGCCAGTCGTTGTTTGCGCGCGTGACTTGGCTGCCTGCAGATGCTGCTGGGTGTGTGTTGAAGCTATTCGCATCTCGATACAGTTATATAAAGATGCCATTCATTCACCCAGTCCGAGCCGAAATCATATCCTGATTTAGGAGGCTCAATATCAAAGTCGCCAAAGAACCCATGCTAGCTCCGAAGCCGGCCCTGACTCAAGCGATGGGCTAAGAAGCAACCCTGTCGCCGTGAACGCCTGTGGAGTCGCTTCTTCGGACTCGGATCCGAGCCGGCTGCTGTGTTCCCTTGATACAGTGGCAGGGAGGTTAAACTATTAAACCCAAGGATTGGAAAATCTCCTAGTGTGGAAGCTAAAGCATATAGTCGCACCTCTGCAGTAAACATGTTGTGCGACGCGGCAGAGAAGCCTTATTCATCTCCGCTTGCGCTATTTTGGGCCAAATTTGACAAGGCGCGCCCTTGTCGGCGGATTAAAATGTCTTCCGCGCCTTCCAATGACTCACACTGACAAAATAACAAAGACGGGCAGGCCGACTACATCTACTTAATGGAGCCCGGTTACGAGAAATTATCGTAACTTGACTACCTAATCAGCCATATTTCCTCAAGTGCCAATACTTTCACCATGTCTCTCGCAACCCGTCAAGATCAACTCCTATTGGTCCCCTGGGACCCGGAATCCCCAGACCACGTTGCGAGACTCTTTGAGCAGCGGCTGCAGTGCGGGTGGAACCAGGAACTTGTCGAGAAGAAATGGCGTGACAAACAAAGGTCGGGACACAAGTGCATTTACTGGATTGTGAGTCTTTAATCTCCTCGGTTTCAACTGGGACAGCTGGCTGAACTTGGAACAGACGTTATCACCTCAAGATCCCGGAACACAGGAGTCACTTCAGTCACACTTTGATGTGTTCCCAGCGGTACGCGTTCGTACGCCGAGCTCATGCCGGTCGATGGCTGATCAGTCTCCAGGAGAAAACTTCACTAGTCGACACCGCAACTACTATCCGAGCCAAGCCGCGTACGCCAACTCAAGAGCCGATTTATCCAGTGGGCCACATCTCACTAGATGACGAAAACCTAGAGGCTGCCCATCTCGGCCTAGACTTTCCGGAAACCGGCGTTTTTTGGATCAAGACCTTTTACGTTTCAAAAGCCCTGCAGAGCAAGGGCATTGGTCGTGCTGCCATGGATATCGCCGAGGCCATGGCTGTCAACGAGCCGCTGTGTGCCAAGACTTTGGCACTCGACACTCTGCACAAGGACAGTGCTAAAAGGATGGCCTTGGAGGAGACGGGCCAGGTACTCAAGGTATGGCTCATGACATTGTTTTGGGACTGCAAGCTGACAGACCGCAGACGACCAACCATGAGTGGTATGAGCGAAGGGGTTACCGACTGATTCATGAGCAACATAACCATTACTGGGATGCGCATCGAGAAGCACCAGATATGTGGACTGTGTTTCTGAGAAGAGACATTGCATAGAGTGTTGGGCATGTTTCATGTCATGCAAGTCAGGTTACTGATGGCTATAAAGGGGTTATTTATATGCATAATTGGATTTACTATAGACAATACAGGCTCTTTATAGAACGAAGATCCCTGATTCGCGCGCTATCAGCTCAGCCACCCTCAACGCCTAGGGATGTCGATATTAGGCCAAGGCTTTGAAAAATGTGACTCTGGAGATGAATATTAGTCCCCCAACGGTTGTGAAAAGAAAAGTCATAGGGCAGGCAAACTTACATGGGTAGAAAACAGGCCGACAACCTTTGAGCCGGTTGGTTTAATGGCCCTCCATCTGATCCTGTTTGACATGAGATGCTGAGGGGATGTGACCTCTCGGCCGAAATTTGTCCGGAGCTGTAGGGTGTTGCGGTGGTGTCAGTGGCCATCAACGAGAAAGTTCCAGGACATGTACCTTCAGCCCTATTACGTAGCCCGACATCTCTTTGACCTCGATACCTACTAGCTCCTCGCCCCCGGCGCTGTCAATCGTCATGGAGGTTCTTTGGTAACTGTCTCTCTGTTCTCTTGGGGGGATGCTCCCGGCGGGCTCCATATCGCCCAGGTGCTGGTTCAGCGAAGCATCGGCGTAGAGGAATTCCATTTTCCCAATATAGGCACCGTTGAACGTCCAAATGGCAATCTCAACCAGATTCGAGGTGGAACGCCCGTCGAGTCCAGCAAATAAGACGGTTGAGATGATCGGGCCGGAAGAATCTTGTGAGTGGTAGTCGTCGTTTCCGTCGAACAACAGATGATCTGGTGGTACACTGTACCAAAGACGGCTGTTTCGCCATCCATGTTGGCTTGGAAGACCGCGAGGTTTATTCCGACTGAGTGAAACCATTTTGAAGGCCTAAATGGAGTGGGCCAAGGTTAGCCAGGATGAAGGGGATGGTAAAGGGGGAACCAACATCAAATTCTGCCCGGACCGCAGTAATGCCTTCGTCCTCGGCCAAGTGCCACTTTGGAAAGTTTCTCGGCTCCCCTGCCCAAGGAGAAACCGTACCATCCTCGGTAACGACGGCGATCGACCTGATACCTGACGTATCGAGAGCCAATTGCCATCCTTGTATGCGCTGGGGGGTGGAAAATCGAATGGAGACGGTTTGATCTTGGTGTATATATCCTAGAGCATCCTGTTTTCCATCTTCATAGATGAATATGAGGCCAGACACAAAAACACCCATGCCCGTGTGAACAAGGGATACAGACACGCACTGGACTTGAAGCGGTTGTGACGTATGAAGCGTCCGGACTCGCAAGACTCGACAGCCACGGTGAAACCTCGCCTCCGGATCAATAATTCCGCGTTTGGCTATTTGCCAAAAGCCTTCTTCTTTGGGTGACTCGGCTGGCATGAAAGATTCGAACCAACTTTCCAAGGGGGTCCCACTGCAAGGAGTATTCACCATCTGGGAAACAGTGGTTTGCAGGCACTTGATGAGTTTCCAGACGCGTCTTCGACTAGCCATGTTGGGATTATCGCGACTCAAAGCTCGAACGGTAAGATATAGCATCTTCCAGGATTTTGGAGGATTGTGGGAAACCTCTGTTATGTGTTCAAACTGGTTGCCTTTCCGGAACCGTGATGCCCAAAACGTTGCTGACAAGTTCAGGGTGGCAAAGACCGGAGACGCAAGACGTAGGGAGTGCACATCGTGAGTGGAGAGGACGGTGAGGATTTGTTCAAGGAGTTCAGGGGCTAGGCGGGAGAACATGTCTTTCTGTAAAGAGACATTCGTAATTGCAAGGCGGCGCTGGGAAGGGTCATCCTGTACGCCAAGATGGTCCTTGATGGCATCTGAAAGACAGGGGATATGCAAAGGATCCGATCGAAAATCTGGAGGAATGTAGAAAAAGTCGGGAAAACAACTTATCAGGGTTGAGACTGACCCTCTGTGACGAAATGCCGCAGCTCCTCCATAGGTATGACCCCAATTGATGATGCCATCCAAGCCAATGGGGACTGAGAGAAGGGCTCCAAAAAGGAGATTCAGATCCGGGGTAAAGGTTTGATTGAGCAGATCCCAGCAGGATGAGTGAAATGCCCACCCCCAAAACGCCTGTGGTTCCCTGACGCGGTACTCGGGAGGAATCAGGTGCTCAAGCTGGAATATCCGCAACTCGACGTCAATCATGGGTCCTGGGCCGAGAGGGTCATCGTAGCGCCTGTCGGCGTGTCTCGGAACAGAGTCAACGCCGACCTGGTCAATTTCACTACAGATGCCGACCCCGGACAACTTGACGTCGTCCCAGTGCGTGGTTTCGACCCACACTGAGAGGGGTTAGATGGCTGGTTGGCTCTTTTGGAGGGGAACCGTCACTCACCGGCTCTGAATTCCTGAAGCCATGGTTCATTGGATAATCGGGTGATTGGGATTCCGCACAGGACGCAATACCTCATGGTTGTACCCGGAGTGAGAGCTTCGGTGGAGAGGAGGAGTCGGTCGCGTTGGAGGGCGTTTCAGGATCCCAGCCATGATTGACATAAGCCTTAATAATCAGGCACGCACATCTCTGGCCAATCTCACCAACATCCTGGATCAATAGCTGGAAAAATGGGAGACTGGAGTTTTGGCGAAACCACATTATGTTTTCTATATTAAACTATGCCTGCTATGCTAGGTTACCTACGTTATTAATGTATCAAATAAGTGAGCCACTTCTGTGGCACCGTCGAGGATCCTGGTGTAACTTCAGTGGATAACTTGCTAATTTCTTCGATGCCTTTATGGTGGAAGTAATGCTTTCGGGAAAAGAATCACGCAAGGGCATCTAGCTCAGTTAACTCACCAAGGGCGGCTTTTAGAAAATGTTTAATGCGGTCAGGGTCGTCCAAGGTGGAGGCGCCGAGTCTGAGAAGATCGCTTCGGAGGCTGCCCGTTTTCGATGGCAAGGAGCGAATGGCGCGTCAAGGCTACCTAGAGCGAAGAGAAGATCAAGAACAAGAAGGGTTAGGATCGCGTTCGTTCGCGTTCCTGCCAAACCCAGAAATAACTGGGAAATCTTTAATCCATAATTCATAGTTAGGCTTAGGTCATAACTCTTTTTTCATACCAAGACTTTATTTATTTCTTCGTAAAATTTATTTACTTCTTTTATGACCTTCCGACAATTTCTATCTAAACCATTTCTAAAGTCTCATCACATACCCCTGAACCCTGTCTTCACAAGTTATCCAGACAGCTGCGAATCTGCTCCAGACGCTCACCCCTGCCCCAGTCAAGGATGTTGTGTACAAAGTTGTAGAACTTGGCATGATGCTCAGGATCCTGAAGGAGGAAACTGTCGACATGCGCCATGAAGTAATCGCGCTCATTCTCCTTCCATGAGACGTATAGCCGCGCCTCCGTACCGCTCATGGCAATGCTGAATACAGCGCTGTTGATTGGATCAGCGCTGTTGATTGGATTGTTGCTCATGCGCTGTTTGAATCGATCGTTGAGCTTTTCCACCATATTGATACAAGTCGCTGCCCCCCCTAGACATTGGTTCGTCGCCGCCCACAAACTGCCGTTATCGCCCTTGAACTCGATGACGAAGAATGGATACATAAGTCCCTGATTATTGGCCATCGCCTCTTTGTACATGGGCAACAGCTGGGCCTGCTGCTGGTGGAAGGCTGTCTCATCTCTGTATCCATAGAGCGTGTCCGGCACAGGGGTGCTGACCTTGTGGTTGGTACCCGCGTCGGGAACATGGTTCCTCTTCATCTGTTGTTTTTCGTTGCGTTTGAGATAGTCAGACGATCCAGGGTTGACGAAAACGCGAGCAAGGAAATAAGTTGCCACTTCTGACTCTGATGTACCCAGCGAGAGGTTGTGGAGGTCTCTGTCTTGGGAAATATCATCCGCCGATGGACCGGGAGAGCCACGATCCCGACGCATCTGGTTCACGAAGTTGGTGATGTGCTCTGGAGGCCGGTCGCATGGATGATTGAAGTAGATGCCGTTTGCTCTCAGGTTTTGCACCCGGTAAAGGGGGCTCTCTACAAGGGTTCCTTTCGTTGTTGCAGTGGGCCCAGTGATGCCGGATATATTACCCAAATCGTCCATTGAGGGAGTCCAAGTTGAAGGGAGCGTCGAGAATGCGCAGTGATTGGGATTCCACGTGTTGCTCATCGCCGGAGCCGATCTCGCACGCCTTGGTGGGATGGGGGGACTGTCGTCTGCGGGTTTTGGATGGGGTTCTGACCGGCGGCGGCGTCTATCTCGATTGGAACCAACGGATTCGAGCCACTCAAGAATAAGCCTGTACTTCGGATGGACGGGCTGGACGGGGTCGATAAATCGCTGCGTGTTCGTCAGCCGAGCCTTCTTCGCAGGCGACTGATCGATCTCGTTGAGCTGCCTCTTTGTCGACCTCTCTGGCGTGTCTTGTAGGAGGCGGCGGCCTGGAGATAGTGTCGGGCGAGAGTGCCTGGAATGAGATTGGGAGAGCCTGTTGATCATGATGGCAAGCTGTTCTTATAGAGCATGAAGGAAGATTTGTTGCAAGAACGTCCCGGGCTGGTCGACCAGAAAGTCCTTTGTTCGTCTCGCGCTGAACCACGGCACGTGAGGATAACTTAATTGGCTGTTGACGCCTTGCGGTCCAGGGGGCCCGGGCGTCATTGACGCCGACAGGGGGACAGGGGGGGGGGCGCAGAGAATTACCTAACTTCTCATAAACATAGTTGATTAATTTATAAAAGATGCTATGAAGTAATATATTAACTAGGAGAGTTTGTGAATATTTTTTCTATAATTTATTGATTATATTCAGAGGAGGATTAGGAAATATCTTCGTCCTCGTGTCTCGTTTTGTCCTTGCCCCAGGTGGGAGGCACAGTGCTGTGTTGCGTCTAGCGCGCCTGTCGTGGTTGCCCCACACGATAAGCATTAAACCCCTGTCTAGTCGCGCTTGTTGTGTCGATGGGGCAGTTGAAGTTGAAGGTATAGTCAAGCCCCTGGAAATCGGGCCATGATGGCTGTGCATCAAACGTTACCACTTACGTCAAGGCACAGATTTAAGGATGAATATGCCAACGTCCTAAAAAGGTACCATCTTGTACATGAGATGCACCTTTCTATCTGATTCTTCTATAGCTGTAGCCATAAAAGTCAAAATAATCCGGTTGTGGTGTTTTGTAGTATTAGGCTTTAATACCATTATGCATTCATAACTGTGTTTTTTGCTGTTGCAGCTGACGGTCTCTCGCGGATGTGCCATTGCAGATGGAAGATTCTCCTCAATATTGGGGCAGACCTGGATTTCGCCGTAGAGGCTGGGGATGGGGTGGTGCAGGCCGCAAGCATGGGCCTCTGGGCTGTTGGCCATCCCTCGGATTGGGCGGGAAGAGGGAGTAGCTTTCAGGGGTGTAAGATGCTCCTTCGCAAGATTATTTTCAAGCTCTAGCCCGGCGTTTGTCGGCGCTGAATCAGGGACTGACCCCACAGTCGAAACAGGCGCCGTGTTATTGCCAAAGGATGTTTGTTTGATGGCAGGGGAGTGGCAGGGATGGTTCCAAAAGAAGATGTAGGTGACAGCATCTTGTGGAAAGAGGGTGGGCCTTGGTTATACGCAATCTCACTGGTGCCCTCCAAGTTCAAGTTGGGATGACAGCCCAACCCTTTGAGGTGCCCGCTTTGGAGGGAGATATCCCGATCAGTGATGGTTGGGTAGCTGTCATTCTGGGAGAGGGTCGTCACCAGACGGGATGAATCCGGATTGCAGAATAGCTTTGGTTCTGGTAGCAAGCAAACCAGCGACTTATCTTTCGCGGGTATCCCATGACGGCGATATCAAAGTGAACCTCCATGGTTCCTGCTAGGCCGCCAAGCTTGGACATTGGCAGCTTCTCAAGTGATTCCCGGGCCTAAACCCTGCCGGACCCTGAATCGCCATATTTGGACGGTGCCGCGTCGATAGCATCTTGGGCCACACCTCCCAACTCCACGGCGAAACCGAGTTGTCTCCTATCACAGCTGACTGGTGGGGTCGCGGCTGCAGTCTATGATCGGTGACCCGAAATTCCAGCCCACATTCTACTCTTCCTCGTAAGCCAGTCAAGGCAGCAGATAGCAACTAGTTTTCAAATTTGGAGAGGCACAACGTTGGGATCTTTAGCTCAAAACGAGGGAAAGTTCGTCCATTTTAACCCTCAGCATTGGAGACATCTATCCAACACCAAGACAAGTACGGCTCATCCATTTAATGCTCGACCACTTTATTTTGGTGGCATCCTGCTCTCCAAAAAACCAATTCTTCAGTGCTTGATGAGGTCCCTTGTCAGCCAATTTCTCCTGACACCGCCACCATCATGACCACCAGTTCAACTCACCAGCTCTGCAAACATCTCCCTGGCCCTTGGAAATGACCGCCAGCAGCGAAAATACGAAAGTTCGATTGCCAGACGTGGCGGCGGATGGTGCAGCCCGTCAGCAGCCATGCCAAAAGGACCAGTATAGATAACAAAACCCTTGCAAAGCCCATGTTTGAAATGTAACCAATTGAGACGGCAGAGTGGCATCACGCGCACCTGGCCGACCCGTTTCAGGGTGCTGGAGCATGGAAATGCCGGTGACACAGCATACCACCTGAATAGAACGTTTGCCGGTGGGGTGGGGGGGCTCAACCACCCAGCCTGCTTCTGCCTCTCAGTCCCTGCCTTTAATTATATGACACGGCACCGGGGTACACTCCTCACACAAACATCAAACACTGACTTGCATGGCACCGTTTGCCGTTGCAGGGAGATCTCGTGTTGCTGTATTGAAAAATAAGCGAGTGAAGCCACCCGGCTTGCTTGCACCAAGGCTGAGACAAGAGACCAAGTATTCTTCGGATCTGCTGTAGGAGTGTTGGGGCTAGGGCAGATCCTGTCACATCTTGCAGAGGCTTCAGAATGAGGCGGATGAGTAAAACATCAAGCAGGCCGTAGGCTGAATCCCATGTCCTCGCGCCGGTCGCTGGCCCAGAGAAACATGAATGGGAGGGGGGAGCATGGGTTGGAAAGCCACTGTGTCACCAACACAGCCGACATGACGCGTCAGTGCTTCCTGGAACAAACGTCAAGGTTTTAATCAAGCTCCGTTCGACTGGAAACACACTGCATTAGCACTGGGATATGATGCTATGATGTGTTGACAATGTGTTCTTTGTTACAGTTGATGACCGGCCCTTGATGGGTTAGCTGAAGCCAGAAGATCGGCTGGAAACACTGCATCCAACATTGTTAGTGGGATTACGGATCCTGCTTTACCCCGCCTTGAGGCTTTGCGGAAGACAGCTACTTGGGATGGTTCCGTGCCCGAAAGTTGCCCCCCACGGACATATATTCTGTAGCTGAATGGGCGGTTGATTGCAAGAGCAGGGGAAGCAACAGGGGTGGGGCTCAAAGGGCTGTCGTTGCAAGTTGAGAGCGATGCGCGTACTGGACAAAAACAGTGGATGATGATCGCTTGGGCCTGGGAGACACAGCACGATGAGAAACGTTCTCACAACAAAGCAGGCCCCCAACCAGCCTCCACCAAGCAAAGAAGAGGTTTAAACCTCTTGTGGCAGGATATCAACGTCTTCAACAGCTTGTCAACTCCCAGCGTCAAATGACACGATGAAAGAGCATCTTGAGGCCCTCGACTCCCATATAGGCCTCTCAGGGCTCCGGTTTGACCTCCTTAACCCTCCCTCTCCCCCCTTTCCCCCACGAGTCTATTATTCTAATTTAGCTTTTGGCCCTTCCCATAGTGATACATTCGAACGGTCTTGTGTCCGCGCGAAAGTCAGTTTTATCCTCCTTCGTAAGCACTTCTCCATCGCCGAGTTCAACCACGTTTCGACCCCATAGCCCGTCCCCGCGAGACGGCAAGATGGCCGGCGGCTACCTCGCGCCCCGGCCTGGTGCTTCTGGGACGACGAGCTGGAGCCGTACGAGTTCGGCTTCAACCACCCGGGCCAGGAGGACTACAATATGGCCGAGGTGCCCGACGCGTTCGTGGAGCAGCTACGCTCCTTTTTGTCCGAGGCTAACCTGCTGGATGTGCTCGGGATCTGCGCCCTTGGGCACTCGGAGCTCACAGGCCGGCTCGGGAAGACACGTGGCCGCATCAACTTCATGTTGCCCTTTGTTAACCCGCCGAACTTTGATGTTAACGCGAATCCAAATCATGCTGCTGCTGTCTGGTCATTTAGCTGCAGGGACGGGTTGAAGGATGCCACGATCTTCTGGCACAGTTAACCCATCAAGAGCCGGGCTTCGACTATAACAAAGAACACATTGGCTGCCTTTCTACACTTCTGTCAACTATGGAGTCGCCAACTGCAAGAGACCGAAGTAATGGAGGGGTGAAACGATTGCTCGCAGGGATAACAATAGGTCAGCTTACTGCATCGTCAGTTCACGCTTCTTACACGGCCCTATACATACTTGAACCATGGTCTCGTGGAAGTGCAAGGCGACCCAGGTGATCAGATAGTTGGTAGAATCTCGCTACTTGAAGGAGAAAGTAGGCTCCCAAAGAGATAAGTAGTATCACGCCTCGAGAACGGGAAAGTTGCACAGGAGTTGGGGCTCCATGGTTGATCTCTCAGTCGGAAGTGGCACCATTATCGAGGAGAGGATTAGTCTCGACTACCGACGAGGCATCGTTCTGAGATACCACCTCTATTTTGACGTCATCACCGAGACACAGAGCTGGGACAAACATCGAGAAGAATACGACCGTTGCGATAGGAAAAGAGACCCAAAGGGTGCTTGACCATTGTCAGTACCCTAGTAGATAAGCGATCCCCGAAACGGCCTGTATCATGGAGAAGGCAATAGGTATGGAATATTGGGATGATCATCGCCTCGGTGGGACAGCAGATTCAACACCATACCTCTGTTCTGGACTCAGTCCTTCATTAAGAGCAGCGAAAAGACGGGGGCGGTTGCCCAAGGTCCGCCTGCAAGTAGGAGGAAAAGCGGTGTCAGGTCAAGGCGCCAGATGGGGAAGTCTGTTTGAGATATCATCTAATCTGTCTATACTCTATGTGTCCTCTAGCATCCTCATCATGTGGTGATTCGCGTAGAACCACGTCGCCAACTCTGCACTGGGTTGATCTATCCCCATGTCGAACTCTCCCGGCTCAAATTGGTTGGTCCTTGATTCGTACATGGGCATTTGACCTTGTGCCGCATCAACAGGCTGTCCACTGCTCGAAAAAGGTAGCATACTTGACAAATTTGCCATGTTCTGATTGCTTGCCCCCATCTGCGGCACTGACGAGGGTAATTTTGGGTTTGGCGTGCAATAACCTGCTGACCCTGTGCCTCTCGTATCAAGCATGGCTTCTGGTGTTGCAGCGGCTCTGATGTTGAAATATTTGACCGCGACGTCGTAGAGAGCCTTAAATATGCTCAGCTGCTTCTGACACATCGAGTACTGAGAAGGTTCCGTCACTGTCTCGAGTATGTGGACCAAATCTCGCAGACAGGGCAGATCGGATGGATCAGATGTCTCTATCATGTGACAGAACAAGACGATAAATGGGATGAATGGGGATTGGAGAAGTGTCCTTGACAGCAGAGTTAGAAAATCTGGAACCATCGACTAGAGTCAAGACTTACCAGTTGACATATAGCAAGAAATAGTTTGACTGTTTCTCCGTGCTAGTAAAGATTTCAACACACTTCTCATGCTCTTTGACTGCTTGTCTAGCTGTGGCGATGCATTCGTCACAAAACACCGAACCACCAGGCTTATCGGGGGGAATGCTTCGGTATATGAGGGTGAGCATGGAGAGGCTAGTAACCCGCTCGCTGCGGAAGCAGAGTTGGCTCAAGACAGTGCCAAGTTTGCGAGACACTTGATCTTCACATTTAATCTAGAACAGCGTGGCTCAGTCTTTGAGTTCATCAGGGGGGAAATGGTTACTCACCTGTAGGTCATCCTCAACCGCCATCAATCTTTTGGTCTCGTCGGCCAAGGCTCTCGCTCGTGCGGTGCGAACGCTTGCCGGCTGCGCGAGAGAAGCCGGGCTGTAAATCTCATCGTAAACCCGACCTTGCAGGGTTGACATTCCGATCCAGACGGGGAATGCCTGGCTGAAAAAACTGTGGCTGAAGAAAGGATCGTTCAGCACCTCGGGGGTCATACTCGGGACGGTAATGTCATTTTCTCGGATTGTGGAGGAGCGGCCGATGCGGAGGGCCAGCATCTTCTCGGTCGTGTAGATGCACCAAAAGAGTCGAGTCTTTTGATTTTTTGACTCTGTCGTTTCTTGGTCCAGCATCACGCTGCTGTGAAGACCGAGGGACTGGCTGAGATTGGTGGCTGCGCATATAAAGTTCCATGCTGCGGAAGGCTTGCACCTTTGAATGCAGTACAATGACTAGGGCTGATGAGTACAAAGGACTTGTTGGAAGATGTTGGTAACTCACTGCCATGCACAAGGCTAGTACGTGCTCTAGCGTTGCAGGCATATGAAAAGGAAGCCTAGAGAGAACTGTCTCGAGACTATCTCGACATATGATGGACTGGGTCATGTAGTCTTTCTTGAGGTTTTCATCTCCCACTGCGTTGACACACTCGCAAAAAAGCCAATACAAACCCAGGTAGAAGATGATGAGATCTGCCTCAGTGACTGGTCCCGGAGAGCATACTTTGATGAAATGCGTGGTGAACTCGGGTATCGTCTGAAGATCCATGAGCCAGAGGATCTGGATCGGGGTGCTGTCTTTGAAGGCGTCAGTTGTCTGGGACTTTTTGTCTGGCGCAAACCCACCTTGAGCCATTCTGAGACAGGCCATCGCCTTTTCAGTGGAAGGCATGGGAAGTTGACGGAGACTAGCCCCTGGAGGAAGCGGTAGAGCATTTGGATAAAGATTCTCAATGGTGTCGGACTGCTGCTTCTGGGCATCTATTACACCTCTGAGGGCGTTGAGAACAGACGTCATCTCGAGGGCAACCTCGGACGGCGAGTTGCTGTTGACCGAGTTTTGGAGAAACTTGGTGGCAAAGACAGCGTGGGCGAACAGGGACGACTCGCCCTCGTACTCTGGCTTGGAAGAGCATGAGGGGGATTGGCTGACGAAGCTGGGGTCGGAGGGAGTTGGCTGTGAAGATGCAGGCGTCGGACGGTGGGCGGTCTGAGATGTCTGCGGATTGAGGGCTGTGCCATGATACTTGGGACCAGGTTGAGTTATGCTCAATTGTTGTATCGTTTGATTGAGTTCTTCAATTCTGTTGACGATGCGGTCAATCTTGTTCTCGCTGTCGAATGTTGACGTGGTCAGCTCAGCCAGTAAGAGCCGTCCAGATGGACTCACTAGATGCTGGATATTAGAACGCGTTGACGTTTTGCCCTTGGCTTTTGACCAGAAGGAAAAATGCATTGCGCCTTGGTCTTGATGCAGTGTGTGCATGGATATACGCGATCGCATTTGACCTAAAGATGTAAACATTGTGCCCCGCTTGAGATGCAAAGGTCACACCTTTCGCTGTCGACAATTCTCGCACTATCACGATTAGCAAATGTCAAAGTTCGTTTTAGGCAGAGATCCTACTGCAAGCTTTTCTAAAATGGGTCCGTCGTGGTCCTCAAATTGCGACAATTGGTCTTGAGTGAAGCTCGTGTCGTGATGCATCAAATTCTCTGCTGGCGTTTCCCGCCCCTCGGAAGGCGTTGATGTCATGGTGATAAGCGAAAAAAGGCTTTACTTCTGTAAGCGAAGCAAACACGGACGTCACGGAGCCAAAGAAAAAGCGAAGGATTGTAAACACCAGACAAGAGAACGTGGGCGTAATCACATATGTAGCCTCCCTTTACGCACGGGGCACGCGGACTCCGTCATTCGCCCCCTAAGATGCTAGGCAATCCTTTTGAAGTCTTGGCGCGGACCTCCGGGATACAGAGGTTCCGGGCTCCGAAGGCGAGAGACCCTCCGGGCTTCGGGGTCTTGGCGTCCGGGTCCGAAGCATCTCACAGCCATCGAGATGACGTGAAGGGTCTAATTTTCGGACGGACGTGAGGTTTTGCAGAGTGCGAGATGATTGGAGACTTCGTAATCTTGTTGGCAGGAGGTGAAGGATGATAAATACTTCTTCTTCGCCCCTTGTTATTGTTTGGTTGTAATCACAGCATTTCGTCTTCGTTCCTTGACATTTAATTCTTATCTTAATTCTTTTCAAACGATAGCACCACTTCTGGATCATTCCCTTCGTCTTTTCTTCGTCTCTCGCGCTCCCAATTACACAATCAACAACCCCACCATCGCGCGCCAGAATCTCCCATGGCAGCCAAAGACGCGGGCCAGCAGGCTCGCGACCCTGTAAAGACTTCAGCTATGAAGTCTTTTATCGCAAGTCAATACATATCGGATACCCATCCTTTGGCTAACAAATAATCTAGCGAGTTTTTCGATATGGCGACCCTCAGCTCTACCTTCTCGAATTCATTGGCGTAATCGGAGCCATCACGTCCGGAGTCGCTTTGGCCATGGTCAACGTCGTCATTGGACAATTCATCACTCTTCTCAACGACTTTACTACCTCTGGCACTGTTCCTGACGGCTTCATGGCGGCTGTGGAAAAGACTGCGTGAGTTCAACCATCGTTCTCATCCGTCAACATCACTGACAAGCTAGTCTCTACTTCGTCTACATCGGCATCGTTCGACTCGTCTCGACCTACGTATACGCTTCCCTCTTTACCTACGTCGCATACCACCTCACTCGAAATATCCGTCAATCCTATCTCAAGGCTGCCTTTAGTCAAGAGATCGCCTACTTCGATCAAGGCGTCGCTGGCTCCATCGCGATGCAGGCAACCTCCAACGGCAAGCTGATCCAGTCGGGTATCGCAGAGAAGCTTGGAATCGTTATCCAATCCATCGCCACTTTCATCGCCGCCTTTATCATCGCCTTTATCAGCCAGTGGAAGCTCACACTCATCTTGATCTGCATTGTGCCCGCCCTGGTCATCATTGTCGGCACCATGTCGGTCCCTGACGCCAAGATCGAGACCAAGATCCTAAAGATCCAAGCGCAGGCTGGAGGTTACGCCGAGAGTATCTTTGGTGGCATTCGTACCGTTCACGCATTCAGCCTCCGATCAAGAGTCGTTGCCAAGTTTGACATCTTCTTGCAGGATGTATTCCGCGAGGGAAAGAAGAAGAACCTACTTTACGGACTCATGTTTGGTGGCGAGTACTTTGTCGTCTACAGCGGCATGGGCTTGGCTTTCTGGCAGGGTATTGCCATGATCTCCCGTGGTGAGGTCTCTGACATTGGCAAGGTCTTTACGTGAGTTTCATTACCTAGGTATGCGGCAAGTATAGTTATGCTAACGTTAAATAGGGTCTTGATGTCCGTCATCATTGCCGCCAGCACCATCAGCATGATTGCTCCTCACTTTGTGGCATTTGGACGTGCAGCATCAGCAGCCACTGAGCTGTTCATCTTGATTGACCGCGAGTCCGAGATTAACCCTTTCGATGAGTCTGGAGAGAAGCCCCAGGACCCGCATGGTGTCATTGCTCTCCAAGGAATTGGCTTCAGCTATCCCAGCCGTCCTAATGTCAAGGTCTTGGAAGACTTTAGTCTCAACGTTCCAGCTGGAAAAGTCACGGCCCTCGTCGTAAGTGTTGCATGCTCATTTGAGGGATTGTGCACCATGCTAACAGTTTCAAGGGCCCAAGTGGTTCAGGCAAAAGCACCATCATCGGCTTGCTCGAGCGTTGGTACAACCCAGCCTCTGGCACTATCACTCTCGATGGCACAGACATCAAGAAGCTTAATCTGTCTTGGCTGCGTACTAATGTTCGCCTTGTTCAACAGGTAAAGATCCAGATTCCATGCCACGTATCCAACCTAACACGACCAGGAACCCGTTCTCTTCAATGGCAGCGTCTTTGAAAACATTGCCAATGGTCTAGTTGGAACCCCTTGGCAGTTTGCTTCCCGCGACGAACAGATGAGTCGGGTAGAACACGCAGCCAAGATGGCCTTTGCCCATGACTTCATCCTGTCTCTCCCTCAAGGTTATGATACGCGCATCGGTGAGAGAGGCGGTCTTCTCTCGGGTGGCCAAAAGCAGAGAGTTGCCATTGCAAGGAGCGTCATCTCAGAACCCAAGATCTTGTTGCTCGACGAGGCTACCAGCGCTCTTGATCCTCACTCAGAAACCATCGTTCAGCAGGCGCTAGATAGTGCTTCCAAGAACCGCACAACCATTGTCATTGCGCACAAGCTGGCAACCATTCGCAACGCCGACAACATTGTCGTCATGTCCAAGGGCAAGATTGTCGAACAAGGCCGTCACAGTGACCTCGTGGCCCTCGACAACGTTTATGCCAAGCTCGTCATGGCGCAGGACCTTTCTCCCTCTGGAAACGGACAAGACAGTGACCAGTCATCGGATGAAGAAACGACAAAGGGCAACGGCGTGGAGCCGGTTCAGTCTCTGGCGAAGCTCAAGACGGTTGAAGCTCAGCACCTTGCATCACTCAAGGACCGGGAAGATCACGAGCTGTACAACCAGACGGGCCTCATCCACAGCATCGCGAGGCTGATTATGGCCACTCCCAACCTTTGGAACTGGTACCTGTTGATCCTGGCCACCTGCACTGCTGGAGGTAAGTATTTTAACCAGAAATTGGTGCCAACAGAACATGCTAACGTCTGAATAGCTGCTGTTTTCCCTGGACAAGCAGTTCTGCTAGGAAAGGTCATGACCGTCTTTTCCAGTCCAAACATGGTCTCTCGCGGCAACTTTTTCTCCCTCATGTTGTTTGTCTTGGCTATTGGATCCCTCTTTGTCTACTTTATTCTGGGATGGGCAACAAACGTGATTGCACAGGTGAGTCAATGAGTATCTAGTGATGAGATAGGAGCTGACGCTATCCAGACTTTGAACATCAAGCTTCGAAAGGAGATCTTTGACCTCACCCTTCGGCAGGACCTGAGATTCTTTGACCGACCAGAGAATACCGTTGGTGCACTCATCAGCCGTCTGGATTCTTACCCCCAGGCCGTCCTCGAGCTCATGGGCTTCAACGTGGCGCTTGTTCTTCTATCAGCCATCAACGTCCTCGCTTCTAGTGTTCTAGCCTTGGTGGTCTCGTGGAAGCTCGGTCTGGTCGGTGTGTTTGCCGGCATCCCTCCCATGCTACTAGCCGGCTACGCGCGAATTCGACTCGAGACAAAGATGGACACGGACATGGGCAAGAGATTCTCTGCCAGTTCTTCGGTGGCTTCCGAGACTGTCACGGCAATCCGAACCGTCTCTTCCCTTGCCATTGAGGACACCGTCTTGACAAAGTACACCAACGAGCTGGACCAGGCCATCAGTCAAACGGCGCCTTCCATGTTTCACATGATGATTTGGTTCTCCATGACTCAAGCCGTTGAGTACTTTATTCTGGCCCTCGGTTTCTGGTTAGTACGATATTCTCTATAGCGCAGAGTGAATGCTAATATTTCTTACAGGTGGGGATCCAAGCTCGTCCACGACGGAGAGATTTCCTTCTATCAGCTCATGGTCTCCTTCATGGGTGTCTTTTTCTCAGGCCAGGCGGCGGGGCAGTTGTTTAGTTTTGCGAGCAGTGAGTGTTCAACTTTGAAAGACGGGACAAGTTCAGCAGCTGATCTGTACACAGGCTTCACCAAAGCCAACCAAGCGACAAACTACTACTTCTGGCTCAAGGAGCTGGAGCCAACGATCCGCGAGACTGACGAGAATAAGGAAAAGGGGCCTGCAAATGGTTGTAGGTCATATGACTTTGACGATGTGCAGTTCTCTTACCCGCTGGCTCCTGACAACCGTGTTCTCAAGGGCGTTTCTCTCAAGGTATGTGCAACTTGATTTTTAACTTGTTTGAAAGGTTCTAATAGTTGTGGTTTGTAGATTAATCGCGGTGAATTTGTGGCCTTTGTCGGTGCCTCAGGCTGCGGCAAGAGCACCATGATCTCCCTCCTTCAACGATTCTACGATCCAACCAGCGGTACCATCACCATCGACTCTGCAGCTCCTTTATCTTCCATCAACCCTCTGACGTACCGTAACCACGTTGCTCTCGTCCAGCAGGAGCCTACCCTCTTCCCCGGAACTATCCGTGAGAACGTCTCGCAAGGAATGGATATCGGTGTCGACGAGACTATTCCTGATAGCGTCCTTGAAGAAGCTTGCCGAGCCGCCAACGCTTGGGACTTTGTTTCTTCGCTGCCTGAAGGTCTCGGCACACCATGTGGCAGCAGCGGAAGTCAACTCTCTGGCGGACAACGTCAACGCATCGCTATCGCACGTGCTCTGGTCCGCAAACCCAATGTCATCCTCCTCGACGAGGCTACGAGTGCCTTGGATACCGAATCTGAGCGCATCGTTCAGGCAGCGCTGATGGAGGCAGCCTCTACCGGTGATAGGATCACTATTGCCGTTGCTCACCGACTGTCCACTGTCCGAGAGGCTAACCGCATCTTTGTCTTTTACGGGGGTAGGATCATCGAGGCTGGAACCCATAATGAGCTGATTGAGCAGGGTGGCATGTATTCCAAGATGTGTGAAGCTCAGAAGCTAGACCGTGGAGTTTAAGTCATAGAAGCCTTCGGGTGGGTGTAGGGTAATACCATGTGGTTAGACTTAGATACAGGAGTTTTGGTGAAGTTGGTTCACATAGATTAGCATTCAGACATTTAGGGATAGGTAGATTAGCATAATACGCAATGCGAATATCGACTCGCACTGTTTCCTTTCTCGCCTACGATCCTGAGTACTGTACTGTGGTCTGTAGTCGCTGCTTTAACCTGCCCCCCTTATGAAAGCACATGATTGGTACGTCTGTGTGCTCAAGTGAGTGGGTCTGAGCTTGCTGAGCTGCTGAGGTAACTCGCCTTGACGCGACAAGCTTGTCAACATCCCTTCACCACCATCGTCCCCATGAGGCCCCCAAACTTGCCACAAAGTTCGTTGACAAGCATGCCATTAGAGCGCGTCTTCTCCACAGAGCTTATCGGCAAGCTCACCTGCACCCAAGAGCTGGACTTGGGTGGAATGATTCGAAACCTGTCTCTTCCAGAGACATCACCCATTCGTCAAAAGTCGGCCAACTCATCAATGGGGCGAATAGACATTCTACCTCCAGAGATCCTCCTATTCATTCTCAATATCCTCGATTTCCAAGCCTTGTCTCGACTTTCGCGGGTCTCCCGCAGGGCAAAAGCGACTGTCGAGGCTCTTGTTGCGTACAAAGAATTGCTGGAGCACGCGCCGGATGTACTCGTCGCGCTGGGGAAGACCCGACTGTTACAATACCACTCAGCTGCATTACTTCGACAGACACTTCGGGCAGGCCGGTGCGTGTCTTGCCTCCACTTTGGCGGTTTTCTCCTCCTGCCAACTTGCGAGCGAGTATGCTTCGAATGCCTTCATCAAAATTATGCCCTACGCATGACCACGCTCAACATGGCCCGGAAGTGTTTTCACCTAACCAACAACCACCTAAAAAAACTCCCAATATTTTACAGCATCCCTGGCACTTATGGCGTCATGTTCCTTCTTTCCCGCCGAAAAGTATATCGTCTGGTCAGCGTGAAGCAAGTCAAGCAGCTGGCAATCGAGGTGCATGGATCTGCCGAAAATGTAGCAAACCTCATGCCGACAACTCCGCCTCGGGGCATGGCCTGGCGGGAGTTCTGTATCTTTAAGTGGTTTCACGAGGCGCCGCTGGAGCCCCCAGGATGCGATCTATCACGGATACCAGAGAGATCAAACCTCGTTGAGGACGACTTTGGTGGCATGGCATCCATCCGTATGCCTTGCTTGAGTGGAACTGGTGCGGACTGTGGACGGCTTTGCAAGGGGTGTCGCCTTGCTGATGAGCTTCACTCGCAAGGACTCCTACCTGCTGCTGTATTGGAAGATCTCGCCCCAGGGGGTATTCGTCCGAGTCGCCCTCTTCGTGCCTTGACGACTCGCCTGCATTCTCGAGAGGGCTTTGTGGAGCATATAAAAACCTGCTATGGAGTAAATAGATTACTAACTGCGTGGGAAACAGAACGGATGGAGTAATGCCGTAGAATAGGGCAATATCAGTGATAGATGCCCAAGAAAAGTGCAACCAACCCAGTCCTTTCCCTTGGCCTTTGGAGCAGAAACATTGAAAATACCCTCCTTACATCCCGAGCAGCCATTGGTTGATGCATCGGAGGGTGCTCACTTTACCAAGCGGTATGGTATCTTTGAACGGTCTCAATCGGGGGCAGCCGAGTTGCATTACGATGGATGATTCAGGCGCTCTGAGAAATGCTTCATGAGGTCACTATTGACAGGACAACAATGAAAAGGTGAATGAGTGCCTGGGCCGATTCATTTAGAATATAAATGTGTGGTAAGACTACAGATCAACTTCCGCAGCGCGAGTAGACCTTGAATCTCTATGCAACAGGAGTTTTAGTGAAGTTGGTTCATATAAATTAGCATTTAGACATTTCGGGATAGATTCTCTGAAGAAGGATGGGGCATTAGATTCACTTCAACACTATGGGCAATACCAACTGGTAGTATATTCTTTACAATGATTAGAGATTCTCTATTTGAGCCCATCAGGCAGTTCATATGACGCCACACTCGCGGCTTGGTGCCCCTGACCCTGACTCGGCCGAGAAGAAGAGATTGCAAGTCTTCAAATAGCAGCACTCAACCACACTTGGCCAACTGCCGAAATTCATTATCCTACCCTGTGCTCCTATGACACCATTTCACAACTTATCTAAGCCATATCTTCCTCTTCATTGATTATCTCGTAAGCATCAAGCAAGGGCCAAGTCCAAGCTCTATCCCCGCCGGAATGACCCCTGAGCGAACCATGCTTCACCCAATGTAACCCTACACGGCCGAATGCCCTCTTCCACGCCGACGAAACCAAGCTACTAACGGTTACCGACTCTGCAGGGATTAAGCGGAGATCAACTATCTGGGGTTATCATCTCCTACTGCCGTGCCATTCGTAGCAACCACAACGGTCTGCTAAGAGAGCCGCCGCTAACTCTAGCATCTTTTTCGCCACCGTTTATGCGGAGGAAAGGAGGCTCTGTTGCATTGCGTGCCCTTGACTCCTTCATCTCCGTCGACGCGTCAATGCCATGCTTGTTCAGGACTTGGCAGCCGAGGCATCTTCGAGGACATGACTTGCATCGTGGTCTAGCGGTAAGAGTCAGATCCACAGATCGTCAAAGAAGTAAAATGCTATAAAAGATGGAGGATCCGGACCGTTGCTGATCATCCATCGGTCGCTAATCGACAGCCCGTCGTTCATCCTTCTTCATTCCTTCACTTATACCGGTCTTGGGTTATTGATCAGCATCAGCCATGAGAAACTCTTTCCTTTACGGCCTCTTGGCCGCTCCAGCTTCTGTTTATGCTGTTGCCCTTACCGGCTATGAGTACATCGTTGTTGGTTCTGGTGCTGGTGGTGGTCCTCTGGCCGCTCGTCTCGCTCTGGCTGGTCACAAGACTCTTCTCATCGAGGCTGGTGATGACTACAACTCGGTCAACTACACAGTCCCTGCCTACTCTGCCAACGCCTCTGAGGACCCTGAGATTTCCTGGAACTTTTTTGTGCATCACTACGCCGATGACGCACGACAGGCCCGCGACTACAAGGCCACCTACGAGACTCCTGATGGCGGCGAGTACACCGGTCTCAACCCTCCCAAGGGCTCCAAGCTCAAGGGAACTTTGTACCCCCGTACCCAGGCTCTGGGTGGATGCACAGCTCACAACGCTCTGATTGCTGTGTACCCTCACCAGTCTGACTTTGAGTACATCGCTTCTCTTACCGGCGATGAGTCTTGGTCTGCCGAGAACATGCGCAAGTACTTTGTCAAGATGGAGGAGAACCGACACCTGCCCGCTGGTCAAGACGGCCACGGCTACGATGGCTGGTTCAGCACCGAGACTGCTCCTCTCAGTATTCCTCTTGGTGATGAGCAGCTCCTTAGCATCCTCAGCGGCGGTGCTGTTGCTCTGAGCGAGGTCAGTGGCAGCAACATCACCATGGACGACCTCATTGCCGGCGATGCCAACGCCAACACTGCCGCTCGCGACAAGAACCCTGGATACTACCAGATTCCCCTGTCTTCTCGTGAGGCTAGCCGTATCGGACCCCGTGAGTTCATTCTCTCTGTCCGAGATGCCGCCTTTGAGAACGGCACCAAAAAGTACCCTCTCGACGTTCGAACCAACTCCTATGTCACCAAGGTTACCTTTGATGACTCCAAGCCTCCTCGTGCTACCGGTGTTGAGTTCCTTGACGGCAAGCACCTTTACAAGGCCAGCCCTCTCTCCACCGGCGCCGCCGGCAAGGAAGGCAGTGCCACCGCTTCTCGTGAGGTTATCGTCGCCGGAGGTGTCTACAACACTCCCCAGATCCTCAAGCTCAGTGGTGTTGGCCCTGCCGCCGAGCTGAAGAAGTTCAACATCCCCGTCATCTCTGATCTTCCTGGTGTTGGAACCAACCTCCAGGATCATTATGAAATCACTATGCAAGGTCGCCCTGCCGAGAACTTCACCGCATTCGATGGATGCACTTTCAGCCTCTTCACCGATGAGGACCCTTGCCTTGACCGCTGGAGGGCCCCTGTCGATGGTGACCACGGCATTTACTCCTCCTCTGGTCTCGCTGCTGCCATGTTCTACAAGAGCACTGCTACTGCCAAGGACGAGTTTGATGTGTTTGCTTTCGGTGGCCCCGTCAACTTCCGAGGTTACTTCCCCCAGTATGCCGTCAACGCTACTATCGAGCACGACTGGTTCTCTTGGGCCATCCTCAAGGCTCACCCCCGCAACACTGCTGGCGAGGTCACTCTTCGCTCTGCCGATCCCCTTGATGTCCCTGACATCGTCTTCAACTACTTTGACACCGGTAGTGGAGAGTCTTCCAAGGATCTCCAGGCCCTGTACGAAGCCGTTGAGCTCGCCCGCAAGGCCTTTGCCAGCCAGGCTGTCCCCATCACCGAGGTCCTCCCCGGCAAGGATGTCACCGCCCAGGAGGACATTGAGACCTACATCAAGGACACCGCTTGGGGTCACCACGCCTCTTCCACCTGCCCCATTGGTACTGACGATGACCCTATGGCTGTTCTTGACTCCAAGTTCCGCGTGCGTGGCGTTGCTGGCCTCCGTGTCGTTGATGCTTCCGTGTACCCCCGTATCCCCGGTACTTTCACTGCCGTGTCTACGTACATGGCTGCCGAGAAGGCTGCTGATGATATCTTGGCTGCTTTGGAGGAATAAGTGATGATGGCGTATCATGTATGAGTAAGGTGTTTGATAGCGGTTAGCGTTAGCGAGCAAGATGCATAATAATCAACGCATTTATCTAAGAGATTACAAGCGTCAATGTACCATAGATCTAAGTGGAATGTCTAAATTAGTAGACCTTCCTAATATGAGTTTAATTTGCCTCTAATATCAAGATGTCACCAAGTGCTGCCCGTGGGGCAAGGGTCCACCGAGATCGACAGTCAATGCCACTATAGGACCTTAGTGACCTTCCAAGAGGAGACACCAACCACGATAACAAAGAGCACGGTTATAACACATTCTAGTATAAACCGCTAATCGAGAAACAATATCACCTACCTAGAACAGCTAATGCCACTCAGCAGTACAACGTTGGAACCTGCCTCCAGCTGTGAAGTCCCGTGTCTATTAATTATCTGCCCAACTATCTGGTCTCTCATACCAACTCCCGCTTTTCTCAAATAATGTACAAAAAAGAGTGTCGTGGTCTGTAGTTCATGTGGTATGTGCATGCATCATCTGTTTACTGCATCTTCTCACTGTTGCCAGTGACTATTCGCCTTGACCCACGGCTGCGGCGAGTGCAACTCCTCCTCACTCTCGTTTCGTCCAGTTGTTGTGATCTGAACCTCTCTCTTGACACCAATACCATACTCCTTTGCTGCGCTGGAGCCAGCATTAGCCTTCTTATCTGACAACCCGTCACGGCCGACGGAAGAAAGTGTGTATGCGTTGTGCCCCGAGAAGTATCCCTCGGTGCCAGTGCCAGTGTTACGGTGTCCCGAGACGCCATAGCCTGAAGGCGGCACGGAGATGGGCTTGCTGGTGAGTCCGAGGCGGAATGCTACCAGCTTGAGGAGTGGCCGTAGGGTTGCGAGACTACCAGCAGTGATGGCCAGGCCTTGCTCAACCGATGACCAGATGGCAATGTCGAGAGTGTTCCCTGATGATCAAGTCAGTTCATGGTCAAGTGAGAGAACGCAAGGGTACTCACAGAGGAAATCATCCTCCCTAAACTTGGGTAGGTAAGGGAAACGAGCAATAACAGCCGAGCTTGCCCTGTATTTTTCATTAGCACGTCGACCAAACACATAGGCGAGATTGAACTTACACGCAGCCCATGGCAAGAAGAGGGATCAGCATCAACTTTGTCTTCTTGTGGAGTTGCAACTTCCAGACAATAAGTCCAGGAAGAAGAGCAAAGATGAAGTCCGAAATGACGGCAAAGACGCTATAGAGTGTTGCGAGAGCGATGACGACGTTGACATTGACACACTTTCCAGACTGTTCCTCGTTCCAGAAATATGACATGGGGCTGCATTGGAACAAAGTGACGAAGAAGAAGATGATGCCTGAAAGCGTGGTCGACATCATGGCGAGGTAGATGACCCATCGATGGATCTTGCTCGTCGTGACACGGAGGAGGAACCAGCCGATGGAGAGTTTGGATGATACCATGGAGAGGGCGTACCAAAGGTAGCAGAACCACCAGCACTATGCCCGAGTTAGATCATGTTGAGATGGCTCGTCTTGTAGGAAAAGTCACCATCTTGGCCGTTTGGATCTGAATCAACTCGAGGTCCTTGTGGTGACGTCCGGTGCCATGGGTGACACCCGCCATGGAGAAAGAGGCATATAGAGTAAAGAAAACCTGGAAGAAGATCAATGCCAAGTCAGAAAGCGAAACTTTGTCAAGCAAGGATGACGATCAAACATACCGTTCCAACTACCATCAACCAGTCGTCAGTACCAAACGCCTTAACCATGACACTCCGAACATATACTCTCAGAATCATGGAAATAAGCGCCGCCGTTAGAAAGGTGATGTTGACGGCCATGAGCTCCGGCCCTCGATTCTCGATTTCGGTCGCCATGATGGGCCAGGAACTGTCAGTTGCGAAATCAACAGCATCCCCAGAAACAGAAACTGCCAGAGCAGTTCGGCAAACTTGGAGGCCGGGGGGGGTTTTATGTAAAACTCAATTCCTGCAGACGTCCGTGCAAGATAATCCCAGACCCTCGGGGAATATGAGTTGCATTGCGATCCATTTCCGGCAGTGGGCGCAGTGTTCCCGATGCTACGGTACAGCGGAATGGGAGACGCAGGAGATGCATGCAATCTTTTTTCCATGTGGGAACTCAAGAGCGAGTCCGAGTCTTTCAGGAGAGAAAGAACCACAAAAGCCGAGGCCCGTAACCGTTGAAGAGGGTCAAACTACGGCTCCGGAATGCCCCCGACGTGTCAACGGCCGGTTGATTGCGGGCCGACTAGTCGAATCGGGTAGGCTTGGCCGGCTCAGAAGCTAGTCCGCGGAAAGGAGTTGAACCCCTGGCGTTGTTTTGGAAACACGGCCAAGAGGATTAGGACCACATGGGTAAGGACCTAGACTTGGACCCAATGCCCGATCGATGTCACCTTGGACCCTGGTTATGCTATAAATTGTTGAGTCATGGTCATCCCAAAAGAATGCCGAGAGAAGCTTGGCTCGACAAGGGTGCACGACATTTGCCCCTCAAACATGGGTAGTTCCGTTCAACTCAGGGGCATTTCTGTAGGCGAGTCATTTCTCATCGCTATTCAATTCCCAAAAATGGAAAAGATGTTCGAATTCTGTTTCATCTTGGCTTGTCAGACTGTTAGCATCGGTCAATTCGCCGTCAAGACTTCGGCCAAGTGTCAGGTCATTATCTGTGTCGATCATGTGTTGAAAAAATTTGTCAAGAGATCATGCCACTAGTCTAGAATGATTGGAAAAACCCATCAAAGGCAAGAGAGCACGTATAGAAGCGTGTTCATGCGCGTTCTAGAATCCTGGTACAATGTGATAAACATGACCTTTCCTACCTGGTGCATGCCAAGACTGTGAGGCTCAAGGAATCTGGGGCGAGGCTGGGTTAAGCCTCTGAGCGAAAGTTAAATTAATTGAATTCGGACCCATCATGTAATGAAGCCGATGTCATGTGAGTTCTTCTAATAAGATCATCATCTAGTCAAGGGTAGATAGCTTCTATAGGGCCCTGGATGATAGACAATGCTTATGGTGAATTGCATTGAGCAGTGAGTGGGCGGCGGGTGAGTAGCGAGCAGTGAGCATGGGGACAAGACGATCATATAGAAAACGATGGAGAAGATGGGTCGAGCTCGTCGATCATGATGACTAACAAGGTTCAGAAGATAATCTAGACTTCAGACTATCTGCTTTGATATAGATAAAGTTTATCACGAGTGAAGCTATGTGCAAACAGACTTTCAGGCTTGACGCCAATGCCGTAGGAGGCACGTCTCGATATGTTCTCACGAAAACAATAATCGAGACAAAAGGGCAATTCCCCTCGCCTCTGTATCACTTCTTGACTCATTCTACGTTCGCCATCAGTCAATATGGAGTCCCCACCGAAGCCTTCCTCCCAGCAAGGAGACACCAGCGATGAGAAGATGAATTCCGTCAAACGGCTGCTCGATGAGACAGACAACCCTGGTAAAGCGACTGTCGTTCTCAATCTCCAGGAATCTACCTCTGACCCAGAATCTAACCAAGACGAAGACGACTCATCTGACGAGGATGACCCATGGCTTAATGCTGGAGCACAGCCCGGAGTCCCCGCGACCCGTGAGCACGGCATCTCCGAGGCCGAGGTGTCCAACGGCCATGCCGCAGAGTACTACCAGGAGAGAAACACCCACGATCCCGGCTCATGGGAACATGCGCTAGCCCTGGCTGAACAAGATGATGCCGTGGGACACACAGCGTCAGTCGGCACAAATCCATGCCTCAGTTGCGTCCTTTGCCCATGTCGTCTCCTCGCCACTATTGGAAAGTCGTGCGCCGATATTCCTCGGAAGATGCGCAAATCTGGCAACACCGACACTGAGAAGGGAGTTGAAGGTTTCAGAGGGCTTGGTAATGGTGTTGATGTCTAACCCCCGAGACAGCAACCGATGGCACCTAATCGCTTTGAGCTCTACCTAAAGAAGGCCTTGTTTGAAGAAGCGGTCAATATTTCAACTACCGTTGACGAGCCTGGATGGGCCAATGATTCCGATCCTTCAATGCATACTGTTGTTTTTCCCGGATGGAATGATCCCGCCGAAGAGTTCAAACTGCAGCCACTGGGGAAATTCGTGGCCGAGACTAAGAAAGCTCTAGACGATTTTCTCGAACATTTCCAATTCGGTGGTAATCTCACAGCTATGGGCAATAGAGGTGGCTTCACGTCCACAGGCTTACCGAGCCTCTTGAAGAAGTCATTCACAACGTATAAATGGCTTGGCATGCGGCGAAGCTCCGAAGGGCGGAAGATCAAGATCTCGCGCTCAAGTGCTTTGACAATGGCGAGGTGCCTCCACCGCAGATCATCAAGGTCTCGAACCAAGCCACGCCATGGTCCAGCAGTGGAGGTGGACGGCGCCAAGCTCTGCGGGTGCCTGAGCAGACTACCGAGTATAGCTCGGGCGAAGGGCTGATCGCGACGATCCCCCAGATGATCGGCCTGCTCCACCTGCAATATCAAACCTTGACCAGGCTTGTTTCGTCGCAGGCTTTTGTCTTTGAGAAGCCTATCGATTCTAGTGGGGGGCTGCTTCGGAGGGGAATTTTGCTCAAGGGGCGACCGGAAGGGTTATCGCATATTGGGCAGAATACGAGGATTGCTGTCTTGTTTCCGATGGATAGTGCTTGGGTCAGAGAGCAATTCTTCTGGGCGTGAGAGGCTCTGCAATTTTAGAATCATGCGTGATGGTTTCTTTCTCGGACATGACACTGAAAGGCAGTCACTTGGTTGCGTGAGAAGGCCTGCAATATACTTTTCTTAAAGGGGTGCTTGAAGGTGCAAAAATGCCAAAGCAGAAGAGTATAGGCAGCCTCCTTTACGGTACAAAGAACATGATAAATATACTAGATCACGTATCCATAATTGTGTCGTTTGTTGTTGCCGCCAGTGGCCTTCTTTGGAGTTGTCATTGACGATGACGACAAAGAATATTCCCAGACTATGAGGGCCCTCTTATAACTAAATGCAGGCAATGGCTGCGCTATCCCCTTCAAATCGTCTCTTCGCATGATGCCCATGGGCCTCTGACCGTTTCTTTGTTGACAATACCAACTACATAATGTGTCGTTTAGACAAATTTCAACAAGCTGAGCTTCATACTGTAACATAGGCTACACCGTTTCAAGCCCTTGAACTTCAATACCGTAATGCCTTGCGAACTGTATTCCTTGCTATTGAGCCTAGTGACGTAGCTGGAGATGTCGTCAAGGATCAGAAGGTCTTCATCAATTCTAGTTCTGTCAGAGATCCTCTTGTTCCGTGTTACTGCGAGGTTACCCACAGTAGATAAACCCGTCTGTTACTTTGCATGTCATGTCCTTTGTCGTTCTTTACTTACTTTCTCTTCCTGTCCACAGTCTTTTGTTCGTGTGGGAGATCAGATGACACGAATATACAGGATTTCCTATGATATAAAGGCGTGTAACCACTTTTTGATTTATCATTCTACAATCCCACCTCCATACTTGGCACTGTCCGTCCTTACCCTGATCAGGATAGGCACACTTTTCTATCAAGATGCCACCGCAAACAATCCAAGAGACCTTGACGGACCATATCCCTACTTTCGTGCTCAATGTCAACGCACCCATTCAACCTAAACCTATGGGTACATGGATGATGGTGTATTCCGATGACGTCTGGTACTGGCAAGGCTTTAACTTGACCAACCTCAGGAACGCCTATGGCCACATTTTCGACCTTCCATGCCCAACAATGAGTCACCCAATCAGATCACTGAGACCATTCCCAACATGGGCAGTATCTGATGCACATCCTCGATTCGTCATCCAAACTCTCGATGAGCTGAAGAAGCATGGCATTGAAACTCTACATCATCTCCTTAGATGCCCCCTTCAGCATGCCATCGCTAAGCTCAAGGAGTGTCTCGTTTGTTCCAAGAGCGATGTTTTATGTGACTATATGGCGCCTCATACTGAGGTTGACTGGCTTTGGAGCGTCTTTTATGCCACGGATGAGACGAACCTCGTCGTCAGCTGCTCTCGGCTGTCCAATACATTTACCTCGGAGGATCTGCGTCTAAAAAAGTCAAACGCGATCTACACTCTCCGGCAGCTTGCTACATATGCTGTTATTGGCAAGACGCGATACGGCTTCATTCTCACAGACAAGGAAGTCGTGATTGTGCGCTTCCACGTGGTCAGTCGAGAACTTGAAGAGTATGGAGTCGGGTGGGTGGCAATTCCATGGAAAGAAACCGGCCCATGCACGCTGACGGCTCCCCTGGCTCTGTTTTCTCTGGCCTTGATGAGTTTGAACGACGACCATCGTCACATTGTGGTTGGTGACCAGACGCTTCCCCTTGATGCTTGGGTTAGAGAGAAACCCTCGACTAGAGAAGGAAAGGTCAGATTCTACCACCATCTCTCGGGACAGTATGTGGACGAGTTGCCAGAGGGCGTTCATTTTTACTGGGAGCGGAAGAAGAAAAGGACCCGCTGTGTCGCTGACCATGACACTCGCTCACATTTTGACGGGGACTTCAGGGGACATGGCCGGATGGAGGTGATTAGAGCGGAGTAGTTGGCATGAAAGAGAAATGGATGCAAAGAAAAGCAAGTTGTAGAAATAGGCATAGGGGTCCTAATGCGATCTTCATGTTGAAGGGAAATGTCTTGGTGTCATAACATTGCAGAGGAAACAATCACAAATGATAACCCAATTACTATTGTCTGGACGCGCAATTACAAGCGGAAAAGAGAATCAACAACAGCGACTAGTTCCCAAAGGCATAATATGTTTTCAACAGGATCAAAATGAAACCAGGTACAGGGCCCAGGGAAAACAAGACAGCTGTTTAGTCGAAAACAACTGTGCTACCCTCCATAGCTCCCTTGACCTTGATCGGACTCGACTTGTTCCTCCTGTACACGAAAACCGCCAACTTGGACGTGCCACGCAGACTATCCTCATTGTTGAAGAACTCGACTGTGATGGGGATGACCCTTTTCTGAGAGTGGTAAGTGTAGCACTTGTTAATGACGCTTCCCAGCATGACTGGGAGGGTCTGGCCCCATTGATTGTGGAAGATGTGCAGTTCGTCGCGCTCGTTAGGAATGAGTTGACCCTTTGCGACGTTGAGATCGTTTGTTGTGGATTCCAGTCTCATCTTGACGTTGTCTCTGTCCCGCGCGTTGTTGTCACGTTCAGCTGTGTGGGTTTGGAGTTGTCCCCTGACATTGTTGAGCTCCAGCTCAATCACAACCCTCCTGTTCTCAGACTCAGCTGCCTGTCTCTCCTTCGTCTTCAGTTGGCCTGTCAGCGTCTGGTTCAAGCTATCACGGCTGGCCTCGGCTTGCTGGGTTTTGCTCATCGCATCGGCAATCTTGGCATCACACTCCGCTCGCAGCTTGTCGACCTCGACTCGCTGCTTCTCAAGGTCCTTCTTCATATCCTCGTAACTTAGATCTTGCTGGAAACCCAATTCTCGTCGTCGGATGGTGCTGCGGGGATAAACCCACTCAACCCAAGTTGAGCTTGCATGCCGAGAGAAGGTGTCGTGATGATTGGAGCGTAGTGAGGCTTGGCAACAGGCATGACATCTTTCCAGACCTCTGCAGGGAGAAGGGTGGCAAAGTTGAACTCCTTCTTTGAAACAGGTTCCTCGTCATCTAGCTCGACGACTCCGTCAGAATCGGAAGCTGACGCCACTTGGGCGGCTACCTCGGTAGCCTCTGAACCTGCTAGCTTGCACAGAGCTCGCTGGATGATGGCGGTGACCTTGTCAGAGCGATTCAACACTTATTCGCAAAGTCTTTCCAAATGCCTAACACCATTCATCCCTCAGGGCAAGTCCTCCTACTAAACGCAACGCTACTTATGCTCCGTCCACTGTCTAAGTAGCCGCTAATGACGCTATCTAAATGCTTCTATAAATAATATAACTTCGCGATATCCCCCGCTAATCAATAAATAATATCGCCGACTCTCTCGGGGGCGAGCTCGATACTGTATCCGTTACCCGATACTCCCGCATCATAGTAGCCGGCTGGCCTTATCTCGCTATCTCCTTAAATGCACGCTAACCTGCTTACCTGCTTCCTTAAGATATACTGCTCGTAGCTTTTTTTGCTGCGGAGAGTGCCTCTGTTAATGTTCTCTTCTTCTTTACCCTTACTCTTATTCTCTGCCTTAGGCTTAGCTACCTATCTAGCTATATCCTTAATCATGTACCGCTACCTACCGTAGCTGGGGATGTACTTGATCTTATTCCTCTTATTTGCTGTATCCCTAGTTATGATACTGCTGGTCTGGATCCTGCTGTTCTTGCCTATCTGCGTGCGGTGGAGAATGCTTGGCTCGTGGCCGGATATGAAACTTGGCTTCATTGCCCTGTTCACGGTGCTGTTCGCCGGCGGGATCCCGCTCGTTACCAATGCCCGGCGGGCCGAGGTCTTCGGCGCCTATGCGGCTGTGTTGGTGGTCTTTATTAGTGGAGGCCTGGAAGGAGGTGGAGGAGGGGCAGATGGAACGGAAAGGGGTGGAAGCGGAGGGCCCGTCCTCATTACTATACTAAGCATAGCACCTCCGCTATTTGACTCCGGTTAGGTGTGTGCTGAGCTTCTTGCGGCTTCGTTCCTATTTCCAGTTGTTCTTATCTTCCGGCTTTGACCCGAGGATTCTCGCTCACTTCTTGCGCAGCCTTCTGAGCTGTCGTTGCACTTCCAACCAACTGCACTTGAGGCGCGTGCCACTCTCCAGTGCCGCTACAAGCAGGAGGCAACAGCAAGTCAATCATAATAAACACCCTGTTGCGAAGAGGCCGAGGGAGTCAGAAAGAGGGGGAAATTAACAGGCTTGCAATCATTCTGCAGCATCTTTGCGATATAGATGAACCAGCGATGTGAGGTTTGCATAGTTCATTCCCCGATGCGTCTCGCCGCATCCTATCACCAACGGTCGATTAAAGCAAGACCAATGATGGGATGTATTACTCGACTCGCTCCCCCTCGATTGCCGACCTTCGTGCCTACTCATGCAGCGCTTTTTACTGCACCAAAGGTGAGGGGCCCTTCGCCCGGATCCGTGATCGGGTCATCCCCGACGCGGCCCGGCCCGGTGGTAGGAATTCGGCCGCAATGGCCCCCCATGGCCCCGGCCCGCAGCTAAGTCCCCACGGTTCCTTTGCAATTAGATACACTTTTAGCGTTAAAATGAATTAGGCCGTGAAAGATTCCACTAACCATATCTCTGGACCAAATCTCTCATAACATCAAGGACCCTGTTAAGCTCATTAGTCGCCAAACTAGACAGTAGGCTGAGAATGGCCTCACTGTGTGCGAAGTGTCTCGTTATCGACAAAAAGCGCTGATACATGCGTGTCAAACCTCCTAGCTTGATATCAGCTACGCAGATCAGGAGGAAGGAAAAGAGTTTATCAGTGTCTCACAGCCTATAGAGGTCTAGGCGGCCCTCAAAATCCTCTTCCGGCTGCGAAATCTGGGCGAATGTGTTGTAGGCAGCAACGTATTCATCCCCAAACCTATTGCAAGCCGGTCGCCACTGGCCAAACTCATCTTCAAATTCAAGCTATTTAGCATGGGTAACCGCAAGTGTTTCGTAGGAGAACGTACATTCGTTGTGCGCAAAGAAGCAGCACGCATCAAAAACAAGAGGCTGGTCGTTGTCGACATCAATCCCTGCATTTGCGTACCAAAGGTCTCCATGAACAAGTGAAGGTTTCACTACTCGACCGTCACTCTCGAGAGGCCTCAGGAGCCTCGGGATGACCTTTTCGAACAAAGCACGGGAGAGGACATCGAGCTCCTCACTAGGCCCTTTCCTTTCAATCTCCAGGTCCAGCGCCTGTCTCATGGTCTTGGCGAAGAATGCCTCCCAGCTATCTTCCCATGCCACGAACTGAGGTAGGTTTCCTGCGTAGGTGGTGATGTGGAACCCGAACTTGCCAGTAGGCGATACGCTTTTCTGGTGCAGTGTTGACAGAAGAGCGGCAAATTTGTGAGGGTCAGGCATATCGTCAGTCATTTCTCGAAACTCGCAGAGGAAGAAGTGGGTCTCTGGTATCGTCCTGTAGGTGCCGCAAGCGATGGGCTTTGGGACAAATTCTGGCAGAACGTTGTGCATCGCGCTCATCGAGTGGAATTCACCCCTGGTCATATTCATGCCCAGTTCTTTCGAAATGACCTTGATGAAGAAGGACTGCGGTGTACCATCGCGGAGCAAAACATCGATGCGGCCCGTCTGCGCCCAAAAGCTCACGCCATGGTTCTCGGTGGATGTGACCTTGCATCCTTCCGGCAGTTCTTGGGAGCAGTCAACATGAAGACGATCTTGTGAGTTCGCCAAGGGCTTGTAGCTTACCCCTCAACACGGCTGGGTCTATTTTGGTGTTGCCCGCCCCGAATTCAAGGCTATCTGCGCCGTTGTAGTTCATTTCTTGTGTCAAAGAATGTACCGAATCTGTTCAGCGTCCCGCTGGCTGGAGATCATCAGGCTCTCGGAGACGCGGGGTTTATTATAGGCGGTGTTTCGGGATGCCCCCACAATCATGGCCGAGTAGCCAATTGCAAGCGAGCTCCCCCTCTGGGCGGCTAGAGTCCGACTACCGCCGAATCCGAATCCACTGCCACGAATCTTTTTCAATTCTAAGTTTCTATTTTGTCAGACAGTGGTGAGAAGCATCCTAGGCGGTGTCAGTCAATTGATGAGAATTATCTAAGGCGCAAGAGCTTCTTGAGATATGTACTGAGGTTGCTGTTCGTTGTGCAACATGTCTCTTTAATTGCGCTAAGGCTCCCATGCGGTACTAGTCCCCACTGCTAGGACACTATTTAAAGTGCTACCTAGCTAGCTTGGTAGCTGTGCGTTAATCCTGTATCGCAATTTAGGTGAGAGGAGAGAGATACTAACCGTAATTGGCTTAGATTTCTATAAAATACTCAATGAGAGCCTTAGCGCAATTAAGAAGATTGATGTATTTACAGTATGCCAATTTCGTCCCTGAATAACAATAAAGGCTCAAAATAAACTAGAGCTGGGTGGCCGTCCGGGCCGTCCGGGCCGTCCGGGTGTATCCGCTACCTCAGTCTTCAGTGCCCAGTCATTGAGACCTTGGTGATCCTGTCACGCCAATGTTCAACAGGGAACACGACCTTGACACCGTTTGCCTCCAGCTTTTCCTGCCCGTCATTGTGCGCGATAAACGTCCCTGGCTCCTTGATTCCCACGTAGACAGTCTTGATGGCGCTCTGAAGTCTCAAGATCCTGGTCGTGCAGGTCATGTTGCCGCTAAGTCTCTCGTTGCATGGCTCCATGGTCGTGTACAGCGCCGTATTGGCCGGAAGGACCTCATGGATGCGTTCCTCAGGGAGGTTGTGCTCGTCGGCGATCTTGATAAAACAACACTGCTCTGCGTGCGTGGTGCCTGGATCTCCCTTGTAATCTCGCGGATATTCAAGCGAGTATCCTGTCGATAGGACCTTGCCCTTAGCGGCATCGACAAGTATGGCTCCGACGCAGAATTTGTTGGCAGCTGGTGGTGATTTTTGTGCCTGAATGAGAGCAAACTCCATGAAAGCCTCATGGTCCCCAACCGCGAACGTTGGATTCGTCTGTGAAACCATAGTAAATGGCTCTCTGAAATAATACACAATGCGTGGACAATCCCTCTTATGGGCCAAATCAACACAGCATCATCAAGAAATGGCAAAGAAGGTACAGGTCAGTGGGGGTGTTCTTGAAATATTGGGTGCGCGATTTTCTAGGGTAGATACATGCCGCTATCTTTCTCGAGCCTACCGGGGGGGGGGGCATCGACAGGCGGTTAAAGCAACCAGCTAATTGGTGGTTCGAAGTGGGAGGGAGGGCTGATCACCTGCTACGCGCTTCGATCGCGAGGTGGTTGAGCACCACCAAGAGTCTCCTGAAAACAACTCTCATTGTACCATTGTTTCATTATTCTTTGAAGGGACAGACCATCGTGCCGACGTCACCTTGAATGAGTCTGGGCAACCGAGACTGGCGCCCCACGCACTGAGTTCTGCGGACTACAATGGTTAACTCTCACCTCCTTAGCCTCCTGGGAAACTTCAATCCTACCAGATCGCTGACTGTACCAGTTCTTTCGAAAGCAGCGGCGCACAAAGCCCGACCTACATCCCGACAGTCCCTCAAGTAGTCGCGACTCGCCTAAGAGCTCGAGGAGCCTGTTTCCTCCGTCAAAAACCCTGCCCAGTACGTCAACCACCTCGGGCGATCAAGCGGAGGGCGTGAAGGGCCCGCTTGGACTGAGCCTCCTCTATTCCCCGACGGCGCCGGAGGTCGACTTCATATTCGTCCATGGCCTAGGCGGAAATTCTAGAAAAACATGGAGCAAGTCGTCCCTGCAGTCTGATTTTTGGCCAAAGGAGTGGCTCTCCAAAGACCCCGCATTCAAGAACGTCCGCATCCATAGCTATGGGTACGATTCATATTATTTGAAGGGCAAGGAGGACTGCTTGAATGTACACCACATTGGCAAGTCATTCCTAGGCGCGATCAGCACTTCGCCATGCATTATCAATTCCGGGACATACATCGTTGTCATCGGCCACAGCATGGGTGGCTTGGTGATGAAGAAAGCATATATCCTTGCGAAACAAGACGCAGTACACAAGGCGCTGGCTGGGCGATTCGCCGCATTCTATTTCCTGGCCACGCCGCATCGAGGTGCCGACTCGGCAAAGATGCTGAAGAACCTCCTCAGGGTTGCGTACGACCGCGCTTATATTGGTGATCTAGAACCGAACTCTGGGGCGGTCCAAGTGATCAATGACGAATTTCGGCATTTTTCGGCCAGCCTTGAGCTTTGGTCGTTCTACGAAACGCAGAATATGAAACGGTTTAGCTCACTCATCGTCAATCCCGAGTCGGCCGTCCTCGGGTACCGTGAAGAGAAGCAGATACCCATGACTGCTGACCACCGCTCTATATGCAAGTTTGACACACCTGAAGACTCCAACTACGCCCTCCTACGAAATGCGCTCGCCTCTACTGTCAGCAAAATTGCCACGGCAATTCCGGAGCTGAAGCTGAAGCAAAGGCGTGAGAGGATCAAAAACCTCAAGAAGTACCTGGAAGTTGCCGACGTCTTGGACGATGATCTTGCAAACGTCTGTGAAGCTCGGATGCACGGGTCGTGCGGATGGATTTCGACCAAAGCCAGTTACGTCAAATGGAGAGATGGGGAATCCGGAAATGACAGGACGCTATGGGTCAAGGGCAAGCCAGCAACTGGAAAGTCTGTTCTCGCTGGCTATGTTATCGATCAGCTCAAGGAGTCCGGCCAGGCATGCAGCTACTTTTTCTTCAAACATGGAGACAGGTCGAAGTCCAACCTGGGTCGTTGTCTACGATCTCTGGCTTTTCAGATGGCTAGCTCCAATGCCGAAGCTAGTGATGCCATCCTAGGGATGCAGGCGGATGGTATTTGCTTAGATCGCGTCGACGAACGTACCCTTTGGAGAATCCTCTTCCTTTCTGGCATTTTCCAGGCCACAATGACTCGACATTACTGGGTCATCGACGCCCTGGACGAGTGTTCCAATCCTCCGGTCTTTTTGCATGCCATTCTTTCCAACATGGACGAATCTATACCACTGAGAATTCTCGTCACAAGTCGGGATACGGTCGATCTGGACCAAGGTTTCTCGGCCATTCCACCCAGCCTAGTCCAGTCCTTGCCAATCTCGACAACAGACACAGAGTCAGATCTCAGGCTTTTGGTGGAGAGGAGGACCCAGGTCTTAGGAGTCGTGGGACCTGACGATCGAGGTACATTGGCCGAGAAGATTCTAGACAAATCTAGGGGCTCCTTCTTGTGGACAATTTTGGTGCTTGAGGAACTCCTACGCTGCCACAGCAGAAATGAAACTCACCAGATTCTTGAAGACGTGCCGAGAGGCATGCAGTCACTATACAAGCGGACTTTAGACTACATGTCGCAGGCCGCTCGTGGAAAGGAGCTGGCCAAAACCATTCTCATGTGGGCAGCATGCGCGGTTCGACCTATGACAATCAGCGAGCTGGACGGTGCTCTGACCCTGGACATCCACGACTCATTCCCAAGATTGGAGGAGAGCATCGCCGCGCTCTGTGGTCAACTGGTGGTCGTGGACAAATATGGGAGAGTTAAGATGGTGCATGAAACTGCCAGAGAATTCCTTGTAGCCGGCGGGCTTGAGTCCGAGTTCTCCATCGAGAAAACTAAGGCGCACACACGGATGGCTCAGGTGTGCCTCAACTACCTTGTCGGGGAGGAAATGAAGCCTCCGAGGAACGGTCGACGCCGTTCTTCGGCAAATTTGCTAGAAACAAGACTGGATTTCGCCGCCTATGCATACACAGCATACTCATATCATCTCTCGAGGGCTGATCCGTTGGCGGCAGGGACGTTCCAGCTTGTCGTGCAGTTCCTGAGATCCAACGTCCTCACTTGGATCGAAACGATTGCCGGCTCTCGGAATCTCAATGACCTCATCCGCGCCTCAAAACATCTCAAAACCTACGTCAATGCGTGTGCCGCTGAGCGTTCACCACTAGACCCTCGGATACGAGCGCTCCGACAGTGGACCACAGACCTTGCTCGGATTCCTGCCATGTTCGCCAACGCCCTCACGGTATCACCGTCAGCAATATACTCGTTGATACCCCCATTCTGTCCCACCGAGTCTATGGTATACAACACCGGGGGCTCAGGCCGGAGGCTCGCGGTGCTTGGCGCGCCTAATAAGCAATGGGATGACAGGCTGCTGTGCATCGATTTCCGTCAGGGTCACCCAAGGGCGTTGAGTTATGGAGACGAGTTCTTGGCCGTCGGTCTCAGTTCAGGAACTGTCGTATTGTACTACGCCACATCCTACCAGGAGTACAAGGTCTTTGAGCACGGTGAAGCTGTCAACTTCATTGCTTTCAGGACCAAAACCGACCTCGTAGCGACTTGTGGTATGAAGATGGCCAAGGTCTGGGACATCAGAAGTGGGCAAGTGGTGCACAGCCTCGCGAGCCCTCCGCGTCCGCTGGGGATGGAATTCGATGGAGAGACGCTTTTAATTGCGAGTCGCAACAACTACGTCGCGACTTGGAACTTGGGACACGACGCCCGGCCGCAGTCGGTGCGGAGGCCATGGAGCGATACCGATACGCCAGAGACGAACCGAACGCCTCCGCGTGGTACCCCAAACGCACTGACTCTCTCTACCAGCCACGGAATGCTCGCTGTCGCTTACAGCGGCCAACCCATTACGTTATGGGACATGGAGGAGGACGCCTACGCTGGTAACTGTGGCAAGAAACTCTCCAGCGGAGAGACCAGCACGCATGTCGTCGTCGCGCTTGCTTTCAACCCCAACCCTGACATTAGCCTTCTCGCAGTCGCATACCTCGATGGTGATCTTGCCCTTCTTGACCCCTTTGCCGATCAGCAGCTGGAATGTTTTCGCGCCAACTGCCAAACCCTCGCCCCAAGCCCCAATGGGCGCCTCCTCGCAGCGGGTGGTGCAAATGGGATTATCCACGTTTACGAATTTGATACGTTCAAGCTACTCTATCGGGTCAAGTCATCCAACTCGTATATCAAGCAGCTTGCCTTTACCAGAGACAGTATGCTTCTTGCCGACATACGAGGCGCCCAGTGCACTGTCTGGGAACCTGAAGCTCTGTTGCGAGAGTCCCTGAGCGATGACAGCAGCGGGCTCACTTCCACTACAGTGGTCGAGACGGTTTCCATGGAAGCCAAAGTGAAGATTACTGCCATGGTGGTCCATCACACGTCCGAAGTTGTCTTTTGCGGAAAGGATGATGGATCAGTCGTACTGTACGAGCGGAAAATGGCAGCGAGCTTGGGGACTCTCTACAGCCACAAGTCACCAGTCCGCCTGTTGGCCTGGATTGAACAGAGAGACGCCCTCCTTAGCATCGATGCCTCCAACAGGATCTTCCTACACAGAATCCAGAAGTCAGCAGATAAAGGTTGGCTCAACGATCTGACGGTACTCTTCAAGTCCCGCCTCGACTCCGAGAAGGCAATCATAGACGTGCTAGTAGGAGAAATGGCAGCGAAATTTCTGGTATCGACTCGCGAGTCTGATCATCTGTTCAACTTGGACAGTGGTAACTATGAGAGAGAGCGGACATATCCACAAATGCCAGGAATCCGCAAATGGCTCCCTCATCCAGAATCCTCTCTACATCTGGTTTGTGTCAACAACATCAAAGTCTGCGCGTACTGCTGGAGTGACTGGTCTGAAGTTTCATCTATTGCATTGTCGTTGGACAGCGACACAGCAGAGCTCAAAAGCGCGATCCTCTATTCGCTCGGCCAAAAACAAAGAATCATGCTCGACTTGTTACATCCGAACAGCTCCGTCAACACCAACAGGATTGCGATAATTGACGCAAACTGTCTCGCCGTCGCAAACAACGATAGCAGCTCGCTAGGGAAGCAATTGGATGCTGTGGCGGCGTTGGATCAACTTGCCACGGATGAAGACGGGGAGAGTATGGTCACGACATCGAGTCCAGCCGCTCCGCTTCGTTCACGGATGACGACATTCGAACTAAGCGTTGCTCATGTCATCGGAATTGACGAATCGAGGAAACTCGTATTCTTGAACCGGTCTTTTTGGGTGTGCTCTGTTGATCTCAGCGAGAGCGGGTTAGAGATCGCGCAACGCAAAGATTCCCCGACGATCGAGGTCTTTGAGCACTTTTTCGTCCCGTACGATTGGTTCGCTGGGAAGAGGGACATTGTTTGTGCCTTGACAAGGAGAGATATTATGTTGACTCGGAGTGGTGACCTGGCGGTGATTAGGGGCGGCCTTGACTATGCTGAGAGAGTGAGTATAGAATAAGAGACCAAACTGAAGGGACATATCTTACCCCAAAACCCAAATCGCGGGTAGAAGGTGTGAAGTGAAGTGGTGGATGTTTTGAAGATCCTTGAGAAGCATGTTGTAGTCCATATAGGTAGTTGTCAAACAGCTCGGCAGTGTAACTACTGACCTGGTCATACTCCAGGGCCTTGGACATCTTGTTGTGCGACCACTCGACAAAGGACCGGTTGGTCTTGTACTTTGTCAGGATGGCCCAAGTGCGCTGCGGGCACTCGGAAACTCTCGTTGGGAATGCGGCGGCCGCTGCAAAGACGGAGCTGACATCCCAAAGTGTTCAATATCGCAGCTGCATACTAACCGTCCTTGACTTGGCCACGCCCATCCATGCGACACTAACATGGCTTTCCGTGTTCTTCAAAGCTGTGGAAGGCTCGGTTGAAGAGTCGGAGCCGTAAGTGTTAAGAGTAAGCCCTTCAGCTGCCTGGTCCTTAGCATCAAGGCCGGACTTGATGGCCTTGACCGTCGATTCAACCCGACTCCTGTCAAGAACCTTCAAAGAGATGATGCCAGTAAACTCTCGACCCTTGATAAAACCCGAGATGTATGAGTCACCGTACGGCTCGTCAAAGAGTGTGGTGCCAGGCTCGATGCGATCAATGCGTTGAAATTCGGCGTTCTCCTTGATGACGGTTGTCTGATTTGTGACTTTGACGGTGACGACAATGTTGAGGTCGGCCGTCTTGAAGGTAGTCTCATCGATAGTTGAGCTTGATCCGCTGACTGCTACGGTGCCCTTCTTGATGGTTTCATCCAGATTCTAACTGATATAGTGCCCAAGAGCGGATCTGTACCTCCATGCCGCCACCTTGTCAGCAACACCTGAACTCAAGGCTGCCATCGAAAAGGTGAGGAGGACGAAGAACATCAAGGACCTACGCCAGCTCCAGAGTGACTTTGGATATCTGTTCTGCCGTCGCGCCACTATGGGTGGACGCCTCCAGACGAAAAAGATCATGGAGGAGACGACAAAGACCTCGGAGCAGGAACAGAAGCAGTCCAGGAAGGTATCTGTCGGAGTTGCCGTGACTACCCCTGGGCCAGCACCAGCGTCAAGCACACGAATGAGTCTGGAAGTGCAAGTTCTTCATCGACGACAGACAAGACGCAGGAGGAGCAGCATTTCTTTGAGACCACAGGCGGTGATACCCTTCTCGCGACAAAGTAGGTGAACTGAGCATTCATGTTACGGTTGAGGCTAACCATGGCCGCAGCTCTACTACATGGGCCCCAACTGTCGGCAATCACAAGAACTGGCGTGTCATTGAGGTAAGCAATCCCTATTACCAACCAGACGTGTACTGGCATTATATATTAGAGAGATTCTCTCACTCTTATGGTCGACGCCATCGCCAGCATGGATGGTCTCCAAGACGTCAAGGCAATCTTTGCTGGAGCAGTTCCGGTTTTGAGCAACTATCTCGAGTTCTCAGACTCGCTCGGTAAGAAGATCCGCCTCCGACTAACGTCGCCTAACAACGGCCTGTCCCTCTCGTCAAGGACAGTGCCCAGAACGACGCATGGGCACCTCCGCAGTACTATCTCGGACATAGGCCCATGTGGTATACCACGCCCAGACCAATGGCCATAGACCAGAATTTTTGGGGCAACCCGCATTTCGTAGGAAAGGAGCTTGAGCCACTCTTCTCGCCAAGAAGGTATGAACTAAGCCCCGTACCCTGCCCTTCCGAGTTCAACACTGACTTGTCCTCCCAGCTACCGCGCCCCTGCAATCTATGGGTATGCCACAAACAAGGTGGGCGAAGCTGACTTTGGTACTGCATACAACGAGCAGTTTTCCAGCACGGTTTGGAGCATTGTTGCGCCGTACGATGAGGCTTTGTGCCACGAATCTCGAGTCATTCTACGATCTGAAACTCTGCAGTCTGAGAGCGTCTTGACCCATACTGTAAGTCAATCAACATCAGGTCATCCAGCAATGCTAATGCTCGTCGCAGGATGCAAGCGGCAAGACCGAAGAATTGGAGACGTCTCTTCCGTCAAGTCCCACCTCCTCCCTCATGATCTTCCGCAACCAACAAGGTGTTTTCCTCCCGGGCATGTCCGACGACGACGGAATCCAAATCTGGCGGATCCTCAAGAAGGGTGCAGCACCTGAAGACAAGATCAATGTCAAGGAACACGATGAAGTCCGCCTCGCTTGGCGGTTCAGCGACCAGACATCTGGTTACAGGGACTTTACTGACGACGTCTTTGGGCGTCGACGTACCTGCCCTCCCGAAGGAATGGAGGACGTCACATTGTACATGAAGCTCCCCTGGCCGCGGTTCGAGCCCCTTACCAGCCAACCCGATCAGCAGACGACACTACCAAATGCTCTCCTGATGAGTGAGAATTTCCAAGATAGCGATCAGCCAGCTCAGTTCGGTCTCGTCAACACTGTCTACGCAAAGAAAACCCTCAAGCCGGACAGTTAGACTTTTGCGCTCCAGGACTGTACTTTCCGCCTAGATCTAGTATCGAACCAGGGCCAAGGAGACGTGAGTGATTATCTACTCCTGGGCATCATCCAAGATGCCCATAAGTTCGACGTCAGCGTCGCAATAGCAAACTGGATCGAAAACATTAAGCGCTAGCAGGAAACGGCAGTCCAGGTCAACCGCCAGAAACTACTGAGCCAGCAGAACGCTGCAAACGTTGCACTAGGCCTCAGACAAGCGGTATGTCGTCCCCAAGCTAAGTATTGATCATGTGAGGCTAACATGGACCCTTCCCTCTAGGTCCTTGGTCCGATTGCGCAGACCGGTTCGAATCAGGTTGCTTCTACAGTGGCCAGTGCCGTGCGAGCTTGAGCCGAGATGCGGGTAGAAGCCTATGGCTATTACTTTTAAGCTGAGTGTGGATTGCTAGATAATGTCACTGTAGCCAATCCGTAGCGTCATAAGAATACCAGGATAAGTAGTGCATATACGTCCAAGTATGTTGTACGATTAAATTTCGATACCTTGAATACTCATAAGAATACCCATGTTACTATGACTGACAATCCGCTCCCGTAAATAATCGCGGCTTAAATACTAGGGGACCGATGTAATGTTGCTCAAGACCCGCCGCTCGGACTCTCTGAAAGGTATTAGTCGTAGAATAGCCCGAACCCGTTTCCCGTCAAAGAGCAGTTCCTCGATGGCTTTTTCCATATCTTGGAGCGCGAGGTCGCTGTTAGTGGACTGGCGGGCCAGCAACTGCGCCAAAGAGCCGTCGCCAATGTGCTCACGGTAGAAACGATGAGCGTCACGCGCGATTTCCAGCATCTGCTCCAGACGCCCGTCCATGAAGGGTGAGCTAGGCCGAGGGCTATGGTATATGATGTCCCACATGACATACCATTTTTCAACCTCCGTCTTCGACTTGCCCCCGATCGGTTTCAGGAGCTCGTATTCCTCCTCGAGGAGATAGAATTCAGCATCATGCTGGGCCTCCTCTCCCGGACGCCTCATGTGATGATGCAGTAGGTGCTGCATCACGTGGTATATGCTTGTGAGTCGAAGTTGGCTGCAGCGTTCATATCGGAGTAGGTCGAATTTGTGAAAAGGGCACGCCCATAAGCGTTCCTCATTAGACTCTCGCTCAGTGATGCTCGAATTTCTTCCCTCCGAACCCATGGCGCCAACCCTACCGCTGTTAATAGATTCAAACGATCTGATAGGATTGAAGCTGTCCGCTGCTGTGGAAGGACCGCCCTCTGGTACCAATCTCTGACAGCCCATCTTGTCTCTGACTTCAGCCCACAGGCGGTCTGACCTCGCCCAAGCCTGGAGCTGACTTGGACCTCTGTTCGAGACCTGTTTGGAGATGCCCGAAACCGCGTTCTCGGGTTGAGAGGAAGGCTCAGTGCAGGACACGTCAAGGCTGGCATCAACAGCAAGAAGCTCCAGTGTAATTTGGGCTCCGTCGCGTGATGCTTCGGGGTCGCTCCAGCCGCGTTGTCTTGGACCATCTCCAATGTAGTGCAGCCAACAGTGCCAAGGGCTCGTCACCTGATTTCCATTGGGTTGGCGGAATTGCTCGTTCGGGTCGCATCCAGCCCTTAGTAGATACCGGACAGTTTCTAACCCTTTGGTACCGAAATATGCGTTCTGAAAGCCCAACTTCATTGTTTGCAAATGCCCAAGCAGCGGCCGGCACGTAGCATGGTAGAGCAATGGTAGACCAGTCATCTGGGACAAACATGAGTCAAACTTGTCCTGGTCTACCCGGAATACCGGCTGACATCCAAACATTGTCATCCCCTCTCCATCGTTGGGGGGTGAGGCGCCTGTGCAGTCCTCAAGCCAGGTATCTTCCGTGGGACACAGGCAGTGAGCTAGATCATCCGGCTGCTCAACAACAAACTTTAGGAGCCTCGCCATCCCCATTTCGGCCGCCAGAGCAACTCCGATGGACAAGTCATGATTGAAATGACGACAGCGCGCCCGGTGTAGCGCCCCTTGCCTCGCTTCATCCCAAAACTGACCATAACAGTTTCCTTGGAAAACAGCCTGGAGTCTAGAAAGGTTTGCTGCCACGATGGATGGTGAGTCGCCTTCCATCTCGGAATAGTAGATATGAAGCAGGGCATTGTTGATGCAGATGTTCTTGTGGGCCATGTTTCCTTGCTGCCCCATGCCCGCAGCCTCGACCCAAAGCGCTGATAGAATGGCGTGAGAGTGGAATGCATCATGGTCGATTTGCATCCACTCCGATTCCCATACATCTGACGTACCAAGGAACTCGTAAACGGAACGATGCATGAAGACGACGCTCGAGTCTAAAAAAAGGTCGTGCTCCTCGCTACCGCAGACACATATCATGTTGGGCTCGTTGGTCGATGTGACGCGCTGAATCTCAACTAGACCATAACATCGGCTTCGCAAGCGCCCTTCCATCATTTGACATTTCATTCTTTTCTGAACCATAGATAGATCTGGCATGCGAGGTTCGTCCCAGTCAGGGCGAAATCCCCGTCCCTCACTCAAAGCAAGTCCAAGCGTCGGGATAGAACCAACGTCCTCCTTGGTCTGGTTGTCGAACACGAGACGTAGCAGTCTTATGCTCTGATCTCTGTACCTTGGATGAATTCTGTGGAGCATGTGTCTGAACAGGCCTTCAAGTTCTGGGGGGATTTCGTTGACTCGAGCTTTGAGATCCGAGATACTATCACACGCCGCTAACCCTTCCAGCACTGAACGACATGCAAGGACAACCCAGAGAAACACGCCAGACGACTTCAAATTGAAGTCCCGTATAAGCTCACTAGAACTTTTCGGGTCTTCCAGGGCCAAATTGGTCATGTGTGGATGGTGTGTGACTGTGTCATCGACATAGGTCTCAATGTCCCGTCTCGTGAGATCTTGGAGATTCATCTTGGGTTTCCCTTGGAAAGCTGCGACGAATTCAGGTAGAGGTCGGCTAGACACGAGGATCTTGACGCTCTCCAGCTTCCCTAGCTCTTGGATAAAAGCTGTGGCATCCATGGGTCTCCCATCATACTCGTCGAGTCCATCGATAAACAAAAAAAGTTTGCCTGGTTGAATCTTGGCAAAGTTCAAAAGCCCTGTTTTCATCTCGCGTACAGATGGAATCGAGACGTCTTCCTTTGGGTCGTCTTCCGTCGCGAGCGCTTCCTTCCACATGTTGGGCATCACAGTCTCGATCAATTCACGGTGTTGACTGAGGACTTGATACAGAAGCCCGCGAAACAGTCCCTCCTGGGATTTCTGCTCGGGCATCCCCAAGTGATAAAAGAAGAAGTCGGTGACAGTGAGATCTGAGGCGCCGGTCCATTCCTTCAATAACGCTTGCGTTCGTGAGTGGCCAAGGATGTACTTCATCAATGTCGATTTGCCACTGCCTGCTTTACCAGCCAGCCAGTAGGTCCCCGAGCTTTTCCCCCGAAGCCAGTCGCAGAGATCGTCCCATTCCAGGGCTCTCTGTGGAGGGTTCAAGGCCCAGGAAAACGTCCCTGCATGGGCGCCGCTCACGGTTTCCCGTCGATCTTCGATTCGTCCAAACCACAGTCGCTGCAGAATCCGATTCTGGTTTGCGGTACGGATAGCTCGTTTGACTGCCTTGAGGACATATGGTATACCAGGGGTCGCCTTCAGAATCAGCTTGAGGTATGGGATGCTCCTTATGTCGGCGAGATCTTCTTCAGTCAACATCAAGGTCGATCTAGCATTATTGTTGTCCGGGACCAGTGTGTCAAGTCGTGAGTTAAAGTAAAAAAGCTCCTGGATCAACTGCTCAAACTTGTCTCTGTCGCGCACAACCCAGCACCATTTGTCTGTCACTTTGAAGCTCTTGGTTTCCGTACCTCCTTCTGGGGTACTCCTACTCAAACTGAGCTTTTCGAAATTTCGAAGAAAGCGCTCCATCCGCGGTGTGCTGGCCTTGACTGTGTCATCAATGAACTCGGTCTCGCCGATGCTTAGGTCGCGACGCTCAAGTCCGTATCGGGTTTGCAGAGCATCGCCTTCCTCTAGCAGAGTCTTGATGCTCGACAGTACCCCAGCGACTGTTGCGTTTAGAGCTTTGTCATCCAAACGTTTGTCCCATTCCTGTGGCTTGACCAAGCCGACACGGTCTGCCCATTGGAAAAAGAGCATTTTCTCGACGTCGAGCTTCGTCTCGAGCAATGCTGCATCCTTGCCGAGAGACCTCGCCGCCGAAATCATTGAGTAGAGGTCGATGCAATCTTTGAAAGTGCCAATGAGGGCCACCGCCCCGATCGTAAGCCCCGCAACTTCCATGGTGACGTATAGATACTGTCCTGTTGACAGTACCTAAGGTAGGGAGAGTCAGGAAGAAATATGTCGGCGAGAGAGGAACTGTTGGTACAATTGAAAATGTCTTTTCAGATGGCCTGCTTTTCATATTACCTAGGCAGAAACTGAAGGCCGCAGCGATTGCCCAAGGGGCTATGCCCTGGTCCGCAGCCCAATGTGGCGCTTCATCGCGGCAGGCTATGGCCAAGGACGTACGCAGAATGAGTTGGCGCTCCATGACTTGTGACAGCGATGCATATGCATTTCGCGTCGTGAGGATGGCTTGAAACAGAGTTGCTGGTTGGTTGATGGATCGAGCTGAAAAGATGACCCGCATGAATGACACCAGCACAACCCATCCCTTCTGCTCTCTCTTATGGATCCCAGGTCAGGTGACTTCACCAAACCCTCCCTCACCCTCGGCTACGCAAGAGCATCAAGCAGGTATTTTTCCCACTACGAGAGCACTATTAGGTTGTTTGTTTTATCATAGAACCTCATCTTTACTTTAGTGTTAAGTTTAAACATGCCGTGCGGGAAGTTTGAGGCTCTCAGCAGCCAGGAAGTACCTACAGTCAGGTTTAGTCCTCTTCTCGTATACCAAAGTGAACTATCTTTTCGCCGTTGAGAAGACATTGACGGCTTGCCCCAAATAAATAGGATCGAGTTGGACTACGGCACTATTGATAGTATTACTATTCTTTGAGACCTACTTGATAACTTACAACAATAAAATAAAGTAACCAGGTTGCAAACAATTCATCTCACCTATTTACATCCTTTGTCAAGTATCGAGCGCAGCTGAAACAATTAGCTTGGAGACATCAAGAAGCCGTCCACTCACAACATACAGAAAGATTCGAAAACGTCTTGCAATCAACAGCAAAGCACAAGCCGCTCCAAGTCATCTTGCCCAAGGTACTGCCCCCCCTTTGCTGCAACTCCAGCCAACTCCCAGCACTGTGTCTATTGTTAGTTCTTGACTCCTCAATCAGGCTCATTGCTTGCATGGAACTCCTTTGTTCCGCCGATCCACGATCATCACATGTTTTTTCGTCTTTGTCTCCCTGCCCCCCTTGGTGGCATGGTCAAGCCGCAAAGGCCAACACACCAAAGCCCAAGCCAGAAACCCCCTCCTTTGGTTTCTTTGTTTTGCGAGGCAGTTGCCTGCTCCCTTACTTGGTCCAACCCCCTCTGTCTTTGGCCTTTCCAACAGGCCTGCAGATGGCTTTTCTTTTCATTCTTGGCTCTGCCATTCATGTTGGCCCAGGTGTTTGCCTGAGCTCTCTAAATACACGCTGTTTCCCGACTCTTTGACATCCGACACACCCAAACTTCCCTCCTCCATTTATCAAAATGTCTTTCATAGAAATGAATTTCAAGGTACCTACTGCTCCCTCGCAGACGGCTCAACAAACTGAGGAGTCTGTCCGGAATGCCTTTTCAGTGCCTGACAGTACCGAGTCCTCGCCGCCACCTTCACCAACCGCCAAGTCTTCTCGCAGGAACATGTCTCCAGAGGGCGAGAACTATCTTAACAAGGTCCCGCCCGTCGTCCGATTGGAAGTTTGGCACTTTTCTAAGACGGGTGGAAACATTAAATTCCCTCGCTCCCTAGCCGATACTCTGTCTAAGGTCGATCTTCCGGGTTGGCAAGTCCAGCCATCCAACTCTGCCTCTGCTGAGGAGAATCGCAGGGATGAGTTTGTACCCGCTACGGTGAGCATCCAGTAACCCGAGAGCTTCTTGGATATTGTTGTTTATTATTGTCTTTTAGGTTGATTTCAAATACCAGCCCTTGTTCCGTGGAGGTCACGACACAGCTCCCGACGACCTCATGAGATCTTTCTTTTATCAGACTCTCCAACCCGTCGTCCGAGACTTCTTTGAGAGCATCGGGAAAAAAGAACAATTTTTAACCATGTATCCCCTCGGCCAGCGTACTCAACGCTACGCTGTTATCAAGTACACACATTTCGTATTTCTCCAGGCCTTGGTCGTGGAACCCGATATTGTTGCCGGAATCATGCAGGTGCCCTATGCCATCCAAAGATTTCTTATGCTGACATGGGTAATCGCTAGCCATCAAATCTCCAACGTGGATGAACACACCCGCAAACTCGCTTACAAGCGCGTCGGTGATCTTGCTATCAAGGCTGTTCAGGGACGTTCCTTGCAAGACGAGTGGCTCGCGCTCGGGACATGGCTCTCCAGAAAGGCTGTAGCAACAGGGGTAACAGGATCTCTGACATCAATGAGTCCAAAGTTGAGGCTAATCCTGCATTATAGGTCGTCAAGGTCGTTTCCAAAAGCCGGAGGCAGGCAGCCTACGACAGGTCTTCTGCCGCTTTCAAGTGCTATCAAGAGCTTGAAACCGTTCTTGAGCTAGACTGCAAGAAGCATTTCAAGCCCAGTGGTGAGTCCAATGACACTTCTCGCAAACGCATACTCACCAAGGCAGACCTTGGACACCAAGATCTTTATTTCAGCATCGCGCAGATGGCCATCGCCTTCCAGATCGTCCCATTCTACAGAAAGGAGCGGGAAGAGTACCTAAAGCGGTTCTTCAGGACGACTGGCCGCATTCTCTGCCTCGCATCCCCTTTCGTGGCGGCGACTGCATGCGCTTACTTCTGGACCAAGCGTAGACAATTCAACGAGCTCAGCTGGGATTGGGCGATGGACAAGTATACTTATTGGGATACAAGGTACCAGTACACCATCTACTGGAAGAACAGTATCGGCATGGGGCTCCTCTCGCTCTTGGTTTTGTTGATCAACCTTGCCGAATACTTCGCGCTCAGATTCTGTAAGACAGTTCTCATTCAACCTTTATCACGCGTCACCCACATCGCTTACTGACACCTCATCTCGATAGTCAACAAGAGAACCGACAAGAAGATCAACGATCTCAGGGTCACCCAGGGCGCCTTGGTGGCCAAATTCTGCGCTCGAGTGATGAAGGCGCCGCCAGACATCATGACCGCGACCGAGCGCAAGAAGGCTTTCTACTTTTTGGGCGTCAATTTTCATGATGAGACACCAGAGACACAGCGCCGATGCCTCGACGCGTTTCAGACCGACATAGTTCAGCGTTGAGAGCATGGAGACAGAATGGGGGATGGGCATGGTGATTTTTGTTCCTGTAATTCAGTAACTTCGTTTTTGATATTGCGGATGGCTTTCGTGGATGACGAATAAAACGACGCTAGCTTGCTGAGGATATCTTACAATCGTGGCATGACCGAAAACATAGCAGAGAAACTCTACTCTGTGTCTCTCGCTCCCTCTCTGACGAGCAACCTGAAGCTGACCTGTGACATCTAGATTCCCCAAACCTTCCCGTCTACCCGTCTGCCAGTCTTCCTCTCCTCTCTCGTCGCCATCATCATTCTCTTGATGACCTGCTGGCTCACATCATCCCATCCGCTAACCTTCTCCCTCGTAGTGATGTCGAACCGATGACCAGCCCACTCCCCTTTCATCGGCAGCCTCACCCGTTCGTCTTGGGCGGCCTCCTCGCCCCAGGTGATGTAGCACAGCAGCACCTCTCCCAGGCTGTAGGAAAAGTTGGATCGGGCGAGGGCATCGTCGCTGATGAACTGCTTGGTCGTGAGGTTGCGGAGCACTGCTGGTCGGTGACTGCTTGGGAAGTGGGGGTTGTGCATCAGGAGTTTCATTAACCGCTTAAACGGAAGCGACATCTCCTGCTTCTGGTCCAGTCGCTCGCGCACATTATCGAGTGCTCTGCCCCATACTTCGAATGGCTGTTCCTTGACGAGGGATGCCAAGGTTGAGTGGTGACCCTCGGCCACGGCTTGTTCGCCCATTTCGTAAAGCGGGTTGGTTCCATCGCTGCCCCACTGGAACCTCTCCAAGACGGTCGCAATCTCGGGAGGGTAGCCGACAGCCCTTTCGCCGATGAGAATGAGTCGGTCGCCAGCCCACTGTCCGATGTCCTCCGAGATGGCTGCTTGAATCATGTGGGAGATGAGTCGGAAGAAGTAGCTGCAGGTGACGGAAAGGCAGATGAGGTCGGCATCGTGTCGGCATTCATAGAGGAGGGCAACAATCGAGTCGATGACGTTTTGAGGGAGATTGACGAGAGGTGAGTCGTGGCTAGCGTATGAGGTTAGGGTTGTGGTCGACGAGGGAGGGGAGTCAAGCGCACTTTCTCTTCTTTGCGGGGATGGCTTTCTCGGCAGGAATCTGGAATCTCAGCCACGAGGGATTGGCCAGAAGTCCAACCAGCTGTTCGCCCGAGGTGCTCTTGAGGATGTCCAGAAGCTTGGGCTGGCCGACGTGGCGAAGCTGGCGCTTCTTGTCGATGTTGATCAGCTTCCAGTCCTGGCCCATGGTGAAGAAGCGGTGGCACGGGGTGGAGGAGTAGAGAAGGTGTTTGCCTGGGCCTGACCTAGAGGATTGAAAGGCCAGAGGTAGAAGTAGGTGAGGTGAAGAGGTGAAGAGGTGAAGTTGTCTCCCTTAGGTAATCGGCGCAGTGTGTCTCTGCACCCCGCTTCGGCCTCGAGGTCAAGTCGTACAAATCGCACCTGCCGTTTCTTGAGCAACAGAAGAATCAGCACCCTCTCAACTCAGAATGCATTTTGCCTGCTCGCATGGAGGTACAAACATTATGCAGTGTTGAAAGGCGGGGAAAACTGTTAGCAAGTGCCCATCACTTGTGAGCACTGCTGAGATGTGACGACCTTGGCTGCTCATACAACGCACCTGTTCTAATCATATTTGATAAGATTAATAAGAAAAACATTCTAAAGAGAGAATAGTCTGATGGCAGAATTAGAGCATAACGGAGACCTCTGCCTTTTCCCTCATCACACTCCGCGCCAGCTTCCAGCTGGCAGTACCTCGAAATATTGGCGATGTCCAGACGCTAACATATGCATCTCTCCAACTAGATCAGCCCGATTCCACTCCTTTTCCGAATTTCCTCCTGTCGGACGGTCATCAAACACAACCTGAACTTGGTGGGTACGGGTCAAAAGCCTCCAATACAGAGCCGAGGGCTTCGACCAGCTCCTGTATGGCTGAGAACCAACACGACACTCTCCAACCGTCCTCTGTGCTCCATTCTCATAGTAAAGGTGCATCCCCAAGAGATTATCTTCGTCGTGATATACATCAACGCGGGCCATGTTCTTCAAGGGGGCCCATGAATATAACATGCCTGCGCAGCCCAAATGCCCGTTCTGGCCCGGCCAACGGAATGTATGAGGTAGCGACCCTTTGCCCATGGGGTAGACAGAGATTTCAGGCTGATGGCTTGATGTCCCTTTGAAATAAATGAGCGCTTTTGGCGACTTGCTGTGCGACTCAGATGCGAGCCTCTGGTGATATCCAACATGGAAAACCCCAGCCAGTTTGGTCTCGAACTATTGGGCACTTAGAAACTCCATAACCTTAAGATGTATGCGTCAACTCACCATGAGACTAAAACTACCTTCGTCTCCATATTCACCACACAAGACAGACATTGATAGAATCTCCTCACCAGGTGGCAGCGGCACGTACACCGCCGTAAGACCGTCCGGACGCTTTTTCAGATGAACTGGGGATGTTCGAGTATGGACTTGGATAGCAAAGACGTCCTCCCGGGAGAATTCTTTGTATAAAAATGTCAGGCCGGTGCAGGTCGAAAGATCAATGGTCTTTGGATGCGACGGATACCTGTTGCTGGGCCAAGACATGGCGCACGACTCGAGCTGAAACAAGTTCGAATGTGCACCAAAGTGAAGGATTTTTGGGGGTGTTGGAGTGTCCCACATTGCGAGCCGTGCATATGTCCTGGTCGCGAGCCATGCGAGACCGTCCTGTCCATCATTAGCTCGGTGTTACAGTTCTGCTCTCATCTTATGTATTACCTGGAAGTAGATCTCTATCTTGAGAGCTTGGACTCTCCTCCGGTCAGCGATGATATATTTGGCCGAGCCGCTTCGCTTTTCGCTAAGCGGTTCCGGGTAGTCATTAAGAGCCTCAACTCTGCTAATGCCATGGTGATCCAGGGTGACCCGGGTGTAGTTGCTGTGTCCTTGTAAAAGCTTTGGGCCCTCTTCTCCTCGAGTCCAAGACTCAATCTCGCACAGTTTGCACTGGACCATCTTAGTTTCCTGTGGCATCAAAGACAGCTCCATCCTCAGAGCCACTGCTCTCGCAAAATGCCACAGTGGCGCTTCGCTCGAGTATTCTTGTATAATGGCCAAAATCTCCATAGGGAGCCCCGATAGGCCATGGAGATTGAATTTGTTGCGCACCACGGCCAGGGCATCGGGGGAAAATCCCCACGGTTCCGGGATACGAGCGTCCAGGTTGTCTTCTCCAACCATGAACGAGCTCACGACTCTTCCAACAAAGTCTGGTCCTTTCTTTGCTTTCCTTGGAGATTTTAGAGCGGATATAAATCTGTAGCAGTGCTCATGGACCTTGACACAAGGGGATTCACAATTGTAGAGATAGTGTCCATTTACCATCATGCCCATGGTCGCGATCACTGCCATTTCCCAGGAGCCAAGCGGGTAGTTCTCGCAGTAGACTGGGACAAAGGTCAGCAAGAGACACCTGCCCAAGTGCAATCGAAGCATGGGGCGAAAGGCCCTTTTGAGGATCACTTACGAACAACGACTTCGTCGAATAAATCCCCAAACCCCCCGTGGCATATACCGCATGTATGAGGCCTGAAGCATTTGAGCAAGGATCTTCTCCTTGATTGGGCCAAGAATAGTGGTTGACTCATAGCTCGTATTGTGAAATTGCGCGGTAAGTTGATGGAAGTGTGAAATAATGGTTTGTGGGGAGCGTAGAGAGACAGAATGATTCGGGGCAAGATGGGGTTCCCAAGTATGACTCCTAGATCTTGAATTAGGCCGCAAGCACAGTCATAGATGCAAGTTAAGTGCTTGTTGAAGACACATGGCCATAACACACGCCGTGGTGGGTGCCACGCAAAGCTTAACGAGCTCAAGACAAAAGCAACTTTCGATGTTGTAGCTCAAAGGCCTTGAATTTTACCTTTGGATCAACCTTGAATGGCATGCAGCAGGTCATCAACCCTAGTGACGCCTCTGACAGCTTACTCACAATCCGCCTAGCGACTAAAGATTACCCCCAGCTATTTAAACTCGGACCTAAACCGAAATGAAGCTCGGGGGTCCTCGATTTCATCCCCCAACAAGAGTGTATCAAAGAAAGAGTTAAGAGAACATATTAATTCCCAATTTCCGATGTTCTAACCACAATACATTACAGAGGCACTCTACTATAGGTCGCCGCCATCACCAAGAAGATACCTATCTCTCCGTTCAATTGCTCGTCTCTTGGAGGCGGCTTTGTCAGCCTGTGTTGGGAAATCAAGCACATCCCACACATCCCTCATCCTAGCCGCATCAGGAGCATCTATAGATAGCTCTTTGCGTTCCCACCTGTCCCTGTAAATGCCCGTCTCCTCTATAGGCTCCTCCGGATCCACGCGGTTGCGGTTCATGTCGTGGCCCAATATTGGGAGGGGGCTCTCCGGCGGAGCAGCATCAGCAGTCAAAAATTCGATCAAGGCTTGCTTCTGCTCAGGAAGGAGCTCAAAAATTCGGTATGTGACATTTGTTCGGTTCGGGTGCAAGTAGACGGCATATGGATCAAAGTCTGGTGACTGACTGCGCCGGTCAAACACGACAACACCACCAATGATACGGGACTCAGCCCAGTAGCCTACCATATCTGCAGCCCCATTGGGATACTGGTCGTAGTCGATATACCATGGGTGCTTGAAGAGGGTGGGAAGTGGCCCGTCTGGATTGTGGTCCCAGTACAGCCTGTTGGACTCTGGCGGTGCCCACTCCGTGATACCGTCGTCTTTGTGCAGACTCGTGCCGAGATTGAATAGCATCACTGCGATTTGGTGAGTCGCAACAGCCATCAACTCAATGAGTCGGATATTGAATGTCCTTGACCCCGGAGCGGCAGCTTGGTACGCAAAGAGCAGCTATCAAGCACAAAGGTCAGCTCGCCTAACAGCAACACAACACGCGGGAGTTTCCAGCTCACCCTAGAGTCGATACTTAGAATTTCGGGTTCAAATTCCTCACGGAATTGTCGTGCCTTGTCCAGCATACCTGGACATAGCTCCTGGTGAGCGCTGTGGAGAGGATGGCCTTTGGGCAGTTTCCCACCCCTTGACTCGTATATGACCTGGGTCAGGGGCAAGCCATCGATTATTTGTGCATATGTCAGTTCGGCAACGTCTGTGGAAAGAATTCTGGTGATGGCGCGGGTGAAGGTATCATGATGGTCGCCGTCAAGGACATCGATGGAAAGGCTCCTGATCTGGCTGTCATCCGTGATCGAGGGGGGTTGAGCCCCAGCCGATGAGTTTTCTGAGTGCTCTAAAGACATGACTTCTGCAATCCAAAATCTGAAGAGAAGAGGATGTCTCTGATATTGGGGGATGATGTGGGCGGTGCGTCAAGCTGGATTGCAGCAGGAAGAAGACGGCGCGCGTCTCCCGAGTGCAGAGCGCTAAAATTAGCGCACCGGGCGCTAGGGCCCAGGGGAGGCTGTCGGCAAGCACGTGCGACTCCGCAAGCGCCGACGATAGCGGGGGTGGGGGCGCGGACCAATGATATCGGGTAGTTTACAGCACCGCCGAGCCGAAGCGCGCGCTTCCGTCTATCAACCACGGTGCCAGGTGAACCAGGCCACCATATCCATACTTTTCCTTCGTGTTTAGAAATCGACATGGTTCATGCAGAAACATGGATCCATGGGGCGAAATGGTCTACTCCAATTCGGTCGTCCGGGGTCCAGGCCCAAGCCTGGCCGGTTGATAGGCCCCAAACAGGCTGAGCAGACTCTAGGCGGCTGCAACCAACAAGACGCTGATTCTTTTCCCGAGGATGGCACAAGGAATTCTCATTTCGGTTTCCCTTTCTGAGAAGCCAAGTTACTGGAGTGCTGCGATAATGTGAATACGGTCTGTTGGTTCTGATATGTTTCAGGCTCAGGTTATCATCTCATGCGTCGGGCCTGGTTGACGGTCTACTACTCCACTTCAAGAATAGGGCACCACCTGAGATTCTTCTGGTACCGCTGAGGCTTAGAATAGGGTTTCAATCCTTGTTCCTCACGTTGGCTCTGGTTCATGTCAACTTTGGAAGCGTTTTAGGCCAAGGGAACGACGAAGCAGGCAAGTATAAGGCATGGCCAAGTCCTCTGTTAAACCGCACCAAGACTCCAACACAGCTCAGATCACTCCAACAGCCGTTTTTTCCCTGCTCGTATTCTTTTATTGCTATCCAAGCTCCACGATATCTTCTTTCCAGCTTTATTTTTTGCAAAGCTTCCAAGTTCGATCTGCTGGCAGATTCCTACAAATCATTCCCTTCAACCAAGGTAAATCATGACTGACAGCATGCGCCGCGGTACGAGCTCTGTTGACAACTCCCTAGAAACAATAAAGGCCCTTTTCAGTTTCGTCTTGATAATCGTCCCCATTTCTTACCAAGACTATCAACTCAGAAATTCGTTCAATCATATCCAACATGTCTCAGAGCAGAGTCTTGGACCTTCAAATCCGCCCTGGTCGCTGGTTCGACGGGGTTGACCCTCTCCCCTCGACTTCGACCAGATACAAGATCGTCGAAGCTTCGGTGCACATGGGGTTGTCTATCTTGGAAACTCCCCAGGGAAGGCAAAGTCTAGCCAGAGTTGCTACGGCCATCATCGAAGAGGGCCGGAGCGAACAGCCACCTCGTGCTGATATTTACAAGGGATCACTAAGAGACATGCCCGCATGGATAAACAGGTTTCTTACTTCCATGCGCTTCAACTTCCCTGCAATATTTATCCATGATGAAGTCGCCGGTGAGGCTGAAGCGCAGAGGCTTGACTGGGGCGACGACATGCGGGACTATGATGCTGGTCTTGGAGGGAGGATCTCTCTCAGCAGCGCTCTCATCGACAATATGGTGTATGCACATCAGCAGTTGCCACAGATGGCCGGTGACAGCTACGTCAGATTCAAGTTTCAGATGGGCCTCAGCATTGCCCATGAGATTGTTCATCTCCTGACCGGATTCATCACTGGAGATCCTAGCCCGCTCACCCCCCCAGAGGTCAGCTTGCTCCGATACGGTGACTCGGAAGCTGGTGAAGCGGGTCGGTACTGGGAACATATTCTCTTTGGCGGTGTTGTTGAGTTTTGGTCCTTTGTCGATGACCCTATGAATGTTCGGCAGACGGGCACCGCCTATTTCTTCGAGAACGGGCACCGGGATGCCACGGGCTATGCCGTCTCACTGGGCTATATGAACGAATTCGTAAACCAGGGTAAGTTTCCGTCTTCTCAGCTCCTGCGCACAAGTCTGACAGCTCCTTCTTCCCAGTATTTACGTTTCCAATCCGTCGCTCCAGTGAGGCTGTCTTCACGACACGTGCGGCACTCACACGAGCCAACTGCGCTGAGACGACGAGCCTGCGCACGAGGAGAAGGCAGAACCGTGCTCCGCCGGCGAACTCGCCAGCCCCGGACCATTGGAGTGCAAATATGCGCTATCGAATGCCTCCTTCCGGGTCTCAGGGCCACTCCAGAGTTCCCGGCCAGAGTACCAACTCCCAAGCAGGTGGTTCAGGTAGAGGTTATGCTTCTCAATCAGGAAGACCCAGCCAGGCCTATAACCCTCCAGCAGGAGGATCTGGTAGAGGCTACGCCTCTCAGTCGTCAAGGCCCAGTCAGGCTTATCCTCCTCCATCAGGAGGGTCAGGTAGAGCCTACAGCTCCCAAGCTGGACAGCCAACCAGACCCTCCAATCCCCAGTCATCGCGGTCGGATCGGTCATACCCTAACCCCTTTGCACCCCGATCATCAGCACCAAGCCAACCTTCATATACTCAGCCGACAAGCGGCAGCCGGCCCCCTGAGTACTACTACAGACGCTGATTGGATGTTGAACCTAAGTTTGTGATTTTTGGAAGAGGAGTTGCGCTTGGAGATTGCTGCGGAATGTCTTGTATGTTTTCGGAAAGTTGTTCGCCCTGGAGTGGCATTGTATTTTGGACATGTCTAGCGTAATTTTGTGATTTCTTGATGGAGGTATCCAACCTCCCAGTTACATTCAACGCACAACAACAAAACCAAACTCAAATGAAGACACAAGTGGTATTCACAAGACGGTGACTGCGCCGCAACATTGCAATTGTCACTTTGGGGAACACTTTGCCTCTGGGAGTGTACCTAGAAAGAAATCTTAGACTGCCATGTCGTAAGTTGGTTTGTACAAGGTACAAACCAGCTCGAGCTGTCACAACATGGAATGGAGATTATTGGTTGCATCGCCTCCTTTAAAAACCAAGCTCAATCATCTCCAACGTCTTAAATCTGCAGTTGGCTATGCTGGCGGCAGTGCAAGGTGAGACAGTGAGATGTTGGCGTCGCCGGATGATATGGCGGGCCGGCATGTCTTACGCCAACGTTGAGTGGCCGCCCTAGTTCAAGGCTGACCAGAAGGCAGTTTCTCCCCCAACGGAGAGAGGTCACGCCTCCATATCCTCCCACAGCCTCAGAAAACCATCTCCTCATCAATACACAGCCGATCCCCATCATCCTTCATCTTGGAAAGCCATGCAGACGCCATGTTCAGAGCAAAAGGCAGCACTAGGGCGGTTGGCGGTCGTCCTCAACGGCTAAGGCCCGATGCCGGTGCGTACGGTCTCATTCCTTTGGAGCAGAGGAGAACGGAGCGCTGACTATGATCAAGAGGAAGCGGGATCCTCAGCTGACGCTCAACGCGATTCTGAAGAGGTGCCGTTTGTTAAGGATGAGCGGACATGGATACGGTGGCCTGTCTCACTCTTTGTGGTTCTGATTTACCGGCCAATTTGGAAGCCTTTGTACGCCGTCTTGTGGAGTCCTGCGTCTCTGCTGTTGGTTTTGGTTCTCTTTCTTTTCGCTGCTGTTCCGTTCATGATTATTTCTGGGTTCTTGTCTGCTGCTTTTGGTCTTCGGAGCGTCCAAGGTTCCACCAGAGAAGAGGGTAGGGCAGCGATGCAAGGGAGAGCTACTGAAATAGCAGCTGCTATCTATTGACGCGAAGGAGGACTGATAAGCTCATGCCCTTGTGTACTGAGCTGTTCTATCAACTTGGCTACTAAAGATCTGCCGTCAAAGGCAGTTCATTGCGTCTCTAACTGTTCAACCCTACCTCGATGAATCTGCTGATAAATAAATCATTTTCGTCTACAGGTTAGAATGTATAGTTAATGCGTCAACCATTCTGAGATGATGAGCTGCGCATCTATGACATACTCAAGCCTGCAAAGCTGCAACTGGCCGATTGAGATGTCAAAATCCGATGCCGATGACATTGCCAAGGGCATCTCCCTGTCCAGAATGGGGGCGAACCCCAAAATCTCATATATCCAAGGTTACCACTGGACTGATATCCGGGGCTTGGCAGCCATGCAATCCCTGGAGACCATTATCGAGGCCCGCAGACTGGCCTCCTGCGACCGAGACGCATGCATGAGATGCATGCACCGTTGCATCCCCACAAGATGAAACGTAACGGCACTCCATGATCAGTTTTGATCTGCAAGAGACTGCCTCAGGACGCATATTGTAAATTTGGACATCAAGGCTGGAACGTGGTTGGGCCTTCAAGCGGTTCAAGAAAAAAACAATACAAAGCTCATGCTTCCTTGTCCACGATGCCCAGTCAATTGCTGGTAATTGTCTATCTTCATGCTATCGACTCTTTGTAGGAAATATCTATCGCGATATAGAAGTCTGTGAAGCAGCTGATAATGCCCTATTGCCTAGCATAGTGGTGTATTTTGCCCCAAAATTCATTCCTTGACATTTACTTGCTAGTCTTCACCTTGAGAGACCTTCTCGCCTCTCACCCAAGGGTGGAAGTAGGCTTCCAGGGACGTGAGTCGATCCTCGGGAAGCCATGTCAAAACGCACTCAAGAAAGTTGATAAACATCTCCTTGTCTTCTCCTGGCACATTTTGGACAAGAGTCTCCAGCTTCTTCTCGGGTGGCAAGGGCACGGGGCCATGCCATTGGCCTGGACACTTGGTCAGAAGAGAGTAAACGAATAGGCGGATGCAACACAGGGAGATCCCAGGACTTGCTTCCTTTATATAGCACTCACCATTCTCATTCCAGTATTTAGCTGTCTTCTCTGACCTCTTCAGAAATTCAGGCGGGGGCGGGCCAAGAAGGGCCGTCAATGTTGCAGCGTGGTGGGCATCGTTTTGCTCCTGGGAGTCACGGTCGTACACACGGAAGAGGCTTTCCTTCTCAAGAAGATCCCAGGCCTAAGACAATGGACCCAGAATCGCATTAGAAAAGATGGGGAGAACCTGGGGTAGGGGTAAGTTCATACCAGGACTCCCGTGCTCCAGACATCCACGGCATTCCCCCATGTCATACCGAGAATAACTTCAGGTGCCCGATAAACCATTGGCATGGCATTCCCGCGCTGCACTTTGCCAATGCGTGCCTGCCCCAAATCACAGATTGTGAGCGGACCAGCACCCCCCAGCATGTATTGAGACACGTAAATGATAGTATCATCTACCACCTTTCGTGCTGAAGGTTTTTGTATCTCATTCTCTTCCACTGTGGATAAAATGCCGTCGTCCGTAATAGCAACAAGTAAGTTGTCCAAATGGAGGTCTGGTTTCTCGCAGGTTAGATAATATCGCTGTGTGCCAGGTCTAGTTGCTCACCAGTATGAATCACGTCTGCTTCATGGAGGTAGTTCAACCCCAGCAGCACTTGGCTAAGAGCTGTTGTGGCGAGACTCTGTTGGAAGACATGATCTTTTTGCAACTCCTGCAGAGTCCTCAGGCTCATGCCTAGGGGCGTCATGACAAAAACGTCATGCTCACCATGAGGGCCTTTCAACTTGAACGAATCATGAAATTGCCGCACGTATTCACGGCCAGGATGATCCACGATGAGGCCAGAGAGGTAGCGATAAACATTTAGTTCCTGGTAACGTTGAATAGTGTTTATGTGAACCTTGAGCACCCAATACTTTCGATTTCTGACAGAATCATCGATAGTCAGTAACTATTTCGTCCTATTGAAGGCAAAACAAACGTACATCAGATCTCTAGACAACCATACAGTAGAACCTGTGCCGTAGCCCAGCTTTGCCACTACCTGATAGCGGTTTTGAAGAACCTGTCCGATCCGCATGGGATAGTAGTCCTCCCGTCTGTAGAAGGGCAATCTCTCCTCTTCTACCTTTTGAGGCGGGTCTATTACCTCGAATCCACCAGACGGAAACTCGCGCGGCCGCGATGGCGTAGATTGGCTGGAGAATTGTCGCGAGGCAACGATGGGAGGTGGGACGATCAGACGAAAGAAATGGAGGGATGGTGAGCGAAAGACCCGCCTCGCAGCCATGACTTGGAAGGAAACTCTGTACTGAGCTGCCCACTATCAGCTTTCTATCCATAAAGTATCATTTCCAGTTCTTGCATCACACTTCTCTTATCTTGAGTTCTATGTATGACGCTGCTCAGCTGCGGTGCAATGTGTTTTGAAGCCCACATGGTTCCACGTGATGCGGAGCGGGGAAGCTTGTCTTCCTCCGGCATCAACCATATTCGCTCAGCTCTGCACTCACGCAATCTTGTCATCATCAGCCAATTGAAGCTGTTCTTTTGTTTAGGCAACTCTATTCCCTGTCACTGGTCTTTTCGGCTTCTCGTTCATCCAGTCCAGCATCATGAGCGTCACACATACGGTGCTCTTCCAGTTCAAAGCCGATGCCAAGCCCGATGACATCAAAGCGGTGCGTACCTGTAAATCACATTCAGGAAGGACTAAAGAATCTCACTTTGTCTCAGGCTTGCGGTCGCTTTCTAGCTCTTAAGGACAACTGCATTCACCCAACTACCAACACGGTCTACATCAACTCACTGAAGGGTGGCCAGGACAACTCCCCAGAGGGACTCCAGGTGAGCAGCCCGTGTCATACATCTAAGCTAGTGACAAATACTAACTGTGATAGAATGGCATTACCCATGGGTTTGTGGTCGAGTTCAGTTCTGTGGAGGATCGGGATTACTACGTCAAGACGGATCCTGCCCACCAAGCTTTCATCAAGAGCCTGGACGGGCTGGTTGAGAAGGCAATTGTTGTTGATTTCAACGATGGTGTGTACTGAAGCGTTACCTTGCCTTTCGTCATTAGATGGAGACTAGGTGGCTAGGTATCATTGATTGACTACCGCCAGAACAAGGCGGAATTGTCACTTTCGGAGCAGAAGACCTTAAGACAAACTTGGTAGGGCTTAAAAATCTCAAAAAGTTTATTCATATTTCATATCTTCATATCCTCATCAAATCAAATCACCGTTTTCGTTCCGCGTCCCATCACGCGCAATAGTCGCGTGGTGTCCATGCATCTTTCATCTCCGTCCCACCGTGCAAAGCACATTCCATGACCTCATCCGTGCAAATTTCCATCCTCACGCCCCGAAAAACTCTCTGGGCAAAGCTAATTCCCAAAGTCTTTTCCGTCCATGGTAGAAACCTCACTCACACGGCCATTGCCTGAGAACTCTGGAGCCGAAACTTGAGCTTCATGATGCCTTCAAGAAGAATGTCAATCACCCCACACTGATCGCCCAGGGCGGTCCGAAACTTTTGAATGTCCTCTTCAGTCACCTGCTCGCTATCCATGGTTGCGCGATCAGCAAGGTACTTGATCAGCCATGTTTCGTGGCCGGTGAGCGTATCGAACTCGTCGTCGAGAACCTTGATCAGACTAGCAAAACTCATGCCTTGGCATTGTTCTGTAATCACCGCCCCTGCCAGGCTGCCGAGATCCTCGAGGCCGAGATTAACAGCTTCGAAATAAACTTGAAGTGTTTCAACGAGCATCCCCTTGGGCGTCTCGGCCACATCACCCGGGGGAACTGGTAAAGCTTGGTAGGTTCCGGTGAAGAGGTAGTGCACAATCGTGTGTCCCACTCTTCCCGGCACGTCGAGGAGTTTGAGAGGCTCGTTCGGTGGCAACTCGTGGAATCTAGCGGCAAGGTCTGGGTGTTTGTTGATAACTTCTCGATGCACGCGCGCTTTGACGCCTCCCATGAACTCGATCTTCAGCATGGTTCCATAATATGGTCTTGATGATGGATCAGCGACATGATTGCAAGGCATGGTTATGGCCATCGTAATGTACTCACGAGTCGCTGGGTAATTCACCAGAAGATTGGCTGGGCATGCCCTCGAGTTGTGGCGGTTCAACATGTGCTCGATACATGGTGTCTGGAGGTTCCCCTTCGAGTTTCGCGCCGACTCTAAGATCAGTGGTAAGTCCGACCAGCATTCAGCATGTCTTGCGCGAGAAAAGGCAAATCTTTCTCGGCGGTGAGGTGGCAAAGAGTGGAGGAGGAGTGGTGCAGGAGTAGAGATGATGCTAATGGTCCTGAGTTGAGATGAAGTGGCTGCCTGGAAATGAGGAACGCCCGCGATTTTAGTTCGTGATTCACTGCGCAACCGTAATAGACAAACCATCTTGGAAACACCTCCCTATCTAGCGTTTGATCTCCAGGCACCATGATTCACCCTGGTTCCGTGTTCAACTTTCAATCCACTAATTCGTGCCATGCTCATAAAAACTCGAGTTCCTCCAGCCCCAAATACGAAACAAGTGGACCAGATTCAATCCAGCCACCTCTCTGAATCAAGCCGATCAGTGAGCCTCTCGTTCTCATGCATGAGGTCCCTGATTCTAGCTCTCTGTTCCAGAATATGCGAAAAGAGCGCACCAAAGATGGTCCCATCATTCTTGAGCGCTAATCGGTAGGTCCCAAGGCCTTCATCCAGTTCTGCCTCCCAACCGACTCGTGAAGCTCTCTGGACCAGGTTGTGCATCAGCTCGAAGTGCTCATTGTCGAACGTGACATTGCTTCCGGAAAGGACGAGGAGGACGCCCGGGAGCGACATGCTTCTTGATGTTACGTCAAACACATGAACTGCCAGCTGGATGAGCCTGTCGAGGCCGCACAGGGTAGCCAGCAAGTACGTCTGGAGAACGCGGTGGAGCATAGCTTCGGGTTCATCATACAGTTCCAGCTCGTCCTTGCCAAGTTCGTGCAGGTCCTGGTATGTGCCGGTGAAGAGAAACATGACGAGCACATGGACCACACCTGTCGGCCAAGTGGTGAGGTCGAGCTTCTTGCCATCCGGCACGGTCACAAACCGGGTAGCGAAGTCCGGGTACTTGTCGATGGTCTTTTCGGGGAGGAGAAGGACTTTGGGTCCAGCAAGTACCAGCATCACCATGCTCTGAACACGCTGCCTATCACCACTGGTCAGTTGTCGGTTCATGGATGGCAGAGAACTCCAACTCACGAAGTATTCTCTCCGGTGCCTCTAGCTTCCATCGTGTCTCGGATGGGCCAGTCGTCGCTCTAGACGATCTGGAGACTTCGTTTTCTTGCTGAATCGAGATTAGTATCATCGTCGAGTATGCACCTGAAGAAGAGCCAAACCTGTTTGCGAAGATGAATTGGCAGGTGTGCCGGATGATGAAGGAGGAGAAGGGATGACGGAGTGACGCATTTTGCGCTCAGTGTAATCGCTCTTGGAATTATCGATTTTCCAAACGTGATTCAATGTCGCATACAGAACCAGGTCCCCGCGATCCCACACAAACACACATCCTCCTACAATCACTTGGAAAAGACTGCCTGGAAAACGTTTCCCGCCTCGAGGTATAGGGTAACGAACAAACTTTCTGATTTGTCTACCTGGCAATCCATCATCTTGACTTTGTCTGCACTGACTGACGAGAACTGCAGTTGGCTCCTAAAATACCGACTTCAAAAGACGTGTTAGGGTGAAAATACCAATGATAGATATTCTGAGCGTTCTGGATGACAATTCAGTGTACGGAGTGAATAGATGAAATAGAAGCTTAGTTCAGCCCTCAAACATCTCACGAGATTACGCTGAACGCCTCAACTACTTCACGCAGCTTGGGATCATGATTTCAAGATAGGGGTAATATGTATTTATCCAGTGATGAGGGGTGAGCGCCCACGGTCCAGCCGCTCACTCAATTATCATCTATCACTGCTATTTACAATCTCCAACTCATGTAACTCAACCTGCAAGAGGTACTCAAACTATGTCAACGGCGGTCTTGGCAGGAAGCCTGCTGCTGTCACTCTCATCTCCCTTTCGTTCAACCACTTCAGGCGGAGCGTTGAGAGCCTCTTTCTTTGCCTTCTTTTCATCCCTCCACAAGAGGAGTTGAACCGTGCCAGTGATGACAACTGTTTTAGTGGTTAGTTGGGTATGAGCCATACAGTGAATCGTTACTTACTCAACAACACATTTAGAACAATAGACCAAGTGTAGCCCTTCCTGGCTGCTGGGAAGTCTGTCGTCTTCCACACAAAGTTAGGTGCCTGAAGTGCATGTTAGTCAGAAGGTCCTTTGATACAAAGATCTCGAAACATACCACTGCCTGCACGACATAAGCGAGATCATTAGCCGCGCCGACAAGCAAAGCTCGCTTCTCGGTATCGGCAGTGCAAATCTCGTTGATCCAACTAAGAATAAGAGGACCGGCACCACTCTATAGAATGGTTAGATACGGAAAGCTTCAATCTGTAATTAGGCTGAACTCACCCCAATGTTGGCGAACCAGTACACAATCATTCGGTTTGTGATGTTTCCATATAGGGGCATCTTGAGAAGTCCAATATGAAAAGAAATCTATATCCGATTAGTGCCTATTCCATCACAAATCAGGTTGATGGCACATACGGTGATTACGGCGCCAAGGTAGATGAAAGGATATCGACGACCCTTGAAGGGTCCATCAGAGAGCCATCCCCATGTCAGGGCCATGACGATGAAGATTCCAGTTGTGGGCAGGGGCACTATGAAAGTCAGCACTAAAATCTCTGGACAATTGGACTGATGGCTTACGGTTGTTGATCTGAGGAACGGTATAGTGCTTTCCGGGTACGGGAGGAGGATCAGCATTGAAGCTCTTGAGCCAGTATCCCATGGCAGGCTGGGGGTAACCGTTGTTCCAAACGACGTAGATGAGGGCTAAATGCCTTGTTAGCTGCGTTTAGTTGACTTTGCGGGGGTTGCATACGCAGAAGCCAAGTGTGCCAGCTGAAAAGAATAGACTTGACCTTGGCCTTGGTCCAGGGCTGCTTGCCAGCTCGACCCACGGCGTCCATTCGCTCAACAGAGATGACACGCTCTCGCTCAGTAACCCACCAAGTCTTCTTTCCGTCCTGAGGCAGGTTAGGAAAGAAGACGTATCCCATCACAGCGAGAGGGAGAGTGATGATGCCGTCAATGATGAACAGCCAGCGCCCTGTCTTGGTTAGAACAATACCGGTATGAGGAAGACAGAAACTCACATCCTTCACGTCCGTGTACTCCATTAAGATTAGTATAAGCAGCTGCCTGCAGGAAACCACTGAACATGTTGCCAATGGAGCCAGCGAGCCAGAAGACCATGGCACGCTTGCCAATCTCGCGAGGGGTATACCAACAATCTCGCGAGGGGTATACCAAGAGCCGAGCATGTAGTGAATACCTGGGTAGAAACCAGACCTTGGCGCAGTGTTAGAGACGTAAGTGATATAGGGACAATCAACCTACTCAAAGAGTCCGACAAGGAATCGAAGGGCGTACAGCGCCTTGTAATTTTTGACTGCTGAGGTGGCAATGGTTGCAACACCCCAACCAAGTTCCAACGAGGGAATGACCCAGCGAGGGGAAACACGGGTAAGAAGCAGGTTGGAGGGGAGTTGTCCAATAACATAGCCGACGGTCCAGATAGAAGTGCCTGAGAGTGTTAGTCCATAGTTGTAAGCGCCAGTTCCATCGATACGTACTGGTAACAAGTTCGTTGCCAAACATGTTAAGGTCCTCCTTCATTCCACTCAGGAAAGCATTGTTGACGTTGGTCTGATCGATATTCTTCAAGAAATAACCAATCGAGGCAAAGGTCAGCACAAAGGCGTCGACCTTGAACAGAAGCCACCGCTGCTCAGGTGGTAGCTCCCAAGTATCCCAGATGTAACCCTTCCACGTCTTGAGGGGCTTGACAACGACATCCTCGTGCGAAGATCGGCTCGAGTCGGTGTCTGGCTCGCGGACATTGGCGTCGACTGCGTGCTTGGGTTCAGCCATTGTTGAAGGATGTATTTCCAACAGGTCACAGCTAAGCGGACTGCTCAGAACGGTAATAGACTCTGGCAGACAGTGCTACATCGCAGATATATATATATAGGGAAAAGTCGGATTTAACGTCTGCTAGCATCAGATGTTGTAGCATTCACTCATCGGTCCCAGCGATCGCGTCAGCTCGCTGCGACGCTCTTGAATTTTTCCCTCCCACTTTCTAAGCCCCTTGTTGTAGCGCGCTATGGATCGAGACAAAGTGGGATAACCAATGGACAAGGGATGGCGACTATATGCACGGGGCCCCGGATGTTCGGAGCTGGCTATTGTGGGATCGCTAGGCCATCTTGCGTGATTCCGGGTGAGGATAACACCTTATTTTTTGGCCCTGTTAATTTCTCCGCTTCGAGATAAGAGAGATAAAAATGGCTGGGTCTTTTTAGGCGGACACGTGTATCCGAGATGAGCGTGATTTTTCTTGTTCAAGCGAGATCTTGGGGGAATTGAGTTTATGAGAGATGAGTGTTGATGGTCTTGATATCTCGCCTTTGGTGTTTATCAACAACGCAACACATCGACAGGTCACTTTCAGCCACTTCAATCGTGTCATAGTCTAGAACATCGTTAGTAGGGTCGCCCTTGACGGACAGCATCCGACTCCATGGTTCAAACAAGCAAAATTCCACTGCGAACTGCTCTGACACCATCGACACTATCCACAATGGCGGCATGCAACCCATCCCACCCATTCAGTGTGATAGCAGCTGTGGATCGGCCGAGAACTGGCTATCGTCATCGTCGGGCAGTCCCCCGACCAAGGATGAGCCCGTCTTGCTATTCCCCCCTGTCTCCGATTTAGGACCTTATTTGGGAATGAACCCAATAGAGGTGTTGCCTCACCGATATCCTGGACCCAACATGGAGCTCGGTTAGAGTGCAGGAGTCGCCTCGCTCACGCCATTACGCAAGCAAATATGGGGCTTCTTGGTTGTTTGATGCATGGCAGGAATACCTCCATGTTTTCTCTATGATGATGACCTCCTTGGATGAGTGACTCTGCTTGAATATACTACTTTTATAGCCTTCAAATTATTGCAACTCGACAGACGTCAAAATGCCAAGGCGGCTCAACGGCAGACCAGGTATCTAGCTTTCTTGGCACTTGGCACCCTCGTGCAAAGCATGCAAGGTCCCGAGCTGGTGTCTTGGCGATCGACCAAGGCGTCATGGCATGGGTCAACCAATTTATAGAAACGCTTGGCTAGCTCTCATATGTTTTACTATTAGCCTAGAGAAGGCCAATAGTTTTCGTATCCATTCTCTCTTTAACAGCTTCATGAGTTATTTTACGGTATTTCGCGCGCAATACATGGCAAGTATAACCCAGGGCGAGAAACACTCATCAATACCAAAAGCCGGCAGCGTCGGCCTGTCAAGACAATGGCTTGCATCAATTAACCTTTGCGTATGCTACGGCTCATCAAGCCTTCTATTCGAACCTCGCTGGACCTGATCCATGGCTCAGTAAATCTCTTTAATTACAGGGATGCAAAGATATCGCGTCTCAATATGCCAAAGACACTTTCGCTAACAAATCCGCAATGAGGCTGAGCCATAATTTGGAGAAAAGCTTAAACCAACAGCTGATAGCCTATAAACCTACTGACTTGATATTGACAAAGTCAACAGAGACGATGGTACGTAATACAGAGCATCGGTAGGTCACGCCATGAATAGCCTCCATATTGAGGCGGAAGGCTGGATCGACCAATATGCGGACATAGCAAACCGCCAGGCTATACCACCATCGTCCCTGCGATATATATGGGTTGATACCATCATCAACGATATGACCAGAATCGTGGCATAGGAGGCCATTAAACGGTCCGAACCTGAGCGCAAGACTGAAGAACCGGATGAGCCGGTCGTCCGAACCTTTACACGATATCAGCGAGATTGCTCCTGTCAACATTCGGGGCTTCATCTGACCAGTCAACCAGATATCAGATAAAGCAACCCAGCAAGATAACTGTGCCTACCAACGCCGTAAAGTCACAAGTTAAAACTCGCACCCAACCGCAAACCCAACATGTAGTAAGCTTTGGAGATGCATCACATATCAACGCTGGGTTTCAACACACATGGGCGTCTTATATTTTTCGTATTTCCATTCTGATATCTTCTCTTTTTCATCCTAAACCTTTCTTCTTCTTCTCATTCATATCTTCTCACTCTTACATTATGGCATTCACATCTACCCATCCTTGCAACGCCTGGCACCCAAACATGACTAGTGTTGATGACTTCCAGGCCGCCATTTCCGACGCTTGCCGCAACTACTACGATGCTACGACTCAGCCCTACAACAAAACGAGAGTGTTGGCCGTCTTTTGGGAGAAGGATGAGAGCGCAGGCCTTGGTAAGAAGGCCAGAATTGTCCGTGACGTCTTTCAGCGGTCTTATGGCTATGATGCCGAGCTTTTAGCCATCAAAATGACAGATCCAAACCCAGATATCACGCTTTCTTTCAACCTCGGTCGATTACTCAGTGGACTCAACAAAGGCGATCTGGCTATTTTTTATTACACGGGCAACGGCGACCGAGGGGCTTTCCAGCAAGTGCGAGCCCAGATCATCGACCCATCTCCTGCTGACGTCCTCATTCTTTTGGACTGCTGTGTTACTCCTGGGAAAGACATTGGACATCGCAAGTAACTTATTGCGGCATCAGCTTTCGACAGGACAACTGAATACAGCCCGTCTGGATTTACCGACGCCCTCGTCCAGCAACTCCAGCATGCCATTGACAATCAACACATCCTGTCCACGGCTCAAATCTACAGCCGTCTGGCCACTCGACACTTGGCCACTCAGTACTTGGCCATTCAGGGCCGAATTTCTCAGCTCAGTGCCATGCCCTACTTCCTCCAGAACTCGGGGGAGGGCCGAGCACCTATCATGCTAGCTCCCAAAATGGCTCATGAAAGTTGGACTCCAGGTGACGTCTTGGCAACCTTCAACAGCCCAGTCATTGTCATTCTTCGCGTCCATCTTCGAGATGCTCACGCTTCCACTTGGAACCAAATAAGACAGTGGCTCCTCGAAAACCGTTGTCATAATATCGATGGGATCAGGATCAAGTCTACGTTCCCGTCTTTGCCCAAGGGTGCGATTGGCATCATAGAGGTTACCTTAGATAAATGGTACACGCTCCGTGAGGACCCTGCCATTTCATTCATTGGCTTTGAGGAAAATCACGATCCTTGTATACATATTCCAACAGTTATGCCAGGTGCTATACGACCCATTTGTATAAATCAGATTTAAGGAATAAATCATGAAATAAAATAAAAGTATTCAAAAAGAAAATCACTTAAGACATAATTTTACAAGTTTGGTGAAAGTACAAGCTACATCATTTACCCCCTATAGTGCGTTTCTATGTCCTTGGATCCTAAAAGACTACACAATGGTCGCCTCATTAACCTCGCAAATCAAGCCGGCATATCAATTCGGCAAAGTGTGGGGATAAAACAGATTGACAGTTGATTCTTCCGACGTGGCTGATTGGTCGGCGGGATTTGTTGCGGAATTGGGCCAAGTCCCGTCTCCGTATCCCGAAACTCTTTGCCGACAACCCCAGTCCATGATCGTGATTGTCTACGTAGTCATACACCATCAAGGGCAAGCATGTATCCTGATCCAATTAGACCCCTCTATTTCGTAAGAGAGGTAGGGCTTGCCGTGCCCGGACCGTGTCACCTCTCTCGAGGCCAACTTTATCGACGGCTTCCGGACATCGACGAAGTCCGATGCCAATGGGCGGTCCGATAGGCCGGTTTGACTTCTTTTTCTTTTTAAATTCTTCTAAATTGTTGTTCTATCTTTCGTTCTATGAGTCATGGGTCCTTTTCTTGACAACAGACTCAGTGCCCCTGTCGGATCTAATACCATCACCTTATTACCATCATGCGTCTTGAAGCCATTCTCCACGTCGGTGCCATCCTGCTGGCTTCGGTAAATACATCGTTCGTGCTACCTTACTTCCATGATACTTGAGACGTACCAATACGCATATTAACTACATCAAACAACTAAATTCCTTTTAGATTTGCCATCACAGCGAGGCGTAATGTTCCTCTCGAAAATGACGACTCATTACCTCGGTCGCTTGATGAAGGCTTCATCGACAAGTTTCCAAAAATGTCCTACGAGCAAGCAGGTCATCTCCGACACTTTCATAACCTAGCAAGCCAAAAAGACGGCGAGTGGCGCCACATGGGATCTCAAGTTGCCGGTCAGGAATGGCTTGATGGGTACCGATACCAACTTGCGACCATGACATACGCTGCAGGGGCAACTCATTACTTTCGGCTGCCGCTTCTAAGGTCTCTGTTCAAGAGCTTATTTGAGCAGCTCATCTCCAAAATGCTGCTGCGAGATGTTTGGGGCTATTGGTATCTCACTAGCCACAGCGGCACTCTTGTAGACCCCGATCTCACCGAGTTGCGGAAGCCCTGGGCGGATCCGGTTGCGAAAGAGAACATCATGGCAAGTTTTCAGACGCTCTATTGAACGCTGTCGATGTCTTGCTAACGCCTTGTAGTATTCTGGTCACCTCCTCCACATGGTGTCATTGTACACGATGCTGTTTGACGATGACAAGTATAACGAATATGGTGCTCTGGAGTTCAACTGGATGCCAATCTTCTGGGGCATGGGGCCAGAAAAGTTCATCTATAACCGGACGTCCCTGCAACAAGCGATATTGAAGGGCATGGAGGGAGAAAATTGGCTCGGCGTCTGCTGTGAGCCAAACAGCATTTTTGTCGTCTGCAACCAGTTTCCTGTAAGAGCACATTGGCCCATTCTCCCATCAATTAGTGCTAACGCCATGATATCAAGATGATCGGGATGCGGTACAACGATATTCGGGACAATACTCGTATAGCCCCCACCGTTCTTGAAACATACGAGGAGGCTTGGAAGTCCAAGGGCATGTTCCAAGACGATGGCCTCATGATTGATTGGTTTTCTCCAAAGCAAGACAGAAAGACGCTTGCCAAGGACCCTGGGTTCACAGCCTGGTATGCGATAGCACCTGATGTGGCTTTTCACGGGGTGAAGCTAGGCTAATCGATAACAGGGCTGCTGCTTTTATGAACGCTTGGAATCCAGAAGTGGCAAAGGTCGCGTATGACACGGCATATGACAGGGTGATGGAGATGATGATGCCACCGAATAAGTCTACAGCTACGGAAGTGTCAACGACCTTGATCTCCAGGGCGCAATCTCCCGGTCCTCAGCAGCCCATGACCAAGCCCATCCTTGGATACGCAGCGCAGATGATCTCTGAACTCGGCGACAAGGCCACCTTGGGCCAGTACCTACGCTTTTTCGACGAAGCTTACCCCCCAACCTGGGAACAAGGCGGGCTCTTTTACCCAACCACTGCTCAGGGAAATGGCAGTCTACCTCCCATGGATGCCTTCACTGGCAACGCTGCCATCCCCTACGCGAAGTTGAATGTCTTCCAGGGCCAACGCACAATGTACGAGAATCCTTGGGCCGAGAAGCACTTTTCTACTTACCCATTCATCGACAACATCGACCTCTCTAGCGGTGTTGACTTTCTGCGCGGAAGCTGGGACGAAGACCTTGCAGCCATGGCTATCACTATGCGCTCGTATTCAGGGGAGGACAAGACGTGAGTATTTTCTCTTCCCTTCGTTATTCACCTCTAACATGCCAGCTCCAGTGTAAAGTTCCATATCACGGGACTCGGTCCTGGAAAATACAGCCTTTACGAAAATCGAGAACTGCTTGGCGCATACGAAATCCAGGCCAGAGCAGACATGATCCAGCTTGAACGGAAAGTGACAGGAGATGGCATGGATATTGTCATAAAGAGTATAGACACTGTTTCAGTGCTTCCTCTAGTACAGGTATCCCGGTGGGAATCGGTGCTGGAATGGGGCATGTGCATCTTGGGAACTCGAGCCAAACGTCTCATGAGGTATCTTTGGGTTTAATATTTGTGCATGAAGGTCTTTCATCAGGCTTGGATGCCTACGGTACCCAACAATGCAAAATATATTCCTCCAAATCAAGGAATGAGGCCAGTGTAGGCCAGCTCCTAAAGAGAGTTGCACCGAGCAACCATAACACCAGAGACCCAACCACCCACCGTGACGGCCAAGTTGCAACCCATCGAAGATCCTACATCTCCTTCTGGACGGTTCCTCTCATCGTCATCTGAGTCATCATCCCCAAACCATTCGTGCTGATAAATCTCTCGCTCGTTGATGGGGAAACCATCCATCTCCCGCATCCACATGAAGATATTGCGCGTGGAGATCTCTGAAATGTCCCTATCTGGGTCCAGCTGGGTGTAGTCAACTGGAATAACAGTCGTCATGGAAGACGATGTTGGTCGAGGGCGAACTATTGTGGTCAAGTTCGCTGCCTCCTGGATTTCCTTCCTCCCTCCGGTACAACTCCATGTGATCTTGGAAAACTTCAGCCCGTGCCCACCTGGGCATGCTGTGTGAAGTCGCACATCAAGATCTAGGTCATCGATTGTCGTTGACCCCGGCGGCGGATATGGATAAATCGGTGGGAATCCATACCTGGATATTCCCTGAGTAAGGAATGCCAATGTGAACTCGTCCTGGCGTGAGATTGAGGTGGCCCTTTCCTGCTGCTGAGGGACGGGGTTCTGCACGAAAGATAAGACCGTTCCGGTCCAGGCCGCCTCGTGAAGGTCAATCCTGTTGAGACCGAGGAGTCCTCCGAGACTTTTCAAGAAGCCCCTATGCAGGCCAGCGATAATAGCACCGAGCCATAGGAAACTTAAATGGGGGCTCCGAAGGGAGAACATGCGAGCCAAAATATCTAGATCCCCTGCCTTTCTGGACTGGAGAACAGCGAGAGTGCCTTGTAGCCATGGGCCAGAGGCATTGCATAGTATCCCAGGTTCGTAAAAGATGCTCCCGAGGATAGATTTCACGCCGTGGGCGTTGCATGATAATGTTAGGAGTCTGTCAAATTGCCGGAGGTCCCGTCCCCAGATTGGTTCCTCTGGCGTTGCACTGGTGCTGGTGTTGATTCTTGGCCGTGCTGCAGAGTGCATTCGAGGTACGGGCAGCAAGACATTCTGCCTGTCGAAATTGGCCAAGGGGAGCATCATGGCCGTCGCGAAAGCCGCACGGTTCTGGTCGTCAGCAGAATGAAGTGCAGAATACTCAGCGATATACCGAACTGCTGTCTCAAAAGGTGGGCATTGTTGCACGCTGGGCGTTGTACTTCTCGAGACGCTGGATAGCCGGATAGCCGGAACTGATTTGAATGTCGAGGACCAAGGAGACAAGAGTTGAGAGCGTCTGCATGAGATAAAGGCTTTCCAACCCTGCCCCGGCGAGAGAACAGCCGCCCACCATCGTGCCCCATCGTCACTTACGACTCCAAGCTCCACGATCCCGTCTGCACTTCTCTTGTCGTAGGACTGGCTGGCCACCCACTCGGCTTGGCTATCGGTATACTCGAGCGGTGACGCCTGAGGTATGATGTCGGCCCAACGAGCCGATAGAGCATAGGCCCATGCCAAAACGAGAACTGTGAGATGATTGTCGTATTGCTGGAACCACGCGGACGGTGGTACGGGTGCCTTGGTCGACATGAACAATCTCGTAGGCGTAGCGACATACGGCAGGATTTGGAAAGGCTGCTCGAAAGATGACAAATCACAGGATCCTGTCCCAGGAACCCACGTGGATGAGGCTGTCAACAATCCAGAGTCATCGAGTTCAAGTCCAACTGGAAAGTAGGGATGCTCAGGGAAGAGATGCTCGACTTGCAAGCTGGCTGGAGGAAGCCCAGGATCGTCAGATGCCTCCTCCATTAAGGCCGACCAGGTCTTGTAGCCATTCTCGTAGACTACTCGATATTCTTCCTCATCAAGCCGTAGCGGGTCAGTCGCCATCATTTAGGTAGGGTAAAATATGTCAGATGCGGTGCTGCTGTCATCAAGCGGTGGACAGCATTTTTGCATGTCAAACCGATATACTGATAATGCAGACTCATGCAATTCACCGCTTAATGTAAGTATAGGGAAAGGCAGCCAACGCCGGCCGGGTGTCTTGCTGACTAGAACATCATGTTGAGATCTCGAATAGGTCAGGACACTCTTGCTTCCCAATCAGGGAAGAGTTATTACCGCCAATGTGATATGAAGAGCCCGAATGCTGTCTGTTAGTCCAGCCTCAGCCTCCGATATGTACTAAGACAATAGCAAATAGGCGGTTAGCATAAGTAGAGCTGCTTGGCATGAGCCAGGTCGTCCTTTCAAAAAGGTATAACAGACAGCATCCTTAGATCAGACACTCCCGAATAACCCATGGCAAGCCTTGAAAGAGTCGTCAAAACAGGGCATGCCACAAGTCCTTCTCCAGTGGACTCACATAGAGGAAGCAATCGGCAAGCCAGTGTCATCGAGTCCGAGACCCGCATTAGCCACTAAATACAAGGCAAAATTTTGCTGTACAGTTTCTAGTACGGCTGCTGACACCAACATAGCCTGGGCCCAGGGATCTCACAAGAGCAAAAGCTCACCCGATCAACGTGAAAGCCTTGTTACTCCCCACCTGGTACCCAACTCAATGACCACCCATCCTCTAGCAAAGCCTTCTGACGCTGGACCTCGAGCTTCAAATTGAGAACACTCTCAATTAGAATGTTGACAAGAGTTCGCTTCTCTCCAATACGAGCCCGAAAAGACTGCACTTGAGCTTCAGTAACAGTCTCCCACCTCTGAGCACGATCCGCCATGTACCGGGCAAACCAGACCTCGTCTTCCCCTATCTCATAATCTTCTTGTTCCATGATATCAAGGATCTCGATAAAGGTCAGGTCCTCGCCCAGCTTGGTGAGTTCGATGGAGGCGAGGACGGCAAGGTGCTCGAGGTCGTACGCGACGCCGGCAAAGTGTACCGCGAGGTTAAGAGCAAAGACCTTGTAGCGCTTCTCGTCGGGGGACTCTGCTTCGGGTTCCGGGACCTGGTATTCCCCTGTGTAGAGGTAGTGGACGAGAACGCGGGCCGCGGCCTCGTCCAACTCGGAGATGTCGAGGTAATGGCCAACAAAGTGCGAGGCAAATGTTGGGTACCTTTCGATGACGCCGATTGGGACTCTGACTCCCAGACCGTCTTCAAACTCGATTATGTACGTATATTCCACGTACAGCCTGGGCGAATGATCAGTAGGGCGAAGCCGAGTCTTTGGGGGGATGCATGAAAGGAAGGACGCACGACTCGAATTGGATATCAGTATCCTGTTGGACGGGCATCTGAGAGGCCTCTCCGGGTCCCTCGTCGCTCCCAAGCTCAGTCTTCATCTTGCGACGTGTCGGGGGTCCGGGATGAGGAGAGTTCTCGGGCGCGGGATGCTTCTGCGGCTTGTCTTTGTCTGGCGATGATCTTGTTCTGAGAGGAACAGACAAAGACGAGTTGAACAACTGAAAGAATGACATTCCGCCCGCTGGGTATAAGGACAGTCAAGATCTGTGATGTTGGGGATGGAGCGACTCGCTGGGCAAAAGCCAGATGGTCGAAACTGCCTAGGACAGCTGGCAGGTGCACTCACCCAACTCTAAAGCAAGCGACCGCAAAAACAAAGTACCGAAGCATGATAGCAACCTTGTTCAATACCTGTTTATCAATCATCATTTGAATTAAGCTAGCTCATTATACTGTACAAAAGCGCACCTTGCGACTGACATCTTGAGCGCCACCTGGAATGTTACAACCTGGATCCCAAACTCGAGCCTCCAACGAACGACCAACGAACGACCAACGACACTTCCTTTCCTCTCCACATAATCGAAAACAACAAAAGCTCCTCGACCTACTTCTCCTTAAGAGCGCGGCGAAGGCGCTGGTTCTCCATCCCCATTCTGGCCATCGCCTCACAGACGATGCCCGTGATGGGCCTGTTGTTCTTCATGTCATCCTGCATGCCCCGGATGATGCTTGGGGTCGAAGCCTTGCTAGCCGTCATGACCTCATGGGAAATGTAATCGCGAAGCCAGCCAGCGATCTTGGTGTGAGTAAACTCCTCCTGGTCCAGGACGGCGATGAGAGTGCCAAGCTGCAGCATGGGAGTGAGGACCACGAGCTCGTCAGTCGCGAGGTCTTCGAGGTGGTAGAGGTCATACTCTCTGGCGAGGTCGTAGACATGGACGGCCATGCGGAAGTGGTACTTGGTCTTGTCGAGCTCTCCGTTGCCCATCGCCTTGAGGCCCTCGTAGCGCTCGGTATACAAGTAATGAACCAGAATGTGGGCGGCTCCTTGGGGAACAGGCTTCATGTGAAGCTGGCAGTGTTCAAATCTGGCCGCAAAGTTCGGGTGCTTTCTAATCAGGCGACCGTGGACAAAGACATGATTACCATTGAAGATAAGCGCCGACACGGTTCCCAGGTAAGGTCTTGATCTCTGGTCAGTCACTCGTCGGGTCCGGTCGGTCTGGAATACTCACGACAGCGTGCCTTGGTCGACAGTCGGGACAGTCGCGACAGTGTTGGACATTGTCGAGTTGGATGGTAGAGGATAGCGAGGAGAGTAGGTGAACCAAGGAACCCTCCAAAAGTTCATTCCAAAAGCGTGTGCAAAAAAACTTGGTGTACGTTCAGTGCCTGTGGATGAGTGGTGAGGAGTGAAGAAAGGTAAAGGTCGTGGGTTGCTGAGCGACGTCCGTTTGTAGCCAGCTTGTTGCGACTGTGATTCACTGTCACTCGCCTTGCTAAGTAATCCATTTCATTACGTATTTCATATCATGCGAATCTCGTTCATTTAAACAATCAATGGAGACTTCTACCGCTGAGATCTGGATGACCAAACTCACATCGAGCTACTTGTACATGATGGACGTCCTGTATCACACTCTCCCTATTCCCATGGTAGAACCAACAAACCCAACCCTCACATAATCTCAGGGCTTCATCTGACGGAGACGCTTGTTTTCAAGCCCCATCTGAGCGATCGCCTGGCACAAAATGGCCGTGACCGGCTGATTCTTCTGCATGCTCTCCGAGATGCTTCTGGCGAACTCCTCGGTCGAGTTTCTGCCGGCTTGCAGGAGCTTCTGTCCCATGTAGTCTCGAAGCCAGCCTCGGACGGTTGTCCGGTGAAATTCTGAGCTGTCGAGAAGATCAATGACAATGCCGAAAGGGATATTTGGTGTCAAAGCCATGAGCTCCTGATTGGCCATGTCCTCCAGTTCTGTGAGGCTCACTTGGTGAGCAATGTCGCAGACGTGAACCGGCATCTTGAAGTCATGTTTCATCTGGTCGTTCGGTTCGTTCCCGGGCGCTTTGAGGCCTGAATAGCGGCCTGTGTATATGTAGCTCACGACTATGTGGGCTGCAGCCGATGGGATGTTGTTGACAAAAAGATGACCGCTCTCGAACTTGGCTGCGAACTCAGGGTGTTTGTTCACCTTGCCAACATGAATCCAGACATAGTTTTGATTGCCAAAAACCAGGCCCCATAAAGTTCCCAGGTATGGGCTTCATCACAAGTCAGTCACTCATCAGGCGAAGGTTGAGATGGGATACTCACGATTGCGTGGGTCGCGTTTCAATAGCAAGAGACGATGGGTCTTGCCCCGGAGGCGCCATGGAGTCGTCCGGATCCAAAAAGTCTTGCGAGCGTGTCCAATTATGATTTCAAGAAATAAGTCCACAAAACAGTTGGTAGAGATGAAGAAGCCGAAAGGTCGAGGTAGCCAGCCTGTTGCCGCTGTGATTCACTGTCACTGAGCAAGGTGGGCGACAGTGAATCACAGACAACAAACGTTGCTGCCCTACGAGACTTGTTTGGCTTTCAAGTCCATCGTCTGATGTGTTCGTCTCTTTTTCTGAGGGTCTTGGTCGCAAACATTTGCCATGTCTATCGAGCAATTGACGACATGGCCAACCTCAACTGTGCAGATCTCGTCAGAGATGTCAAGAAACGAGATGGACATCGCGTGCGAAGCAATTCGTGTACGTAAAAGCCATCGTTTATTAGTGCTAATCTTGAATATGGCAACTAGATTGAGCTGTGGGTAAGTGATGAAAGTGTCGTGTTGAGCTGCGCGTTTGCCTCTACTCTAACACTCTTCCCCCACGACCACTGTCCTTTTCAGACCGTCTGTATTCATGTTTCTCAGCGCATTTGCGTAGCTTCAAAACATATCTCCTCCATTCTCAGCCGATGTTTCCCATTCCTTGGTGGTCTGGTATGCCTGGTCTCGTAGCTGCCAGGAGAAGATACAACCAACGGTATCTCGTGTACACATCATTAGAATGGAGACTTTGCTTGTAGTTGTTGTAGCCGACTAGTTTATAGTTGATGATGTATCTTTAGAGTGAGGTGAAAGTGCAGCTAGGCCCGTAGCCACAGATGCAATTGTCTGCCAGCCTCGATCCACAACAAAGGTAGTCTGATGGATCGTTTATGGGCACGCGCTTATAACCTTTTAGCAGAAGAATTTTGCTACCGTACTGCGATAGTCTTCTCGCATCCGTTCATCCCAAGCAACGGGAGTGTACCCTTGGAAGCCGTCCCAGCCCGCTAGACAACCTCTCCTGGACCAAAGGATTGCGCTACTCTGTGCGTCTCATCCTCAGTGATGTATATATCTACGTAGCCGCCCTAGAAAGGAACAGCTTGAGGTTTCCGGCGATTAGAAGATCCCGGATATGTCCTGTCTTCACAGAGTCAGCAACTTCCAGGCTCATCGACGCGGTTTTCTCACATTTCATCTGTATGCAGATTGGCCTATCGCACAGCGCGGAAGCTCAATCGTGGCGTCACAAAATACCCTCAGCGACACTTTTACTCTTCAGGTTCCTCCATCTAGACCAGTATTTCTTGCAGGGCGACGTTTCGGGGGGATGGCGTCGGATGGAACTTCCACCGGAAATCAACAATCCAGTCACAGCAAGAAATTCGAGGCAAGAAATTTCAGGGAAAAGTAGGAGTCATCACTCTCACTGAAATCGCTCATATATAACCGAGCCAGGTGATACAGTGTCCAGGTTCGTGGCCAGCGGTGCTTGAGAGCGCAAAGGGAGCATCCTCAGCGGGACTCGGATCCTCCCAGCTGGAGCTGTGATCCATCCAAGTCCAGAAGGCCTCGGGGTCTGTCACATAGCAGTAGGCTGTAGCCAGTTACCGAGTCTTGCCGGCTAGTCCTAGAAACTCATTAAGCTTCAGGGCAAGCATCTCAAGGTGCTGTCTGCTTCAGCTGTAAACTGAGGACACTGTCTGCATTCGCGGCCAGCGATAATTTTTCTCGGGGTCATTGCGCGAGATGTTCCAGTCGACTAGAGTGCACCCCAGAAATCTCCCTCAACTTCTTCAGGGTTCTTTTTGGTATGGCCAAGTGCCTTCCAACTATGAGCAAGGGGTCAAAGACAACGGTAGGCCCTGACTTTTGGCCCATCGGTTGACGTGATGTCACCAATATGGCGATGGACAGCCAGGGTAGGCGTATATATGAGGATATATAGTGATGTATAAAGAATAAAGAGAAGAGACAGGCCAAAGCCGAGCTGATGCAGAGTCTGGGCCTCACAAAACCGGACCGAAGCCGGCATCGTGACGGTCTTGTTCAGGTCCATCACCAAAGATGAACGGGAAATGGCGGACAATGTGGGAGCGACGAGCCATGGATCCGAGCATAGCTTGCGACTGCCTCGCAGACAATTCCGGTGGTTTGTCGGCTATGCTTCATGTTTTCATTCTATATGCAGTTCTTGAGGTCGATTTTAAACCTGAAACGAACAGGAAAAGGTGTAGGAGATGATACGAGTTTCGGAGGAGGAGACGGGTTGATGATATATATCCAAGGACGTCCAGACCGTAGATTCCGACCACGAGATAGCAGACAACATGCTCGCTGCTTGCGGCCTCCCAAGCTCAATTCAGGCGAAGGGCATCATGACGATTTGACCCTCTCTCCAATGTGCTGAGAACGAAGCCACCGCAAAGCCGCATGGATCCTCTCATCGGAGTCCATCAGGATTGGGCGTAACACAGAGACGAGCCCCGACAATATGCTGCCCATCGTGAAGTGTTGAAAGCGTGAATATATACTTGGTGTCTTTCTTGTACTCCGCCCTCTTGGTCAACGACCCGACTGCGACTGAGGTCATGCTCTCGGAGAGCAAGTCAGTCGAGCCGCCGTGGACAGAACAATATAGTACTTTAGTTTAGAAGGAACTGTAAAGATTGGATGACAGGCTCTTGGCACTTCGGGAGACTTTAAATACCCGCGATGGGTGCGTGTTTGCCGACGTTTGATCCTGTCTAGATGCTGTCAACCATCGCCGAACACACTCGCTCATCAAGGTGCCAAGCAAATCAACATGTTGATCCTGACGAAAAAAACCAGGAAACAAAACAAATTTCTCGATACCAAAGATTGTAGAGACCCGAGATACACAATTGTGATGCTCTTGGCTACCAGTCCTCTCCAGCATCCACGACCTATCGACCCGGTCTAGGTCAGGACAAACCAGCGCGCAAGACGGACAGAGTATAAACCTTTCAAACACGATATTTACTACATGTTCAAACTAAACAGTACACTAAAACACGGCAAAAGATGAAAGCCGTCAAGATAAGCAGGACGCAGGTCCAGCAACGCCCTTCCGCGGTGCATCTCGCCCCAACACTTGTCACCACCACCCAAGCCCCAACAACACATCAAACTACCCAAGAGTAGCAAAAAGGGACCGATATCAGGTATACCACTTGGGCAATTATTAGCAAATCTTTGTCAATATTGTTTCTTGCACAACAGTTATCCTAATACAGTTAGAAGTGCTAGCGAGCCAGCCAGCATAGTTGCAATCATCACAACACCACCATAATCACTCTTCACAAAGACTTGGCAGCTAACTTCCATCTTTTTTTGCAGAAATACCATGACTAGAAACAACCATGCCCCGTATAAACATGCTCTTGAACCTTCTCGCTCCCTTCTACCAGTCCTCCGTTCTCTGCACGCCAGCTCCATACCCAAATGAATGCAAGCATCCTCCGATGGTTCGGCTTTTGACCCAAGGCGTCTGCAGTGTGACAACCGAGACTCTGCTCTAGAATGAATCATGACAGTTACATTACTCGCTCCTGGAGGCATGTCTAAGACCGCCAAGCTTCGATACATCATTATCCTCAACGCCGGCTCACCCAGACTTAAGCCACCGACGCGACAACCAGCGTAGCGACGTTCTCCTCCTCGCTTCGCACCGTGATCTTGGTCGTCACACCCGTTTTTGAAGAGAATGCCATCCGCACGGTAGCAACTACCCGACCGCCACCAACAGTCTTGCCCAGAAGCTTGAGCGTGTGAGTAGTCTGGTTGACGGGGACATCGGTACCCTCCAGGGGTTGCAGGGAGAGAGCCTTGGTGAGCTGCTCCGTAGCCTCTGTGGAATTGATTAGTCTTGTTCTTCTCATCGATGTGACATTTCAACGTACCTGCAATGCTGGACATGCCGCTAAGCTGGAGAGTCTCTGTTGCCTCCTCGCCGGAAGCGCCAACCTGCTCCCAGATATGGCTAAAGTTGCCAGCGAACGTGGGAATCACGTAATCACTGCCAGTAAGGTCGAACTCGGCCACCTCGTACTCATCATCGTAGCCAGTCTCCTCGGGCTCATTTGTGGAGGGGTCAATCTCCTTGCTAGTGAATCGGAGTATGTTGGAAAAGGTAGAGATGGGCAGAGAGCCCTCGCCGTTGATCTTCTTGAAGGCCACATATACCTTGCCGGGCTGGTCGGTGGGAAGCTTCTCGGCCTGGATGATAAAGACCTCCTCGAGCTCCTCGTCGTCCGAGGGGGTGGCGACAACGGACACGTTCTCGAGGACAGTGTCGGGAAGAGTGTTCTTGACCTCGTACTGAAGAACAATGTGCTCCTTGAAGATGTGCTTAACCAGAGTAACGACGTACTCAGTCTCAGCCTCAGTGAGCTCAAGCAGAGGCGACGACTTGAGCACACTGCCAAACTCCTTCATCTCGGGAATCTCCAGCAGCTCCTGGGCATATCGCTGAGCCTGGGCAGTAGCAGATGCCTGAGCCTCGGCGCCAGAGGTCTTGGTGGGGCCAACCTTGGGTGCCTTGAGGGTAGGGGTGGTGGCGATGAGCTTCTTGGTACGGTCCTCGGCGTCGGCCTGTTCCCGGGTGACAATAGGGATCTTGGAGATGTCGAAGGGGCTGTCGAATGCAGACTTGTCATCCGAAGTGACGTACAGGACAAGCTGCTGCTCGAAGAAGGGGAGGGAGAACATGTTCTCTGTAGGCGAATTAGCATTGTTCATAATTACATATATTTCTTGCTTACCGTTCTTGACAAATCGAGCGGCCATCTCATCGTCTTCCTCGGCCATGAGCTTCAGGTTGAGAGCGGCGCGATCGCGAACCTCGTCATCGACGTCATCCAAGCATCGAGTAAGGAGAACACGGACACTGCTCTTGACCTCGGGATCCTTCTGACCGACACCAAACTTGGCAAGGGCGGTGACAGCGGCAGCTCGCACAATCGCATTCTCAAGCACCACTCGGTTGTAGATGTATCGGATGTACTTGGTGGGCTGGGCAGTCTTGGGACCCTCGAGACCGATAAGATGGAGAATTCGGACAGCCAACTTGGTGAACTCGCAGTCCTCAATGAACTCGCACAGGTGGGCGAGAGCATCCTCCTTGGAGTCGGGAACAAACTTGATCAGGTCAAACATGCTCTCAACGACAGCCCTCTTGAACTCGTATCCGCCCTCATCACGCAGGATCCCACTAAGGAAGGTGAGCATGCCGGCCTGCTTGCTGGGGAACTTGAGACACAATGTTCGAATAGCCTCGACAATCGTAATCTTGAACTCGTCGGTAATCTCAGACATGAAGGTGGAGATCTGCTTCATTAATCGGTCGACGCTAGCCTCGTTGCCCGTCTTGAGCAGAGTGGTGATGGCGAATGTAGCGATCGATCGGTTGCTGTTGGAGATGAGGAGCTCGATGTCGGGGTTGCAGACATGGACGGCGGTAGGCTTGAAGCTAGCAAAGTTGTGGAGGATGCGCAGAGCAGCGAACTTGGTGACGGCACGAGGGGAGGTCAGGAACAACTGGAGGACATGGACAGCTTGCGACACCTCGGCGTCGGACACATCTCGCATGTCGCAGATGGCCTTGGCAGCCTCGAAGTTGACCATCTCGCTCTTGTGTCGCAACCAGCCGTCGAGAAGCTGCATCATGGGCTTCCTCAGCGAAGGATCCTCCTCGGCGAGCTGCGCAGCAAGTCGGACAAGCATAACAATAGCAGCAGGGCTCTTGAGCGCACCAGCTGCGCCAAACTGCTGAACCATCTTGACAAGAGCCATTCGGTCGTGCGAGCGCATCTGATACAAAAGTCCGACAGCGTGGTATTGCGCCATGGTCGAGTGGTTCATGGGGATCTGGCTGCTCGAGGTGGAGAATCCGAGGGAGAAGCCGCCAGACGACTTGCTAGAGGCAGCGGCCTCCTGAGTCTCGCTCTGCCATCGTCGAACAACATCCTTGGCGATCGGGAGAAGGTGGTAGGAGGAGACGAGGGCGGCAGAAGAAACCGAGGGGTTCTTATCGACGATCGCAGTCTTCATCACTCGCTCGATCGATTGGACAGTCGTGGCCTTGTATAGTGTCAGTAGAGTCGGTGGAGGCGCCAGCAGCAGGACAACCTACATCAATGATGCGGCAGAGGGCGCGGATAGCGTTAGGTCGGTAAATGGCATCGGTGCTGCCTCCAGTATCCTTCATAATGGTGCTAGTGACCATAATGATGTCCTCGGCCGAGTTGGCAAGCTCCTTGATGACAAGGTGGACCATCTGGCGGAGGGAGGCATCCTTGTTCTGGAACAGCTTGGAGATGCCAAAGAAGAGGGTGGTGGCTTCATTGGTAGGGAACTTTTCGCCCGTGTAGAGGAGGAGGGCGATCTTTGTGAGGAGGATGCGACATCTTCGAGGCTGGATCGGGGACGAGTTGAAGAGTCGTGCTGTCGACCTATTTAGCTTGACTTGAACTTGGACGGTGGGGGGAACAGCAAGAGGGCGATTGCTCGAGACGGACCTTCCTGGAACACCTGAGTGCGGTCCACCTTGACCAAACCGAGGTCGGCATCTTCGTCCTTTTTGCCGTAACTCATGTTGGGCAAGCTGGGTCGTGGGGGGAGCGGTTTGGTGAGGGAGACTTGGTGGTTGCGGTCGAGGCGCTCATCCAGAATCACCACGTCGCAGTTACTCTTGTCAGGGATGGATGGGTCGTGCCGCATCACGTGACAGCTATCAGCCCCTTATCGTGGACTGGGATTCGTGTCAACTTTGGCAAGGAGGTGCAACGATTCGGTTGTCTTACGGGTATGAGAAAAGGGCATGATTGGATTCAATGTCGGCTTAATATTCGTTTCCTATTTATACAGTCTATTTACTAGAAGTCTTTCCCTTATATGCTCTCACAGTATGTCGCTACATCACCGTGGAGTACTGCTATCCCATGTACCTCGACACCTTTAAGCTCCAACCCAGAAGCTTTGGTACAATCTTTTAATAACTGGCAAATTCTCTTATCTAGATTCTATAGTTCCGATTGTCGAATCCAAGCTCTATTTAGCCAAAATCACCCTTGCAATGTCGTCTTTGGCGAGCTCCCATCTCTCGGGGTGACATCATGTCGACCCTGAATCCATCCACCAGCTCCGAGCCTCCTCAGCCGGACCCAATTTTCCACTCCGGCGGGTTTGCGGCTTTCTGCCCTCCAGCCTCAAATCTTTCCGACTCAACCCAATTCCACCACGAATTCGTCGCCAGAATGAAGCCTACGACACGGCTGCCGCTGCGGCTGGTTCCCCGGCTCGTCAATGCCCCCGTCTTCATCCGTCCAATTCACTCGACTGTTGCGAAGCCCGCCAATGTCGCCTCCATCGTCGGGACCGGCCCGCCACCGGAGCCACCGCTGCCAACCGCCGAGAATGTTCACCAGCGTGTCGCGAGGCGGAGGAAGCAGGCTGAGATGCTCAAGAATGCCAAGGAGCTGCGGAGTGCGAGCGGTGGAAAGTCAAGCGGTCCTTTGAGAAAGAGGTTCTGGAAGGATGTGGCAGTCAAGGAAGTTGATGGTAAGTGAAGATGGCTGATTCTTTGCCATTGATTGCGCCCACTTATATCGACGGCAATGGGCTAACAAATATTCTTGAACAGGATCTTTGCAAGTCTTCCTTGATACCCGACCATTGAGGCACCCTGTGTCCAAGGAAATCGTCTGCCTCCCAATGTCGAAGCCCGACCTCGCCTCGGCACTCGCTCTCGAATGGGATCTTTTGACTTCGGCTCAAGATGCGACACGACAGCATTTGATCCCTCTCACAAGTCTTACCTGCCGAGCTCTCGATATTGCTGAAGCCGACAAGGCCTCCGGAGCCGAGATCTCGGAGGTCCGAAACGCCATCTCTACTACGCTTCTACGATACCTTGACACCGACTCAATTCTGTGCTGGGCGCCTCCGGCCAGAGAGCACGACTTGAAGAACGATGCGGGAGAGTCACTCCGAGATGTTCAGAAGCGGATAGCCGAGGACATTGTATCGTTCCTTACAACCCATGTCTGGCCAGGCATCACCATCACGCCTGTTCTTGACGGTCACTCAATTCTACCCCAGGCGCAGAGCCCCGGTGTCCGAGAGGTTGTGCAGGGATGGATCGCAGGCCTCGACGCCTTTGAGATTGCGGGACTAGAGCGAGTTGCCCTTGCAGGCAAGAGTCTGATTGCGGCTGCACGGTTCATCGTTGAATGGAGTGAGGGATCGGCTGGCAAGGGCGAGTTCAACCAAGGCAAAAAGTTTGGCGTTGAAGAGGCCTCTGTTGCTACTAGTCTGGAGGTCGACTGGCAGACGGGACAGTGGGGAGAGGTTGAGGATACTCATGATGTTAACAAGGAGGATGTGAGGAGGCAGATGGGCAGCGTTGTCCTGTTGGTGTCGGGTGTCGGCAAGGCTTAAGTCATTTGCCATGCATGATGATGATCACAAATGCTGACATGTAGAATAAGAAAAATGTATGATAGATATAGAAGGATACAACGATGTTGCGATGAAGAGTTAGATTGGTCTGAATGATGTGCGTGATGATTTGCTTCATTGGGCGAATGGGTTATGCATCGCCAGTATGTACCTGCAGATGTCCATGGATGACTTCGCTACACAACATATGAAGCTTGTGTGGCTACTCCGTACACAGAAATAGATATGGAGCACGACAGAGTATCTTCTCAACCCAGTTATCCTCCTTATTCAATGCCACAGCCAAAGCATAAGCAAATCTCACATGTTGTTCTGCAAATTACCCTAGACTGAGTTGTGTCTTGGCCGTTGAGGCTTGACCAGCTAACTCAAGCTACCCTCATGGCTTGTGCTCTCGGAGACTCAGCGTTCCGCATGCGAAATGAGACAAGGGACGCCAAGCAGCGGAAAAGCTGAGAGCCATAGGGTGAACCAAGGGAGGCATGGGAAGGTCCGCAGACGGGTCTGACTTTATTTTCGTTAAAGATCCAATCAAGGACAAGTTGAGGCATCAAGGAGAAATAGTCTCAGAGATGCAGATGTCTTGTTTGTTCCATACCGAGTACTTCACGCACTGTTGGTTGGCGGTGTAAATTACCAGGTTGTGTGGATGAATTCGAAACGAGAACAGCACAAGGATAAAGATCCTCGTCTGCCTCACAAGGCTTATCCCGCCCCAATTTGGCATCCATCTGACGGTAAGCGGAGAGGCCAGGGCCATCCCAGGGAACCAAGACTGAGCAATGCCACTACAGCTTATTCCAACCTCGATAGATGATGAATACGACTCTCAGCTTGTGTCTCAATCAAGCCACCACGACGTACCCGATCAAGACAAAAGAGGCGACAAATTGACAAAAAGAGGAGGCCGCGCAAGCAAGACGCCCCCTTACCCCAGAAGCAATCGCATCACCTGGCCACACTCGATCGTAGCGTACAGACAGAGACTCAAGACATCATGGATCATTACCAAGAATGCCCAACGCTTGGCCAGGGCAAAATGTCAGCAAGAGCAAGCTTGGCCGAGGATCCCGCTGAGTGTGTGTGTGCTCGAACCCCAGCAACGCTAATCTCCCGCCTGAGCAAGTTAGCTTGCCCAGCGAGGCGGAGTCGAAGGCGATATGGGGCGGCTGAGGGGAGGGATGCCGAAGGATGACGGGGTGAATGAAACATGGAGGAGGGGGACTGAGATAGGGCGTTATGCTTAATGAATGTGTGTTCAGGCTGTTGAAGAAAGAGTTAAAGAAAGTCAACTCTAAAGGAGAAATCCTCAACTGGTTGACCTTCAGCTTCATCCTCCACCCCCCTTCACGACGTTCATAAGCTGCGGGAACGTGCGTCCCAATATCTCGCAAGCCACAAAGGCGTCAGCCATGGAAGAACCCAATGTTCAAGGCCATGCTCCCGACTGCCGCCGCCCGGGGTGAAGAGGGGGGCCGTCTTTCAGCTTCCCCAATTAAGGCTCGACTTGGCATTGGGACACACCAAGGATCCAGACGCCAACCAAGGCCAATGCCACCTCGTAGCTTGCGCCACCGGGGCCACCGACAAGGGGGTTCCTGTTCTGCGCTGTCTGTCGCTCTTTAAACAAAAGGTAGGGCACCCTCCAGCGCGTACAACATGATGTAGTGCGATTCTTCATCAATCTTGCACTTTGGACTTCGACTAGAGGTTCGGTATAAGCCATGAGGTGGACGACATTAGGCACCGTCGCCGCTGCCATCAGTTGCGCCGATGCGCTGAGCTTCCCGCGATCAAAGACCGGCAAGGGTTACCTCTCGGTGCACGTCGGCACTGTCGAGAAGCCCAAGAAGGAAAAGACGAGACGAGATGGCGATGCCTTTGTAGCCGTGTTGGACAATATGGGATATTTCTACGCGACAGATCGTGCGTTGAAACAAGAAGACATGGAAAAGGGTTACAGTTCTAACGCTGAGAAACAGTTGAGATCGGCACGCCACCGCAAAAGATTACCGTCCTCCTCGATACTGGCTCCAACGAGCTCTGGGTCAACCCCGACTGCGAACAGGCCAGCAGCATAAGGGAGTACAACATGTGTCATGAGATGGGACAGTATGTGCCCGACGACTCGACGACACCGCCCATCGGTCCCTTTGGAAGGGAAACACTCAGATACGGTGACGCTTCGGATCCCTCGACTCACACGTCGGCCACGATTCGATACTACGCCGACACATTCACCTTTGGAGACGCCAAGCTTGAGAACCAGACGTTTGGTGTGTTGATTGAGAGTGACGGTATTGCTCAGGGTATTCTGGGTCTTGCACCGGATACGAGGGGTGGATTCGACAATGACGATCCTTACCGACTGCTGCTCACTTCCATGGCTGTCGAGGGCCTCATCAACAGCCGTGTTTACGCCCTGGACCTGCGCCATTCCGAGGCTGACGAGGGTGCCGTCATCTACGGCGGCATCGACCGTAACAAGTTCATCGGCAAACTAGAGAAGCGACCTATTATCCGCGGCGAGGGCGGCGAGTACCGTCTCGCTGTGGAGTTGAGCAGCATCGGCATGACCACCGAGGGTGAAGAGCACGAGTTCGACCTTGATGATGCGGATAAGAACGTCATCCTCGATTCAGGAAGCACACTGTCCCGTCTGCACTTTGAGGCTGCGAAGCCAATTCTTGAGATGCTTGATGTGCAAGATAACGGTGAAGGCTTCTACATCACCGACTGCGAAAACCGAGACCGCGACGCCACAGCCGACTTTGGTTTTGGCAACAAGCTTGTCCGTGTTCCCCTCAGCGATCTCATCCTCGAGATGGGGTACGGACAATGCTACGTCGGCATTGTCGTCACCACCAACCAGCAGATTCTCGGCGACTCTGTCCTTCGGGCTGGGTACTTTGTCTTTGACTGGGATAACAAGGAGGTGCACATTGCGCAGGCTGCCAACTGTGGCGATGAGGATATCGTGGTTGTTGGATCTGGCAAGGATGCTGTCCCTACTGAGACGGGCAAGTGTAAAGAGGGCGATGCCTTTACCACTGGACATGTAAGTTGCTCACATCCTCAGATGATGAATTCTTGCTAACAAGACCTTTAGGCAACCGTCACCAGATCCCCCACGAGGACCGGCCTGGCTACATCAGCCTACACAACCACCTACACCGTCACATCATGCCCTGAGTTCGAGCGCGATTGCAGAACCGGCGTCGTAACAACACAGACAGTCGGACCCCAACGAACCGTCACCGTCACGGCGGGAGCCAACTCGGACAACAACAACGGCGACGACGACTCAGCCGCCTGGCAACCTGTGCCTCTGGGCTGGGTATTCGCAGTGCTTGGTGGTTTCGCACTTGGCGCCAACTTGCTATAGTGTACATACATGATTTGGGGGAAATACCTTTGCATAACTGTACATATTATTTTGCGACGACGACGACATCTTTGGATATAATGACCCTTAATTGATAGACCGCGTCATTGGCCATGACCATGAAGCATACAGCGGCGTTCTGATCTCTGACTCGTGGTGTTCTAGAGCAACTCTAATCTTGTGAAATTATCGTGCGATGGCTTGGCCTGGTACCTTGGACACGCGGGGGGCTTATTCGTTGGATGAGGTACGAGTGCGTGCCGTTTGGTGAAAGGGACTTGCCGTGTGGCTTGCATTCAGGATTGGAAAGTTTAAGACGGGAAGAATGTAGGAATAGCCTTGTTAAGTCACGGAAGCATATCAACATCTCACGCCCCTGGTGTTGGGTTGATATGTTGAAGTAAACCAACCACCGGCTGAATAACTTGGTAGCGTTTCATCCATCATAGCCTATTCCTCCCAATGTTCTGGGTTTAGTAAAAGGTTCCAAATGACTCAAACGTATCCCCATTGTTATCACCTGTCCATTCCCGCGCAAGTGCCGGACCAGGGACCCGTTGCGGCGTTTCTCGTGCGCCCGCGCCGAGGACCTGGTAACTGACGCCGGAGTGACTGGAATGTGTTTGCCTTGGGGATGGGGCTGGAGGGACCCAGAACAAAGGTAAAGTATCTGTATGCGCTAGGGCACGGCGACTGCGACGATGAGATGTTGGTGATGGTTAACGAGTCAGTTAACGTCATATGGCTGTGGTATTCTGACAACGGTGATGTTTCCGAAAGGCGTCGGAGGAAAGCATCATGTTTAGAACGAGGCTACCTATCAAGCCACGTTGAGTGATGGTTTGTTGGAATGGAGCCGTGTAAGTCTCTGTTTTCGAATTGCGATTGTCGTTTTCACGAGGCTATATGTATGCAATCCTTCCCATCCTTGGCATCACTCGTTGTCAGCTGCGTAACTGCCACTCCCCTACAGCCTCTCAGTTCCTTCGCCGCCTCTCCTTGCAAAGCAGTTCCTACCCCTCTGTGCCTGTGCCTGTGCCTGAGTTGGTCCATTGGCCGGATCATCATCATCCTCTTCATCATCCCCTTCATCACTGCCCTCATCGCTCTCTCCATTGCTTCCTTCATCCCCCTCATCGCTTTCTTCCTCACTTCCCTCTGCCTCATCATCATCATCCTCCTCATCGTCAGTATCACCATTTCCACACCACCACCCGAACTCCTCACTCTCGTAGATATATGGCGATGGGTAGTGCATCGGAGTCTCATCAGGCAAGCGAAGGCTAAGCCCATCATCGTCATAGTTGCTGGTCTCAGCCCGTTTGCTCGCCTGCTCACTGATCTTGCCTCCGTTCCTCTCAATCACATGTCGAGGCCGGAACGTCACAGACACAATGTAGTAGTCGATGACGCCCTCCTCCGTTTCATCACGAACCCATCTCTTGTTGTGCCAACGGCTGGTTCCCCTCCACCGACTCTCCTGTCTGGTTGACCCCTTTGTGTCGGCAACGAGAACGGTTCCGTCTGGCTTCTTAAAGAACCAGCGCTCAATCATCATCTTGGCGATGCGATCAACCTGGCGCTTCTTGCGCTCCAGAGTCTCCATCTCGATACATATCTCGTTCAGGCTGGGAGACAGTTCGTCGCACACGTCCCTAATCCAGGACCCTTCGAAGCGAAGTGGTGCATCATCCTCCCAATACCACCAGTCTGCGTGTCGAATCGTGATCGTGAGTCTCTTGGGGTCCATGTAAGGCGTCCTCAGGAGTCTTTCCAAGTCACCCGCTTCCAGCTTGAACATCTGAGGAAACGCTCTGATGCCCTCGATCTGGACTTGTTCCTGGCCCATCTGCTGGGCGATCTCCTTAGCTGTGGCGTGCAGCTTGTCCACGGCAGTGTCGACATCGTACTCTGGAGGCGCACGTTCATCAAAGGAGAGCCAGTGCAGCTGCTCGGTCAACATGAAGGGTAGGAATCTGCACTCGCGGTAGACAGCTCGACAGGTACGTAGTAGGGTTGTGTCCGTCTTGCGCGGCGCAAAGTATGAAGGCCGCGTGAAGCAGGTATTGTTATCATAGTGATTGTCTGGGGAAGGATCCTCGTAGTCGGTGAGAGCAAGGGCAAAGATTTGGTTGCGCACTTCTGCTGGCAACAGTCTGAACAGGGGCGAGCCGGATTGAGGATTGTCAGGGACGGAGAGGATGTCTTTAGATGTTGGCACAGGCTTCTTCTTGGTGTGCCGCCTGAACCTTGACAGGAATCGAGGCGGCTCGGGCTCAGACTCGGGCTCGGGCTCAGACTCGGGCTCGGGCTCAGACTCGGGCTCGGGCTCAGGCGATCGTTCCCATGAAGGCTTGGTTCTTGCCATGGTTGGTGATTGTATAATTTGTATGTGATTCGTGGTGAGAAGAGGGGATCAAGCTGACAGAGAGGGCGGTCATTTATACGCTGGGTGTGCTAGGCAGCACAGTGGGCCTTGTGCAACTCAATGGAGTCGCTCTGTTGGTTGACGGTTGCAGTTTCATGGAGGAGCATGGTCGAATGACGCTGGCTTCAGAGACAGGGAACATGCTCTGCGGGATCTCGGTTGGTGGTTGTATTGAGTCAGCATGATGTGACCGGCGATAGCCAATTTAGGCAATGGGGGGTTGAAGGCAGCCACCACTATCCTGCGGTTGTTGGTAGCATAGCAGTTAAATGAGAAATATCCGATGAGATTTATTGCCTTGAATACCCAATAGTGAAAAGAACAAGAGTCAACTGCTTTCGGACTCGGGGCCTGCTTAAGGGCCAATTGGATCCCAGTCGCTGAGGCTGTGTCGACACCCTGGAGCTCCCAGAGGAGAGCACAGTCAAAGCAGGCTCTGTGGAAGTGGACGCGATAGGTACATAAACAAAGATTTCTTCATGGAAAAGAATGCTTAGCACACCGCCTAAGTCGGCTGGTTGACACTCATTTATTGCTCAGGTCCAAGGTAAGTACGTGGATGAGATGAACAGTGAGAGCAGACATCAGAAGAACTCTCATATTTTAACAATTTTTCTACTCCTCTGACACTGAAATTATATAGAATTCCACAAGAATTTAATGAGAGTTCGATGAGAATAGCTAAGAAGTCTCAGCGATGTGCCGATTCCCTCTCATCAGCCTGCTGGGCTCACCGAGCTGTCAGGACCAACAGGACCAACACGTCGCATTAACCGCCCAGGATAGGCGCCCAAAGATGCGCAGCACACAGCCATTGGCCATGCCCAAGACATGCATGAAAGCCTTGGCCAAAGTAGAAAAATCTACAGCGCGACCAATTGGTATAAAGTCGTTTCGCTGCCTCTGTCGTCAAGACTGATCGTCAATGCCCACCATTCACTTTGCACCATGCCTCGGTCATGATACACCCACCATGTCCCGTCAATCCCACTCTGACTCTGACAGCCTCGCTTTATCCCACAATCGGTATGGAATTACCGAATTTTTCGAGGGCTTTCCCAACAATTGCAGGGCCGATATCGTCTTTGTCCACGGCCTGACGGGCAACTCGGATACAACATGGAGACACGAGAATGCAGACCTGCCATGGCCGGAAGAACTCCTCGCAAGGGACATAAGAAACTGCAAAATCTTAAAGTACGACTACAACATATCTAATATCAATGGCCTGGGAAAAGACCTGGCGAGGCTTGCTGCCGACCTACTTAATGAGCTCGTCAATTGGAGACGTGATAATAAGGTAAGGTGGTCGCTCGTCGCTATGCCCTCCAGCTACCAGAAACTAAACTTGAACCAGTCAGAGCGCCCCATCATCTTTGTCGCTCACAGCCTGGGAGGTCTCTTGGTCAAGCGCTTACTCCCAGAGTCCCAGTCTCGAAGTGCGCCCTACAACATCGGAGCCCTCACTCGCGGTGTCATCTTTCTCGGCACTCCTCAACGCGTGTCAAGATTACAGGAACATGGGCATAAAATCTTGCAAGCTCTTCGAGGCAATAGAGCTAATAGATTGGAACCAAACGTCGAGTTGCGGGCCATCTTCCAGCCAACCTCGGATGTCCTCGACAAAACTCACAGCTCGTTTATGGATTGGCTCGCACAGAGAAATGAGGACCCTCTGAAGCCTACTGTCCACATCGCATCCCTCTATGAGAAATTGCCTACAATGAAATTACCGGGGCTGGGAGATGGTTACTGCACCGTCAGAGCCCAAATTGTCAAAGCAGTTCGCTTGGCTAAGCTTCAGGATGAACTTGCTCTACGAGATACAGCCGAGCCTAGCAAGAACGAGCTGGAATTGTGGCGAGGTATGTCGGTCCTCCTTTTGGCGAGCGAAGCACTGACAGCTCCCTATAGCATGTTTGCAATCCTTTGCCTTTTCTGACGTTCGACAGCGGTTCGAAACCGTGAGCCCTCATCTCAGAGGAACATTCCGATGGATTCATTACTGCCATGACTTTTGGGCTTGGCTTGAAGATCCCAGCAAGAACATTTTCTACATGTCTGGAAAGCGCGCATCTGGGAAATCAACATTCATGAAATACCTAACACGAAACGAAGCACTTGCTTCGTGGGCTCGCATACAAAACCCTTCCAGAGAGGTCATCGTTCTCAGTCACTTCTTTCACTATGCTGGACAAGATCCTTCGCGGAAGTTTGAAGGATTCCTGAGATCTATTCTGTTCCAGATGGTCGAGAAAGACTTTGCCGCCTTCAAACCAGTCCAGCCGTTCTTCGAGGGGCGCAGAAATTACCAGCAATCACCAACCTGGCCTCGAGATGACCTGGAAAAGGCATGCTTGGAAGTCTTTAAAGAATGGGGAAGACGGATGGACAGTCAACGTCCAAATATCTATCTCATCATGGATGCATTGGACCACTTTGATGGAGAACTTTGCGAGATGACTTCCTTTCTTTTGGAAATATTCAAACTATCCGGCAGACGACTCAAGATATGCATCTCCAGTCCGCACGAGGAGAAGATCGACAATGCCTTTACCAACCTTAAAGACATGGGTGACCTCTCAAGACTTGAGATCCATCAGCACACCAAACAGGATATCGCCCTGTACATCAAGCGGAATTACCGAAAGCTCACAGAACTCTCAGTGGGCGAGAAAACGTTTGCCGATGTGATTTTGGATCACTCCCAGGGCGTCTTCCTCTGGGTTCGGCTAATGTGCAACAACCTGGTCAACCGCGCAATGACAAAGACAGAGTTGGACAAAACCTCGGACGAGGAGCTACAGCGTATGCTCAACAATCTACAACCTGATCTGGAGAAGTTTTACGAGATGATGTTCAACGCTATTGAACCAGACCTCCGAGACGAGGTTGAAAAGGGACTGTCCATTGTGGTAGCAGCCTCGAGAAGTTTGACCGTCGAGGAACTACAGTGCGCTACGTATTTCAGCAACCACAAGAACATCATGATCATCAACAACGATGACAATCGCAGCAGCAACAGTACCGGGACCGGGAACAAACCAAAGAGTAAAATCAGCAAGGAGTATCTGACTCGTCTCGGAGTATTCAACCAAGATTTGCAGACCATCATCGAAACAAGGTATCGCGGATTCTTGCAAATAACCAAGGTTCAAGGTGGTGATGCTGAACCCAGACTAATCATCGAACCTTGCCATGGGACAGCTTCTACCTACCTGATCAAACGCTGCAAACCTCAAGGCCCTGGGGCAACCTTCAGGGATCTCGTGGCCTACGGGGACCACCTTCTTTACGAATCATCGAGAGCATACCTCGGTTACTTGGAGAAAGGAGATCTACCTCCAGAAGCATCCAAAGCTCTGGAATTTCTCTTCGGTGCCAAAAATGGAAAACAGTCGAATCCTAACGAAACAAAGGGGGGGGAGAACACCTCGAGCTACATGGGGAGCATGACAGTATCCCTAGATAAGCTGAAGACGGTAGATATCGAGAAATTCTGCTCAGAGTACCCCTTCCTATCCTACTCGGCCGAATGCTGGGGCCATCACGCAAAGGTCGGCTGCCTAACCAAGATGGAACCAGTTCAGGTACTCGAAGGCGACGCATTCCAGTGTTTCCTGTGGGTATTTTGGGAGCTCATGGAGGCTAGACCAGCCAACCCATATACCTTCTCAGATTTACCACTTGATGCACTGGAATATCTTTGCTCGACGGGTTGTGCTAACTACCTAGACCGGGCTCTAGACAAGCAGCCGGAAAGGATAAGACATCCTGAACGGCTGCTCCTATTCACCATCCGAGCCAAGAACCTTTACATGGTGGGTCGTCTACTACAGCATTATCCGCTTAAGAAGCTCCATGTCAACCACGGCGAACAAGCCGTGTTGCAGGCCATCGACTTCTCCAACAATCCGGATTGGGGCAAACATTGGGCGAAGCACTACGCAAAATTGACCAAGAATCTTCTGGATCATAGATTTCCTGCACACAAAAGAGTCGAGTACACCATTCGCGATGAGCATTGGAACACGAACCCAGAAATCCGAGTTCGGAAGAGACAGTTTGAATGCAACCCCCTACTTCTAGCAATCCTGCTTAAACGCAACTACATCGCCGAAGAACTCCTGACACATGAGTCGTGCGAGAAGGCGGTTCATCAGGAAATCGACTGGGTTCTACAACGAGTGATCGAAATGACGACTTTTATCCAGCCCGCCAACATTAGCGGCATCGAATTGCTCCTACGCAACGGCGCAAATGCCAACACTTCAGGTTCGAACTCGCCCAAGAGCACACTCCTCGGCATGGCACTCTATCTCAAGGAGTTCGACGTTGCTGAGACACTCCTGAACCACGGGGCTGATCCCAACTTTCGCGGCGATCATGCCAGCCAGCTCAGTTTCATGGCAGAGACCGAGAACGACTTCCCAAAGGGTGTTCAGCTGCTGTTACGCTCAGGTGCTAGCGTAGATGTGTGGTCCATGGAGCAATGCTGTAAGGGACGCCGAGGAGCAAAGGACGTTAAAGATGTTGTTTTCTTCTTGATGGACCATTTGTGCAAGAATGGGGGTATCGATCAGTTGATACAAGGCCGAGAGACCGCTCTACACATCGCGATTCGCTGCGGTCGGGAAGACCTTGTCGAAAGGTTGATTCAAGACCTGGAAGCCAACACCAACATCCCGGACCACAATGGAGATTACCCCGTCCACGTGGCTCTACGGCAGAGCGAGCCCAAGAGGCATATCAAACTTCTTCAAAGAAGCCCGAAATTTGACGGTTCTGTCAAGAATCGTGATGGGAAGACCTTCACAGATATTCATATGGAAGAGGACCCTCAGCAGAATATCCTGGTAGGAATGCCGCGTCTGGATGCTTCCAAAGTTCACATGAGGACCGTTCTCCTCCAAGCGTGCGTTAGACAAATATCCGAGAGTTTACAATTTTCCTTTGACTAACGTATTCCAGGCCTCTCGGATACAATGCCGTACAGAAACGGCTAGAAAATGCCCCATATGGCATCAGGGTGTTATTCAATGACCCAAACGCCCCTTGGAGTGCCCTCCGCCCTTCTGTGGACAATATGGTTGTCGATCACGGTCTTCATGGAAATGAAATACATCTACCAACGCAGCCAGAGGCGATTCCACGGGAATCGGGGGACTTGCCGTTCCTTGAAGGAGCTATCACAGACGAGATGGAAGTTTCTTTTCCAGTTCAACAGATGTACGCCCCAAGCATATCAGATACGTCGGGTGGCGAATTTCTCGCTGGCACAGGGAGTTGGGATGGGCATTCGGTGTATTGGAATAGGCAATAGAGGGATAGATAAAGGCGTTGGTCGGTATGGGTGCAGTGATGAGTGTTGACGAAAATGATGCCGTGAATGACGAGAGAGACTGAGCGAGACGCGAGGCTCCAGACACCGAGTTGAATCTTGACAATTCAAAGGCTTTTCTCTATTTTATAATAACAATACATACATAAGATGAATATAACGACGAGGCAACCTAATAAGACAATGCTTTTACGTCTTTTAAATTTATTAATGTATTCCTTCTATACTAGATACCTCTATAGCTATCCTTGCGTGGGGATATGCTAATATCACTACAGCGTCTTGCGCTTTTTCCTATCGCGTGTGAGGGTAACCGTGGAGGATGGAGGAGCGGCGGGTCATGCAACCTTGTTTGGCAAAACGTGGGAGCGCACTCGCTAAGCCCTATTCGAACCAGCGTCTCCTCAATGATCTTCGCTTGACTTGCTTTGTGTAGAGATTTTTGCATATACTATGCTGCTAGAATGTTTAGCTCTCTGTAGGATTCTCTTGCCTGGCCTGACAATCAGGCTGGGGTGATGATGGTTCGTGGTAGGCCGAGCTTGATCACGAATCATGGACCACCAGCTATCACACTTGGGTGCGATCTTCGTGAACTGGGTCTTGAAACACACGTCCAAGACGGATAAACCGATCAAAATCACCACCGTCTAGACTACCACTGACCCGCAAGGCACGAGCAATCATTCACATCTCGACACGCACTCAACACTCCACTATATCTCTTCATTTTCGCTCATGACGCGGCCGGAAAGTAAAGGGAATAGTCGGCCTGACCGGGGAAAGCAGGCCGACCAGAGTCTCGACCTGGCCGAGGATGCGTTAAATGCTTACCCCCAGAGTAAGCATGGCGAGACCCTTGCACGAGCTCCACGCAGACGCCGAGCTCGATCCCTGTCGCCGAGCCATTACAGGACCACCTATTTCGAGTCTTTTACTACCTTTTTTGCGAATGCAATTCATCCTGTGGAGGTGGCATGCCTGTCGCGCGCGGGTATTGCGATGGGGTTTATGGGAAATGTGTCCGTCAGGCAGCGAGAACAAGCGAAGACATGCTATCGCTTGATCTTGGCCCAGATTCGCCCGAGACTCTTCCATTTACCCGTAAAAGCAATCGACCGAGTCAGACTGTGGGGGGTCCTGAGACACAGTTAGACACAGTGTCGGACTCTTGAGGTTCTTGTCTTTTGCCTCATGTCGATCTTATCTTATCTTATCAATCAGTCCAAGAAACGTGGCGCATCCTCAAACCGCCGCTGACACAGCGTGGTAATCAATCAACGCCATTGACTTTGAGAAGGCCAAGGGGACAAAAAGCAAAAGGTGGATCGCAGGCAGCAGGATCCGCTGTCGAGATTATCCCACCGGCCCAGTAAAGATTTTGAGTCCGTCTTTGGTGACATCGCCGGGAAGCCCAGAGCCGCCTGGACCGCAGGCGCCAAGAAGCGCTCGTTCCTTGACGAATCGTCTTTCAACTTTAATCCCACTTCACGAGAACTGTCTTCCTGGCCCTACGAGGCCTAAAGCCTTGTCACTTTTGGCTAGAATGGTCATGAACAGCAGACGGAAATGCCTCCCCACATACCCATCCGATGAACCCACGCAAGACAAGCATGGACTTACCACTACGCCGGTAGAATTGCCACTATTGGCTCTAGCCTTTCCCAGGTTCCCATAGGACAAGACGGAGCTTTTGCTTGCCAAGAAGACCCAAGTTTCGAGAAGAATTTTCTATTACGCGGACCATTCCTGGTTTGCTTGTTTCTCGTCTGGTCATCGGCTTTTCTCCTTTCGGTCGCTTGGACTGGATTTAGCTAGCTGCCTCAATAATCAACTGGAACTGGTGGGTTCGGACTCTTGGACCCACGCTTCGTACGCGATCGGGGGGTTGATCCTGTTTACCCTGCGAGCGATGGGTGACAGGAGGAGCTTGATCATCTGTTCCACGGGCATGGCTCTGATGCATGTCTTTCTGCAATGTAACAACACCTACCTGCAGCGTGGGACGTTGGAAGTGGTTTGAGAATCTGATTCCCAAGAGTTGGATACGGCCTCAGTTTCTGTTAGACGCCAAGACGCAAAAACTGCAGAGCAGGACCCTGTTCATGCCGGTTACTACTGCCGGGCTATGGCTTGGGACCTGGTCCAGGCCAAAATCCGATCTTGGCGCAGGTGGCGGGTTCTTAATCGAAGCCCCCCATCTCGCCATTGTTGGAATCATCCTTGTCGACAAGGCGTGCCGCTCTGAGTCGAGAAGCGCGGCAGACGCGCTGTTGGGTAAGCTATTCCGACTTGGCCAACAGTCACGGGAAGAGACTCTTTTGACTTCATTCTTGCATTCGGGCCAGTCTTGATTCAGTGTTAAAGTCGAGACCTTGGCTGATGGATCCCTTTGGAGCCTCCTTCATCATATGCCAATGCCAAGGGAGCACCAGTACCATGGACTCGTCCGTTGCTGTGCCTCAAGAGGTTGGCCGATCTCTTGCCCTGGTGGCCTTTGGTCAGCGATTATCAGATGATCAGATTATCGAACTAGTGTCCGAAAATTTGCGATGATCCTCCCTTGAGCTCTTGGGGATGGGATGGCCGCCACACCAACCTCAACCCCGGGCCATGCCCGGTAGCTTTTAGGAAATAAGCTCCGGCCAATGAAAGGGTTCTCAGACAGCTTAACCCTGCCAATTGGGGGTTTTCCGGTGCTATTCCCAGGATCTTGTACGGAGTCATGGTGGGGAACGTTGTGTGGGACGCCTGTGTGTGCGGCCTTTTTGACTTGGAGAGATTCGATGCAACGTTGGGAACTTATGTTCCCAACGGCAGACGCCGCTGCGAATCACCCGCAGCGTAGTAATGAGCTTTTGATTATCTAGTGTGTCATGGTGAGCGTGGGATTGTCCAGTCATGGGTTTGATGTTTGGGGGTTTTGGCCTGGGCGCGGGTCATGGGAAAAAAGAAGAGGGCATCGAGAAGGGAGACATTGTTGTATCTCTTCTACAGATGATCGTACAGCTACAATAAAAATTGTAGAATAATGCAGAATAATTGGTAGTGTTTGTTAATGTCTTAGTGGCTTTTAGTAACACGTCAATATTTTTAGGTAAATTATTAAACACGGGTTAGACATGTGTATCCCCATCTGGTGTCTCGATTATTTCGCCCCATGACCATGGAGACCGTCAGAACTCTAGGCCCTTGAAAGACCCATCCCACGAGTCTCGCCAGAGGGACGATCATCGCCGACCCTGTCAATAAGTCTGCGTCCAGGTACTGACAGCGTCGCATCTTGGCCGAAGAATGGGTACTTAACAGGGCACTCCTCCCACTTTGTGAAAGCTCTCTTGTCGTGCAAGCTCCTCTTCATTCACCACTGCGTCCTACAGCTCGCCTCCTCTACTCCTGAAGGACAGCCTCTTGCTTCAATGGCGACTCACACTCAGATTGGGCCCGAGCCCATTAACGAGGTGTCGGTTCCCGACATTGAAAAGGTCGCCGGCAACGAAAAGAACAATGAGATCACCGAGGAGGACCTCAAGGACTTGTCCGATGATGAGTTTAAGCAGCAGGGTGTCAAAAAGGCCGAGGCCATGACTACTGTCTGGTCGAAGCAGATGCTTATTGCCACCTTTATCTTGTAAGTCAATTGATGTCTTGAACCAAGAGAGTACTAACTGACTTGTCTAGTGTCTGGCTTGTCGCCTTTGTCGACAGTCTTCTCCAGGCCGTCCAGTCCAACCTCGTCCCCTACGTAACATCCGCATTCGCCCAGCACGGCCTCATCGCGACCACGAGCATCGTCGCCACCATCCTCGGCGGCGTCTGCGCCCTTCCCATCGCAAAGGTCATTGACATCTGGGGTCGAGTCTGGGGCTTTGGCTCCATGGTGTTCCTCATCGTTATCGGCATGATCATGAAGGCCACCTGCAAGAACGTCGAGATGTACGCCGCTGCTCACACGCTTTACTGGGTTGGCCATCTTGGTCTCATCTATGTTATCGACGTGGTTGTTGCCGATACCACAACCCTCCGAAACCGATTGATCATCATGGGTCTTAACTATACGCCTACCATTTCGTCGACGTTTGCTGGTCCCAAGATTGCCGAGCTGTTTTACGTCAATGTCAACTTCCGCTGGGCTTTTGGTGCTTTCTGCATTATCCTGCTTGCTTTTTGCATTCCTGTCATGGTCATCTTTATCATGAGCGAGATCAAGGCTCAAAAGCTGGGTCTTGCTCCTGAAAAGGTTCACAACCGCACCGTGTGGGAGTCTATCAAGTACCACTTTGTGCAGTTTGATGGTATGTTAAACTTCAAACCCCATCATCTTTACTGTTTCTAACTTGTTGCAGTTATCGGTCTCAGCCTCACCACCTTTGGATGGTCGCTTCTCCTACTTCCTTTCAACCTCGCCTCCAAGGCCCCCAACGGCTGGGCTAGCGGCTACATCATCGCCATGATCATCCTCGGAGTCGTCCTCATTTCCGCCTTTGTTGTCTGGGAGAAGTTCTTTGCCCCTGTGCCTTACTTCCCCTTCCACCTCCTCGCCAACCGAACTGTCCTGGGTGGCTGCCTCATCTACGGCCTCATGTTTGCCTCCATCTTGTGAGTAACCTTACTAGGTTAGGTATCTTTGTGTCTTGATCTAACTGGTATCAGCTGCTGGGATGGTTACTACGGATCTTACCTTCAAGTCGTTCACTTCGAGAGCATCACCACTTCCGGTTACATTCTCAACTCGTTCTCCCTGATGGCCGCCTTCATTGGTCCCTTCGTCGGACTGTGAGTCTTCTCGCCCAACTAACAATGAACCACAACTGACCCTAGCAGTGCCATTCGATACCTCGGACACTTCAAGTGGCCTTCCTTCATCGGCGTCCCCTTCATGGTTCTCGGTACTGCCCTGCTCATCCACTTCCGTCACTCCCACACCGCTGTCAACTGGCTCGTCATGTGTCAGCTCTTCAACGGTATCTACAGTGGCATCT